TTATTACACGAGTTTTCTAATTTGGAAGCAGATGATCTTTTGAGTTCGCTTGACAAGCTAACCATTGCCTTGTCTGCATTTTGGACGTCAAAAGCTGCATCCCAGTTGAGAAGGCTTTTGTGGATCAGAATATGAAATCAGAAGCGGAACAGCTAGATTATCGCGTTCATAATAATCTGATGCCCCTGACAATTATCGATTTGTGTATGACAACAGCAACTGCGGTACCTAAAATTGATTCTTGTTTTGAGATTCAGTGAAATATTCATTGGCGCAAAAGCCCTTCTGGATTTAAAAATCGACATTCATAATGCAAATTTCAATAAGAAAAATCTTGATTGTTGATATACCGAGCATAGCAGATACAGGCTCTTGGGATACGCCAAAGACAAGGCCTTCGAAGACAGCGTGGAGGGCAAGTGCGCCGACCAGGATGAGAACTCGAAGGGTTGAGTGTGCGGCGGGGTCAAAATGAGCATGGTCAGAAATAAGGCTCTCAAATTGAGAATCAATTTTGGAAAATATCTATTTTGGGATAATCCCAAAATAATTATAATTTATAAAAGCCGCATTTGAATCCGCTCTAAATCGCGTAGACTTCTTAGACCCTAATGAAAAAATATCGGTGGGTTTTTTTTCAAAGCTTTACCGGAAATCTTGAGCCGTTAAGGACCCCCCCCATCAAGAATCGTGAAAATGAGCCATTTTAGTGAAAGTTTTTCTCAGAAACTATGGGGGGGGGGGGGTCCTTAAGGGTGTCAACATCGATTTTCGGATTTTTTAGTAAAAATCTCATAAGAGATTCCCTTACTCAATCGATGTTGACACCCTTAACGCCAAAATTTGGCCGAGGATTATCTAAAAATTATGATGTCTTATTGAAATCAAGGAAGAATCGATTGAGAGCCCGTTTCATCATGCTGGTCATCATCTTCGTGTCCATGTCCATGACTATGACCTTCATCTTTGGCAACATATGGCTGCGAAAGATTGAGCAAAAAAGATCTTGAACTTGGAGATAATAAATGCCGTGATTCGTTAAATAAATTGTCTTCTAATTATTAATGCTAAGCTGACAAAATTTTTCTCAATCCTTATCCTGGCCGCTCTGAGCGTCGATTAATAATTGAGTACCAGATCGGTCGAGAGATCCATCGAGGTGTGTTCCAACCGAATGATCTTCAACGCCATTACCCATTGGACCCCTTTTAGGAATATCATATCGACACTAATGATATCATTTTCTGGATATTCTATCCATTCCTTATTCCATTGAGGTGTATATCTGTGTTTTCGTTCGAGTTCTGATTTGAATTATTTATCTCTTTTGATTTCTTCTTTGATTTCTTCGACTTAGTACAGCAACTCATGACGATTTGCTCGAGGGACAGGACGATGAAAAAGCCACAGCCGACGATTAACTCAGCAACGGGATATTCAATGTCTTAATTAACCCATGGATCAGTAAACTTATGTCTGAGATTACCAGGGAAAACATCAGTGCTCATCTTTTCCGAGATTTCAGGAAGCATGTGGAGAATACACGTGGCGAAAAAGATACCAGCAGCATAGCAATTCTATAGAGGATTCAAGGAGGCTTCAAGGGGGCGGTTAAACTTGCCCCCGATTGATTAATAATAATTGCGAACTTGTAGAATCCCCGGTGACAAAATGGACAATAGAAGTGGATTGGCGCCAATATCTTTTGCTGTTCCATGCGTTGACTTATTCTATTTGAATGCAAAAGTTAAAATTCTAGCGCTGAATTAAAAATATATTCGAAGCAAAGAACTACGTTCAGGATAGGTTGATAAATTTATATCCAAGGAAAAGTATAAATAATGAAAAAGTAAGCCGAAAAAGAAAGTTGACAAAAGAAGATGAATCTTACCTGCATATATCTTTGAATCAGGTAGGGCAAGTGTCCGAAGAAAAGACTGAAGATTGGCTTTTACTTGTGCTTTCAATATAAAAATAATATCAGCTTCATATAAATAAATATACTGAAATCGGCGAACTGTAATGAATATATTGATCTTCCTTCGAAAGCCGCTTACCCATCTATAAGTATAATCACAAGCATGGAAATCTTGAATGTAAGCTGGGCCACCATTTTGACGGCTCCTTTTTTCAACGTCTGAACTTTTGTCGAACTCGTCTCTGTCTGTTTTCAGGAAGAGGATAAAGTTATGGCGAAAAATGAAACATTTTAATGGTGACCTGGGCTCATCAATTTTGCCCTTACTGCGAAAAAGGAAGAGAACCACAATTGCAGGTGCGCTCGCTAGCGCCATCATTTGAAGACAAGAAGGCTTATCAAAAGTATTTGTTTTTGCTTATTAAAAAATGCTTAACGTTATAATTATAAAATATACATTATAATTTTATATTTACTTGATTGAAATTGGTTGAATTTCCAGGAAAAAACGAGGCTTTTTGGATTTCAACTGCTTGTATCAGCATTTTAACCTTGCGAGAATAATCATGTAGATTGCTCTTTTTAATTAAACCCAGTTCAACTATTCCTACTCAACTTACCACTTGCCAAAAAGTCTTATTTAGCTGGTTTATTACGATTTATTAGTTCTATTGCTTGAAAAATCGCATTTTTTTCACAAATCACTGTGAATATTTTATAGAATAAAATATAAATAAAGAAATGCATTCATTTAACAAAACTTTTAATATGGACATATTTTTTCTCCGGGAAAATGAGCGCGTACGGAACAATAAGAACGGTCTTCCAGCGATGCAGAAGATTGATCTTGTTGAATTTGAAAGTAGCGAACGAGCTGAGTGGCGTTTCATCTCCGCCGCCAATCGCCTCGGCCATTGCATTTGTTTGATTGCAAGCATAAATATTCATCCGGCAAAATATTGAGTTTTATTGTTTTAAATGGCTTTGGCCTTGTTTATATTTGTCCAATGCATTCTGAAGACGCAATTGCTGGCGTCATTTCAGAACGAACGTACTTGCAAATTAGCCTTAACATCGAAAAGAAGAACTCTCTTGTTCAGAATTTGAATTTTTTATGCGATGAAATGAGCCACTCAATTAACTCATTAAACATCTCTGCATTAATTTGATTTCACGAAATAATAGCTTTCGAGACAAAAGATCGAGTACTCGACATGCATTATTTCTACTAATAACGCGTGAAAATATGATGCAAAATAGTCGAATAACTTATTCGAAATAAGTACCATGAGATTTTTTTCTAAGGGGAGATCTGAGAATCTGAGAGTCCTTAGCCCTCTGGGACTCTCACTTTAGCCGCGCGCGCATAGCGCGGCTAGCCAATCAGAGGACCGTATTTTTCCGCATTGGGCCGCACTCTAGATTCTATATTCTGAAGTGCCCAACAGGAACTCAAGGAATTTTCTAGACTCCCCCGAGAGGGGAACGGGGAAGCGAGGCCAGGGGCCTTCTCCCTCTCTAAAAAAATCTCATGGTAGGTTAATACGCGAAAATATCCAACCAATGTGAAGTTAAACTTAACGATATTTATGGAAATGTAGAAATATCAGTTTGTCTGCTTTTGCTGCAGCTTTTTTACTTCGAAAAGAAAGAAAGAGCGTTACGTTAGTAAATAATCTTCAACGAAATCAGGGCGGTGGATCGGTCCCGGTCACCAACCGACATTGTTGATTTCATCAAAATTGGCATGCGCACAACCAAAAATCGCTCTGTTCAAGAAGGAGCAAAAATATTTTTGTTGAGTAAATTCTGAGAAAAAATAAAATGCCATCAAAACTTGAGAATTTTACAAGAGAACCGATGGGTAAGTTCTACATAACCTTAACTCTAACTAAAATTTAAATTTAGACGACAAAGATTGCAGCGAGATCCCAGGAATTGGAAAAACTGCGCAAGCTCGACTCGTCGAACTAGGATTTCCAAAGTGCTACCAGGTATGAAAATGGCTAACTTTTCAGAATAGTAATAATTTTTAGCTTATCGGGAAGTATCTCGGCGAGCGAGAAGAAGCATTTGAGACCTTCCTCGCGGAGAAAGTGTCACTGCAAAAGAGACATTTGAAAAGCTGCGTAGATCAGGGATCTAAATTTTTGCCGAAAATCAATTGCGATTGCGATGCGATTGCGACGCAAAATAGTCCGGAAATTGCGATGCGATTGCGATTTTTTTCGCAAATTGCGAATTTTTCGCGAATTGCGATTTTGTCGCCATTTGCGAAATTTTAGCGTAAAAAGTAATTTTTCAAAGGATTTAAGACTATTTTTTGAGGTCAGGCTTACAATTAAGCCTTTAGAACACAGAAAATAGGCTCTGAGTCAAAGAAAACCCATGTCAGAATAACGAAGGAGCATTTTGACAAGACCAAAGTTCGCAAAAAAATCGCAATTTGCGAATTATTGACGAAAACTGAGTTGCGATTGCGATGCGATTGCGATTCGATCAAAAAATAATTTGCGATTGCGAATTTTCTGCGAAATTTCGCATCGCAATCGCAAAATATTCGCAAATTGCGATTTTCGCGAAAAAATTTAGATCCCTGACGTAGATGCGATAAAACAGTACTTGGAGAAAGAAAAAACGAATTTCAAATAATATTAGCTTCACTCGAATTCGCTGTTCTATCGCCTTCACTCTGTATAACACTCTTTCTTCACAAAATGCCTGTAAATAAACACTTCACTGTACTGTATCTGTATAAATCAAGGTCTGCGAATCCTTTTCAGGCAAATTTGTTGTTTTATCAGTCAAGGAGCTTCAGGTACTTGTCGTTTGATAAGGACGAAGGGGGGCTTATAGGATGAGAGTGAATAGTAGCTACGCTCTGGTTGGGCTCCGACGGTTAACCACTTGTTCCTCTTTGGTGAGAAAGAAATTCTATTTTTCGCCTCGAGGCGGTGGCGGCCATTCAATAGAATCAAGCAAGCATTTACAACTATTGGATTTTGATTCGTTTTATACACTAGAATTTGGTTTTTAATTGAACTGGTTCAATGTGAAAAAAGAACAGAGATAAAAAATTAAAATGAAGATTTTGACAATAGCAATATCCGCGTTCCTTGATGGGATTTGCGGTCAGCAGGCTCCGCAACGAGGCAAGGGTTATTTTCTTTTATATTTTCATTCTATTAGCAAATAATGAAACTGAAATAACCCGAAAATAAGACTGGGGATCTGAGTTGAGGCAGCTTCTGGATGTTTACTCGTCAGATTATGGAGTAATCTATCGCGAGCACATTAAAAACGACTGGAATCAGTTGACAAACAGAACGAAGGAAAATTTCGACAAATTTACGGATTCGAGGAAACGCGTCAGTGTTTTTCGAAGTAAGGGTCAACTGTACGTTTTGGACTTAGGACCGGAAACTCTTTAATTAGAAATAGAAAGCATTTTTTTCATTTTTCAAAATTTTTTTGTTAATTTTTTAATGATTTTTTAATTTATCTTTTGTTAAAATTGTCAAAATGAGATCCCGAAAAAAGGCTATAAAAACTTGTACAATAAGTACTTGACGCCTCTCGATCAAAAACGCATGGATGAAGTCCTCAGAATCGGCATCGACAGTCTCGTTTTATCCGACCTCGAAAGCACCGATTACTCGCAAAAGTTCGTCAACCTGACAATGCTACGCCACAAACTCCAGCTCAATTTGGACGTGACTACAGTAACTGTAAGGGACTTAACAATTTACTGGCTTTGAATTATTTAAGGTGGGCGCTGATGAATTGCGATTTACTGACGTGCAAAATATTCTCAACACAATGTACAAAATGCCGTCGACGTTTGAAAGCCCGTGCATGGCATACTTCACGCAGATGGACTTTTGGCACGGAATTTTGGCGAAAATAGGAACGGTTTTTTTCACTCAAGTGCTCGTCTATGATTAAGGGTCGTGCTTACAGTAAATACACGCGCTGCTTTAAAGTCCTTAACTAATCTTGTTGTTTGGACCATTCAGGGAGCAGATTGCACGTACGTAATAACTTTGAATTTGGAAAACCGCGAAAAAGGTCGAAAATCTCGCCCCGATTTCATCAAATTGCGCGACCTTTATAACGAAGCTGCAGCTAAAAATGGCTTTTCCGGAGCAACGGAAGAGCTCTTATACGAATATGGATCAGGAACTGATATTAAAAGTCTTGTTTCGAGCATTTGGATTGATATCTTTCCGCTTTACAAGAAACTGCACTCAGTTGTTAGGTAAAAAAATCATTAACTACCGTCGTTAATAATCATTTTAGATATGAACTGGCAGCATTATTCACTGAAGATCTGGTCGATATTCAAGGAGCCATTCCTGCACATCTGATGGGCAGCATCCATGGAGATACGTGGGAGAATCTCTTTGAACTTCTATCACCTGATGAAGAATTCGAACTTTTGGACGACGAGGAACTCTTCATGAACGTCAAGGAGATGGTCGAATACGTCGATAATATGTTTAAAGATTTAGGTTTCCCTCCAATGCCACAAGGTTCGATCAGTTTTTCAATAAACTCGGAATAAGGTTATTTGTCTAGATTTCTTTGAGAACTCAAAGTTCCAGAAGTTGGACAAATCGGACTCTTGCGAAGCCGGAGCATGGGATTTCAAGTCACCAAGTGCCGACGCATTTAGAATCCACATGTGCGCTATCAACAAACGCCAGGACTTGAGACAGATGATATTTTTATTCGCTCAAGCTCATTTCTACCGCGCTTATTCTGGTAAAAAGCAGAATAATTTTTAAATTTTATCACTCAAATAGGGCTAGACATTCTTCTCCAGAAACCTGCGAATCCTTCTCTGTTTCATACGATCCCCGATGTGATCCGAATGTTCGCATCTCTCCATGACAAACATGGTAAAATTAAAACTCACAACGGGTTGGTTAACATCTTTTATCTTTTGTCTAGCTCAACATTTCAACATGACCGCAACAACAGAAATCAACTACCTAATGTACATGGCTCTCAAAGAATTGCCCTTCCTGGCGTTTGCCAAAAGCCTTGAAGAATGGCGTTGGAAGGTGTTTTCAGGCGAGTATCCAGAGAGCCAGTTTCAACGGCAGTGGGAAGACATTGTCTTTGAGAACATGGGACTCATGCAACCTATTGAGGTACGCGCGAGAATAACGCACCATCCTCAAATTTTGATTCTAGAGAGATATGTCTGACATGGACCCACTAACGAAAATTCACATCTTACTCAACATCGATTACGCAAAATACTTTCTATCTTCTGCCTCTGTCTACGAAATTCTAGCGTCGCTTTGTCCGCTGAATTCGGATGGAAGATGCGACTTGCGTAATGATGCAAAACGACCTGGAACCATTCTGATTTCAGCCATGTCGAAAGGAAACACAATGGTAAGGCAAAATAAATTCCACTAAAATGAACACTTTCTAGCCCTGGGAGGGCGTCTATCAGACACTGACGGGATCTACGACGATTTCCGGGCAAGCTCTTAGAAATTATTTTAAGGTAAAAGGAATAATAATTCTTGAGAACAAGATGATTTTAGCCGCTCGAAAACTATCTTGATAAAATGATAGAGTCCCGAAATCTCAAAGTTGGCTGGAAGAAAACGAAACCCGCCCGCAAAAAAGATATTCTGCCATGCTCAGCCGCATCACCATGCTCCACTCTTCAATTACTAGCGCTAGTACTTCTGGTTTTAATGCTTTAGAATTTTTGCCTTTCTTTCCAAATGATACTCACCTGCCTCTCTTCTATGTCTTGTCAACAAAAGAAAATAAATAATTTACTAATACCTACATCAAAATAAGGTTATTACATCATGTAATCATGCGGGATATTTACTTTGGTAAAAAAGTTCTGGCGGAAAAAAATGCTTTATTATCGACAAGGCGTTGAAGTTCTGAAGTCAAGTGGCCGAAAATTGCATAATAATTATTTGATGTTAGCACATAAATGATAGTACCGGTCAGATACTAGCAATAATTGCCGAATCGAATAATTACATAACTGATACAGCCACATTAGTTCTAGGATAAAGTGGTATCCTTGAGCATTGACCCTGAGAATAGAATCTGAAGGAGCACTTAGTGAATCCGAATCTGTTCCGTTTCTCCTCCGACGAAAAAATCTCCGCATGGAAAAGCAAACTCAGGTCACCTTGTTTTTGAAGCAACTCACCGTCACATGTTTAACCGGGAAATGGTACAAAATTGCGCATGTTTGCTTACTTGAACATTCTAGTCGCCCTGAGAGCTGTTCATTTTTTTGCTTAGCCAGTAGTAAAAAGACAAGCATGAGAAGGGGACACTTCAGCTCGTAAATTATGATCGAAATCAAAGTGCTCCTGATACTTGCTACTTGTTTGGCTTCTTACCTCTTTGGCTTGAAATATTATTTTAGATTTTAAAAATATAAAAAGGACTTACTATATTTTCTTTCACATAAATTAGAATATTTTAATGCTTTTAAAGTACAGTAACTGCACTAAAAGATTATGAATTGTTAATCGACAAACTTCATTTTTAAATTTAATCTCATGTTTTTCATTTTTTTAGTTGTTAGTCGATTAATAAGTTTTGCGCGGAGTTTACACTTAGTGCTAAAAATCTGGGCAATATTCTGACCCCTTGAAAGCATATTTGAACAGATTCTGTTTGCCAACCGAGGACGAGCCTGAGCTCCTACTCTCCCGTTCTCAATTCAATGTTCAATCGCTACGCAAATTTACAAATCACTGGAATAATTACTCCTACTGTCGAGTATTAATTTTATCCCGATTCCAAAGTTTGAGCTTTTTTACAATTGAATCAAGAGTTTAAAACCGCTACTGAGAAGCCAAAAGTTCTCAGATCAAGAGATGAAAAAAAGAAGACTTTGCTAAAGAAAAAATCTTGGCGTCATGACTCCGATGATGCCAGAAAGTTTGCTTTTGCTGTCTTCAAGACTCAAGAATAAAATAGGAAAAAGTTGAATAATAATAAATTATAATTATTATTAATAATTTAACGAAATAATCGAAAATAACAAATTTTAAAACACTCAAAAAAGAATTTTTTTGTTCGATGAGCCACTCATAATTTCCGCCTGAGACAGATTATTGACTTCATAAAAAGCTTTTGAAAAGGATTTACGCGAGAATACTGAGTCCTATGTTTATTCTCATGATTCTGACGCCAAGACAATAGTCCGCAAGTAAGCTTAGCCGCTAACTATCCCACGATGATCATTCTTTAGCATAAAACGTCGTTTTAAAGAAAGGCGGTTCGATGTTATTGGAATTTTGCCGACCTGTGGGGAAGGTGGCATCAATTTGCTGAACGGGAAGGATGGGCTCATTACGCCTGTGGATCCGTGCGGCGGGAATTCTGCCATGCAATTCCTCAAAAACATCATGGATGACCTTCTTAATAACCGCGGCCTTGTTCACATTCTTGGCGCCAAGGTAATTATTAAACAATTTTTCTAGCTAAATTAATGCTTATTTTTCAAAATATAATAAATTTCCTCAACTTATTTTTCGGTATTTCCTTACACCGACCATATCCTTACACCGACCAAATCCTTACACCGACCAATTCCTTACACCGACCAAATTCTGAAAGTGGTCGGTGTAAGGATTTTGGTCGGTGTAAGGAATTGGTCGGTGTAAGGATATGGTCGGTGTAAGGACATACCTTATTTTTCGCAAGATCATACAATTTCTTACAGTCTGGGAAGAACCCTTGAAACTGTCCCTTTATCGACCACAGTAGCCATAAATTTATCTCTAGCGAGCCAAATTCAAGTGCCAGTAACATTTGCTCTGCGGTAGATATTCAGAGCATTTTAACGGTTTTCAAACACTTACTTCGGCCCATTTCCGTTAGATAAAGCCTATTCGCGGAATAACTTTGCAGCTGGCCTTTCAAGTTTTCAAGGTCTTGAGGCTGATAAAAAATTCTCTCAGAACGTGAAAAATTACGATTTCGTCAATCGAGAGCTAACGAAGCGATTTCCTGATCGAGTCGTTCTGACACGTGATTCGACGGGACAGGATGTTCTTGTGGTAAATACTGCGAGGCCGCAAGACTCGGAATTTGTAAAGCTTCGGATACAGGTGAGCTATCATTTTGGAGACAACGAGGAATATCCTTCAGGATTACTACTTCAAATCGAGTCAAGTCGATGGTTCGAAGATTCTCAACGGCTACGAGAAGCTCAATGTGGTCGGAAAAGGCGCGCAAGGAACCGCTACTCTTTTCAAAAATAAGGCTGACGGCAAGCACGTGATCATGAAGGTTGTTCACACCGATGGTATGAGCCAGACTGAGCGAATGCAAGCGCTGAATGAAGCCAATGTTCTGAAAGTCCTGCAGCATCCGAACATCATTCGCTACATTCAAAATTTCGAAAACGAGGGCAACTTGCACTTGATGATGGAATACGCAGATGATGGGTCCCTCGATCGGAAAGGAATAATAAATAACTCACTAACAGACACTTGAACGTTCAAACTCTTGAGAGTTACCAATGGCAACCTTTGGTGACAAAAATTTATGATTCTTATTAACAGCCATCTGCAGTGTCAACGCGACACCATTCCAAGGCGTCCGATACCTGAAAGTGAAGTTATCAGGGACTGTTGCGACATGTTTTTCAAGTGCTCTTGACAAATTCAAAATTCTTGAATAGAATTTACGTCTTCCGGTCTTATATGTGGACAACCGTTTGCTTAATTTTAGAGTTTCCTTTTTACGCACTTCCTATTATGAAATACGAGTTCAAATTTTGTTGAATTGTTGAATATTTGATTTATCGTATTGTCCGTTGGTTCGAAATGGCTTTTAAATCTTTATGATTTGATAAGCAATGAATGAACTCTGGGTCACACCGGTATAAATCAAGATTTTATACGATAGTTAATATCCGACTTAACGATCTATTGAGAATCTCATGACTTCAATTCTTGTAATAGTGGATTGAGTGTCATTTTTCGCGAGCTCAAATAGAAGCTCAAGTATCCTTCCGGACTTACGACGATTCCAAAGTGTCTTCCTTGTGTACACGGATCCATCGCTATTCATTTGATTGACATTCAGAGCCCTTCGAGCCCCATTTTTTTGAAAGAGCGTAAACAAGAACTCTTTATATCGTTCGTAAACAGACTGAAAGGAAATTTTCTCAAATCGTTTCCGGATTGGCCTTTATGCATAAGACCAAGATTATGCATCGGGATCTGAAGCCACAGAATATCTTTCTTACGAAGCATGGTATAATCAAAATTGGCGACTTAGGGCCGGTTCAACGATTGAAAAAACTGATTTTTGAGTTATAAAATTTGAACCATAAACAGGAATCGCGAAATTTACCAGCACTCACGCTACTGGAACACAAACCATGGTGGGTACAGCAACTTATGTGGCTCCTGAAGTTTGTGATTCGCAGAAATATGGGATGAAATCCGACATCTGGTCCCTTGGATGCGTCCTTTATGAAATGTGCGCTCTTGAAAGGGCTTTTGGAGGGCACAATGCAATCGCTATCATCAAGAAAATCTCCGAAGCAAACTACAAGAAGCTGAAAGAAGACCTGCCCTACTCGACGATGCTCCGTAAACTGATTAGCTCACTGTTACAAAAAGATCCACGTGAACGGCCGTCAGCAGAAGCGCTTGACGAAATCCACGTCCCGAAGATAATGGACTCAATTATCACGAAAAGAAAGCGCATTGACGATCTTTTATTTACAAACGACCTTTACGAAGACTACCATTCTCACCTCTTCACTTTTTCTTCTGACCAGTGGAGTATGCAGTTCAAGCGAGGGCTTCCAAAAGGGATGAATATCATGGAGATTGCAAATGGCGACAGGCATACACTCATCCTCGACGTTAATAATGTTGTGTACGGCGTCGGTTCGAATGAGTCAGGACAGCTTGGGTTCGGTTCCCAAATGCCTCGGATCGAAAACCCTGTTCCCGTCAAGTTTTCAACGAATCGACCTGTCCAGGCTATTGGAACAGGAGCTGATTTTTCGGTCTTTCTGATGAACAAGATGGTTTTTACTTGTGGCAATGGCGATCACGGATGCTTGGGTCACGGGATTGACCATAAAAGCTCGATGTTTCCGAATATGGTGCAGGACTTGATATCATACGACGTTGTCAAAATATCCGTTGGGTACAAACATGTGCTCGCACTCACAAGTGAAGGAAATGTCTACTCATGGGGCTGTGGAGAACTGGGAAGACTCGGCCACGGAGGACAAGGTTCTGAGTTCTCCCCCCGAAAAATTGAAGGTCTTTCGGAAAAGATCAAAGAAGTCTACGCCGGCTATGACTCCTCCTTCTTCATCGGCGTGTCTGGAAACATGTTTGTGTGTGGCTCGAACCGTGATAATAAAATCGGCCTTCAAAAGCGCTCCATGCTCGATATCTTCCGCCTCGGAAACTCGCGCATTCCACCATACAAAGATACGCCCGTTCTGACGCGCCAACTAAGCCCGAACCAAACGATTTCAAAGATATCTCAAGCGCGAGATCATACTGTCTTTTTGACTTCTACAGGTAAACGCGATACGGGGCTTATAACGCACAGCATCTTTGATAAAAAAAATTTCGCGTAAGAGCATCTTGTTTATATTTGATCGTACTATCTTGTTTCCGAGCTTGAAATACGATTTAACTTCATTTAAGGGCAGCTGTTTACTCTTGGAAGGAACTCAGAAGGGCAAAGAGGGCTTGAAAATACCAGATCAATGATAGACTGCTCTCCAATTCAAATACCAACAATAGACGGGAAAACTGTACAAAGCATAACACATGTAGCGACTGGCAACTTCATGACATGTATCGCTGCAAAGATAGGATCCGACCCTGAAAAAGAAGCAGACGAACAAGTTGTTTTGTTCGCTGGAACGAGTTTTTTACCATATGGTTCAAAACCGAGCTCAGCAAAGCCAAGATTGACTTCTGAAAGATCATTGAGGCTAGATATCGCTACTCTTGAAGCGGCGATTCAGGTAATTTTATATTACAGTTTCTCCTAATGATTCTCCTGAAGGATGCGGAACTGAACTTGAGCGAAACCTCAACAAACCACGAAAGCTCGATTCCAGAAGAAGATATGGATGTGCTCGAGAATGATAGTAAAAAACTCCGCTCACCTAGTGACAGAAAAGCTATCAGAAGAAACCTTTATAACGGTGAAATTTACTTGGACAAAGAAATCAAAATACAGTCCATTGGTTTCTGTCACACTGACCAGACGTTTTTTATTACTCTCGGAATGAAGGAAACAGCTGACAGTCTCAGGTAAGCCAATTTATCAACTAACTCTCGTAAAATGGTATTTATAGTAGCCGGCCAACAAGCACTGAATCGAAGACGGAGGCGCAAAAACCGATCATATACGAACAAAACTTGTCTGAAGAAGAAGACGAAGACCACCCAACATGGCTGAGGAATGAACTGGAAGGCGCTCCGGATATTAGAATGCTCACAATTCAAAAAGACGGCTCCGCAGAAGGGCTGAAACGCGAGTGCACTTACATCACTCCAAGAAAATTGCAAAAATCGAAGATCCCGAAGAAATCGACTTTTCCAAAACCAAATCGGTCAATAGCAGGTCCAAAGTCGAAGCCAAACCCTCAATCATCAATCCGCCAAGGATCTCCGAAAAAAGCCCAAAATAACAATGAAACGGACGAGATGAAGTTGCTAGTAACTAGTCTTCAGGTACATCGTAGTTAGTGGATTCTGAGGTGTAATTTAGATTTAGCTTGAGCGTGATGAAGCTCTTGAACGAGCCGAGAAACTTGAGCAAGAGCAAAAACGGGAAAAGGAGCGGATCGAAGAAGAGTTCGAAAAACAGCGCCAGGAGAACGAGAAACTCAGAAATGGTTTGAAATTACATCAGTTATTCAAGTTTAATCCGTTTTATTTAGATCTGAAAAGACTGGAAGAGTTTCAGCTCGAGTTCAAGGAGTCCCTGCAAAACGGCTCGTTAGTGAGAGAGTCAAAAGTCTGCACAATCATGTAAAGTTTTTAATTTTTATCGTGTCCAGTTCAATTGATAGAAACAAAGGCCCCTCAAATTACACCGGAATAAAGATACTCATCCTGTATCATTATTCAATAAGAAGCTGAAAACATTTTTTCTCCGGGAGTTTTATTGGCTTGGAAGTTTCTACTGGAAGTTCGTAGCAGAATTGAACAAGTGAGAGAAAGAAACTACTGCTTGGAGGAGCACATGTCGAAGAAGGATTTGATGATTGAAACAAGAGAAAGAATAAATTGGTATTTGAACTTGTGAGGCTACTGTCGAATACTCGGAATAGTCGGAAACTAAGGCTAGGAGATATTAGCACAGACAAACATGTGAGGACCGCGGAAACATGAATTGAGTTATTCTTTGTTAGTATTTTTTTCTTCAACGTAGGCCAAATAACCGATAAATATTTTGCTGAAACTAGAAGGTGATGGTCGAGGCATAAAGTTAGTAATAGCGAGCATTTCGTAAATTATCATATTTGCACACTGATTCGAGAATAAATATAAGTTGTAAGTAGGCCACAAAATAGCTTGCCGGGAAATTCAAGGCTTTAGCCTGGAATCTAGGAGCCTCCTAGTTTGTTAGTTAGGCGAACAAATTTTCCAACTCCATTGCGCTCATCTCGTTGACGCACGGGTGTGAAAAGAACATCTGCTGGGTTTCTTCATATGATGGTGGGTTTGCTTGCATTGCTGGCATCTTGCTGGCGACATCAAAGCCAAGAATTTCACCAATGTCGGAGTAAGACTTTTGCTGAGAACCGTTATTCGCTGGTGCGACGTGCTCTTTGCTGCAAAGATCATCAACGAAGATTCCGAATTCATCGAAGATGCTCATTGGGACGGCCATCTTCTCTGGAGTAGCAGGTTGCTTCTGATCATCTGGAGCCTGGTTTTCTTCGAACGCTTCGGTGAGACCTCCATAGAAACTTGTCTCTGCTGGGAAGAATTGCTGGTGCTCGGCGCAAGAATGATTTTGAAGCGCTAAATTCGTTGTTATCTCAAATATACTTTGAGAGAGTAAGGGACGTTAAATATTTTATGTTGGAGTTGAATTCGAATGATAACTTATCATTGATAATTTTTTAGTAAAATAAACTTGATTTTCTCACTTGAGAACGGATCGTTAATTCTTTATCAAATAACTGCTCAAGTGAAACTCTCAAGTGAGGCAGAAATGGTAGATTTTCCCTTTTTTGCTACGTCGAAGTATTACTCATAATTTATGAGATATTACGACTTTTTTAGTAAAAACACTTTCCCTTCTTATAGACCATAAAAGGAGGCATTTATTACTACATATTTTCTAACCTGCATTCATTTTTCTTATTTGCTCCTTCATTTCAGCAAGTTCATTTACGATGTTGTTGTTGTCAGCTTCGAGATTTTTTATTTGAGCTTCGTATTTCGCGACATTTTCTTTGAACTCTCTTCGCTTTCTTGCGGCGGCCTATTAAATAATTGTTTATAAAAGTAACCTTGATGCGATAAGACATACATCATCATATTCATTATATAATTTCATAATTTAATCAGCATTGTACAACACTGATAAGCAGTACCTCCTTGTTTCGCTTTCGTCTTCTTTCACGAACCGCAAGCTCCTCCTTCGTCAATTCTTTATCCGACTTCTTGGGCTTGATACCAGGTCTAACTCGTTTCACCTTTTTCTAAAAGATTTTTTCGACTCAAGCAATCGTATTTATCTTTATTTTTGCTTTAAAAACATGTCTACAATTCATTATAGAGACTAGACTAGACTAAGCAATTTTCGAAAATCTCAAGACTCGACTAGACTTGGACTACTGAGTTCGGGATCAGATTTAGAACCCTGATAAGGCCCATAGCTATGGGCCATAGGAAAAACAAGCGCGGGGCTACTCATCGTTCTAAAATTTCTGCACCATAATGTTTGAACTTGCTTCCTTCTTGTTTGCTGAGAACTGGGAATTATCCCTCACAGCTTTTGCCTTGAGACGTGATAATTTCTTAATTTTAACTGATCGACTGTTAAATTGCTCGACCTTTTCATTTATAAAAGTGAAAAAGAAGTTGAACAGTTTTATTGCCTTTTATAGCCAGTAAAATTACACAAAAATATTGTTTGTCAAAAAGTCAAATATTGCACTTATATACCCTGAAATTTCTTTGCCAATGTTAATTTCTTACTTTAAGAATAATATTATTATATGCAATAATTCAAATATAAAAATTACGAAAAAAATGTAAATTTCCGTCCCCAATTTTTATTTTTTTACTCGTAAACATTGCTCACCTGTTCCATAGATTCAACATCTTCATACGTTGGGAATGGTGAAAAGTACTGAACTCTATCACTCATTCGACTCTTTTTTCCAAAATCTTTGAAAAAACTTCTGCGAAATTAACTTCTTTGTCGAGTGTCGCCGTTCGCCTTTGCGCGCAGTTCACTACTGAGGCAGCTCCAGCTCTAAACAAACGCGTGGATCAGCCAATGGCGCTGTCAATTTTTTCTCAGAGGGGGGCGCGCGGAGCACCCCCCTTATCCGACCTTGTTGGGCGGCTCACCGAAGGTCTTTTCCGACTTATAATTGCCCTAATTTTCCCTTATTCTTCTGCTTCAATTTCAACTCATCTCTAATTATCAAAACCTTTATTTTAGAACGTTCTCCATCCTTAGGCTGAGAGTCCTGCAATGCGTTAGGAGCAGGTTTCGAGGATTTAAATACTGTATTTTCAAGAAAGAAAGAGAGTTTAACATGTTGGAGAAATGCATTCGGGGCCTCTGGCAACATTCTGCGGCGTTTGCTTGACGCCTTTGATCGTGTGATAACACATCTGAGAAGAGTGGATTCCACGAGGATCGGTTCACAAGCTCGATCACTGATCAGTATCGTGGAACCCTTTCCTTGACCTTGGTTGACTTGCCAGTGTCTTCAGCAAAAATCAGGCATTCGTGGATGCACTTAAAATGTTTAAAAAACCTTCAAGGATGAAAAAGAGTACTGGAAAATAAAAATGAAGAGTTGCAGCCCGCTCACTTGATGATGCATTTTCAACTCGATGCACCCCCATCGAATCTAAAATTATTCTTTGAGAATTTAGAAGATTTTTTGCATTTTTACCATTCATATGAAGAACATCGCCTTTTGTTGCGGTCGTTTCTTCGCAAGGCTGGACTTTTATTAGGTGCCGATCTAGTTTAAATTTATGTAAAGAGGCTCATATTATGAGCTGAGGGATACGCTGACATTTGTCCTACACAAGCTCAAGGACGGGCTATCTCATGATCTACGGTTTGTTCAGAACCTAATCCTTGTTTTTTGATTTTTTGATCTGGCCAGTGAAACTTTGTCTCCTTCAAATCATTATAACTTTATTTGAATCTGAAGTACTCAAACCCTGTCGTTGGATAATTATGAATGAATGTACGCAGTAATTATATTTCACTGAAAGTCTGTCAGTGATAGATCGAGGTAAAGACACGGTTTGTACTGGTTTTTTTATCATTATCGTAACACACTGTTTTTTCATGAAGTTTGAGGTTCAAAATTTGAGCTTCAATCATAAATTATCCCATACTTGATGTTGCCGTCCAAACATGCCATTATACAATCCGCGTTTGGATGATCGTGAATCCTGCTAGCGCTTCCTTCTGGCCAGCACATGAGGATGAGGGAATAGCAGCCGTCTTTTGACGTGATTCGAATCCGAAGAGGAAAAAACCGAAATAGTTTAACACGCGCCTATTTCCTCGATCAGATTTCGTGTGTATCGGAAATCATCCCAGAAAGCGTACTTTTCCCAGTCGTTGTTCTTGTAAGATTTGAAATATTCCACGATTATCTGCGCTTTCTTGTCCAATGGAATCTTATGAATACAGAAGTTAATCTGATAGTAAATAATTTTACGTTTTTTTTTTAATTTTACGATTAAACGCTTTATTAGTAATAATAAATTATTACCTCCGCTCGAATAAGTTGATTGAGGCCCGTTATTAAATCCTGAATAGTCGAAGGGGGCAGTACATCCGTCATCGTAATTCTGACAGTACGGTCCTTTCTCTAAATAAGAAGGTTGCGCTGATTGCTCACTGACGGCGTTATTACTGTCGCAGAGTTCAGAAAATGACCTCGAACTTCTCCAAAATCAAAAATAATAAGAGAGGTGTGGCGAACTTGATCTCGCAAGAATTGAGTTCTTATTTACCTGTTCCGAGATCCTTGATCACATAAACTGTGTTATCCACTGTCTTTGTCTGTAGGAATTAAAAATCCTTCTAGAAAAAAGAGAGAATTTTTTTTATAAAATCCGTTTATTTCCAATCTTTGAACTTTTTACACAGAAAAATCGAGATAATCGTATCTCAATGAACTTTTTAAGCCTTTTGCTCATTGCAAAAGGTTGGCATTCCAGCCTTTGTAATTGACACCATCGAAGTTTTCGCATTGCTCGCCGTCCTTGCAGCACTGTCGACAGACAGACGGGCCCGAGGTTGCTTTTGGTCGACATTGCCAGAATTTTCCCTTGAAGTTTTGCTTCTTGTTGTCGAGGCATGCTCGTTTTTGCTAGGGAATGTTCCAGGATCACATTATTTTTCTCCGTTCTTTACCTTGCATCCCATACAAACGCTTTCAATCTTTCCACCACGCTTTCTCATCTCAACCATGCAAACACCAGCATTTTCGGGGCACTGCTTCCACTTCCCAATTTTCGCACACTCGTCATAATTTTTCGCATCGCAGTGGAAGCACTAAAATTACCATTTTATAAATAAGAGATTTAAGTGGTAATACGCTTATGCCATCAGCATTATCGTATTGAGCATTGTTTCCGTAGTTCGAGTTTCCATAATTGGTCCCGTCATTGTAACCCGCGCTGTAGCCATTGACCATATTACTGTAGCTTCCCTAAAATATTAGGTTAATCGTTGGGTCTTAGGATCGATAGAACCTCGAATCCTTGAGGGACATCAGCGTAAGGGTTGATGTCGTAAGCAGATGTGGTTGTTTCATAGTCTGTTGATGTTGTTGTTGGTGTTGTTGTTGGTGTTGTTGTTGTGGAAGACGTAGTTGACTGTGAATATGTCGTTGTCGTCATTGACGTTGTGGATGTTGTAGTTGAAGTTGTCGTGGTAGTTGTAGTTGTACTTGTGGTCGAAGTGGTTGTTGAGGATGTTGTTGTGTATCCTTTTGTTGTTGTACTAAGACGAAAATGTATGGATTTTTTGAAAGAAAAATGTTACCTAGTCGGAGGAGTTGGAGCATAAGTTCCGGCATAGATAAGAGTTACTTGTTGCGAAAGCTTGTTTTTCTTCTTATTAGCTTTCTTCTGAGCTTTTGCTTCTTTTCGCTTTTTCCGAGCTTCCTTATTTGATGATAGCGATCGGCCATCTAGCCCAAGTAGAGCCGATGAGTTGCCGTTGTAATAATCGTAATCGTACTAATATAACTTTTATTAACGATCGCGGAAAAATTGTTTGATTGCCCTGTCAAGAATCTTCTGTTACCTCAAGAATTGTACTCTGTGTAGTCGCAGTAGTAGTTTCATCAAAATTTGCAGTTGTTTGGTCTTGAGCCAAGACTCCAGCACCAAGGAAAACGATCAGCTTCATGCTCGGGAAAATATGCACAGGCGAGAAATTCTCTATCGAATTAATGCAGTCCCTTTCGGGAATAGCTCTTTATATGCGCTCATGATTTCTCCGAGGCGCTCGTGAGCAGCTTCGGAAATTATGTTCCGGTGATAAAAATCGGCTTCATATTCGGAAAGTCAGAATGAAAACTTCAATTTACCTTTTTCTTCCTGAATTTGTTCGCTGAACTTATTGCATTGCGAAAAGTGAACACATTTGACTCCTCTTAGCCCAGCTTCTTTATCATAATATTCTAAAATAAAAGGTGCGGAATGCTAGAATTGGAAAATTTACCTGTTAGCAAATGAAATTCGGGACATTGGCAGGGTCGATTAGCAGTACGCATCAGAGTTTTGGGGATAATGTCATTACACCATTTTGAAACATGAAATCCAGGAACCCTGGCGTTTTTATTGGAAGCATCATATAAACCGCCATATTTTTCACAGACAGCTTGTTCATCCAAACAACTACCGCCAGGTCCTCTTGTTTGGTGAAAGGGGCATTGGCAGGCTCCTCCGTACTTGTCTTTAACCGGAGAATAGGCGGGTCCAAGAGAGCTTCTTTCAAAATACTTATTTGGTGGGCTGTTGTAAATCGCGCCTTTGGGACAAACTGGACATTCTTTCGGTTTGACGCACTTCTTTCCGATTCGTTTGAATCCTTCTTTGCAAGCGCATCCTGCAATGCATATTCTCGGCTTGGCAATCATGTGGCAGTCAGCTTCATTTGCCAAACATCCACTGTATACTTCGTTTTCAGGACATTTTTCTGCACATGTAGTAACCATCCCTTCCCAGAGACTCCGATAAGTAACTTCTTCAAAAGCTCTTTTACAAACGCACGTGTACTTTTTTTGTCCATTTTCTTCCACGAGCGTCAGTTCTGCATTATTATCAGCGCAACAATCCTCTTTTGGAATACAGCCCTTGTAACGGGTAAGCACGTATCCTGCCTTAGCCGAGTCGCGTGGCTGATGGCAAACACATCGACTTGAAGTGGTCCTAGAAGTTTTGTTCTCGGTGGGCACTTGATCAGCTTCGGCAAAGATTGGGGACAATCCATAATTACAAATGTCTCCTGGATCGCCTTTAAAAACCTCTTTATGATTGATTTAAAAAAGAGCGTCTTCTCAAAATCCGGTAAGGGTAATAAAATATGATAACCTTCCCTCTTGCTCTGTTCTTTGAAACATTTGAGAGCTTTTCCTTTAATTTCCTTCACAAATTCAGATCCTGGAGGACAGACGACCATATTTTCTCCTCCTGGCAGCGAATCCTGTTCATCTGGGATTTCCGGTATCCATAGCACTTCACATAAGCAAAAATTGATTAAGAAAAGAAGTTTTTTCATTTTTTGTCAAACTAAATGGACTGGATCTAAATTTAATAGGGACTTTCCAGTCGAATTGTAGATTGATACGCGACGCGTGAAATTTACTACGTATGTTTTATATATTCACTCGATGTGTCTCGCTTTAAAAGAGGTGCTTATTTTGATAGTTATGTATAGAAAATATAGATTTCTTCGCCTCAAAAACATAGTGGCGGGATAAATCTGCGCTAAATTATGCAAAACTTCGCCATAAAGCCGTCGGGTTAGTTGACATCACTGTTTATCTGTCCGCACAAGAGTTTTAGCGTGTGCATAAGTTATTCTAAAAAACAAAAAAAAAAGAGCTTTTTAACGATCATGAGCGGCAATTGCAGCACTCTGTGCAAATCGTGCATGACAGGTATCCTTCAAAAACCAAATGGGTTTGAAGAAGAATTCGTCCAAAAGTCGAAAGAAATGGCCACAAACTCGAGTAGCTTTGAGACACAAGAGAAAGTTCAACAGTTTACGATCTCTGGACCATGAGCCTGGATCATTGAACGATAATTAATAATGATAAATTATTGATTTACCGCTTCCGCTTTCCATTTTTATTAAAAGTTAGGTCGATTAACTTTGATGAAAGACACTCAAGATTTAACTTCAATCGACACAGCCCTAATTGCGATTATTCTCTTCACTTGGATACTCGTTCTGGCATATGGCTACAGCGAAATCAACGAGCTAATGGATTTCCGAGGAGACATTAGTCTCTATCGACCAAGCAGTGCTTTTGCCAAAGGAATCAACTCGACAAGAAGACATCGAGCGCGACTGATGTCTTACTACCAATCCAGGGTTGAGTCAAGAGAACGAGCTCATCGAAGGTTAGACCTGATTTAGGGCAGTCGACTGTAGTAATCAAACTTTAGGCGAAACGTACAGTCATTCAAAAATCACGGAATTCATCCCTGCCTTCTCCGGAAGGCGACACTCCAGACAAATCTTTTTGGAGAAGATATTCTTGCCAATGAAATTTTCACTTCATAAAAAATAAAGTCAAGTACTTTTGAATTGAATTTATTCTACACACTTGTTAACAATTTTCAAACAGTGACAGAGCACAGAAATGGCAGATTTGAATTTAAACCTCCGCAGTTGGAGGCCACAAGATTTCCAAGCCTGTTAGGAGCGATATCACAAATGCGACTAGATATGAGACAATAAGGCAAATAGCCACGAAGCGGTCTGCGTGGAATCTTCTGAATACAAGCGGAAGTAGCGAGGCCAGGGCGCAGACAATAACGCTAGAAAAATAAATTGACGTGAACTCTTTGTTTCGTGAAAACGGATTAAAATTTGCAAGTACTGAAGTCGCTGAAAATTAAGTGCTGACGTTCAGAATTAATTGTCGATTTTATCGCTAAAATTCAGTATTACCTGATGTAAAGAACAATCTCCACATTTTGAATATTGATTGGAATATCCACGAAGCCATTAGCAGCCGAAGTTACGAAGCAGGCGAGTCCGACGGAAGCGAGAAGGTAGAGGGGAGGTCCCGCAAAAGCGGCAGAAAATGCACATCTAGATTGACCTTCCTTAGCAATCGTAAGATCGGCAACAAAGTCTCCAACGTTGTTCGCCCAGCCGAGGAAGGTGAGACCCATGACGGCGTTAGACACATTCCAGAACGTGCCTAAAGAGAATTTTAAGAAAGGAAAATATGAAAAGGATAAACTGCCATAAAAAAGGACAGAGCGCATTTGAGTATGAATTTATTGATTGAGGCTGTTTGATCCAAAAAATGAAGATGATAAATCGCAGCCCTCGTATAATTAAATCAGCCTGACATTTATTCTCAAAAAGATTCTCCTAATAAAAAATAAGAACTGGTTTACGAACACCGCAGGCGGAGACCCATGCGACAGGTCATCAAATCAAAGAACCACAAATTATTCAACTAGCGTGAATTTAAGCGTCTAACTGATGCAAGTTGCAGGTAAAAATTCAGTTGAATTTCATTACCTAAAGCGGTGAGAATGTTGAGAATCTCATTAGCCTCGATGTAGATCCAAAGCATGCCAGTGCCGAAGCCGACAAAAGGGAAAACGGACCAGTACTTTGGTGGCTTTTGGAGGTCTGAAAATAATGGTAAGAAAAGGATGCGAAAATTGAAATTCTCAAAACCTGTAGTAACGCCAACGAAAAGAGACAGAGCAAAACCAATAATGACGGACAAGGCGATCCGAGGAAGAGGACCAAAAGCTGGCATTCGATATTGATACAGAAACACGCAAAACTAAAAATTAAGAGACACGTCCAGTTTAACCCACTTACCACAATCGGCACTAAAAATGCCTGAATCATGGCGAGAGGCTTGTTCCATACAGCTTGTCGTTTATCATTGTTAATTGGCAATTGCGGGATCGTCCAACGTCCACCTAAGTACGAGTTCAAATACGCCGAAATTAATTTGCATCTTGTTTACCGAGATAAAATGGAACCATAAGGATTGCAATGGTCTTGCTGATCCATGTTTGACTCTCCCAATCGTCGTCCTTTTCAATCAATTTGAAGCAGTTCCTGAAAGCAAATCAACTTTAGTCTCTAAAATCTGCTTTACTTGATTTCATCTTTCCAATTTTTGACCGGAACGGACATCTTTTCAGCGACAGCTTGACAGTCCGAATACCTGTGAATTAAAATTTTAGCATCACTAGAATAAGAAATTAGAAATTTACATCGAGGCGGAGGTAAGCGACCTCATCCGGTGCTTCGAAATCGCTGGAATGGAGATACGACTTCTGATTGTCCCGGACCTTGTCTAAAATCGGTATGAAAAAGGATCGAAAATTACGATAATCTTACCAAATGCTCAGGCTGCTCCATAGTTCCGTTGAGGCGGATGCGGACTGTTGATTTTGCAGATTTGACAGATTTGGTGTCAATGGTATGGAAACTTGTCTCCTGTGGGCCATCTTGACTGTGTGGAATATCTAAGGTGTCGAATGCTTGACAGGAAAAATCTCTAAATAAAAATGGTGATTTCAGGTGATTCAGTTATCAATAAAACATTTCTGTTTCCGCGATATTTGTTACATCAATGATGTAAAATGTAATCATCGTTCCAAAATTATCATAACGAAAAAAATTCTTACTTGTGATCAATATCATCCGTTGGCTGGAAAGCATCGTTGGATTGTCCGGCGGCTTTTTCTTCGGCAAGAATATCTTTGAGAAAATAGCTCTTTTCCCGAATAAACATGCCGTCTGGTCCACGAATGTATTTGTGAGGGTACTTTTTGCGGTAATACCAGTTTCCTCCGACAACTGTGGCGACATACGCGCAGTAGATGAGAAGAAGAATCAACGATTCGTACCACTAAAGAGACTCAAGTTTAGCGCCGCAGACAACGACTGAACAAATGGCAAGTCAAATGACTAGCAAATGCTCTTGTCTGTTACCTGTATTCTCCCATCCGTATACGAGAAGACAAAGAAGACACTGCAAGACAAGACGTAAAACAAGTTGTCCCTCAAAAACGGCCTTCTAGCAGGAATCATCGGCGTCCAAAGGCAAATGATCGCAGGCAACAAGGAAATCACGAAAAATCCACCACTAGAAAAAGAAAGTCAAAATCGACCGTTAAATCGCCCGCCGTCGATTTCATGTAGAAACGGATCAGAGCGTAAAATCTCTGAAAATGCATACCTAAGCAGCGAGTTGAACACGATACGGCTTGTTTCTGCATCGATTTGGCCAAATGCGGCGAAACCGCCGGCGATGTCCGGCCCAGCGTTTCCAAGAGCGACAATTGTCACCCCCGCTGAACATGAATTTTAAAATCTGGGTCGGATTTTTCTTCAAAGTTCAGATGAAATTTTATCCTCTGAAGATATCCGAAAAAGATGATTTTTGTTAACGTCACTGAAAATAAAATAATCCTTCTGGAAATGATAATTCCGACGCCACATTGATCCGGATTTATGGAGGTAAATTTATTATTCCTCTGACTTCGCAAGATGCGATACCATCTTGAGAGTATTAAATTTTCTGAAACTGAGAGCGGGGATGGTAAAGAATTTCCTCTATGATTTCCATAACATACCTAGCGTTTCATTCATTCCCAAAATGGCAGCAATCCACTGCACGACGGGCACGAAAAATGTGTCGGCTGTAAAGGCCAGGCTGAGACACCACCATAACAGCCAGAGGATATACACCACATAGATCCAATACAAATCTGAAGAGCGGCACATAAGAGTACACAAAGCACCACCAAGGTAGTCGATAAAGCCACCATCGGGACTACAACTGTCGATTGCTTGACTGGCTTGGCACCAACAATCCAGGGAAAAATCTTGATACGCGCTACAGGAAGCGTTCGATATGTCTAAAGCTGTGTTTTAATTACTGTTTCGGAAAAGATGCAAAATAAAAAATTGGCGAGAAAAATCAGGATAGGATTTAAACATGTATTGAACACGTAGATACATGCTCAAAAGGAAGATTTGACTTTCCACTTACTTTCTAAAGACGCTGATATAGTATGAAAAATCTTCTCATGAATGTTGGGACAACATGTCACATGTTACATGTCAAAGTTTCCTGAGTAGAGGATAGATTTGCTACCCTGGTCCATCAACAGTAGTTACTCAAGGTAAAATCGGTTTGTCAAAACTTTTGATGGGTTCTTTAATAATTTAATATTTAATTACAAAGTCTCATTATCGAACATTCTCTCATCTACCTGTATAATTCTCTATCTGAGCCAAGCATTCGTCCATCTCTGGTTCTCCAGAATCGGAAAAAAAGGTTTTTCAGCAGCTCGTGCAGCAAGAAAAGATGTTTGATTACTCTGTTCCACGATGATCGAGGCAATAAAAATGAAAATTACAAAATTCGGATAGTATTCCTGCAGCAAGGTTGTTAATTAGCAGAGTTAATGGGTTGAATTACGAGCGCACGCGACGATCGGGCTGCAATTTCCGCGCTCGAGCAGGGGACTCGTTTATGTACACCGGCCGGATCACCACCTGCTGAGCTCAGGCGACTTCATCACGAGCAAAGATCAGAAAAGATCATCCGCCGGAACAAGGTCTTTAGGAAACTCATGGGAGGCGCTTCAAAGAGGAGACCGATGACTAGGTTCGTGAGGACTAGGTTCGTGTGACTAGGTTCGTGGGTGCCATGTTGGAAAAAATGGTTCGTGTGACTAGGTTCGTGAAATTTGGATTTTTATATGTATTTTTTGTATTTTCAGCATTTTCGGGCAGTAAGGGAAATGGGTTGATGACTAGGTTCGTGTGACTAGGTTCGTGAAATTTTAAATAGAAAAAATTTTGGGGCAGTAAGGGAAACGAATTGATGACTAGGTTCGTGTGACTAGGTTCGTGAAGACTAGGTTCGTGGAGACTAGGTTCGTGTGACTAGGTTCTTGAAGACTAGGTTCGTGATGACTAGGTTCGTGTGACTAGGTTCGTGGAATTTGGATTTTTATATGTATTTTTTGTATTTTCAGCATTTTCGGGCAGTAAGGGAAATGGGTTGATGACTAGGTTCGTGTGACTAGGTTCGTGAAATTTTAAATATAAAATTTTGGGGCAGTAAGGGAAACGGGTTGATGACTAGGTTCGTGATGACTAGGTTCGTAAGACTAGGTTCGTGAAGACTAGGTTCGTGATGACTAGGTTCGTGTGACTAGGTTCGTGAAATTTGGATTTTAAAAGAGTACAAATTTTAATTATTACAGAAACTCATTTGTTTAAGGAACAACGAGAGGGACGAATGATTCTTACTTTATTCGAATTTATTGAATGAAGATTGTTTCATATTTAGCAACCATGCGTGCAAATGAATGATGTTTAGAAAGAAATAGAACTTAATTTTATTTACTTTTAGAATGTTATGCTGCGTGTAAAGCCTAGCGGCTCATACGGGGGGGGTGGGGGGTGGGATACTCATTTGGCAAATATAGTCGCACATTTTCTCTATTTTAAATTTCACGAACCTAGTCACGCGAACCTTGTCATCAAGCCATTTCCTTTACTGCCCCAAAATTTTTTCTATATAAAATTTCACGAACCTAGTCACACGAACCTAGTCATCAAGCCATTTTCCTTACTGCCCCAAAAATTTTTCTATTTAAAATTTCACGAACCTAGTCACACGAACCTAGTCATCAACCCATTTCCCTTACTGCCCCAAAATTTTTTCTACATAGAATTTCACGAACCTAGTCACACGAACCTTGTCATCAAGCCATTTCCATTACTGCCTCAAAGATTTTTTATATTTAAAATTTCACGAACCTAGTCACACGAACCTAGTCATCAACCCGTTTCCCTTACTGCCCCAAAATATAGGCCCATTTCAATACTCTGGCAGAACCCACCACGAACCTAGTCACACGAACCTAGTCCTCACGAACCTAGTCGTCATTCCCTTCAAAGAGTGAGTTCAGAGCCGAGTTATTTGACAAATAAAATGCTCATAAGAACTATTGCACGTAGTTAACAAGATGAATTTTCACAAATGTATTTATTGGAAGATCGATTTTGACAGTATGAGAGTATAAAAAAAGTTATCGTCTGCCTGCCATTTGAAGAAGCTGTTTTTTAAAGTTTGGATTTTGTCTGAGAAGTTGAAGCCAGTAAAACTGCTCACTTGTCAACCCGTTTCTGTAGCTTCTCGACCGGAAGTTGAGACGATTTGAAAGTCTGTTTTGATAAAGCAAGTCGCCAAGTGCGAGTGAGAAGAGGATGGAACAGATTGTTAGAACCTTCATTTTTGTTATGAGGAAAGGTGGAATGGAACTCGTTTATATATGCTTCGGAAATATTATATTTTCTGGCGCAAGAGACAAGATGCCTTTAGCGCCAACATCGTGACAGTACAGTGCTCAGAATGTATTAAAATTCTAATACTATCTTTGTGCTATATTCTTGATTTAATTGATGATTCTGCAATATTGATATTCCATCTTCCCTGCATAAAAACCTGCAAAGAATGCAAATAATCTAGACTTCAAAAGAATCGGTTTTATTTGAAAGATTTTCTTTATTGTAGAAACAGTTCTGTTTTCTGTCAGCTTTTCTTAAAATATCTTTCTTTTCACAAAATAATAATAGTTCGAGTATTGACTTTCATAGCAAAAATCGTTTGTTAGCCGTGTCTGCGTCAAAATAAGATTTTTTGGTATGGGAAACAATAGCAAAAAAGTAAATCACAATAATAATGTATCCTTAATTAAGTTGTTTCTGGGGAAATTGGGTCCGAAAAAATGGGTTGACTCGGTCAATCGGGAAGGAAGGTGGCCTAAAGGTGGATAGATAAAATAGCATAAAGTTCGGAAACATAAATGACCGTAGAAATAGAATTAGTGCTTAAAATTAACAGCTTGAATACGCAGTTGGTCTATCTAAACCAAGGTAGTTCGGGCTTGTTAATTTATAAGTCTACTTTTCAAAAATTTGTTTTTTTAGCTGTGGAGCTTCATTCAATTCAATTAAGTTTCTGTATGATGCGGACACAAGTGACATATGTTGACCAGTTCTAGTTTAGGACAGGTTCGGTTCGGATAAGGATGAAATTCATCCCAAGAAGTGCACGCTTTTCTTTGTTGGACATTAGCTCCTTAAAATCCTGAAGAGGCCCTTAATGTTTTGGCACCATGTGAAAGCTCATCAAATTTGAGACAGGCAGATGCTGACTTCGTAAATTTTTAAGGAGAGAAGGGCGTATGTCGCGATTAAAAAATAGGTGGCAATACTTCTAGGGGTTCATCCGGGGGTATTCAAACATTTTTAACCGTAGTGGACAGGTTGGGTAAGTGTATCGTTGGTATCGGTTATGCGTGTGTGGTGCAGGTCACGCCGCCTACATTCGAGGTCACATTGTGTAGGTGGGATAATATCAACAATGATTTTCAGTTCAAAAATAAGTTAGGAAAGGCTTTGAGAAGATATAAGGACAAAAGAGTTTACGTCAGACAAAAGTATTCAGGATGGAAATTCAGCTCGTTAATGGAACGCGTCCCAGACAATTTGGGACTGGTTCCAGAGCACAAAAAATATTTAAGCATTGAGTAAATAAGGTAGAATAAAAAATATGTAAAAGTATAGTAAAAGAGCAAGATCCTAGAGTTCGGCTGAGTTGGACTCAATTCCTAGAGGTGATGTTTTCTTTGGTAAAAAAACTCGGGCATGTAAAGTTGAACTTTCTAGAGTAGTAATTATCAAGGTGCATGTGCTTATGAATTTTTACTTTGTTGGGGACCCCAACTTGGGGTGAGTCTTTTTTGAAGTGGAAGTCATACTTTAGCATGTGATCGAGTGAATGATATGTAAAAGTGATATGTGACGGGGTAATCCCTTATCCTAAAGGGAAGATGCTCTACTGAAGAGCTGGGATAGCAGGGGCAAGCTTATTCTTTATGTAAGAGATTTGAGCGACGCTGGGCTGGTCGGAGCCAGAACCAAGCGGCTCAAATTCGAAGTGGGGAATGATCACCATCTTTGGGCCTGGGTACTGGGCTTCTAACAGACGCTTGTAAGTTCCGAATCGTCCTGAAAGTTCTGTTAGTTTCGAGGTAGAAATAAGGATATTTACCGTTCACCCTAGCGAGATCCTCAATCGTTCCTTCTCTATTTCTCAGAAGACGCTTTCTGGAAATGGGCAGCACAGCTGTATCCCCGTTGACCAAGAAATGAGAGTATTTCCGGTTGATTCTACGAACACATGAGCAAGAAGAATTGATAATTGAAGCGTTACCCGTGGCGTTGAGTTATTTCTATACCGTCGATTTCGCTCAGGGCCTTGAGGACTTTGCGTTCCATCTGTTGAAGATTGTGGATCGGTTCTGGAGGGGTCAGATTCTCGCCAGTTCGAATGAAGAAATCGTCAAAGATTGTTTCTCTTCTATCCCCACTAGAATCAACAATCGAAAGATGCTCGACTATGATTTGCGGATTACCTGGCTGGATGATAGCTCCTCAAGTTGTAATCCTTCTCCTTGATGTCATACCACTTCTGAAATCGCTGGATTTGCTGGAGTTGATTCGTCTGATACAAATCGTAGATATATTTGTAGAAGTGCTCGCAGCTTAACCATTGCGTAATGAGAATCGATAGGAATCGGCTTACTTGATCAGCTGCATCGGATAGTAGCCGTACGTCTGGAAACCGACAAGGGTGAAGAAAAGCTTCTGAATCTTGTTGTCGTAAAATGACTTCATCAAACTATCCCAGACGACGTCAGAACACATCCGCGTAGCCATTTTTGACAAAAAGGCAATGTGCGCATCCTAAAACGGAAGTAGAACTGGTTATACGAGCTGAACCATTACCATGTCCTTCTTGTATACATAGTTAGGAGTGGAAATGATGTCCAGGGCGTCAGCAATCGACCAGAAGTTCAACGAGCGGCATGATTTTACGCAGTTTTGTCGCTGGCAATGGCACGATTCGTCCAAATCGCGCTCGATCAAAATGCAGAAGTTCTCCAACAATTCTTCCTTGAAGAAACACTTCGCCGTGAGATTTCTCATATTTTTGACGAAATCTTTTGCGTTTGCTTCGCCAAGTTGCATTCGTTTGAGCATCGCATTCGCCACGTGATTCAATGTCTTGAAATAGACCTGTTTCTGCGAGGTGAAATCTTGAAGAGCTCGGAGAACCGCTACAAAAAGGTAAGACAAAGAAAGAGGTCATTATTCTTACCAGATATATCCTGGACCGTCATATTGATGCTTACAGATCCATCATCAGCTCTGGCGATTTCAGCACAGCAGTGGTCATAAATTTCCTGAAGAAAGACCATTTCTATTTGAATTCAACCAATGCAAATACCTCAAATTGATCCTGACTGTAAGAGTCTTTCAAGACATTCGCCCGGAAGCACGCGTCAAGTAGATGAATTACAGTACTTCTACCGTCTTTGTGCAAGTTTTCGAGGCAAATCATGTTGTAGGACGCGAGTTCTTTGAAGATATTCGCCACAGCATTGACTTGGAAGGGGGAAAAATCTTTTCCGAAGCATTTAAAGACCACGGTTGCTGTGTAAAGGGGATCGTTGAGGTCTAAAAATTAATGAAAATTGAAGATTTTAGAAAGAAATAAACCTTGATATTCATTGACGGGGAGAGCTGGGAGCAATTCTCTCGCAGTTTCGCCCATGCATCTGAGAGTATTTGGGTTCAGGTTTTTCAGAAGATGGTAGTTATGCTGGCATTGGCAGAAAAGCACCAGCTCGTCGATGGAGAATCGTTGGTTCGTTGGTCTAAAGAGAGTTAGGGTGGCAGAAGCGGAAAGAATACCTCAAAGTGTCCAATAAGTCAGAAATCGTGGTGTATGTCAGCGACCAAGTGAGTCGGAGAAGAGCTCTTGCTGTTTTCAACAGCTGATCGTTGAACATTTGGCCCCGGTTCTCGTGAAGGTAGCCAACTAGCGTGATGATAGATTTCTCGTGGCAGAGCTCGGTGCAGATTTCAGAGTTGAGAGTTCTATCGAATGCTTCCTGGATGTTGCAGATGAGGTCGACCGCGTCACAAAGATTCATCGCGTTGAGGGGAACGGTCTCGAGATACCGACAGAGATCGATTTTCAGCTTCGTTTTATCGTCGGTTTTGTCGATGAATTGAGCAGCGTTCTTGAGGATTTGCTCCGATTCGGAAAGGATGTGGGTCGAGGAGTGTGTCATCAATCCTCCGTTTTGCCATTCGTACTTGCTGTTCTGGTTCGGGTACGATTGGTTGTCGGAATAGCGGTAGTGCTCGTTGGGGAAGCCGTAGAACCCGCGCTGGTTGGAGCTGTAGCGTCGTTGAGAATTGTTGTGGTGGTGGTTGTTGTGATGGTGCGGGTGGTGCGAGACTGAGTGGTGGAAATGACGCTGCGGCGGCGGAGGGGAAAAGTAATCGGCTGGGCCAGGATAGCTAGAGTGACGCTGTAATTGAGGACGACCGCTAGAATAGACTAACATCGAACCGATGAAAAAGGAACTTACTTATGGTGATTGTGCGCAGGAGTAGAATCGTTGCGGAAAAAGTCAGGGCGGTTTTGTTGATCAATGTCGAGTCTAATTGAAGCGAAGTTCACATGCAGCGTGTTAGCCTCCTTAAAAAAAGGGATAAAAAGAAGTTTTTCAAGGTCGTTGAGACCTGTGCCCATGTACTGGTGGGGCCGCGGGGTTCGTTGAATTGAGGTGTGTTGCTATAATAGCCGCTGGAGCTGGCAGTTCGGCTTTGCGAGGATCGTTGAGAGGACGGACTGGTTGGGGTGAAGACGTCATTGTACTGAAAGAAATGTAAGACTTTAGATTGTATTTTTGATATGAAAGAGAATTTGAATAGGGAGAAAGACGATGACATTTAGTACTCGAACTAAGAGTCTCAAAGAAAGAGCGTAGCTTGGGTCTTCAATGTTATTATCCGACAAAACACGGGGCTTTACCTTGTCAGGCTCGTACTTATCAAGACTGTCAAGAAAGGTCAGGCCTGAGTCATCTAATTCAAAGTTGATCATTTTCGTAACTTTATTTTCTCTGTGAATTGAAGAGAATTCCCCAAGGTAACCCTTTTCAGTTCATAAAAAGACTAAAACATCGCTTGAGCCACTCAAAAATTAGACTGGAGAGCTCGCAACTGATACTTTCAAAGAGTGGTTATATAACTGCTTGCCGCAGGAGGCGAGTTGAGAAACGGCGTGCCCAAAAAAGGCACATGAGGCCACAACCCTGAAGGCCGCGCTAATCCGAGAAAAAATGAACCCCGGGTTAATTTTAGAAAATTTCTGAAAATAAATACCCGGAATTTCCACTCCGGAGAAGTAGCCGGTCCTTCTTGAATAATTGCGCCCATCGTATTTTTCTTTCTATTACAGTAATTCACTGCACAATCATTTGAACGAAAGAAATTCAACGAACAAGAACGGAGAAAAACGGAAAAAAGGCCCAATTGAAATTTAGATTTCGCGATTTGAAAATTGCTTTTCGAGATTTCACTTTTTTCCAACGTGTTACGTAACAGGTTTTTCAATTTGAAATCGAGAAAGAAAGATACATAATTCGTTTTTTTTTCAATTTTCATGTTCAAAATTAAACAATTATCCATTATTGCTTAAAAATAATGAATTTATTTAATGGACCTACGTGGTTATGCCTTGATTTGGCAGGTTCGTAATCGGCAGCTGGTTGAAAATCAGCTGGGTTAAAATCGCTCTTGGCGTCCGAAAGAAGTTCTTCTTTGACCACTGGAACTGGTTCAGGAAGCGGCGGTGGTTCAGCTCTAATTTGGTCGATATGAGCGCTGCTCTGCGTTTCTCGACCCATTTCACTTTTGAGCGATTCTTCAACTCCCCGCGGAAAGTCAAAAAGTCACAAAAAGTCAAAAGAATAAACTCCGGAGCGCTGGCTTCGAAAAATTATTAGCTTTGAGAAAAAAAATCTGAGTCAAGCGGTGGGTGAGTACAAACACCCTTCCGGTCCGAAAACGCGTTCCTATTCAGGCTTCCCGACGAGCCTTGGGAGCCCATTGAGGCAGAACGATTAAAATTTGTTGCCGCTTTTTGGCCGGGTGAACCATCATTTGGGCCTGTAGAAAGGGATGAAGAAATTTTCTCTTTTTGAATTTTTTCAACTTTCTATTATATCATGTATCATAATATATAATGCTAAAGCAAACGTTTTTGTAAAGCTTTTTGGTTGCAAAATCGTTTTTGTCAGTAATGAAACACTGAAATTTTCATCCCTTTTCCTAAATTAGAACTGGGCCCTCGACCGGCGTAGAACCGTCGCTGGCCCTCCTGCGGTCCGTAGAGTGAAACGAGTCCATTGAGTTGATTCCGTTCTTCAGGACTAAAGCTTTCCCAGGCCTAAAGCGGATAATGTCAGAGCGATAAATCTCCCCACGTTACTCCCGTTCGCGCTTTCCTGGCGAACTTCCAGAGGAAATGAAAAGGTAAAAACCGAACCGACCTGAGATGGTTCAATTCTTTCGGAACCAATCGGCGAGATCATCTTCGAGCTTTTTTGCTTTCTCTTTGTCTAACAGCACATTCTGAAAATGATCAAGTTGGAGACTTGTAGGACGGGGAAAGTGAATAACGGAGCAGTGACTATTCCGATGATTCGAGTTTACAGAAATGTAAAAATTCATCAATTCAAGAATAGGCAAAATGGCCATAGAATATTTCAATAGTAATCATTAGGCAAATAAAAGAGAAGTATTTCCTGTCTCTCATTTTTCATAAAAGATTGAATCGAAAGAGGTTGATCCGCCTTCATTTCACTGAATCCGAAAGTTTTTGAATCAATTCTATTTGAAAGAGGCTTTTCCAAATCTTGAGCCGCATGCGGCTTAAGCTTATGCTTCTTCAGCCTTTTATGATGGTCATTTTGGGCACAATTTAGAGTTGAGGAGCTTTTGTTTCGCGGCTAAACTAAATTGTTTAGACTCCAAATTAAAAAGTTCAAACTTCGAGCTACTCTTCGATGAGATATCATTGTTACTAGAACCCCTCGAGGGTAAAGTAACCGCGGTTAGCTTGTGACCGTTCATGCTCAACCGGCAAAGTTCGCCGCCTGGGAGGGCGTAAGAGAGCGATTTTCGTTGTAGAAAGCGCGGCTTTTTCAGAACGGGCGTTTTCAGCACTCTGTCTGTCTCTGGCAAAGCTGAGCTTCTCTAGAACCGCGCGGTGGGGCAGCAAGGTCACTTGGGAACTAGTTTTGGAGGGCGAGTGCCACTGGGGTGGAGAATAGTGGAGGAGAAAGCAGGCTTTGTGTGTTCAGTTTGAGCGTGAGCGGCGCCATTGGCCAGGGGCTGGTAAAGCGCAGAAACAGAGAGAGAGAGCTGAGCTTGAGACAAGCGGAGTAAAAGAAATTGAAAGAAAAACGAGGCACCACACCAAACCCCAGGGGCATCAACGCCCAGTCTACTTTTCTCCAGTTATATAATACTCTACTGTTGAACTTAGCTAAACCGCATCTCCCTGAAACCACCATCAACGGTCTGTTCCAATGTCGCTTTCAAGTTCATCGATGCAACTTTTCAATACTTGTTTCATAAAAATAAAGCGCCAATCTAATTATTTCTAACAATCAATTTATGACTTTTTACTTTATTCAAGCTATTATCGACTCTCAAATTGCTCGTCTCAACAATAAATCTATACAGTTAACTTAAATATAAAATTGTTCTTTCAATTTTACTTTCATTGAATTTAATTTTGTGTATTTTAAATTTTAGACTTTACATGTTGAAAAATTGACCTGTGCGTGAAAATCCGATGTTCCGCTTTGAACTTCCATTCTCAAATCGTCAATATTAATTTATCCAACAAAATCGCCCAAGAAAAAGGGCGTCCTTGCCTGATTGATATTAAACTTCTGAAGGTCAAATATTTACTACGCTCTCTCTTTCTTCTAAGCTCACTAGACCTTCTTTTTACAACTTCTCTTTTTTCTACTTCTCGCTGGGGAAAATTTAATTGCTAAGAAGAATTAACGCTTCATCTTTTTCGATAATTTGGTGTGGAAAAATTTTTGATCGATAATGGATCTGAGCTCATTGAATAGGAAAATCAATAACTGACGTTGTATATAGTTCGCATCTGATTTGCATGAGCATTTTCGTGGTTCGTTTTCTGGTAGAAAGTTGAACAATTTGAGTTTTTGGCATGGTTTGTCGATTAAAATCTGGGTCAACTTGAGCTTTGGTTCTTTTTTGGTAAATGAGGTTATCAGGGCATAGAGAGTATTTGACTAACCTTATTTTGATTATATAAAAAGCCCTCGGTCCTACCTTGATCATACAGAAATCATAAAATGAAAACTCTAGTTTCCATAACATAGAAACTGTGATAAAGATTGATATCAATAAAATTGATTTCAACAATGAAATACAAAATGATTACAGAAATTCCGTTATATTTGTTTGCAGTGAAATCAAGTCAGGAGGAAAGTCGAAAGACTTGAAGCTCAATTCGAATAAAATATCCTAGATTCCAGCCAATGCTGATCTCCCCGACGCCATTTTCCAGAATGCGGATTTACTTCATGCGTCGCGCAAAGCTGCGCTTGAAGAAAAATCGTCGCATGATTTTTGGATCGTGCTTGAAGATCTGGAGCATGACCAGATCCTCAGCGGTCAGAGCCGACCTGGTCGCGCTGGAAGCACTAACCAAGTGATTTGTGAGCCGATTTTGGTAGAGCAAATCGCCAAGAGCGAGTGAGACAAGAGAGCTGAAGATGATGAGGAGTTTCATTTTTTGAGTTCAAACTGAAACTGATGCTGTGATAGTAACGAAATTGTTTTTATACGAAAAACGAGGGCTGAATTCTGGCGCAAGCGAGACATTTTCTTTAGCGCCAGCTTCAGGAAGAATTTGTGATGAATCCTCACCGATGATGTAGCAGACCCAAGACGACGATGTCATGTCATAAATTAGATGACATGTCGCTTAGTTTTATCAGTAAGGCTAAGGATAAAATAATATTTCCTAAAGGATAAAAAAAGGAAATTCCTTTATCTCTTTCCTTATGAAACACTGCTTGAGCTGAACTATATTATAAAGTTAGTCAATAATATCGACTCAATATGATTTAATTTTATCACTGTTATCAAAGGAATAGCTGGATGATCAAGGGTATCATGCGCAACAATCTCGGCAGTTCCTTTATGATTCTTATCGTTTCCCCAGATCCGAATCTTCAGAGCGCGCTTATTGGCCAAAGTCACTCGAGCGAGGAGAGATTTCTTGGCTCAATTTCACTACAGTCCTGTTTTACAGTAGTTCTTTTCTTTTATGAAATGTTTTTAGAAAACTGAAAGAGAAAATAAGAAAGAAAGCTGAATACTTTTTCTAAAATGAATTTCCGAAGAGCTATTATTGAAATTATTGAAGCAATGTAAAGTGTGTTATCTGCTTTTCACTGAAAAATTCATGATCAAAACCTAAATTGCATCAAAGCAGTTCATGAAGAATCCGGCTGAGAATTTTTTCCCGACGCCGTGAGATTGCCTAGAGGGTCTTGCTCCTCCTCCAATCCGTTTTGGTGCTAGCACCACGACGCGCCGGGGAAAATCGCTCCACTAACTTGTTACTGCATGAAAAAACGACTCATTAATGATAAAGAATTTTTGTTAATAATTAACCTATTTTCTTTCAGATACAAAAATCAAAGAGACAAGTAGAAATCGAAATCGCCAAAGAAAGAAGAAAATCGTAGAAGAGGGAATTTTCGTTATCGAAGAAAATGGATTCTCCTGGGATGGATTCCGGTCCTCCCGGAATCGTCGCTGGCCCACAGGGTTATCCAGGAATGGTTTTATCGTTTGCAATCTAACAATCTTTATTTGGCATTGGTAGCGCATCTGATCCTTGTGATCTATTCTATGAACGCAGCTTCTTGTCTCGTCTGCTAGTAATTTTTGCGCTCATGACTCAGGAGTCCTGATATTCTGCTCAGCTGAATTTTAATTTATTTAAACCAATTGGAAGGTTTTGGGTCTGTGAAATCTTCGAATATGTCGGGAATGGAAGATGCTGAAATCGAGCGAGTATTGCGCGAGTATGACGTCTTTCAAGCTGCAAAAGCGGGGCTCCTCATTCCTTGCCAAGGTATGATCGATCTTCTCTTTCTTACTATATTCGGGTAAGAATCATCACATGAAATATTGTGTTTCTTTCGAGAAAAATCTGATCATGTTAGAATGACATAAAAAAAAGTCCATTGAAACCCGGATGATCCTATGGCGTCTTGACAAAACAGTCTATCAGATGCCTATTTGAATTTAATTTATATTCAACAAATGGCAGTTAAAGCTGCATGATTGACGGAAAACTATCTATAAATGTGCTAACTGCAGTCTGTATTTGGTCATACGAGACTGTTATGTTATATTCGAGAAGAGACCGTTCATCTTTTTCTGATATTATAAAATTGAATGGACCCATATAAACTCAGTCATCAGATGCTTGCTAGCTGCTGTATTTCTTGTGTATATCGTACAGTAGAGCGCTGTGGCCCTTGCGGAAAAATACCGTCATAACTTATGTCGTGAAATCGTAATTTTTACATCATCAACTGAGGATTCAACCAATCTTGTTTTAATCATGGTGACTGTTTCCTGTTGTTTCATGCGAAATAATACATTCATAGCGAAAATGCAGATTCAACCGGTTCGGAATTATTTGAATCGCCATGATTGTAAATTATTTCAATTTAATCATCTTTATTTGAACAGGCCTTGATCATGTTCGATGATTTTGTCGGAATTTCCATCAAAGGGAATAATTTAAAAATAAATCTTATTAAGAAATCGTCGATCGTCTGGGTGTAGGGGTCCTTCACCAATACGACCGAGAAGGGCATACTCCGCTACACTGGGCAGCTCTTGGTGGACACAGCCATGTCGTTCGTTTCTTCATCGAATGCAGGGCTCCTGTGGATATGCCAGCAAGGAACGAGCTCGGTGCGCAGCCGATTCACTGGGCTGGTGCGTCCATTCGAGAATCGAATTCGTAATTAATTCCATTTTTAAGCCTCCGGTGGGCATGTGCCAGTCGTTGACCTCCTCCTCGAAGCCGGTGCGGCAATCGATGCCACGGATAACAAAGGCTGTTCGCCACTGATCACAGCTTCGCAGTATGGAAGAACGAATCTGACGGGCTATCTTCTCGGCAGAGGAGCGCGGTATCAACTTGTCGATCGAGAAGGCGACAATGCTCTTCATTGGGCTGCCTTCAAGGTAGAATCAGCTGAATCTCCGACCAGTTTTCACTAAATCTTATTCTAGGGTAACGCAGAAATGTGCCGCCTTCTGATCTACTCCGGCTTCAATCCTAAACAGCGCGATAATTTCGGTCAAACACCGCTTCATCTCGGTTGTCTGTCTGGAAATCTTAATACCGTCAAAGTCCTCGTGGAGCAAGACGTCGAACTTGAAGCCGTGGACTTTAATGGAAATTCACCTAGGAAACTCGCGGAGGGGAGGAAGCACTGGGAGACGGTCAGATATCTGGAAAGATCAGCTGCCAGGGAAGTGTTTCGAAAGAATACTTTTCTAAATATAGAATCGATTAATATTAGAAATATTCCTTTTGAAACACTTTAAAAGGCAAAAGTCCGTTATTCCTATATTCGACCTTCAGTCCGTGATTTTCGGTCCCCCTGGACGAAGAAAGACAACGATGCATTTCATGCTTGGAATTCTGATATTCCTCGCTTATCCAACCTATTTTTTACGAATACTGCCTACTGTTACGCTCGAGGGATTTCCAATCGCAAATTTATTTTTCTGGTGTGCTAATTTTGTTCTCTGGGTCAATATGATAAGGTAAATATGTTCTCATTTGAAGAACGATCGTTGACTTTCCTTCTAGGGTGCACAATACAGACCCCGGAGTTCTCCCAAGAAATACAGAAGAGTACAGTGAGAAGATCAAAGCTGTAGCTCGTTATGATAAATGGGAAGACGGCGAAGAAAATCCTCTCAGTCGACTCTGTCATACTTGCAGATGTGTCAAGGTAAGCTTATGACATGAACTTCATGATATGATTACTCTGACATTGAGTTTTTCCCATCTAGGAAGCTCACGAGTTTCAGACATCTTGAAGGTGAGCTGGTTTCATCAAAGGAGCTTCTATCCGAATACGGGATGCAATCTTGCAGTATTCGGTCACTTTTTGATGAAACTCGGGGCTCGGCTCAAGGTGCGATGGAAACTTCCGTCTTCCTAGACGCCATCAAGCTTCAAAGTGGGGAGCTCTATGACGCTTATCCCCGCAGCTTTATCGCACTGGCCTTGATTTTCCATGTTTCTTCTTCTCTTACTCCTCTTTTTAGCCACTTCGAGCAAAGCACTGTAAAATCCTCAATCGTTGCGTGAAGCGATTTGATCATCACTGCGCCTATGTTGGAAATTCCATTGGCTACCACAACCAGCATCATTTTTATTTATTCTTGGCTTCCACAGTCGCGATGCTCTGGACTTTTCACTATATTGCCTACCAAACTCAGCATCAAGAGTCGAAGAAGGATTGGTGGCTGCTCTTTTGCCAGATTATCTGCGGAGTTTTCACCTTTTTGTGCACTCCCTTATTCGTAAGTTTATCATATTGGAAACAGTTTTATAAGGAATTAGATTGGGACGACATACAACGCTGTCAAAAACATGACGACGAACGAACAAGTCAACTTCAGAAGATACGAATACCTGAAAAATTCAATGGGCCAGTTTACAAATCCCTTCGATCGGGGAGCCAAGGAAAATCTCAAAGAATTCTTCCACCTGAAACGCTCAGTTGAAGAAGTCACGACGCAAAATCATGCGATGAGTGTTTGAGTGTCAAACATGATCGAGAACTAAATTCAATGCCAAGTGAAAAAAATAAATCGCGCCTGAACAACCAACTTCAATTCAATCTTGCTGCATATCAATCTTTCTATGAGATGAAAGCCCTGTATAAAAAACGACCCCTTACTTATCTTATTTTCTGTATCAAAATATTTCCCCAAAAAGCCTTTCTGTAGTTTATACCTTTCATTCTGACTTCATTCTATTTATTAAAGATTTCTCAAAAACGATCAATTTGTTTTCAGTTTTGCAATTTACTTTATTCTATTGTATATGGCATTTGGACAGAGTTTTTTGAGCAGATTAGAATTGTTTTTGGTGACTTTGACACTTGGCGACGAATTTGAACTTATTTACCCAAGTTTTTTAACAGTAGTAACAGAAGAAAATAAAAAGGCTGAGTTGTGAAGTTATCCGAATAAAGAATCAAAAGACTGCTGCTGCGGTGGTGGAGGGTTTGCACTGGCGGCCATTTGTCCCATAGTTGGCGTTGGCGCCGGCGCAGCTTTTGGCTTGAGCCCGGTTAGTCCGCCGAGGTCCGCGAAGGGATCGTTCCTAAGTTTTGATAGTTAAACCCCGGTCAAGAAGATACTTTTGTTAGTGAAAAAGTCTGACGTAGAAACAGAAACTATTTTACAGCTGGTCGAGGCAATCGATTTTGAACAGCTCCAAAATCACTCTGACGCACTCGAAATCAAGGAAGAAGATAAAATGTAAACACTTACTCGCTAGTTCACCGCGGGAAAGTATCACTTGTGCGAGAATGCGTAAAGCAAGCTACAAGCGATGCCTAGAACTCTACATTTTTGTTGATATTTACGCTCATACATATCGAATGTACGGTACAGTATAATTTTACTGATGGTAAAAAATCCATCTTTGGGGATCCTGAAGTTTGAGTCCAATAGTCTATAGATTCTATAGGCTATAGAACAGAGCTTCAGCATACCATAAGGAGAGTAGTTACATTTCTCCTACACGATCTGCAGAGGCTTTCCACAAGAATATGCTCTGCTAGAAATATCAGATGTTTTCAGCAATACATACATGGCTTTTCCAACACTAGTTCCGCCTGAAGGGGACATCGTGGACTGGCTTGTATTGGTAGGCTGTGGTTGCATCATCGCTGACGAAGCCATCATGCCACCAGTGCTTGATCCGAATCCCTAAAGAATCATTCTAACGAAGAAATTTAATTCATTTCCACAACATTGAATCAGTCCAAATCAAGACTAGCTACCGAAATTGCTAATCAAATTCAATTTTATGCTTATTTGAACGTGTTCGAATTCCTGTAACATTTCGTACCGTATTTGTAGACATTGGAGCCACTTGAGGCTGAGACATGGCTGGCATGGCCATGGGCTGCTGAGACATGGTGGGCATAGACATCGCTGGCTGGGACATTGCAGGCTGTGACAATGAAGGCTGGGGCATAGAAGGCATAGACATTGTAGGCTGAGACATGGCAGGCTGGCCCATTCCTTGCATACCACCCATTGCTCCAAAAGCGTTTTGCTGAGCAGGCATACCTCCCATTCCTCCCATGGTAGGATTCGGCTGGGCAGGTGGAGCACTACCGAACGCACCCATGATGCTAGCCATCTTATTTTCTGTTGAGATTTCGGCTGGCGACTGAGCCGCGGTGTCTGTAAAAAAAAGTTGAAAATCTTGTTTCCACACTTTCTTACCGAAAGCGCCAGCAAGATCGTCTAGGCCGTTTCCTGAAGGAGCCGACTCAGTGGTTGGGGTGTCTGGTACGGCCTGAAAGATATAAGTTTAATGATTCTCTTAGACTACGGGAGGTCCCGAGACCTTTTTCCGCCGCTCGGAAAGTCTGGGTGGAATGGGTGGTGGGCAATTTCTCCGCACCAGGTGCTGAGATCGGAAAGTGCTTCCTGATCGCAAGGATGAAGAAATAGTCAATCGTTCGAAAATGGGGGTGGAGGGAACTGGAGGTAGGTCTTGGTTTTCATTGATTTGTTCGGCTATGAGGTTGTTGCGTTCTATAATGGATTCAGGAGGGTTTTTCATGTGACGCGAACCACGGCAGATATGGAAAGGCCTCGAACGTAAAATATATCTGACGTAAATGGAGACTATTAAGTAATTCCTGTGTCTTCTGAAACCATGCCTGTTTGTGATAGACGGTCCATTTCTGATTGAATGCTGCTTTTTCCAGAAGCAGATGAAACATTAGAATTTTCCCTTCTATGCACAAAGGAGTCTCGGGGCTCCTTAGTCACAGAAATATCTTCTTTGGAATTCGCACATCGTGACGAGGACGGAGATTTGTTCGTGGAAGGAATTATAACAGAGTCTGCAGCTTGAATCTCTGCAGATCCAGTGGAATCAGTGGCTTCCTTGGATGAAGACGTTGTCACGTTCGAGCTTATCACGAGTTTTTATTTGCATTTTCTTTCACTAACAAAAGCATCAAAGCATTTGGGGCTGAATTCACGATCGAGTTCAGAATACGAACTCGTTCCCTGTTTGACGACCAGTCAGACCGGCTGCTACTGCCCGAATACGATGATCCTGATTCGGACGCGCCATCGTCATCGGCATAATTTGGCAAGGAGATAATATTTTCCCAGGTAGCATGATGCTGATACGTATGATGGATTCCATTTTCGTTAATTTCGTGAGTCACCTAAAATTTGAATAATTGCTGTATTTAAATCAGCGATACGTACCTTTACCATCGTTTCTTCAATTATTCTATCGAGGAAATAATTTTTGCGATCTACATCTTCCTGAGCATCGGCAAAGGCTTCTTGCGCGTCTTGAGGAAAATCACCCCACATGGATGTTACATCAGTGGGTGTCGAGCTGACAGATCCGAATAAAGATTCTGGCACGTCGGTTGAATCTTATTAAGGAGATACGATTGTAAACAAGAGCTACGGAGTCAAGGTAGGAGAAGAATTTTTTGTTATTCTGTCAGCATCTGTAGTGGTGATCCCACCCATTTTAACATAAATTTCATCGTTTTATCCTTTCCTAAATCGTTCGTCAGAGCAGATGAATCTTCCGCTCTAAGGGTATCAAAAGAAGAATTGATATCCTGGTCAATAGATTCTCTGATTGACGATGTAGCGAAACTCGTCCAATCAACGGGAAAACTTTCGATATTTTCGAGTGCTTCAGATTCTTCCTTGTCTTCATCACTCTTGATTTTCGCCGGTGACCAAGGATCTACAGCTTCATCTTCTTCTTTAAAGACGTGCCCAAGACGTTTCCTTGACATTGAGTCAGTTCTGCGCCGTCCTTAAAAGTTGATTCCGAGCAAACGTCTCGACAAGAGCAACGGAATCAAAACTTGAGAGTAACTTTCCTGACGAACCCCGTAGCCTGGTGAATGAACCGTCTGACGTGGTTGAATGTTCTGATGTCCCAGATACACCCGAAGAAGCGGAAAATGTAGACTTTGCGGAGGCATAGGTGGACTGTCTGTGGAAACTTCGAAAGCTGGATCCTGTTTCGATTGAATCACATTCATCCCGGGTCGGTGTCTGGCTGTCTCTTGTTAACTTGTTAGAGCGTACAGACTTGACGGATTTTCTGTCGGCAGTGAACCCGATAGAATGGTCATCTGACGAATCTTATTCTTGGTTTTTATAAAGCACTTTATATGATCGCCTCAGATAAATTCAATAATAATAAAACCATTTTCCTGAAGACAAAGATATTCTCAACGATCCTCTCGGGTTATCCTCATCAGCAGATTCCTCGCTTAGATCGGACCCGGATATGCTCGTTATTGATGGAAATTTCATCCGCTGTGAAGGTGATTTAGATTTTCTCCGTGGAGGCTTGGAAATTTTGAGCGTTTTACCGACATCAACTGGTCTTTCTTGCACTTTTCCACTACGAACGTGCTCTGCGTTGAACTCGAATGCTAGACGGTTACAAATATCTTCATCCGTCTCGTCGCAACTCTCCAATTCAAGAGCTGGAAAATATGATTAAAACTGAGCATGATAATGATCCTCGTCAAGTCCGAAGTCAAGCTTGCCGACACCTTGAAAGATGACGACTATTACATTCATACGTTGTTGCCAAGAGCATGAAGCGATGACACCAAAGATGCTGTCAAAAATTGAGATGTTACATAAAACATTTTTGAAGCATGAATGGGCTTCATGCTATAAGTTCAACAGAAAAACGGAAGCGTCAAAGAAGGAAATCTCAAAATGCTCACTATAGTCTATAAATTCTTCACAGCTTACCTTCTTTGCAGATTCCATCAAAGAAAAGCGGGCTAAGCCTCTCCATGCTCCCCCTTTGGCTTAGTTTTTCCGACGATGGCAGAAGTTTTTTTAACTTCGAGTTGAAACTTCCGGACACTCGTGATTTGAGTTTGTTGAATTTCGATTTTCGTCGGAGAGACGTCATTGATCCGGTGAAAGATAGGTCGGATGCGATTGAGGTCAGGTCGGATGTGGAGTAGTGGTAGGTCTTGATGAGAAATCAGAATTAGGTCCTTCTAATCACAGAGGACATTATAAGGACAATTTTGGGATAATGGACTCTGGATACTTACAGGGGCGCCTGAAGCGTTGTTCGCAACTACAGTCAGCTCAGAAATGCCCTAGACTTGTTATTTATAGAAATCCTAGGGGCTAAAGCAACCTGTTCAAGATTTTGCAAGTTCGCAGATGCTGCCTGAGCACTGGCTCCTCCACCAGCTTTCTCTTTCTGTTTGATATCGTACACGACTTGGAAAAGATCTCTAAGAGCCAACACGAGTCCCTCAGCTGCGTTGCCAGTTTTGATTCCAAAAAAGTGAAACTGCTTTTCTTCCCCTTCCACAATGTATCCAAACGCCCGTCTGTCGGTGGTGTCGCGAGAGATGAAGGAGATTTTCTCGACGGGATGAATGAACTGCGTTTGCTAAACGAAAATAGTCAGCGTGTTTGTTTGCCACACTTTGCAGCTTCCTGCGAGACGACGATAAAATAATTAAGTTCACAACAACAGTCTCTTACGTTTGAGTCTACGTCGATGATGGTGATTCCTTCAAGAGTGACTTGAACGACGACTCTCTGCTTGTGTAGGCCCGAGGCTGTGACAATTGACTTCTGCTTCAGAATGACCTAAACGGACTCACGTGAGTTCAAATTGACCCACTGTCTCTCTGCAAACAATCGGAGGGGGATAATAAAACAACCCTATTTCTTAGACTGCGAAAGAGAGAGCTTCTCTATAAGATGATAGGCGGTTGAAATTAAGTGGTGGAAATCGATTACCTCCTGGCACATTTTGTCGCCACGCGAGTTGGGCACTTGGTCGATGCCGATCAGCTTAGCTCGGAATTTCTGGCCTTCGCCGCGGAAACGCTCGGCGGGGTCCACTGGAGCCTTGTTGAAGAACGAGAGCTTGAAAACAACTTGATAAAACGTCGACAAATTAAGAATTTAGCGTCTTTTTAGTCGCCAAGTACGCTTGAATTAAATTTTCATAAAAGTACCTTATTAGGCGGCTGTTGACCGTGAACTCCAGCTTGGGGCTGGGTCTGTGCTCCTGGAACAGCACCGGGTACAGCTCCAGGGACTGCGCCAGGAACTGCTCCGGGAGCAGTTGTCTGAGCGACAGGCTGTTGTGGCGGTGGCTGTGCGACCATTCCAGGAATGGAAGCCTGTCCAGGTTGCTGGTACATTTTCGATTTTCAGTCACCTGAAAAAATATAGCCTTTAGCTTTTTAAAATTTCTCTCAATAATCATTGAAAGGAAAAAGACCAACCCATAGGGCCTATTATTCTATTGAGTTATTTCCCCTCTCGCGAACAAAACCTTAAACCCTACTCAAACTTGACCGAGAAAAGACTCTAAAAAGACGCCTAAGAGTTTCGGTGATTTCCAGTTATTTTCAATAACACAAGAATCAGGGTTTTTTTTTTCTTCGAACGTCTCTTGGGGAAATAATGGGGAGAAATGAATAAATGAGCGAAAATTTGTTGGAGCGGACAGTGGTTTTCGCGTTTTGGTGCATTTCGCACGTTGGTGAAACCGACGAGGCGCCTGAATACATTCCTGGCAAACTTCTGCTCATATTTGACGATTTTTTGAACATACAAAGATCTTGATTATTTAGACAAGCTTATAAAACCAAGTGTCTTTTTGAAAAAGGGATTGATATCAAGGAAGAGGAATAAATCAATAGATCACGGCCATGGTTATCGTTTAAAGTTTTACGACTAGCTTTGTACCTTGAACAGATGTTCATGACGAAAAGTTCAATTGCTGGGAAGCTGATTCAATCTCTGAGGGTTCCTTTCTCTGTGACGCGTAGTGTCACTTTTGCTCTGGCTGTGCGATTGGTTCGCTTCGGCGCGCTTCAGCTTCATCCCCATCGCCACTTCTCGCCAAGGCCTCACATACTCTCCCTCATCCGGTCCCAGCTTAACTTGCCAAGCTATCAATTGCTCAACATGCTCTGTCTTCTTCCTAATTTAATTCACGAGGTCCTAAGTCCAGGCGTCTAGTTTGATTCAAATTGCTGTAATTTGGATCTCTTCCATGATTTCCCTGCAAATATTTATCATGTTTTCATTTTTTATAAAAAAACATGCCTGCAGAGTTCAACTCTTTTACTTCGATTTCCATTATTTTATTTTTTATTCTCACACTTTTTATACAGTATGAAGCACAGATAATCACTTTAGTAATAATATTTAGTAATATAATATAATAGTAATAATATTTTGTTTGAAAGTCCGATTAGTCGTACACTTTAATTACATCCTCGAAACCAGCATATTTCTTACAGTCGGCAAACGGACACTCATACTCGTTCCAACTATAAGCCAAGCAGCGGTAACAACCAGTATGACCACAATTTACCATAACTGCTTTTCGACGATCATCGCCGTTGTAGTACTTGTTGCAGAAAGCACATTTGTCTATCGTGATTTCTTACAAAATTTGTTAGCATAAATTTCAAATATTGAATTTTACCGTTTTGTGATATCCCTTCATCAAAGGAGAGTTTAGTGGCTACTGAATGATACTCGTAAAGCATTTGCTTGTATCGCTTGACACACGGCTCTTTTTCTTGATCTGCCTCGCGAAACTCTTTCGTCGCTTCTTCCAGATCTTCTCTCTGGCGAGTTACATATTTCTCGTAGTTTTCAAGTTCTTTCTTCATCTCTTCGACCTTCTTCTCAAACCTTTTCTTTTCTTCTTTCAGTTCTCGCTCTGCCTGCCAGACATCTTTCCCTTGATCGATAACTCTAATAGTAGCCAAGCTTCTTCTTTCATTCAATAAGTCGACATACTGCCGAACTGTTTTCAGCTTTATCTCTTGACCTGAATATCCACGTCTTCATTTACTATCTCCATGATAAAATGAAGTACCTTTTTTATTTTCGGTCAACCAATTTGAAGCGGGTTGGCAGCATGATCCGAGATAGAACTCCGTAAACGACACCTTGCCAGATTTGCAGCTTTGATCAGAACTAAAGGCTGGGCATTTGAATTTTGCATCCGAGGGTATAAATAGATGTTCCCAACTCCGCCAATTATCATCTTTATCCTCATACTCCTTTTTCAAGCACTCTCTGCACATTCGCTTGGAAGTGAATTTCGAAACTGTCGTTTCCATCGGCACACTTATAATTGAATTAATTATCTACGAAAGAAAAGTCTACAAACTCACCCATCACATCCAGAACCGTAACACATCCCGTACTTCCCATAGGAAATCAGCATGCCAGGGTAAATGCTTTCAAACGAATCCAATTTGGCTCTCTTTGAGGCGGTTGTCGAAGCCTCACCGTAGTCTGTTTTGCGGGACCTGAGTTTCATAGTGAAAAAAGACCGTACTGTATCTAAAGAATGGAATTTGTCTCTATTTTTACTAAACATTTTTTCAGTCGTAAGAAGAAATAATAATTACAAAAATGATATTACAGAAATGATATTTTTGGCAAAAGACAAGGAAGTGCCTCGCTGCTAGTCGTGCAGTTCGACAATATCATGCCTTTCGAAGTCTTCCCCACACTCGGCTATCGGACATTCATACAGGGCTTCATCGTCTTCGTTGTAATCTACTCGAGCATCACGAAAGCACCCGTAACAGGCAGTATGTCCACAGGTTGCCAGAGCTGATTTCCGTCGCATAAATTGTAAGTTGTATTCTTTCTTGCAGATGCAACATTTGTCTTTCATCACATTGATCTCTAATGAAAATACTTAGCATATATTTTAAATATTAACGGTTAACCTTTTGATTTAACACCGTAATCGAGGGAGAGTTCGGTGGCGACTGAGTGATACTCGTATAACAACTGCTTGTATCGCTTGACATGCGGCTCTTTCTCTGCATCTATCTCACGAACCTCCTTTCTCGCATTTTCCAGATTTTTTTTACGGTGAGCTAGATATTTTTCGCGTTCTTCAACTTGTCTCTTCATCTCGTCGAGCTTGTTCTCAAAATTCTCCTTTTCCACTCTCAGTCTATGTTCTGTAACCCACAGATCTTTCACTCGGGCATCAAGTCTTCTCCTTGTAAAGCTACTTTTTTCATTCAGTGAGTCGTAATATTTCCGAATCGTTTTCAGCTTTACTTCCTGGCCTGAAATTTGTTATGTTAAATAAGTGTTTGTTATTTATAATAAAGCACCTTTCTTATTTTCGGTCAACCATTTTGAAGCGGGTTGGCAGCACGATCCGAGATAGAAGTCCTTGAACGATACCTCGAGTGATTTGCAGCTTCCATCAATACGGTAGGCTGCGCATTTGAATTTTGCATCCGAAGGTACGAATGTATAGTCCGACGCAAAGAAGTAGTCTTCACCTTTCTCCTTGTTCTCCTTTTCTGCGCACTGCCTGCACAGTCGATAGCCGTCGTATTCTGCTGTTTCCATCGGCACTCTAATAATTGAATCAACAAAATGTGAAAGTAAAGTCATTAATCTCACCCATCACATTCAGATCCATAGCACTTCCCAAACCTTCCATAGGAAATCAACATCCCAGGGAAAAGGCTCTCAAACGAATCCAGTCTAACTTTCTTCTTCGTGGCAGATGCTGAAGTTCCATCAGAAACTCTCTTCAAATCAATGCCGGCCCTGAGTTTCATCGTTTGAATTTCAAACTTTGAAACGTTTCTGTTCGGGTTGATGAGTTGAACGCTGCGAATTTCACGCGCTTATCCGAGAATGACGAGAAGTCGAGAGGCGCGCAGTGAAGGGAGTGAATGGGTTGGCTGCGGATTGGCCGCCGCGATGTGCACGACAGATCCAGAAACGAGCGCCAAATCCCGCGCGTCTAGAGATGTTGAATGATGCGCTCATTTTATTCCGGCTAAGAATGAAAATCAGCGAGGAGTAATTTGAATTTGAAAAGAGATTTGACAGAAGAAGGATTATCTACATTTTCTGATATTTTCAGAAGGAATTCTGGTTTTATTAATTTTTTTTTAATAAAAAAATCTCAATTTACACTTTTGCACTAAATAAAAACTAGTTGGTTATTCCAACTGTTCGATCAAAAAACAGTGGTAGTTTTGCGCAAGTTAGTTTTTCACAACCATTCTTTGCAGAAATTTTCTTACGAAACATATTTTACAGTTCATATTTAATTTATTCACCTTGATTTCTGTGTACTGTTTGCATATCGTCCAATTCAAATAACGCATTTTATTCCGTTCAGAAAGAAGAATCATAATTATGTATAGAGCGCATTTTTTGAAAAACGCGAAGCCAAAACTGAGCAACTCAAGGAAAATCCGGGAAGGGTCCTCCTAATCCACCATTTCCGCGAAAATACTCGGCAGGTGATGACCCGGACAAAAGGGGTCGTAAAGAGCAAGCCCCATTTAACTTCCCGCTGCAAATTGGGGACCCGCTGCTTCGAGAAATCTCACGGCCAGTTGAAACGGAAAATTATGAAAAATTGGAAACGATCGTCAAAGAAATGCAATCAGTGGCAAGAGAATTTGATGCACTTGGGCTAGCTGCCCCGCAAATCGGAATTCATCAGGTTTGAACTCTCAAAGAAGCTTCTTTTAGCATATTTTTTCTTTAGAGAATCATCCTTTTAACCCTCCAAAATGGACGAGAAAAAGTCTTTGTCAATCCTCAAATAGTCGGCAAAAGTACCAAAGTTGTCCCGTCGATAGAAGGATGCCTCTCCGTCCCAGCTCTTGTCGCTTCTGTTCCTCGACACGAGTCGATAAGACTGAAGGCGTTTGACTACAGTAATGGAGAAGAGATTCTACAGGATTTTCAAGGAGATGATAGCTTTTGCCTTCAACATGAAATTGATCATTTGGATGGAGTTTTGTTTCTCGATAGAGTCGAAGATAAAGGAAAGATTCTAATATTTCTGCTTCTAATTTAGTACTTTAATTTGTAAAAAATTGTTGTATCTTTGAAAAGAAGCGATTGGCGTTTCAAATTTTCTCCGAATTCGCGCTGGCGAGAGAAAAATAGTCGACGAACTCGTCCAGCAATCCGAAAAGCTCCCGCAAACAATCGCCCTCACTTCCGTCATTTCCTTCTTTCTTGCCTTATCTATCTCTGCTGCTACCAACTGATGCTTCAATTCAATTCTCAAACTGACGGAAATGATTAGTAGAATGAGCAGCTCGATCTTCACCAGAGCGGCGAAAATCACTCGATCTCGGGTTCAAAAGAAAATCGGCCCCAAATATCTTCCATACAATCACATCGCATTGATAGGTAAGAAGGAAATACGAAATTCCTTACGATATTTGATACTCTGATTTTATGCTGACTGATCAAATATTTGATCGGAGAATCAGAATTTTTGAAAAACGCCCAGTTTGAAAAACGAATTTTACGCGCCATTTTCAATAATTAATCCCGAGTCCTTTATATAAAAAATAAGAAAGAGAAGTCTAATCGTGTTTTCAGGTGATCCAATTCTACGCCAGCCTGCAGCGGATTTCGACGTGAATATCTACAACAGCGTCGACATAAAGACCTTCGAGCAGCACAATCCCGCGATTATCAAATCACTCAACAAAATGGAAAAGTTCGCGCAGTACGGCTGGGTGATCACCGCTCCTCAAGTCGGCCTTCCGATGAAAATAATGCTCGTTCAACTACACCTCGCCCTTGACGAAGACGGATTTACGATCAAGGGGACAGACAAGACAAAAAATTACATCTTCGCGAATCCGGAAATACGGCCTTTGACAAATGAAAAGGCGTTTTCAATAGAATCTTCGCTGTCCGTGCCCGCTCTTTCGGGTGTAGTAGAACGACATCAGGGACTGGTCAAAAAGTGTGGTTGTTTTTGTTTTAAAAGATCTAAGTTTCAAAACATCTGCGTTATTTATCTCACGATCATTTTTTGCACGCAATTGCCACGCTGGCACACTGATTTTTTTTTACCGTTAGAGAGAACATTATCCGCCTTTTTTGACCATTTTGAAAGTTAATAGAGCTGACAGCATATGACCTGGCCGCCCGTAGGATAGTCAAAATGACCCTCACTCCTCCAGATAGTTTCATGGTCCAAAACGCCGTCGATCAACTTAATGGCGTTATCTTCATCGACAAAGTTACAGACAAACACTCAGTAGGAGTGCTAGAATATGATTTAGTCCGTAGTCTCGGCGACATTCGTAATTTAGAGTACTTTCAACAAACCAATATGCCTCCACCAGGGCTAGATATTCAAAAACACCTAACAATTTATAAAGGTTTTAAAACGTTTGCGATTTTAACAATTTTATCTACTGCTCTTTATCTTTCTGTACAAAGTGAACTTGCTAAGCTTGTGAGCGCGTGATAAAGTGGCTAATTACCTAACGGATTTTTTCAAGTTTAGAATTTAATTTTGCTTGTAATCGATCGGAAAATGGCCAGTGAGTTTAAAAAAGCGCTTCTCGAGCAGAAAATGAAGAGGGAGAAGAAAATAGCGGAACAAGGAGTTGATCCTTGCACAGTTGTCGATATGAATATATCGACAAAGAGAAGACCTCTACTGGAATCGAATGTGGAGGCGAAAGAGACGGAGCCGAAAAAACCGAAAATGTCTGATAGGTAAGCTGATTAAATCGTCTGATAAAATTCTAACGGTGTTTCTCAGCGAAATGAGGCGCGCAGAGCGTAAAGCGAAACTTGCCGCGCTGACTGCGCATCTGCGTAACTGCGATTCCGCGGACCAGGGAAAAGAACCATCACACAATTCGATCCTGGAAACCGCTCGTGAACTACCGTCAATTGAATCTGCCTCGCATGTCAACATGACAGAAGCGCCTACTGAAATTTCCCTTCCCGAAACTCCTTCAACGCCTTCCAAGAAAAAGAGCAAATGGGCTCAGATGGCTGCCGAACGCGCTATCTGGGATGACGACAGTCTCCAGCAAACTCCCTCGAAAGCGCCAAAGCCGGACATTGCTTCTGTCCAAAAGTTTTCCGCGCCAAAGCCTCAAGCCCAATCCTCAGGTCTTCCTGTCTTCAAAACCATCGAGCAACCGAGCGTTCCTGTGCCACAGACTTCTGCGAAAGAACAAATTCAAGCGGCACTAGAAAGAGCTGGAAAGAAATCGACGACGATAGTGCCCAAGTCAAAGCATCAAAAGGCCAAATTTTTTGAGGACAGGATCAACTCGCTGATGACTGACTCGCCTAAAGCTACTCCAAAGCCAATTAAACGTAAGAAACACATTTGAATTTATAATTATTTTCCAGTTGTTGAAACGCCGACGAGTTCAAGAGTAGCGCCAGAACCAGAGTCAACCCATGTTATGTCAAAAAATGAGTCGTTGTTGGAGCTAAATAAAGTCAAGAAAGTCAACAAACTTATTGCGTAAGTCATTCGCCTCTTGATCTACTCATCAAGTCAAATTTAGGAACTTCAATACGCCACAGAATCAGCGAACGCCCGAGCAGCGCAATCTGCCTCCAGTATTGCTTGAAACGCGAGAATCGTTCGGAGCAGAATCTGATGAGTCGATGGATGTCGACAAAACTCCTCCAGCACAACATATAGAACCAGAAAGCCTCGATCTCTCTGATTCTGTTAATACAGAGCCGTACACAGTTGTTCCAGCTCGCGAGGAAATGCTTCCAGAGCCACATCTTCCTGTCGCAGAAACTTCAAACGACACTGTCGGTAGCTTCCACAGCTCTGAAAACAACGAGTCCTTGTTGAATGCGAAGATAGAGCCAGTTTCTGAATTCGGCACTCCTTTGCAGTCAACGAGAATTTCCGACAATATCGAGTCCTTTCACATGGACGAATCAGCGAGCGAAGATTTCGTGATGGAAAACACAGTCGAAAATACAGTATCAAATGTGACTGGATACAAACGAGGTCATTCAATGTCATTTGTCAACAATCAATTTGACTTTTGGCCGAGTCGAAGAGCTCCTTGAAGTGCGCATTGAGCACCCGCCGTGAAAGGGATGAGATACTGGAAGATGTGGCAGAAAAGAGCTACTACGAAGAGGGAGATATCGTCAGCCCAAAAGCGAAGAACAAGCGCAGAAGCAACACTGTCGCTTACGACGATACTTCGATAGTCGAGTTCAACCCAAAATCAATCGCCAGTTTTCGCAAAACGCAGCGTTTGAAGAACTACGAGGCCCGGGCAACCGTCTCTAGCGTCTTTCAAGAAGTCGAGAATCAAGAGGTCAGAGTCGATATCACCAAGAGAAAGCGCGAACTCGAGGAGATCGTCTCCAAACAAATGAGCATCATCAGGCAAACAAGCGCAGCTCTATCCGTTTGCACTGATTTGAAGCATGGGAAGGGAACTCAGACTCAAGTCGCGGCGGAGGCATGCCTTTTGGAGGCTACGAAAAAGTATGAAGCGGCAAAGAGTGGCCTGGAGAAGCTGAAAACTGAAAAAGGGCTTTCAGTCGGGAAGCTCGAAATTGGTGACATTCATCTAAGGTAACAAAAGCACTCAATATCTCTTCTCATACTTTCTTCCTTAGAACTCGTTACCAGGAAACCTTCCAAAGTCCTCAGCATCTCAACTCGACCCACTGGATGATGGCGATTGTGCAAGTCGACGACCAAGTGCACGTAACATCAGTCAAAGAAATAAAAAACATTCGCGAACAAAAGTCGCTGATTCTTGACTCACGATGTACTTTCAAAAATGTGCGGCAAGATTTTGTCATCGATGTTTCCATTTACTCGATGTCAACACAGATGCCAAAGGTTGAACCCAAATCCAAGCAACTTGCAAGCGGAAAGCTTTTCAAAAAACTTGGGTTCAAAAAGGTAATAATTTCTCAGATGATTTTTTGATAAAAAGCATGTTCAGTCGACATCGGTCGAAAAAATTCCATCTAATCCAGCGATGATGTCTGCGGGCGGACCAAACGCTGTGCGCAAATCGAACTTCCGATCAGTTGGTTCTGCTTCGATCACAATGGACACGGCACAGTCATACGAGCAGTACAAACTCCGTACGACTTGGGACTCGCTGATCCAATCGGTTTTTGCGATGCCGGTTGAGATGAAGTTCACAAAGAGCACCGCGTTCTCCACATTCTTGACTGTCCGAAAAGGCGGTGACTCACGTAAGCCTTCGCTACTTACTTCCTATTCTTACACAATTCTTAGACTACGGAGATTGGCGACGATACTGGGCGGTTCTCAGCCGAGACAGGATTACTTTCTGGAAGTATCCTGAAGATCAAGAAGATCTTCCGCAGGAAGGCTACATTAGTCTTCGATATGCGCTCAACGAGGAGGTAAATCAGTCTATTATTTCTCTCCTCTTCAACAATTTTCAGGTGAAAACAGCAAATCGAGCAATGACTTCCCGTCCAAATTGCTTCGAGTTGTACTGCGCACCCTCGCTGGCGATCAGAAGCGCAATCCAACACACTTCGAAGGAATCGTCTCATCTTACGATCCCAACAAGTTCGTCAGATACGTTTTTTCTGCTGACGACAACGAGCAGAAGAAAGAATGGTGCAAAGCCTTGAATAGCACACTTAACAAGCTTCGAGTGTGGCACAAAGATTTGCCTGCTCCGGTGCCCGACTCTCTCGGAAGCTAGGCCATTTTTAGCTAGACTGTACATAGAAAATACTATTATTCACATTTGCATCACTTTCAGAGCTGTACATAATTTCCCGCTCATTTAAAATCCAAACACGATTCACATTCCACTATTTTTCTCTCATCACAAAGCTCATCTCGATCACCCCCATTCACCCCATGCTAAATCAAATCTTATCTGAGCTGCCCTACACTCTGTCACATTCCAAATAAAGCCACAAGCCTTGAACTTTATTCTTCTGTATTTTCTTGCAAAAAGCAAATATGCTGAAGTACGTAATTCAGCACCGTTTATATTGGCCCTGGGCGTTGGGAAACGAATATGAAAGGTCGCCTTTGTTCTCAACGTCGATGAAGCATAAGATAATTGAGCCGTAGTAAAAGCTCGAAAATGGTTTTTAAATTGCCGAGATTGAAAAAAACTGAAGTTCTCTTCGCACATGTTGTTTGGTGGTTGAATTTTACGTATCTGCTGATTGTTACTGGTAATTAAAAGGAACTTAAAATGTGCTTATTAGTGATTCGTAGGCATTGAAGTTCAATCGTACAAAAAGCGCCTTACTGGCCTCGGCCACTTGAAACCAGGATGGCTTACCAAACTTTTCAATGTCTTTGGCGTCGAGAAAATCCAGCGTTTTCACCAGCGAGATCGGCGTGACGGCGAGTGGGAGCAGTTCATCAAGGCTGGGCCTTTGTTATTCCTCGTTGTTCCCTTTGTCTATACTTCTTTTTATCAACTATTCCGTCTTTTACACTTTCGAAAAATAATCCAACGAGGGATTCTATTCATTCTTTCTGTTGGCATCCTGACATGGCTTCTTACTTGGCAAGGAATGCTGATTATTTCCTCCTTGACGGTCGTTTTCTACGCTCTTGGTCGACTTCGAGAGAGATTCATCATATATGTTGCTGCTTTTCTTTTTGTCACGCTCATCAACGACTACGAGTGGGTTTTCACTCAATTTCTCGATCCAGAACTGCCTAAACGATGGACCTACTTTCTTGTCTTTTCGATCTCAACTCAAGTTTTCCGTCTTATCTCCATGTCGCTATTTATCGCGGCTCAAGAAGACAATCCTGATAGCCTCTTTGACGCCCTAGAGTACAATTTCTTCCTTCCCGTTTTCTGTGGTCCTTGGTTCATTTATTCTTTTTATCGAAAAGACCGAGATAATCGTGTGTTTACGACGAGTTTTGTTGATCTTTTCAAACAATTTATTGGCCTTGGAATCTTATTCGTATTTATTGAGTTTTACCTCCATGTGATTCCCTTTTCTTCGTTCGCTTATGATCCACGATCTCGTAAAGGTATTTCGTTTATGTCTTATAAATTTCTGATTAATTTAATTAGACATTTCACTTGTCGGAGTTACTGGAGTCGCAATGTACGCGGTCCAGCATTTCTGTTTGAAATACATGGTCATGTATGGAATTGGGTCTTTTTGGTCTCACCTCTGCGGAATCCGAACACCAGGCGGTCCGCATCAAGTATCAACCCGATGTACTTTCCGTGATATGTGGAGAGAATTCGACAAAGGCCTTCATTTATTCTTGAAGCATTGCATTTACTTGCCTATTTGTACTTCGCGGGCAACATGGAGGGTAATCGTTGGGACTGTGGCAAGCTTTTTCACTGTCTATTATTGGCATGGAGCTACAGAAACATGCAGAGACTGGGCCACAGCTAATTGTGCTGGTGTTATGCTTGAATTCTTGATTTACAGAGCGTATCAAACTCGTTTTGTTCAAAGGTTTAGCAGATGTTTTACGTGCCCTTATAATAAAAATTTTTAGCCTCCCCTCATCAATAACTGGTAGATTCAATATCTTACTTCAATCCGTTTTATTTGGCTGGCTTATCCTCTCAAACCTGATTTATTTGTTCCAATCCGATGCTGCATTCCAGATCATCAACAGAATATACTTTGAAAACGCTCAATATACTTTTTATCTCCATTTTGTTCTCTACTCTGGTGTTATTTCAATCTCAACAATTTGGTCGAAAAATATCCAAATTGAACCAAATTAGTTTACTTTTCCCTGATGAACAATAAACTCGTTCGAATCATGAACTGTATGTGATTGTATTGACCTATAAGAATGACAGTGAATTCGGTATTTGAAGAAGACTTGCCTAAATACGGCGCTTTACTGAATGATATCGACCATGAGTTGGATCAAATATCTGAAGTGGTCAAGAAAGTAGACAGCTCGATTGACAATGAGCTATCAAATCATAAGGATGGGCTTGATCTTTTCGGACTCAAGGTTTGTCTTTGAAACACTTTCTTTTTTTAACAAACGACTAGAACTCTTGTATGAGCATGTATCTAACAGACTTGCTGAATGTTGTTGGATGCCAATTGTCTGGCGTATCGATTTCCGGCTCTCCACTGGTAGATAGACTGATAGAAGAGCGAGTTGTCATGGAGAGGATAAAACCTTTGGAAGACAAAATCAGCTACAAAACTGAGAAGCTCACCAAAATGGCTTCGGGAAAGATGGCTAAGGATGATCCCCTCAATCAAAAACCGGCTGATATTGACGATATTGATTTTGGTGAGGCAAATTCGACGTATTTGCTTTATTTTCTTGATTCAGGATCTGATGACGAGGAAATGGAAGACGAGGAACAGACGACTAAAAAGTCGACCGGAAAATACGTTATTCCTAAAAATCGACAAGCATTTTATGATGAACCTGGAACAGATAAAGCTGAAGAGCGCAGAAAGAAAAAGGCGATTCGCGGTGCGATCGCGGATGAATTGATGAAGGATACAGACGAGCCGGAAGAGATTAATACTGGAGAATTGCATCAGTCCGGAAAAATGTCCGCTAGGTAACATTTTGTTTTCAAATTTCCGATTCTGTATGAAACTTTCAGACTTTTGAGAGAGGAAAAAGAAAAGAAGATTTTCGAAGAAGCATACATGACTCGAACGCGCGTTGAGAAACGAGATAGGTAATTAAACTTAAAGTAAGAAACTAAGAAATTCTTATTAATGGATCAATCATCATATCTTTTAAAGACACAAAGAGAGAGATGCGATGAAAAGGAGTGAACTGGATACATTGACTCATTTCGGCGACTATTCTGGACTCACAGGAGGGAAAGGAGAGCCTAAGCCGAAGAAAAAGAAGATGGCTGGTGGAAAACGCAAGAAGCGTTAATTTCTGTCTTGTTTGAAAATAAAAAAAAAACAACCAGGAAAAAAACTCTAGTTATTTTCTCTGTTCATAGAATGGAAAATGAAGCGTATCCGGACGACTTTCCCGAGGAGCAGCGCGCGGGAAACTGTCTATTTTTCTGTCGGTTGTCCAAAGCAAATATCCTGCTCCAACTTCTCAAGGGGCTAATGATCAATCCTTCGTGCATGGTTTCATTTGTCATCAATGAGTCCGGCATTTCCATCGTCTCTGAGTTCGAAGCGTGCATTGAAAGCACAACTGATATGAAAAGAGCTCTCTTCGAGGAGCTAACCTTGCCCGAACGGGTGGTGAAATTTTGCGTCCAAGGATCGGACTTGACATCCGCCTTGTCGTTAGTGCAACTGGCTGCTGTTGAGATCTCACAAGTTGAGGAAAATGAGCCGTTGCTGGTGAAATTGATCGAGGATGGCATGACTGTTGATGTTCATATTCAAGGTAAAAGTAAACCTATTCCCTGTCTAATTATCCTCAACAGTTTTTGACGTCGATGCACAACTATCCTTCGAATTCGACAACGATAAAGAAATCCCACGATTTGTCCTTAATGCGAGGAGCCTCCGCGAAGCTATTGAGAACTGGGATGTCATCGGCGCGTCGACCAAGATTGTCATGAGCCCTGATGCTCCTCACTTCTCATTCATCTCCAAGGGCCTTGTTGGAAAAGTAAGGATTGATTTTGCGGAAGAACTTTTGAACGAAGAGATGGATTTTCAATGCAAATATTATGTAGCGCGAAGATATCGGACCGACTTTATGAAGGCTGTGTTGACTCCTTCAAAGTAAAGCGCTATTCTCTATAAAACTTTATTTATCTTAATTTAGAGCATCTACTCGCGTGGCTTTTCGAATTGACAAAAATGGACTGCTTCACGTCAAACACATGGTCACAGTATCCACAAACGAACTTTCTACAACTGACGTTTTCCTCAACTTTGTTGTCAATTCCGAAGTTCTCCTCGATGGCGAAGGCGACGGTGACGAAAACGAAGAACCCTTTGAAGAAACTGTGTGTCCAGAGGAATCCACTCACGGAGTCCTTCTTTAAAAATCTAATAGTTCACTCATTTTAGCTCACTTTCACAAATTTATGCACTGCCGTTTTTCTTCAATTACGGAAAATAATCACGTGATTAATATTCTGATGCTTCTAGAACACGAAAGGAGCCTGTTTTTTATTCAAACAACAGCAGAATTTTGAATCAGTCGAAAATGAGCAGTCCATCGGAGAACAACGAACCCGGCAGAGTAGACAACCTCGTTGGAAATGTCACCGCCGCCGCTCTCAGGGAGATGAGGCTCGATTCTATGTCCCCGCAAGAACCTGACAGACCGAACCCCTCTCCCCTTCCGGTAAGCTTGATTTAAATTGCTTCAATGCAGCGTTTTTTAGTTTGTTTCGGCCCGTCCGATGGACCCTGTCGAAATGTACTCGCAAGAGACAGAGACGACAGTGACAGAAACGTCGACCCGGGTAACTGGCGAACGGGAAACTGACACAACAGTCTACCCCAATGACCAGCCTACCGGGGGTGACGCGGGAATGGAAGCGGAAGACGTCGAAGTCACCGTCCTCGACCCCGATCATCCCTTGATGAGACGCTTCCAGGAAGCGTTTCGGGAACAAACTCAGAAACAAATCGGTAAATTTTTTTATTTGATAAGCACATTCATAATTGCATTTAGATGAGTGGGAGCTTCGGGATCGCGAGCTCACAGCAGCTAATAAGCGCTATCAAGAGCAGAGAGAAGAGCTCGGAGTGAATTTATACGAACTCCAACAAGAACTGGGTCGTCAGCAAGCAATTGTCGAAGAAGAACATGACAAGCTCGCCGAAGAAGCTCAAAAGCGCCGACAAGTTGAACAAAGTCTGGCTGCGACCAAAAAGACCTTCAAGACGAAGAGCGATCTTCTCCGATCTGGAATCAAGAGAAATCAAGAGCTCCAGACGGAGAATGAGATGGCAAGTGGGAAGCTCTTTGCCATGCAAAATGCCAAGGAAGATGTGCGAAAAGATATTCAGACGATGCGCGGTGCTGCTGAAAAGGCAGACACTGAGCTTACCAAGGTAATTCTCCTTTCCAAAAATTGATATTTTACTTTTACTCTTCTAGGCCGAGCTAGAGAAACAGCGACAAGATATGCTTGTCCATCGCCTTGAAGAACAGCTGGACATGATTCGACAAGAAATCGACATGTACAATGTCCAGCGAAAAGCTCAAGAGTCAGAAACAAAGGCGACCAAAGAGCAGCTCCTTGACGCGCGTACTGAAATCGAATCAATTGAATTCGAGCACAAGCAGCTCTACCAGCAATGGAACTCGTGTCTCCTTGGCATGCGCAGACGAGACGAAGCCCTCGCCGCTGTGACAAAGATCCGAATGAACAGCGAGCATGAGATCAAGAAGCTTGAGACGGAGATCGACGGGTACAAAAAGAGCATTCAAGATGAAGAGGATCTCAATGAAAAGCACACGCTCTTGCTGAACCGAATAGAAACTGCGATCACCAGTACCAAAAAAGATATCGAGTCCACTAAGCAAGAGCGAGTGGAGTGGCAGCAAAAGCAGGCTGCTTACTCTCGAATCCTGACTGAAAATGATGCTGCTCTTGCTCGGACTAACGCGGAATACTATCAGATGGAGTCAAAACTCGAGGCATTCCGTAGTGTCCTTGAAAAAGAAGCAGACAAAATCATTAAACTTCAAGCAGTACTCAACAAGGAGCTTATGGATAAGATGACGCAAGAGAAATCGAAGGAATTCTCTGACAAGGTTACTGGGCAAGTGTCATTCAGAATGCGAGAGGTTGAAATGGAGATTAACAAACAGACTAATAAAGGTAAATTTGACCCAATTTTGTCAAGCTTTAATTTATTTCTTTAGCTGCTTTGGATGACCAGAAGATCACCGAAACACGCGCGAAGATCTGGGAGTCAAACGAAAAGCTCAAAGTACTCAATGATCGAATCGAAGAGCTCGATAAGCAGACAACAGACAGTGAAAATGGCATCACTAGAATGCGCGCTCAAGTCGAACGCAAGCAGACTATCATCGATCAAATGTCGAAAAAGCTTCATCATCTCGTCGAAAACGCCGGCGGCGAAGAACTTGCACCCTTGGAAATGGAAGTCGCAAGTTTGGGAAAATCGCTGGAGCAGTTGTCCACCGATATCGCTGAAGCGGAGGTGGCCTGGCTCAAGCAGCAGCATGAATTGGTCAGAATCAACCAAGAAAAAGATCAGAAAAATAGAGATGTCAAAGCACTTACCAAAAAAGTCACAATCTTGCAGCAGAAGAAAATCAGAATTGAATCCGAAATCGAAGCAGATAAACGAGAATACAAGTAAGTCATATTTTTGATTGATCAGAAATTAAATCTTGAATTCAGGGAAGTCGAGAGAAATATAGAAAAATTGCGAATCCGCATGGATAAAGCGAGCACCTTCTCCCACATGAAGGAGCAAAAAGCCGTTCAACTGGAGCAGGACAACAAACTTCACGAGCTCGAGTTTATCCAAGAACTCAAGGACAAGGAAATGGACCTGCTCAATCAGCAGCGAAGACTCGAAGAGCTCACTGTGAATAATAAACGTCTCGAGGAGGAATTGATTGAAACTGAGAAGCTTGTGCTTTTGTGGGAAAGAAAAATTCAACTCGCAAAGTAAGTAGTTTATTTTAATAAATAGGGATCATGAATCTAGGTTGACGTATAGAAAAAGTAACTGAATCTGTAAAAGCATTTTATACCTTTTTATTTTATACTTTTTTTTCTTTTCTGAGATGGGTCTAGAGATTTTGTACTGGATTTATTGCTCAAAAATAGGGCGAATTCGAAGTTCGTATTTTCTCTTGTCTAATAAAAAAATTTATTATACGGCAAAAATGCAGACCCTTTCATAATAATTTTCAGGGAAACGATTGCCGCTGTCAACTCCGATGTTTGCGCTGGCGAGATCGCAAAGATGAAGTCCGAAATCCACCGTATGGAGCTCAAGTACAAAGAACTCATGAAAGAACAAGAGCGTCTCATGCGCGAAATGGAGCACGCCGTCACCCGCCGCGATACGATTCAGCCTCGACCACCAGTGCCGGGTACGCGCGAGTCCAAAACGCCGACACGTGGAAGTCTTCAGAAAAAGATCATGGAGCTCAAACGAACGGTCAAAAATATGGGCACGACGGTAAAGCAGACTGAGACCAAGATCACTGCTCTTCGGGCGCAATCGGATGGACTTTCGAATGACCTCGAAGATATGCAGATCAAATCGTCTCAGTGGGAATCCAAAGCAAAGGAAATTGATGAAATGATCACGAGAATGGAAGAAGATAAACATGTCGTAAGTAAAATGTCTTGAAATTTTTTAAATTTGGGTAATGCAGCTTCTTATTTTGCATTTTCAGAACCTTATTGAGCTGGTTATCAAACAAAATAAGACCAAGGAATACCAAAAATTCTTGGAGAAAAAGTACAAGCCTGCTTGCAAGGTAAGCTCCCTCATTTTTTCAACTATCACAACGAAAAATTTACAGGACCCTGAAAACTTGCCGCACGAAGTTGCCAAAGTCGAGGAGAAATTCGAGCACCTTGGCAGCGTCGTCGATCAATTCCGAGGAAAGATCGGTAGTACCCCTGAAATCGAGCGCGCAGATCAACTTCTCGGACTCCAGCCAAAACTTTAAGGAAATCGTCTCGCTATTTCTGTGCCTCTGATTATTTTTTCTACGATCTACTGTTACAGCCTGTTTCTGAGTTATATTTTTATACTAAGCCCTAAGAATATATATTTTTATAAAATCGATTCGCCTTTTCATATTGCTTGGTTTCAGAGTCACTTCATGTCTAAAATAGCAGGGAGCTCATTTTCCATCTCAGTTCGGGGTCACATTTCGCATGCTGAACTGCCCATGTTGAGAGGAATGGACTTGATGTGCAAGTATTCCTATGAAATGGGGTCTGACTGGGTTGTTGCTGCTGGTTTGGAAGAGGGTTTTTCTCAGGTAAAAAGGACCGGAAGAGGCTGTATAAAGGGACTGTTTAGAGATGCACAAGTGGAAACGAGGAATTCGTTTTCAATCTTCCCATGGATTGCACCTTCAAATCTACGAATCCTTCCGGCTGGCCGAGAATTGTCATCGAACTTATTGGCCAAGATAATTTTAACCAAGATCAACCACGCGGTTTCTGGTTTGCTTACTTCTTTCAAAAATCAAATAATCCATGAATGTAGCTGGGCACTCGTTCCACCCATTCCAGGCTCCAGGAAAATCCGCACCGCTATCTATCTTCCTCAGGCTAGCTCTAAAATGCAGGCTCTTAGGTTCGTTCTCTTTGTTGTCTCCCAAAGGTTATGCTCTTTTATTTATTTAGCCACTGGTTCACCGGAAACGCGGTCAATTTCACCGATCCAAAAATAATTGCGCGTCCAAACGGACGAGAGATGACACGAGTACAGTCCGTCGGATATGTGACAATTCAGTTTGATGTTACTGCGTCGGGACTTTCCAAATTTGGCTACGACTTTGGCAAAGACAGCTAATCGCAATGAACTTTGAAGTGTATCCACTTATTTTTTTACTGCCTCTAGTTCGTACTATCACCTCTTTCTTTTTATTTTTTGACAAGCAAGATTCTTTTACTTTTATAAAAAAATTGATTCAAAGCAAATTTGTATTTTTCAAATTGATTAGAATGAGTGGCGCAGGGTCTCCTACCTACGGAACGGGCGATAACAATGTTTTACAACAGACCCAAAATCAGGTAATTTATTATTGAGCGAAGATCCATTTGAGGGTTCATTCAATTCTCCTCAATTACGCGTACATCGGATGAGTAACTTTTCAGTAAAATGATCCCCGAACGTCGATATACCAGCGCATCGTAAAACAACAATTACCAGCTTTTTTTGAAAAATTTTCTCTAGATCAATTGAAATACTTTATTTTTATTATGTATGAATCGTTTATTACTCGCCCGGGAATAATGACCCCCTCATGCCGCAGCAGTGACGTTGACCTTGAAATTTGGTTTAAAATTTTTTGATTTTGAAAACTTCCAAATATCACTTTTCAAACCAAACTCAGTAGGAGAAACCTCATCAAGAGACAACTCTTATATTAAATACCATGCTCAGGCAATCTAATCTCACGATCGAAAGTTCGAAACATTGATTTTAGGTCCAAGAAGTCGTCGGAATCATGCGCGGAAATGTGGAACGCGTGCTTGAAAGAGATCAGAAATTGAGTCAGCTGGATGATCGCGCCGATGCTCTTCAGCAAGGAGCCAGTCAGTTCGAATCGCAGGCAGCCAAGCTCAAGAGAAAGTAAGAACTTTTGACAAGCCCTTTTATAAAAAAAAAACTCTAGGTACTGGTGGCGAAATATAAAGATGTGGATCATTCTGGGCATTGTTGCCGCTGTGGTCATTATCATCATTGCAGTATCAGTCTCCTCCGGCAAAAATGAAGACGAGGACGACCCTAATCCTTAGAATCGAAGCATAAATTTGCCAAATCAGGAACAAAATCAACCGAATCCAGAATTCACTCTCTTCTACAACAACTGATCTTTACCACTACAGCTCTCAAAGACAAAGCAAGCACCATTTCTTAAGAATTTACTAAACCTTTCTCTGTACCCGAATATAGTTCATTAAAGAAATTCTCATTACACTCTCTAGCGTCTTTCATATTTCATCTATTTAACAGAAACAAAGCAATTCATGTATTCTATTTCATAAAAAAATAATTTAAAAAAACATTACATTTCTGTTTTCCTCCTTTCAAAACAAGGAAACACATCAAACTGGAAATAACTTGAATGAAAATTGAGAAATTCAGATAATTGAAGATGTGCGACCCTAGCACCCACGGAATTTCGCAGGAGCTGCGGAATGAATTTATAAACCAGCAGTTTACTTCGGACTTTGATCAGAATGGATGTGATGTTACTATTTTGGCGGTCGACGGGGAGACTATTTATAGGTAGATAAAGAAAAAGTTTGCTTACTCCATGTTTCTCAGCCACGGGATGATTCTTTCCTGCCAAAGCCCGATCTTTCGCCGTACAGTAAAGAAAGAGTCGAAGGTCAAGTGTCGCTGGCACTCGCAGGTCGTCAAGTCCCTTCTTTCCTACATGTACGGAATGCCCTGTCAGCTCGACAGTCCCAACTCGATCGTAGAGCTCTTATTATGTGCGACTTATTACCAGGTACCAAATCAACTACAAGAATAATCCTAAATAGATCTGGCAATTAGATCGAGTGGCTTTGCGAAAAACTCACCTGTATGCTTAAAAGTGATCTATCAGCAAATAAGACGCCTGTGCAAGATGAGGAGAATCTCGCTCTATCTTACAAGCTCTGTTTATTGCTGCAAGATATGGACGTTGAAACTCGAGCTCCGTATGACCCGCTTGTCGGGCCCCTTTTCGAGTTTTGCTGCGAGAAAATTAAGACAGCTGCTTCGTGCTCCAATTTTCCTGACAAGATAAATATTTCGGAATCGATAGACACTATCATGGTAAGAATCTTGTTCAAAATAGAAATATAACTAAACTCAAGGAAACGCAATGGCCAAAAGGACCGATTTCAGCTGAGGGCGAACCATTGCAACTTCTGTTGAGCTTCTTTCCTGCTCTGTGTCCGATCAACACTGGTTTGGACGACATCAAAGTTGAAATGATTCCTCGAGATGGAATTCGCCAGATGCTCCGTTTTCAAATCTTCGGGCGTATCCATTCAGTTCAAGAAATGATGCTCATTGCTGTGAAAAATGCTCAACGAGAGTTTCCTTCTGTCATTTACTTTCGCGAAGAGGCAGCTCAGTTGATCAAAATTGGCGATAAAGGTAGCTAGAATACTGGTTCACAGCTAGAAGTCCAATTCTAGTTATTCAAGAAGATAACACTCCTGAAAAGTATTTCCATTCTCGTCACGCAGGAATCGGTCAAGTCAGCGATTTCTGTGGCCCAAAATCAGCTGGCATCGGCTGCGGCGGTTGCAAAAAGCACGTCTACGTCGACTGGGGCGATCAAAAGTGCTGGTGTCGAATGGGCTACGAAAACCTTTACGAACTCAAACTGCTACGCTGAAGTCAGAATCCCCTCGCTCATTCTCCGAATCATTCATTTTCTTCCACTCTTCCTGTCCCTTTTTTCAACTTGAAATTTTCAATCTTCAAAAACCATTCCGAGTTGCGGATAATTTCTTCATCAACTGTCTCGTTACCTGTCGAAAAATATCAGTGTAGATATTATTTATACAAATGATAATAAAAACTGGAATTCCCGAAAGCTCAAATCAGAATTTCTTTCAAGAACTAATCGAGTCGATAAACATGAGCTCCGACCAAGTTATAAAACCATCCATGGTCGTTTTTGCCTTTGATTCTCTTGGTAAGCCTCGCACTTTTTCTTTAGTTCATTTTTTAACAGTAAATCGCCTAAATGGTCAACCTTCGCCGCCTATCCCAGCCGACTTTCCTTCGCAGCCATTCCCTTTGTTCGTCACCTGGAAGCTAGGTCCGAAATCCCGAGTGTTTGGCTGGAAGACCTCGTCAAATGGATAGTAAGATTTGCCCGTTGTTTCCTGCAGAAATATCCTGAGCCTAGTCTTAGAGGATGCATCGGTTGCTTTGCCGATCTCGAGTTGGGCTCTGGAATCGAAGAATATGCCCTAACCGCCGCTCTCAAAGACTCAAGATTTCCTCCCGTCCAAATGAATGAAGTTCCTGGACTCAGTTGTACAGTCAGTCTGCTCACGAATTTCGAGGAGTGTTCCAACTCATACGACTGGACTTTGGAGAATCACGGGATCAAGATCCGATTCAATGCGTAAGCTAAGAGTTCCAGAAATCACTAGTTTCGCCAACTTTTGTAGAAAAGGAAGGCAATTCTCGGGCACATATCTTCCCAACGTTGCGATGGAGCAAGGATGGAATCAACAAGAAACCCTTATTAGCCTCATTCGAAAAGCGGGCTTCAAAGGCCAAATAACCGCTGATTTTATCAACTCACTATCTGTAACTCGCTATCAAAGCCAAACATGTTCATTTTCTTATGAGCAGTATCTTCAAGCAAAACAATAAAGTACTTCAGTATTCAAAATTGCCATGATTTGAAACTCAACTCGAATTTCAAGAATTGTTGTTGTTGTCTTGTCTACAGATTTTTCGGTAGGCAGTGGCAGTACTATTAGTTGATTCATACGTTACATCTCTCGGAGGGAGATTCTCTCTGTAATTATTTGGGAAGCAAAGAGCCCTCGCACTAAAAGCAAATCAGCTCGAGTGGGAAAATTTTGCGTAGCTTACGTTGAATAAGAATAGCCACGGATAACTTGATGGTCCTTCTCTCGGAGTCTTTTTGCTTTTGCATTTCTTACTGGTTGTCCACTTCGAATATGGGATCAGTCACTTTAGCTTAAGCATCACATGTTATTATTGGTGGTTATCCCACTTTTCCTGCACCAGTTGATTCCCGTTTTATCTCCACTAAAGTAACGCTTTCTGTACCCGCTAATTTTTCTGAAGACGGGTTAATCTTTTTCTTGGTTTGGGACTTACGGTCGTGAAAACATATTGTAACCCATAGGATCTTCGTAAGAATATGTTTTATCTAGATAGCCGTATTCCCAGAGATTATTGTCTTCAATAAAAGTCTTGTTCAGTTCGAGTAGGACGCATCCGACAGTGACATTTATGTGAATAATAACTCGGTCATCTTCGTCAAACACCGCATTTTTACAGATGAAGTGATTCGGTAAAGACGGAAGTATATTCCGAATATCTTAAGCATTTTCAAATTGGTAAGAATAATTCAGTTTCTATATTTACCCAATATCGCGCACAGTTCACTTTTTTCGTAAACAAAAGAAACTGCTTGATCTTGTAGAAACTCTTCATTAGCTTCTTTCCTTGATTGCTCGTCTTCCAAAAGCCAAAATATGGACTTAAACTCGTGCCCCTTTTCGATGACTCTGAAGACCGAACGGGGCAATGTTTTGTTCTCTCTCTCACAGATGGTTTTTGCCTGATCGTATTTTAGTAACTCCGGGTGTTGTGATGCGTTTAACGCTTTAAATATAAGTTATGCTTATCGCTAGACAATCCAAAACCTTTTCCGTCGATAAAAACCTGCAGTTTTTCTTTAATCTGTCCCTTTGAACTGATATTCGCCTTTCGACTTAACCCTCTGCGTGACGATCAGAACTACCCCTATGCGTGACGCGGATGCATTCAGTGCATCCGACCCATCTAGAACAATTTTTTGCTCATTTTTGCCAATTTTAGAAGAAAAACAGCCTGAATTCGCTGTTTTCAGTGTCTCAGAGACCGAAATACCCCCTTCTTCGGCGGCGAAACGGGCTCGAAGTTACGTAACATGCATCAAAATAGCTGTTCTCGAGACGAAAAATAGTAAAATTAGGACATTTTTTACGTTTTTAGGTTATTATAAAATTTGTTTTCTAAATGTTACGAAGCAGATTGGATGTGCTTTTGGACGTAGATTCTTATTCTTTTTAAATTTCTGAATTCGGGCGAAATTTGAGAGAGAAATGGGCAGAAAACCATGAGCGGATGCACTGAGTGCATCCGCGTCACGCATAGGGTTAATAATTAATAATTCTCGAATATTACCGAAAGTCAACTTACGCGGGAGGGAATAAAATGGGCTTTCCATTACTGTAATGCTGAAGAACTTCATTTTCTTGTTTTTCGAAAGAATATCGCAGGACGATCAAAACTCTATAATTTTTTATATTCGATTTGCTCTCCGATTCTTACATGGACACAATGATGCAAAATAGAAAAAATGCACTCGTCCATCTATTTTTAAACAGCATTTTGCTCTCTATCCGATTGAATAAGCTCTTTTTATTTTCAATAAAAGTTGCTCAGCCAAAAAGTACCATGAAAATATACCATTATATCAACATTATTATCTTGTTAAAATAAACATATTCTCAATTGGTTGATCGAGTTGGGAATTATGACGGTAAAGATACGTTTATTACAGGGTGGAAAATGTCCTATAAAATCGATGGCAATGGCATGGGATGGCAAGCCAATTTACCTTTACATTAATATAAATTAGTTTTATAACAGTTTATTGCAGTTTTAATAGATTTTTGTTGCTGCTTATTTTCGTTGTCATTTTAAAAGCATAGAGCCCTCGCACTAAAAAATAAGAATTAGCAAGCAAAAATAAATTTTAAGCAAACGTTGAATAGGAATAGCCGCCCACAACTTGATTGTCCATCTCTCTGAGTCTATTTGCCTTCGCTATTTTCGCCGGTTGTCCACTTTGGATATGGGATCAGTAAAAATCATATTGGTTAAGGCAGTTTTATTTACTTATCCCACTGTTCCTGCACCAGTTTATTCCAGTTGTTTCTTCGGAGAAGTTGCGTTTCGTGTACCCGCTTATTTTTCTTATTGCAAAATAGATTTCTTTTTCTAAATTTATCACTTACGGTCTTGCGTATGATTTCTTGTTCATATGATCTTCATAATAAAATGTGACATCAAAATGGCTAGATTTAAAAAGATTTCTTGCTTCTATGAACGTCGCGTTGAGTTCGAGCGGGTCGCAGCCAACAGTTACATTTATGTGGAGAACGACGCGATTATATTCATCATAAAGAGCATCTTCGCAAATAAAGATACTCGGTAAAGGTGTTGTCAAAGTGAGAGGTCCAGTATCTTGAAAATCAAATAAAAAATCAGGATATGTTTCCATAATTCGTTCACCTAAAATCGCACAGAAACCACCGCCGCCATTTGCTGTAACAAAGGAAACGCCCAGATCTTCCAAGTACTCATCATTCGCTTCTTTTCTTGATTGCTCGTCTTCCGCAAGCCAAAATATGGACTTATACTCGTGCCCGTTTTCGACAACTCTGAAGGACGAACGTGGCAAAGTTTTGTTCTCCCACTCACAGATGGCTTTTGCCTCGTCGTATTTTACTAAGTCCGGATGCTGTGATGCTTTGACCACTGCAAAATATTTTGTTTATTGTCAAAAATCGACCAACCTTTTCCATCGATGAGAACCTTGAGGACTTCTTTTATCGGTTCTTTTGCTTTTTCCTTTACTTTCCGACTAATCACTATTTTACTCATGAATATCTATCTTACAAACAATGTAGGGAAGAATATGGGCCTTCCATTGCCGACGTTGTACTGCGGCAGCATTTCGTTATCTGATCCATCCAAAGCAAATCGGAGAACAATCAAAATGCTTGGAAATTGTTAATTGTATTTTATTGCGTAGAATTTCTTACATAGCCGCTGAGACGCAAAAGGCAAAAATAATCATCGTCCATTTATTTTGAAAAAGCATTTTCCATCGTATCTCATTGTGACTAAGGAAGCACAAGAGCTTTATAATGTAGGCCATACATGAGTTTGCCATGTCAGATTGCTCACCCAGAAAAAGTACATTACGAACATCTACATTTTTATTGAAGCAAATTATCTTTATAGTATAGGCGGAGTCCTACAAGTACGATCACAAGCAAACATGAAAGGTAGATGCACGTAGTATTTGAGCCTTTGCTGGAAACAGTTACTACCAATAAATGTACTTTCCTGATTTCATCCCTGCTAATACTCTGCATTCAAAACAATCTCTTCGTCAATCAAATCCATATGAATATAAGGATTCAAGTTTTCTCTTTTTTATGAAGAAGATATTTTTATTTTATCATTTTGTCACATAGAAGCAGTGAATAATCCGCTTTAATAAATACTTGAACAGAAAGGAACTTTTTACTCCTGTGCTCTGGCGTACTTGACGCACTTAGCCATAACTTTTGAACTTCTGGTGATGGAATCTGTGATATAGTACTCAGAGAGCTGGGTCTGGTTGGCGACAAGTGGTTCGTTTGCCATTGTGCTGGGTTCAGCTGGAATCTAAGCAAATTTGAGGAGAGGATTTTGATGATCACTTACCGAAATCGCGCTTTGTTCAAGAGAATCGAATTTAACTAAATGAGGAGCAACTTCTCGCACTCGGGATCGGACTTCTTTGAGGGTGTCGTATGGAAGCTTAAGATAAATTTATAGTGAATCGCTGGTCGATCCACTTACAGTAAGGTTGCTAAGCTCAGAGAGGACTCGGACGATCTTCCAGTCTTCTCGGGCAGCTCCAGGGGGAGTAATAGCGGTTCGAGTGACCTGGACTCGGCCTTCAGTGTTAACGTAGGTACCGTTCTTCTCGGTGTAAGCGGCAGCTGGGAGGATGACGTCAGCAGAGGAAGCACCAGCGTCACCGTTGTGTCCGATGTAAATGATCTTGCCAGTGGAAGAAACCTAAAACTAATTCAGCCGCTGTATAACAGAAAGATCATTACATCATCTCGAGTAATGAGACCCTCATCAGCGCCGAGGTTGATGATAACATCAGGCTTTCGGCCCTTGATGTGTTCAACACCAGTCTTGTAGCCAAGATCGAGAGCGCCAACAGTAGAAGCAGACTTGTGCATAATATTGAATGGGTTCCAGCCTTCGGGGGTGTTCAAGGATTCGCACATTTTCTTGACAGACTGGTGGATAGCAGAGCCATCGGCTCGCTCAAAGACGGAAGAACCAAGGATGACCATGGGTCGCTCGCATTCAGCGAGTTCTTCGCAGATTGGGTGGGTGCCGTTAGCGATGTCATTGATGACTAGTAAATTAAAGAAAAAGTTGAGTAGAGGGATTTACTTTGTGGGTCATTTCCGTGGTACTGGTGAGTGTAGGAGAGGTTCAGCTCAGAACCAATGACGTCAACTTCGGTTTCCTTGTGGAGCCAGGATTTTCGGATTCGGGCGTTGATAAGTGGAGCTTCAAATCGAGGGTTGCAGCCTAAAATACGCCATAATGTGCTTCAGTACAATAATCATTACCAATGATGATGACTCGGTCAGCCTCTTCGATGCCAGCAATAGTCGAGTTGAAAGTGTAGTCAGATCGAAGATCACCATTAGCGATAAAGCTCTGCTCAGTGGTAACCATCTCGGAGCCGGCCTTGTTAGCGAGATCCTTGGCGAGGCACATGGTCTCGACATCGGCGAATGGACCAACGACAACGGCAATGTTCTCACCAGCATCAGCAATAGCATCGGAAGCAACGGTGAGAGCATCCTGCCAATCGACCTTGGTGAGTTTGCCGTTTTCACCTCGAGCCATGGGCTGGGTGAGTCGCTGTCGCTTGAGTCCGTCATAAGAGAATCGACCCTGTAACATTAATAACTTTCAATAATTCTATCGGTTTGTACCTTGTCAGCGAGCCATTCTTCATTGACTTCCTCGTTGAGTCTTGGGATGATTCGAAGAAGATCGCCAGCTCGGGAAGAAACGACGATATTGGTACCAACGGCATCCATGACATCGACGGAATCAGTCTGAGAATATGATTGAATTTGCTCACATAATAGCTAGTACCTTTCGGGTTTCCCATGGGCGAGCACTAAAAGCATATGGCTTGCTGGTAAGGGCACCAACTGGGCAGACATCAATAAGGTTTCCAGACAACTCAGTGCTTAAAGCCTTTTCGACGTATGTACCGATCTGGAGATCGTTTCCCCGACCAGTTGTTCCGAGCTCATCAATACCAGCGATTTCCTGGCAGAATCGGACGCATCTAGTACACTGGATGCATCGAGTCATGACAGTTTTGACAAGAGGCCCGATATCCTAGGAAGAAAAGTAAGCATCAAATACTTTAGATTTTTAAACCTTATCTTCGACGGCTCGTTTTCCCTCCCAGAATCGAGATCGATCACTTCCGTGAGTCATGGCCTGATCCTGAAGATCGCACTCACCACCCTGATCGCAAATTGGGCAATCAAGAGGGTGGTTAGCCAAGAGAAACTCCATGACAGCTTCTCGCGATCGTCGAGATTTCTCACTGTTGGTCAAAATAGACATTCCCTTCATAACTGGGAAGGCGCAGGAAGCGACGGCCTTGGGCATCTTTTCGACTTCGACTAGGCACATTCGGCAGTTGCCAGCGATGGAGAGACGCTCGTGGTAGCAGAATCGGGGAATCTGGACACCAGCAGCTTCGCAGGCTCGAAGAACAGTGGTGCCGGCTTCGACTTTGACAGGCTTGCCATCGACAAAGACCTGCACAAGGGCTCGCTTCGCCTGCTGCTCAGTGGCAGCGGTAAAGGCCAATTTTCTACGCGCCGCCCGAGATAGCATTCTAACAAAAAGCTGTCAAAGAAAATCTTCATCACAAGAATTTAAGAACCGATTTTTGCAAAAAACGTTTGCCCTGGGAAAAGGTGAGTAGTACTCCAAGGCCGTCCATGATCGAGAGGAAAGTCCTCTTCAGGCTAGAAGCTCCGAAATTTCGGTTTGGCGAACAAGCCGTCATAGAGATCATTTCAGGATTTAATTATTGCACAGAAGTTTTTTCACGTTTTCCTTGGAAAACTACTCACAAATTCGAAGAAGCTGTTTCTCTTAACTTCCCCAAGTAAAAATGAAAAACGCTGATACGAAAAACATTTCCCAGAGAAAACTTTCAGCGTAGAATCATGAGCAGAATTAAAATTTTTGAAGAGGAAGGACAACTACATTTTGTTTCACCAAGATAGAAGAATAGAAAACTCTAGAAGGCAGGATTAGGTCATAATTAGTGCGTCAGCTTCTCGTCTAAAAATTGTACTATCGTGTCTGTATCCCAATTTTCGATATTGACTTCTTCCTCAACAAAGTCGCCCTCTCCTAGAAATTGTTTGAGCTTGAAAAATATCCCCCAACTGACCATAGAGTTTTATCCTTGGAGGAGCTCCTTTGGTGTATTTAACTTTGAGATTTTTGAAATTTTTCGAGTGGTTATCAATGAAGGCCGATACTTGGGGAAATCGGCCCAATTTTCAGGAGCAAACTTCAAATTGCGCAGACTATAAATTCAGTTAGAAAACTTATTATAAGTAAAGGAGTACAAACCTTGTAAGTCACAATTTGTTCATCTGACTTTTTGCAACACCTCAAGCAATCTTCCTTGATTTCATCGAGTCCAAAATCCGAAAGTTCTTTGCAAGTATTGCATTCCAAAACTAAACAAGCAATAGAAAAATCATCCACTCGTTTCACAAATTACCTTGCTCGTCAAAACCTAAAGATGCGCAGTCATTCTCTTGATCTGACGATGTGACCAACTGAAGAATGGTCCCTATCAAAATAGGGCGCATTCTGAAAGAGGTGCTTTTTTAGTTTTGCTCATTTTTATGAATTTTATTCTGTTGAATATTTTTTGAAATTTTGAACATAAAACAAGGGGTCGTCTCAAAGAATAAATGTTACAAAGATGGTGAATGGGGATTTTTGAAGGATGAAAGAATGAATAGGACAATGTTAACACTGAACTTGAAAAAGTATTTTTTCCAAATGATGAGATCAATGATAAGGAAGAGGGGTACGGGATTGAAGGGATAGTAACAGTTAGATACAGTAATAAAATACTTCATACTTGTGATAGGTTACTTCAAACATTGAAGAAGTTACATGTGACGTCATATTTTCAAAAGCTCTCAATTTCTCTGAAATCGGCCATATCTAACTTCTAGGAGCTTCTTTTCATTAAGAGACATGTCTTTACTTTTTTAATAATTATTTGGCGAAGTCGTCGATAAATTTAGTCTGACAAGAAGAAATAAATGGAATGCACGTATCTCGAGCGAATAATGGGAAACTTTTCATTGATACAGAGCAGTCATAAAAAGGATAAATCAAAATGGAAAACTTTGAAGAATTTGATGAGTGAAAAATTTCCCCTGGCGTACTTTCAATTAATTTAAATGGCAAGATTATTTTCAAGGGGGAAATCGTCGTTTAGTTGTTTTTGATAGAGTAAGTTGCCGTCTGAAAGAAATCAGATTCGCGTTAAATAAAATACCGAGATTATAAGTAACGAAGTTGATTGGGATATTCTAGGGATAAATTAATGATCCATCGAGGTAGAGGCCTGGGACACGGTGCCTGGATGCGGCCGCCAGTTGATCACTTCACGCCAGAGTTCTTCGCGCCACTGCTCCACAGTGAGCTCCCGTTCGTCAAGTGAATTGTCGTATTGAAGAGGCGGCGGTGCTTCCACTTCTGATGGTTCGTACCTTTCATATTTGTTAGCCAGAACTTTCAAACAGATAGCTACCATATATTCGTATAAGGATGACGAAGCGCATCGTCAATATTGATTCTTTTATTCGGATCCAATTCGAGCATTTTTTGCAACAAATCGCGAGCTTGAGCAGCTAAAGCGCGCGAGCCACCAGACTCGGTCGGGAAGCATCCGTCGGGAAATAGTCGACTGAAGCTCATTCCTCTGTAGTGAGGCCTTGTCCTCACATAATTCGATACAGCGGGTTGTAGTCTGTTCACAAATTCTAGTTCAAAACAAGTTATGACGGTCAATCTTATTTTAGGTTACCTGGAGTGGGGGATCCTAACGTTTCGATAATTTTATTCCACTGATCTATATGATCCGATCCAGGGAAAAGAACCTGTCCTCTAACCATCTCTCCAAAAATGCACCCAATCGACCAGATATCGACCGTCCCCGAGTAGCTCATCCCCAGAATGACTTCAGGCGATCTGGAATTTTCGCACAGTTAAAAACGCATTACGTAACGAAGATAATTCTAACCTGTAGTAACGCGTCACAACATAAGGCGTCATCAGAAAGCCCTGATTTGCTGTGCGGGCGAGCCCGAAGTCCAAAATCTTGAGCGAGCAATCTGATTTTACGGCGATGTTTGATGGTTTCAGATCTCTAAAGAATTAGGTCACGAATCATTTATTTAGCATTTAGTCCGTGGTCCTTGAAAAATGACGCGTATTTGACGTAAATTTTACGGAGGAACGAAACTAAATAAAGGGGAATATTTAAAGTCTGCGAGCTTTCTAACAACCCATATTTTTGTTATTTTTTGCTTTTTATAAAATGAAACTCATTCCAACGCAAACATGTCAATCGATCTAATTCGAGAGTAACTAACTACCTGTGAATAATACCAGCCGCATGGAGATGCCTTACACCACACAAAAGCTGATACAGTAAATACGACAGACGCTCATGATCCAGCTCCAAATTGACGACTTGAGAGAGATTTGCTTCCATCAGTTCCATCACCATGTACACATCTTGAAAGTCTTCCAGTGTTTTCTGTGACGTAAATACATTCATGAGTCTGATAATGTTCTTGTGGTTGACAAGTGACATGAGTCTGAGTTCGCGGTAGGCACGTTTTGCGTGTGTCACGTTTTGAAATGGACGCTAGAATTTTTTTCAGTGATGAGATTGCTCGAAAAGGGACCTACAGAGAGTTTTTTAATCGCAACATTCTGCTTCAGTTGCGTATCATAAGCAGCAGCAACGACTCCTTGAGCACCAGTGCCGACCTGTCTGAGATTTTGATACCTCTCCAGTACAGTAAACGCTGTCTCCCCGACTTCTACCGTGTGGAAACCTTCGTTTTGCCTACTGCCCTTCATGTTTTTTCGCTTTTTGAGGCTCCAGAAAGTTGGTCAAAGAGCCATTCTAAGTTGACAACGATAAATCTTTAGCGACAATCTTCGAAGGTTCTAGTTCAATTGCGAATTCATTTCAAGAGAAATAGAAATAGTTTTAAATGAATAAACGAAAAGTCCCTGACTCGGGAAATAGAATAAAAATACTGTTATGGGTAAAGGGCGCGAAGTGCCGATCTTGAAAACGATTGAATTTGGATCACACATCATACAAGCTCCAAATGGTCCAAAAATACTGTAGCAACTTTCGAATGATTTCTTATGAGCGCTCGTTTTTAATCAAAAGGTAGCTGTATAAAAATTTGGATCACGACATATAGATAAATACTTTGAAAAAGAAACAAAGAAAGAAATTTGAAACGAGTCCTGGAGAACGATGCAAAAACAGAGATTTGCATTTTGAAAATTGAATATTTTATATTTTTTTATTGAAAAAATAGGCGATACATTGAAAGAGAATGGGGTTTTTCGTAGATCGGGGGCGATTATGTTTTTGTTTGAATGTTTTTGTAGTTTTTTTTTTTGTTTGATAAAGGAAGAATTGTGACGGATAACGGTGTCCGTTGCGGGATTGAGAATTTTCAAACGGTTGTGCTTCTTCAAACTTGTTCAAAGTCAAACAGATTTAGGTTTTTCTCGGACGATGGGGATGGGTAGTAACATGTTTTATATTTGTTGTTTGTTTAGAAAAGTAAGAAAGGCAAGTTTATAGAAACAAAAGCATTTTTCTGTTGGCCAAAGTTGAAATAGTAATACCTTTATGACGGGCTTGTTTCTTGATAGTCTTAGTCTCTTTTTCGTGCGATTTAGACAGATATAAATTAAAATCGACGAGAATTTAAGTCGCGAACATTGGAAAATTTCCAATCGATCCAAGGGAGAAATCAATAAAAGTCAAAAGTTTGAAACTGGAACAAGCCCGTTCCTTGGCCATGGCTGGGAAAGAGTTACAGCTTTCGTTGGTTGATCGGACGTGGCGAATTAGATGATGTATTCGTATTCTAGTTTTGATGGTAAGAAAAATAATAAGTGAAGGAGGTGCTTACTTGACTTGTTCGAGCCCTGTTTGCTGGCAGAGTTGGCTGTGTCTGTATGTTTTTGGTAGAAAAGCGATTCTGGGGCGAGCTTGATTCTCGTCTGAAATTTTCGGCCGATCGACATGACTCGATCTTTGTGGTGCGCATTGGTGGTCCAGATCGCCACTTTGTCGGCTTTCTGACGAATTTGGACGCAAGCTCCGCAGATCTAATGAAAATTAAAGACAACTCAAATTCAATTGCCTCTTACATCCTCACTGGCATCATCGAATGCTTCGCCGATCAAGCAAAGAAGAGTCTCCAACCAAATTCGATCTAAGTCCTGAGCGCGCTTTTTCTTGTCCTATCAAAGCCATCAGATTTGAGAAATCTAAGAGTGACTTACAGTAGTGAGCAGCCAACGACCGCCTTCTCGGTTTTGAACATCTTCCCACATTGGCTCGATTCCTTGTTTGAAAAGCATGTAATCGCATCCTGTTGGCAGTTTTGAGGAAAGCTTAAAATACTCTTGTTCGATTCAATAATCACTGGACGATCACTGCCAACCTGGATATGATTATAGATCGCCCAGAAATCTTCAACAGTGCTGAATGAAGTGACAAGACGGAGATTGTCCTTCCATTGGTTGCCCTTTTCATTTTTGAAAAACCAAAGTGACCAGCTAAAGCATAAATTATTCCCTGCTCCTGATGCTTCTACAAAAGGTGTGTTTAAAAAATTCATTACGTGTTCTGAAGTGGGTGTTTGACTTCTTCTCCGGCGGCAGTGGCGGATTTATCAGCGTTGAGGTCAACGTTGCTCATTTCAGTCTCCAGCATAATACTGAGTAAATGGCTCATATCCATGATTGAAAACTAGTTTCTACTTTATCTCTCGTTTCCAGTGAAGCTTTCAGCTTCAAATAGAGTCTGACAACAAATGCTATCTATTCTAGAGCCTTTCCAGAAATAAGAAGAATCAGCGAATGAAAAATTAAGGTAAAAAAGGAAACAACTACGTGTCTAAAAAAGATATTGTTTGGAACATTTTTTTGAATCGTTGTGGTAGTATATTGATATCGAGAATAGTGAAGAAAAGAAAAATGATACAGAGAAATAAATAAGAATAGAAAATATATGTTCGCTATGAAAGAATTGTAGAGGGTGGGAATCAGCTGGTGTTTTCCTCGTCGGGGATTTCGTTGATCGCCGTGGTTGAGCCAGTCTGCATCAGCATCTCGGTGCTTTGGGCTTGAGTGAGACTCACTTGGCTGAAAAAAATTTAGCGACATTTCTAGAAGCAGTTACACTCCCCTCGGGCATAAATAAAATAAGCTGATTGGTGATGAAAAGCTTGGGAGTAATTTTTGCTTACCTTGGAATTCCAGACGAAAATGAGTAGTCAGCGGGGCAATTGGACTCGTCATCGTCATCATAATCATCGTCGTAGTCGAATTCTTCATCGTCCATGATGTCATCGTTAGTATTGTTGTTGCTCGTGACGCAATACTCGTCAGAAGTAGTAGGAATCGTTACTCCGTCTCGCTCCGCATCTTTTTGCGTCTCGACCACCTGCCAAGAAATATTAGCTTGTCAATAAATCAAGTTGTTAATACCTGTGCGCGGACATGATCTGGGTACTTGGTGTTCTTGCCCTCCTTCCAGTTTCGGTAAGCAACGGAAGCGTCTACATTCGCCGGCGAGAATGTATTCGGATCGTTGAGGACCGAGATGATGGATAGCAGAATTGTACGGACACTTTGAGTGGGGTTCCATCGCTCGCCAGGTAATTCGCCGCCTTGGACATCGTCGACGGGAGGATGAAGAATAGATATGCACACTAAAAATGAAATATTGAGAATTTTTAGTGGATCTCACCTTCTCCATTCTCGTAGATGTTCGGGTGCCAGATCTTTGTCAAGAAACGAAAAGTAGGAGGGCTGAAGGGATAATTGCCAGGGAATCGAATGTGCGCCTTGAAATAGCCGCCTTCATACGGTGTTCCGGGCGGTCCAAAAACGGCGATTTGCCAGTCATAGATGTTACTCTCATCGACCTGTATAATCCTAGGACAATTGTGTTAGGTAGTTATCGTTGCTGCGCTGTCACCTGAAGCCTTCGATCGGGCTTTCATTGAATTGTTGAAGTTCCTTGAAAAGAATCTTGGCCGAGTTGGAGTGCTGCATTGTTGTCCGTCTGGTTTCGTAAATCTGACATGATTTCCTCGCCAGACGCTTGGATCCAAAACATCCCCAACAACATTCTAGAGATAATCAAAACTCAAAACATGATAATTAGAAATTATTCAGATAATATATTTTTTAAAGTTTTTTTGCTTGTGTAAAGTTGAAATCACCATTTGATCAGTTCACAGCCCGTTGAATTATGTTGGTCTAGAAGGTATAAAACTACAGATACAGAAAAAGCGAAGAGGGTATTTTTGAAAGAGTATTTTAGCGAGAGCCGTACTTTGAGATCTTTGATTGTAAAATAAGGCGGAATATAAACTAAGTAGCCGACATCGGCGTGGTAGAATGAGCAAATTGAAACCTACTCGTCGGGTTATTTAAACATAAAAATTAATTATTAGTTCGTAACCATGTAGGTTCCATCGCAATCATTTGCGAAATATATGACGAGGTTAAAAGTACTACTAAAAGTAGAATTTACTAAAATAGAGTATGAAAAACGTAAGAACTCTTTATGCGAAAGTTTTTATACAAATAAATATTCATATTCATTTAGGGATTGTTCAGCTCCTTGTAATTTTTGGCTCCTGGAGGAAGAGAAGATAAATTGAAGACTTTATTGAATAGTAAAATAGCGGAGAATGGAATATCAGGCGGTTCGCGTGGAAGGCGAAGAAAAGGTCGGTAAAATAGGGATCTTTCGTAGATTTGTTTTCACGCGATTGTACAGAAAAACGCCGCAGCAGGCCATCACCATTCCACCAACGTTGAATGCTAATTGAACGTTATACTCTATCCGGTGACTAACTAATTGAAAATTACCGTTGACAGGATTCTTCAGCGTCAGCAAGCTGACAGCAATAACGACGACTCGTTTAGTTGCACTTGCCACAGAATAACTTGAAAAATAATGATTTCTAGCGCTTCGATCAGCAATAAGTACCTGACAGTTGAGACCAGAGCCATTACAGAAAATGCAGTGAGATTTTGAAGCAGTGAGCAAACTCCGGAAATAAATAGAAGAGTGATAATTGAGTGGACACTCAAGTTTTTGTGGTCAGCTAAAAACGATTAATTCCATAAAAATCATAACTCGTGCCCTACCGTCCATGATTTTTGGCATGTCAGTAAATAGCCAAAGAGTAAGAAGCATGAAAAACCCGTAGAAAGTGAGGTGTTGAAGCAAAACGTGTTGATGGATGTTGAGGTCGCGCAGGCTCTTTTTTGTGTATAAGTTTTGCAGGGCGAAGCCGATTGTTGAGGCAAAGGCGGCGATTGTTCCGATCATATTAAAATTCAGCTCTGATATCGTTGCCATAGCTAGAGATTAGAATTAATTGAAGATCGATGAATAGTATGTGTTTAGTGTACCTATTCCAATGATGATGGGGATCACAGAGAGGTAAATCTTCAATGGTTGTCTTTCCTTCCAGATGATTCTGCCTAAGAGCAAGACAAAAATTGGCATCGACGCTTTGATGGTGTGTGCGAACGAGACTGGTACTTTCGAAATGGAGAAGTGGGACGCTGCGAGGGAGAAAAACTTCCCGAATGATAAGGGAAGAATCGTCCATTTCAGCGTCTTAAAATCAGATCATCTTGAGGTCGAAAACGATGCGACTTACGTGCTTAGAAAACGAAACCGTTGGTAGCCGCCACGCCCTGACAAGAGGGACTAGCAAGACTAGAGTGGTAATATACTGCGCCAGGGAGACGGTAACGGCAAAAGGAAAATCGTTCTGTAGTGGATTAATATATGCAAGTATGACTTTTGCAACAAAGTTGATTTCCGCCGCGCGCAATGGCCATAAAGCCATTAGCGCGCGCATTTCAAAACCACTACCACCCTCTGAATCCGCCACCACCTTCTGTCGTAAAGCGCACTCACCCGATTCCACCGCCACCCTCGGCTCGTGAGGCCCGATGAAAACCCGCCACCCGGAACGAAATGCTATAAAAAGAAGCACCCTTTTTACTCTGTGCCAGTCTGTACCAATCTGCGCCAACATCAATACCACAAATTTCTGAAAAACGAATCCTGCTCCTACTGACTGTTCTGTCAGTACAATAAACGCTCCGTAGTTGTTTTAACTACCCCCACAACAAAACGCCCTTAGTCTCCAACATTTGTTATTGCATTTATAAAAGCACTACAAATTTTGGTGACTGAAAAACGGCGAGGAACTTTAAGACTAGAGTCCATCGCTTAAAGTTCGAAGACCCCCGAAGCCTACTTTACCGACAACGATACGAAAAGAGCTGCTGCCTACGATCTCCGAAAAAAAGAAAACGCCAACAAAGGTTAGTACCCGGTTCAAAGGTCCCTAGATATTTTCAATAGTCCAGAGCGAGTCCCACTGAGCGGAGTGACTTCCATAAGAAGCGCCACCGACAGGAAAGCTTTTAGGACTTATAGGATCGGACCTTTAAGAAAAAGGCACCAAACCAAGAGCTCTTACCAAATTTCTACTCATTCTATTTGAAATCATGTCTGAACTCTATTTCAAGCACGTACAAGACCTTAACAAAGGGGAACTACTAGTTATTTACGATAACCTCGAGGGAAAAACTTACCCACCAAAAATCCCCATAAGCGATAAAGAATCAATTTGCCACAATATTCTAGCTTTGGATAAAGATTTCTTTGTCAAAAATAGGAAATATGTCTTTGAGAAAAGTGCTGATGGCCAATTCGTAAGATATTTTCCTCAGTACCAAGAGGACTGCCAAAACCAAAAATTCGCGCAAGCTCGTCATAAAAATGACACAGAAAAGATTTTGGCGTCCCGAAATGTAGAAAATCTAGATGCTTTGATCACATCGCTCAAAATAGAAACTGAATCTGTTTCAGGCTCAGAGCTTTCAAATGATTCGTCAGCTGATTCAGCTGATGAAACGGTCATTCAAGACGGCCAGGAAGCTCCGAAGCCACGAAAACAAAAGGTGAAAACTGAAAAGCCGGAATCAAAAGATGTGCCGCGTTTCAAGAAAGAATCGAAATCGACACACATTCCAAAGCAACAGTTTGAACCAAAAATTTCGCGTTCTTCAAATCTAAAAGTAAAACCCCCACGTTATGACGCATCGATCCCGATCCCAGCTTGGCTTAAAAATCTTGAAATCTATGCACGATGTTCAAATCTTTCTAGCAGCGAAATTATAACCGTTGCACTAACATCGTTGCTCAATGAGTCCGAAGGATCTCATATAATCCAATCTCTGGAGTCGGAAGACATGCAAGACTGGGGCAGATTTAAAGATCGATTAACAAGTATGCTTGGGAAGGATAAAGAGTTCTTTAAACAGCAATTTAAAGATTACCAAAGAGGTAGTGACAGTTTCGGACTAGCCCTCTCAAAGATCACATCATACTATAAACAGGGCTACGACCTCACTCACCTCAATGAAAATGATCGTTCTATAATTATAGAAAGATTTTGCGAAAGCCAGTATCAGAAAATGAAAGAACTTTTGATGCGAGAAAAGTCACAGCTCACTCTTGAGAACATAGCGAAGCGAGCAGCGGAAATTGAGGCCTCCATTCCAAAAAAGGAGATCAACTTCAGTATCCAAGCTGAAGATGATGAAAAAGCTCGTTTCCGCGAACTCGTTAACAAGCTCTACCAAAAACTTGACTCTTCCCAAAGCACACACTCCAAATCGGGCAGCAAACGATCAAAAAGGTCGAAAATCGACATTGAAAAACTGAAAGGGCACTGTTTTTCGTACACAAAGTACAACAGATGCAAATATGCAGAAAACTGCAAATATATTCACTCTGACAAAGTTCCAGCAGATGTTTTGGACTACGTGAAAAAACAGGAGTGACTAGACGGCCATAAACATGCCATTTTCAACTTTTGTCCAAACTATAGATCCGCTTCTTCAGACCTAAAATTCATCAACGTCATTGTCGAAAACTTTCAGTATCCAGCCTTGATCGACAGCGGCTGCACCCGAACTTGCATTAAAAACACCCTCCCTTTTGTTCGTAAAACAAGAAGTTCTGATGTTGAACTCTTGGTCGCAAATGATGAAATAGTGCGCCCAAGAGTAATGTGCTCACCGGTCAAAATCACGGTCCCTTCTGATGATGGTAAATTTACCCTAGACCCCTTACCTTTGGTTGTTTCGAACCTATCCTGTCCAATAATTCTAGGACTTGACGTCCTTAAAAACGTCTCATTTTGCGATGGTGAAAACTTTATCACCCTTGAAAAACATCGGGTTAAAACAATTAACCCATCAATCTTCTCGAAACAATCAACGAAAGTCTCAGCAATTATCGAGGTTGACCTAAACTCTGACCTTGAATCAAAATCGCTTGAGAACTTTCAATCAGTGCGGGAAGCACAAGCGAAAAGGGCGAATTTCATACCTGAAATTGGGAATTACGGGGATGCTTCTCGAAATGAAAAACTTTCACTCAAGGGTCTAACCGAAAAATATAAACTTGCGTTTTCTATGTCACCAGATGACCTTGGCAAGTTACATGGATTCAGATTCGCGCTTCCAACGCATGACGAATCTCTGTCAAGCCACCAACCTCCGAGACCGATCCCAGTTCACTTGCGTGACCAAGTTGAAACCGAAATCAACAACTGGAAAAATCTTGGAATCATAGAGGAGACCCAGTCTGATTTTAACATCCCCCTCATTATTCTCAAAAAGCCCGATAAAACAATTCGAATTTCGCTTGATGCTCGTGGGTTAAACAAGCTTCTTAAGCTAGATCGTTTCCCACTTCCCCACATGCTATCAGTAATGACTAGAATAGGTGAAAAACTCACAAAAGGAGATGCATGTTACATAAGTAGTCTTGATTACCACCGTGGCTACTGGCAAGTACAGTGCGCTTCATCTGACTCGCATAAACTTGCCTTCAGCTTTGGTAACAAGCACTACCAAGCAAACAGAATGCTTTATGGAACAGCAACAGCTCCGAGTGCGTTTTCAAGAATTATGTCAAAACTCATGAACCATCCCTCGATCATCATTTATTTGGATGATTTGATTGTTATTGACAATTCTTTCGAAAATCACCTCAAAACACTCGAATTTATTTTCAAACAGTGCCGAAATCACGGACTTCTACTAAGCGCAAAAAAAATGCAATTTATGCATGCGTGAAACAGATTTCCTTGGGCACAGAATTTCGAGACAGGGAATCCAACCATCAGATAAGCACATTGCAGCAATACAGAAAATTGCTGTACCAACGTCTAGAAAAGAACTTAAACGCTACTTGGGAATGGTCACTTTCAATGCAAAATATGTCAAAGACGCATCCATAATTCTTGCGCCTTTGTATGAGCTTACAAGCCTAAAAAAAGAATTCAACTGGACGAGTAAACACCAGCAGGCTTTCGAAAACATGAATCAAAAGCTCAAAGAAAAACCAACACTTGGCCATTTTAAACTCGGCGCGAAGCTTCTTCTCGTGACCGACAGCTCAGGGCGAAGTGTTGGCGGGACCCTCTACCAATATCAAAATGAAAAACTAGTTGTTATTGGTTATTTTTCAAAAGCTCTCACGGGTCCTGATCTGAAAAGAAGCATGCGGGTAAAGGAACTCTTTGCGTTAACTTGGGGAATCAAATATTTCGAGTTTTACCTCCTCAATACAGAGTTCGATTGTGTTGTAGACCACAAAAGCCTGCTCTTTCTTTTCAAGGAACAACAACAGTCCAACTTGGATATCAAACTCACCAACATCCACTGCTATCTCCAGCAGTTTGATTTTACAATCATCCACAAGCCGGGAAACAGCCCGATCATGGCAAGTGCGGATTACTTTTCTCGCCTTCCAAGATCAAAAAGCTCCGACTTAGAGGACGATTCGGTGAACTTTGAGCTCCTTCCAGAACGCGTCTGTATGTTCCATCTCATCAAAAATGATGAAAATGAGGTTATTTTCTCTTTCGGTTCCGAGAAAATAACAAAAACAAAAATGAGGGAGTTGCAAAAAGAGTGCAACCTCACCAAAAATAAGCGCATTAAAGTGGACAAATACAAAAAATCAAGATTCTCGCTCAAAGACGGAATCTTGTTCTCCAAAAATAAACTTGTTATCCCAGACCAACTTGCAAATGAATTCATACAGTACCTGCACTGTATAACGGGACATGCTGGTGCGCAGCAATTAAACCAAATGTGCCAAAAATTTTTCATAAGTAATATCCAAATGAAACTTAGAGCCGTAACGAGCTCTTGCCCCACTTGCATTCAATTTAAACCGATCAAAAAGCTCAAACCATCAATGATCGAGCGACGCAACTTCGAGTCAGTTCCTTTTGAGAAAACTTTTCTCGACCTTGTCGACTATGGAAGAGTTGACTCATCAAACAAAAGGTATCTGCTGACTTGTTGCGACTCGCTTACCGGGTTTCTAGACGGTTTACCATTGGGAACAAAAAGTGACAAAACTGTCGCGCAAGCGACCCTCACTCTTGTTCTCAGACACGGGATCACCGAGGTTGTTGTTACTGACAACGGGCGTGAATTTGGACCGCTTTGCAAGCAAATTTTCGAGCGATTCCAAATCCGCCACGTTACAACAACTGCATACCGATCCTGTTCAAATGGGAAAGTTGAAAGAATCCATCGCGAGATTCACATTCAACTCAAACAATTGAATGCAAATGATCGCAATTGGTCACAAAAATGGGAGCAAGCTAAATACTATCTCAATAACCTACCAAAAGCAACACTAGACGGGCTCTCAAGTAATGAAGCTCTCTACGGTAGGCCTTTTCATGTTCCTTACAAAATTGGAACATCAAATGATGGTGCCAAAGAACCATTTATCAAAGCTCTCAATGGTTATATTAAACAACTGCACCCTGCGATCCAAGCGTTCCAGGTACACAGGTACCAAAAACTCCTCCGAAAAGATAAAAATAATTGCCCAGTTCTTGAACTTGGTACCCAAGTGCTAGTCTGGAAACCAAATCTTTTTGACGGAAAATTAGGTACAAACTGGAGCGGCCCATTTTATGTTCATAAAAGAATCTCAAAAGATTCTTACATTCTAAAATGTTCACTCACACAACGCGAGTATCGCCGACACATAAGCCTGATCCGACCTCTAAAAAATAAGATCGGCGACTCAACAAAATTCGTCTCGATCAATGACGAAAACGATCAATCATCCATTCGCGATAAAAAACTCAATTGTGTCTCAAAAGAAATCAAGGAAGACACCCAAATAAAAATTTCCCGCTCAACTGCGTCAAAAAAGAATGCAGAAACTAAAGAGGATCCGAAAAATGAAAATAATGATCCTGTTGCGCCCCTCAAAAATGATCCTGCAAATTGGTCAAAAAGATTACGACCCCGAAAATAAGTTCCTAAAAGAGGAGGGGAAGGGGAGAGATGCATTGTTGGTTTGCACTCTCATGAGCCCACTGTGAAGAGAGAGCTTGTTCTTGCTCTAAGTTTACATTTTTGAAAATCTTAATTTAGCGCCATCTCAAAAGCACTAAAACTATTTTCAAAAATAGCGTGGAATGAGATATCTTGCTCTTGATATGTCCACGCACCCGTTCCATTCTAGATCCCTGATCGATCTCTAGAATTCGTTTACTAAGGGGGAGAAGTTATTACCGCCGGGACAACGATGCACTGAGTTAACCAACACCGTACCCTAGGAATGTAAAACGATTATCTTCTTGGACCTTCGATAAGAATTTCGACTGTATGCTGGAAGTCCATCACCACCCGCTATAGCAACGTTCAAGTTCAAGTGCCATGAGCCCGCATCAGCTCATGAAAAATATCCGTGGTAAGTCAGCTTAGTCAGCAGAAGGAACCTGCTTATCAAACCCTGCCACAGCCCGCACAGCACAATTTGATGGCTACTGGACGCGTTGACCTCTACAACTGTTGGAGTCTGCTCCCAATGGGCCCAAACGGGTTCAGATTTACCTTCAGAAGCACGTTACACGACTACAGTAGAAGCGAAAATTGCCCGCTTCGCATGCAGCTTAGTACTCGAACCCTGAGTGTCATCTGGTTCAGCTCGTGTGGAGAAGAACTGATGAAAGAGACTCGAATGCTCACAAAAGAAGCAATAAAAACTCAAAAATTATGTACTCGACAGCTTATCATCAAACGAGTCTTCTCGTGTGGAGAAGAATTGATGACTGCGATTCAAATGCTCACAGAAGATGCACCAAAATTATCATCAAACGAGTCTTCTCGTGTGGAGAAGAATTGATGACTACGATTCAAATGCTCACAGAAGAAGCACCAAAAATTATCATCAAACGAGTCTTCTCGTGTGGAGAAGAATTGATGACTGCGATTCAAATGCTCACAGAAGAAGCATCTAAGCATCCGATTCTGCTCGTGTGGAGTAGAACTGGTGACAAAACTCAAATGCTCACAGAAGAAGCATCAAATATACACACAAACCAAATATCAACCGTGGGAAAATAATTAGGCGCGGCACAGTTCGCCTTGGGGCGGCCAATAAGCACCGCGCATGGCTTTGAAACGAGACTCCCTGGCCCAGTATCAAAATACACAAGCCAAACGCAAGTTCAAGAAATTGAAAATGCCTTCCCAGGGAGCAACTACCAACCTTGACTGCCACTTCTTCCGAATGAATGACAGTGGCAAGGTAATGTTCCAACGGTATGTACTACCGTCAATCTTTGGAATTCACGTGCCAACAATCTTCCTTGACCCGAAATGGTCTCGACTACTCGATTTAACAGGAAGTATCCGGTATGCAAAAGAACGAGCCCTTGATCGACTGCAAAATCGGGCATTTCCTGAAGAAGCATTCGAAAGTATTATAGACTGTTGGAAAAACGAGTGCATGAAAGGGGAGTCCCTTCTTCGCTGGCAGACAAAGACGGCAGCTGTGGTTGAATTACTAAAGTCATTTAGGCCGATCCCGCAGTTTGCGAATGTGGTCATCAACAACTACGAAGAACACTTTTTAGCACGTCGAAAAGTCTGGCGGGAATTAGCTAACTATCCAAACTTTCAAATTGAACTTAAAGAAGCTAATTCCCTATTGGAGACTTTCCTGTCAGACTTACTCGCTAAGTTCGCCCTGCCTACCCAGTCCCAGAACCAACAAGATGAAGCCTTCTATAACGACTTAGATGACCAAGCGCAATCAACGATGACAACCGAGCGCAACCAGCCTGAGATGCCAGCTGCCCCACAGAATGATATGACTGAGCACCTGCCCAGACCCCTGGTGACGATCGCGCCGGCAACTCCAGCCACAACGTCTCTGTCGATGATGGAACATCCAAGAGCCCCGGATCCACAGCAACTGCCACCGACGACGTTCCCTACTAGCTCCAAAAAAGACATGGTCACTCAGACTCAGTTGACAACTGATACCTCCCGGACGGCTAAGGCACCAGCCCAACCTCCAACGTCAGTTCCAGCGCTGAGTTATGGCCCGATGAGCTCCGCCCCGGACGTCCTTGGCAACCAAACACCTGGCGATCCGCCTCTTGACGACCCCTTTCCTTCAGCTCAATCTTCCAGCAACACTGACAGCGGCAACATGGTTGAAATGCTAGATGACAACTGGCGTGATCTGCTCTTTGGTTAAAATCAGGTGCAAAAGTCATAAATTCTAGGAGGGAAGGATTTGTAGTGGATTAATATATGCAAGTATGACTTTTGCAACAAAGTTGATTTCCGCCGCGCGCAATGGCCATAAAGCCATTAGCGCGCGCATTTCAAAACCACTACCACCCTCTGAATCCGCCACCACCTTCTGTCGTAAAGCGCACTCACCCGATTCCACCGCCACCCTCGGCTCGTGAGGCCCGATGAAAACCCGCCACCCGGAACGAAATGCTATAAAAAGAAGCACCCTTTTTACTCTGTGCCAGTCTGTACCAATCTGCGCCAACATCAATACCACAAATTTCTGAAAAACGAATCCTGCTCCTACTGACTGTTCTGTCAGTACAATAAACGCTCCGTAGTTGTTTTAACTACCCCCACAACAAAACGCCCTTAGTCTCCAACATTTGTTATTGCATTTATAAAAGCACTACAGTTCAAAACGATTTTGTTAATGACGTTGGACGCCGACGAGCTCGCATACCACACAACGCATAATATAAGCACCTTGATGGCCCTACTCAAACCACTTTTTTGGCCGATTTTGTCAGATGTTGTCATGACATAATTTTCTCTCGTCTAAATTTAGCATTTTTAAAAAAAGAGTCAGGAGAAATTAAGACTATTCAAAAGCGATAAAAGAGTCTTAATCAGAAGATAGAGTTATCTTTTTCATATAAAAATATATTTATAAATAGCGGATAGAAAAATAGTTGAACTATAGAAAAATTTTGGTTTAAATAAATTGAAAGAAATCATGATTCATTGCGAAGAAGTACAGCGGAAGATAGGAATGAGAAAGGGTACTTGTTATGGTGGAAAAATGTCATGTGAAGTTTCAGGCCTCTTCGAGCTGCTTGCTTGGTGGTTGAGATGTTGCCATGGATGATTGTCGACTTCTGATCTTCGACTCTGATGTCAAGGGTTTCTCGCTAGTAGTTTCGAACTTCTGGGAAGACTCGGGGTTGAGCGATGAAGCTTCTCGTTCGCGTTTTTCGCGAACACGGAGTCGAAGCTCGTCCAAATCAAGCGGTACGGACGAGATGATCATGTCTTCTTTTTGCTCATTATTTGGTGCGTCACTAAAATTATATCAGAATTTGTAAATACAATTAAGGAAAGTGCGCCTGATTATGCATTAGCAAAATGCTCTTGCATGAGAAGTAACCGTCGATAAATGCGAGTTTGGTAAATGAGTTGGTCGATGATAAATGCGTAAAGTGATTACCCTTTCAAAAGCTGCAAGAACTTATTTTTTCGTAACTTGTTTGCCAGATCACTAAACAAAATGAAATCCTGCCAAGTTGAGACTCTCAACTTGAGAGTAAAAGTTTTACTGTAAAACGCTTACCCAGTTGATGGAGCAGAAAACAAGGCGCTGCGTTCCTCGATTGGAAGAGGTGGTGGTCCTGGAACGAGCAGTCGAGCTGTATGATGAATGTCCGGATCGAGCTCTTCAACGATGACGGCTTTCGCGGCTAACGTGAGGATGAAAAATAAGGAACGAGAAACATCAAGATAATTTACCGATAAGCTCGTTGATGCGGTCTTCCATCGCGCCAAGAACATCCATCAATTCATTATTGTGCTCAATCGAAACATCAAGAGAAAGTTGCTTAGTAAGCTGGGTAATTCCCTGAGTAAGCATCTCGAATTCGTCATTGGATTGTTGAAGGTAATTCATCGCAGTTGTCATGGCTTTGTCGCTCTCTTCTAGGGTTTCCTTCGTAGCGATGAGCATGGCGTTGCGTTCGTCGTCGTTGAGAAGCGAGGTGGTGGATTGAGAGCTACAAAAGGTAACGATATTGAAGCGGATGAAAAGTCATACGTAAATCTCGCTTTCAGAGTTGCTATCGCATCGCTTTCGTGCTCAATGTTGTTGTTGAGCTCGTTATTGTAGTTGAACAAGGCAAAGTTCTCGCGTTCAGTTTCGTTGAATTGCTCCACCATGACGGAAATATCGTCTGTTCCTGTGATCTCCTGGATTTGTTTCCAGTTATGCTCGCACTTGGCCAACATGAACTCCTGATCACGGCGTTTTTGAAGAGCTCGCTGACTAGAAAAAATAGGATTGATCGTTGAAAACATGATATTCGTCCGTACCTCGGTCCAGTATTAACTTCCATGCGTTCTTGATTCTTATTTTCCATGAAGACCTTGAGGTTGAAATGGTTCTCGTTGAGTCTCTCGAGCTGTTTGATATCTGAGTTGTATTGGGCGAGCTCTTTCTCTGAGCGCTCTCGTTGATTAGCGTGCTTTGTCTTGGCATCTTCGCGCTGCTCGTATGCGATCGCGCTCGCTTCCATTATTTGTTGCGTCTCTTTTTTCACGGCTTTGAGTTTCTTGTCAATTTTGCGCTCTGCTTGCTCAAAGTTTCTGAAAGAGAAAGTGAAATTTTGAAACTCGTGGTTTCTCTCCCGCGTCTTGCGGTATCTTTTTGATATTTATATTTTGCAAGCCTAATTACCTGTGCTCAAGTCGGTACGTTTGGATTTCAGTCCGCTTCTGCGCATTATAAGCGACTGTCTGGTTGTACTTTGCGTTCGCTCTGTAAAGCCGCCCTTCGATATCATTGACTTTTGAGTCTCGAGTGGCATTAGCTCCGCGGGCAGCTTTTTGCGAAAGCGTCGCGCTGCGAACACGTGTATTCTGATTCGATTTCTGATTCCCTCGGATTTGCGCATCCAGCTCAGCCTGCATTATAAATTATTAGTTTTTTACGATCTTTGATGTTTTATTTTACCGCAATCTTGCGCTCTTCCTCCAGCTCAACGTCGAGCATGTCAACATCGTGCTGAGTTGTTCGAATCTCAGTTTCATTAACTTGATCTCTGTGTCTATTTTGCTGAAAACATGTTCTTTCGGACTTTGTAAAGGATGCAGAGGGCTTTACCTGGGACTGAGCTAAGTTGATGTTTTTCTCGAGTTCAGCTTTTTCTCGAAGAAGAAGGTCAATCTTCTTCTTGTCTTTGCGCGAGTCCAAAGTAAACTGATTTTGGCATCTTTTCTTCTCGCCCTCAATTATTCGCAGGCTATAATTTCATCGTAAAAATTCTCAATCCTCAATAAAACGAAAGCCTGGGAAAACACAGCTGTTGTCTCTCATTCTTTTTATACCTTTGCAGAATCTTTGCATGTTCTTGTCTCGTGGAGTCGTCTCCTTCATCTCTGGAATCATCGGAATACGCGGAGCGCGCTGACTTAGACCGGTTCATTTTAAAAGCTGATTTATCGCCGGTTCAATCCGTGATAACAAACAAATCCACGCGGAGGAGCGCTCTAGAAATAACAAACTATGATTGTCAAGGCAACCGAGGATTGAAAGAAAAAGGTTTTTTTTCATAGTAAAGGAACAATAATTGCACCTAGCGGGACCCGGCACAGGAGAATTAATTCAAATCTAATTCGAGAATTCAGTACAAAACGATCAATTTAGGAGCAGGAGTGAGGTTTCATAAAAAATATTGTGCAAAAGACAATTTGAAAGATTTAACAGTCAGAAGTTTGCGTTAATTGCTACCGTACAATGATTCGGATGAAGAGATTTGCAAGGTTGTATTTATGAAGCATTCAATTTTCGATTGATGAAGGGATAATGCGGTACAATGAAGTGATGTTTTTGAGCTACAGGTTGGAATTTGAAGCATTCTAAGATTCTTTCTGTTGAAATATATTCTTCTAAACAAGCTTTTTGGCTTCGAAAAAGCCTTTGAGATGTTTCATTTGCCACATGCCGGCGCCGATAAGGATCAAAACCTAAGATTTCATTGAATTCCAGGTCAAATATTTAGGGTGAATTTACAAAAAAATCGACTTTTTCCCTATAAATCCTATCTTGTTGAAACTCGGCATGGTGAAAGATCATGCCCGAGTTCTTAACAAAATTTTTTTTTTCGAAAATTTTTTTTTCGTTTTTCAACCCTTTTCGCCCCGATAAAGGACTATCTTTTGAGCGCCTCAAGTCTGAGTGCTCTTTTGGGTCGGAATCGATGCGCCGTCGGTTTCTGATCATAATTCAAAAAAAAAATTTAGTGAAGCTCAAGAATTAACTTTTTTGGCTACTTTAGAGGGCGCTAGAAGAAAATCACATGATATTTTTGGAAAAAAAATTTTAATATGAAATTCATATGCATGGGAGAAGTCCCATACATAATTTGAAAGCCGTACAACCCCTAGATTAAAAGTTGATTTTTTGTAAATTCACCCTACAAATATTCGCGAGATAAACTATCTCAGATACTGTACCTGAACTGCCGCCCACCAAAAGACCTTTGCATTTGTGTTTTCCGATGTCTTTCTGAATCTGACTTCTCTGGAGCGCTGGAAGTTCTGCTCCTTTTGAATTTGATTCACTTGATCGAGAAGTTGTCGGACGCGGAGCTGGAGTTCCGAGAGTTTCTCCTTTTCAGCGATTTCTTTGTATCCTTCACGGTCCTCGCCGATCTGTAATAGAAGGGGGCATTAGTTTGCATTGTTACTGTGATTAAACTATCCCTCGTTGTGATAGAGCAAGCACCTACGCGAACGCGCGAAATTTGGAACGTCGCCAAAGATAATAAAGTTCCTCTAAAGACTTTCTCACCTGTAAGTCAAGATGAACTCGGAGTCGACCAGAGGAAGACCAGTTGGTAGAGTTTCCGGCCAGACAAATTTTGTGCTCGCCGGGGTGATGAGATGTAAAAGTAAACTGAATTTATGAGTTAGTTTCAAATAAATAGGGTCTTCTCTCACTCTTCCTTGGGCTCCATAAGCTCGTGAGAGAACAGCCTTGTCTCTTGGATCAGTAACATCAACATGCATTCCAAAGCCCGGGGCCGTTTCTTTCCATTCCTGATAAGAAAAAAACAATGATAAGAACAAATTCCTCAGTTGTAAAACAAACCTTGGTTTGCTTGTCAAAAAGCTGGACAAGATATTTGCCAGTCATCTGTGTATCCTCGGGAAGTTCCTCGATAAAGCATTTCTTGTCTCTTTCGGAAATTTCAAAATAAAGAGCACTTACTGCTGATAAGAGCCAGACGATTCTCATTCTACGTTCGAAGAACATAAAATTTGATCTGGTTCCTTGAATAAATGAACTTTATTGGTGAGCATGAGATTTTTCCTTTTCATGAACATGTATGCTTGCAGAAAAAAAAATAAGAAGAAGATCTGAAAATTAAATTTTTTGAAACTTTGGACAGCGAAAAAATTTATTCATCATCGACAGAAGTGTTTCGGTCAATCTCAGCGAATTTCTCGAAGAATACAGCAATGCAGCGTCGCAGCTCCTCGACGGACTTGGTTCCCATCATTTCTCGGCAAGAGTGCATTGACAGCTGGGGCACTCCCAGATCGATTGTTCTCATTCCGAGCCCTTGAGCTGAGATCGGGCCAATTGTAGAGCCGCATGTGGAGTCGTTACGGACCATAACGTCCTAAACGACTTTTAAATCAATACTTTGGAAAAGAGAGATTACCTGAATGTTAATGTTGGCAGCGTTGGCGACTTGGTGGAAAAGAGAAGCGGTAACTGCAGTTGTAGCGTATCGCTTGAGATTGATTATTTCTTGGTTAAAAATTGGAATTTACTTGGTTTGAGTTGGTTTTAATTGTAACTCCGTGATCGAGAAGGGGCTGATGGTTCTTTTCGTGCTTTTCTGGGTAGTTGGGATGGAGAGCGTGTACCATATCAGCAGAAACGATGTAAGACTTTGGAACAGCCTGTTCATAAGCAGTTGGGTTAGTAGTGGAGGAACAAACTCGTCGGAGCATGTATTCCATCAAGCTCGTGCAAGCTCCCTTAAACATAACATGAGTAAGGAAAGCACTTTTGGTCTAAAACCTGTGCAGAGCCAGAACCAACTTCTTCGTTGTCAAAGAGAGTAACAACTCGGCACTGCTCGTCATCAGCGAGATTTTTGTCAGCATCAGTAAGACCAGAGAGGGCAGTAAAGCAGCAGCAAAGATTGTCAAGTCGAGGAGAGAAGATGTATTCATCGAATACACCGCCGATGGAACTCTCCTGATGGTCAGCAAAGCAAAGTTCGACGTCGAGAATGTCCTCAGCTTTGACTTTGAGTTCATCTTCCAAGAGTTTGATGAAAAGCGGGTGATGTTTGCCTAATTTCAAATTAAGACCCGGTAGATGTGCAAATAATTACATTTTAAATAAATATAAATGGAGAAAAGTACCCTTGATAGAGGTTCCACTTCCATAGGAATTATCCTTCTCCCCAGCAGGCTTATTGAGCTCATAAGTAGCTTGTTGGGCAAGAATAGGGACCATTTCGGTCTCCTTATTTGGACCGAAACTGTCGTTCACGCCCCTATTCAAGTGGATGCAAAGATTAGGGACTCTTAGAATCGGCTTGTTTATGTGAACGAGTTGATGTTTAACTTTTCCATCGGCTTGGCGAACCATGGCACGCCCAGCGAGCTTGAGATCTCTAAAACCCTGGTAATCATTTGTCTTTCCTATTGAATTTTACCTGTCAAACCAAGTGTTCCAGATCCCACCGCCATACCATTCTGCAGCCACTTTGATTGAGCCGTGATTAGACTGATCGGATTTCTTCTTAACGCGAAGACAAGGGGAGTCAGTATGAGCTCCGACGATTGAGAAGCCATTTCCGGGCTTCCATTTTCCACCGACGGCGAACGCAGTAATCATCGACTGATTTCGAACAACATAGAACTTGTCTCCAGGTTTCACATTCCATTCGTCTCTCTTAAATTAATAAAGTGAACTGAAATAGGAGAAAAAAGTACCTCTGAGACTTTTTTGTAGTTGGCAGCTTCGAGGAGCTTGACAGACTCGGCGACTGCGTGATAAGGCGAGGGACTCGCATTCACGTATTTGAGGAATTCTTTAGCACTCTGATTTGCCATCTTACGAAGCACGGAACAATGAAGCACTCTGGCTCGACTCAACATGAAATTGCTTAGCTAATATTTAACAGAAAAACAACATCACCAGATCCTGGCTCCAGGGAATAAGTACGAAATATACTTTTGAATGAGCAAGTTTATTAAAATGTACTATCACATTAAACGAGAGCAGGAAGGAATATGTTAGGATTGAAAGAAAAAGAATTAGAGGAACTCGGTAACAGAAAGCGCAATTGCATTTGCAAAAAAAATGATAAAAGATTCTGAAAAATTAGGGGTATCACATGTTAAAACTGACTTTTTGTTGTCTCTTTATTTGAAAAATATGGATTTTTTTTCAATAAAAAGCTTAAAAAACAGCCGTTTCCGGCCATAATCCCAACAACGCAACCCAAGCGATGCGGAAATTTTTCGAGTAAACTGCAAATGAGAAATAGTAACTTGTCAATATAATGGTAAATGATAAGAGGCTTATTTTAGAACTTAATCGGAGGTGTTTAGGAAGGCTGAGGTCAATGCAAAAGGCGTCAAGAATCGTGAAGAATTTCTGATTTAATTCTGATTTGTAAACGAGGCGTATTAGAATATCAACATATGGACGAGAGAACGAGAAATAGCAAAAAGAATCATGACGATCCTGAATTCATTATTGTTTTTTTTTATGGACAGTGTTAGGTACAGATTGTTTTTATACAAATTAATATTTCTGTTCGATGAATTGAAACCACGAGCAAGAAGAGGTCAATGATACTGTATCATCCATTTTAATCGTTGTTCTGCTGGTTCTCTTCAAAGAACATGAAATCCTAGATTAAAAGATTAGTTCCGTCAAAATTTAAACAAAATGGCAAGAAATGGAATTAAAAGTGATAAATTATCATTTCATAATTCAGGTATGGAAATCACCCAGTCAGGTTGTCACCCAAAAAGGCCACCGATTGAACCTCATTTGTCTCGCATCCATGCATGGATAGCGATTGCAGGGGCCGCTATGAGAATCCCGATGGGGATAAGAAAGAATAATAGCTGCCAAAAGTGCTTCAAAAGGCACGAGGGCCAAAGTTTCTGGCAAATTGTGGGGTGCTCGTCGCGAGCTTTTTCAAAAAACATCGAGTCCTACAAACCATCATCAAACAATAATCATGCAAGAATACGTCTAGTATACTTACGATTAAGAAAACCATGGCCATCAAAGTGAGCTTGACCCTGACATCGAGATCTAATGGGAAGCTAACACCGAAGTTATCAGCGTCTGTGTAGGCTTCGCGGACGAGACCGCTCCATTGCTTCGTTACTTTGCCAATTTGCTGACCATCTTTTGTCAGGACCTTTTTAATCAAATAAGTCAGTCGTTCATTACAATTAGTTACCTCGAAATCAATGTCTCCGCAGCAAGAGATCACGCACACGGGTCCTTTTACTTTGAGAATTTCTTCTCCAGACGCGTCGCAAATTGAAAAGACCGGCTCGGTGCAGTCTGCACGTTGCTTGATCTTTCCAACTAATTGTCCACTAGCCGTGATGTCTAAAATGCTGAGTGAAGGTCTGGGGAGCATTAGATTAATAACCCATCTCTTGGAGCTGGCACGGAAGGTAGCAAAGACAGCATCGGCAAGTACAATTGAAGGGTCGTTCGAATCGGGCCACTTCTTGGCCCATGTTGTCTGTTATCGCCATTTCAAAGCTTCTAAGTGGACCACAGCATTGGCGAGTGCAGCAGTCACTCTTTTCGCCAGCGAAGAAGACTTGCTGTCCCATGCTGTTTAGAATCTAAAGAATTCTGAGTGCTACCAAAAATTCAATATTGTGAACATACCTTGTACTTGTTAGATGTTTCGAATCCAGTGAAAGCTTCGAAGAGTTCGACTTGTTGTTTTACCAACAGCTGATCAACATGGAGCAAGTATTCCAATCCCGGTGGACAATTGCTCGGTCGCTCCATTTGTGGCGGCGGTGCCCAGGCATTCTGTTGCTGCATCGGCATTCCTGGTGGTGGAGGCGGCTGATAACTCATTCTAGGTGAGATAAAGCTGGAAACGAGTGAATATAAGACTCTTTTTAGGGAGAAGTTTCTCTTGTGAAGTTGGAAATGAAGTTTTATATCTTAGGCCACTATTCAAGATTTGCTTTATATACACTTTTGTGATGCCCTATTTGTTCAATCATTAAGAGATTTCCCTGTCACAATGAAGGTAAAACATTCTCTTGCGATCACGATTAAAAATTCTCTGAAAATTTCTAATGGAGAGGGTCCGTGCTGATTCCATAATCTACATAAAGTTTATTTACTCAATCATAACTTGGTCATTCATTAGAAAGGGCGTTCAGAAAAAGAAAATGTTACATTTTTCCTAAAAAATTAATGTAGGAGCAAAAGCCTCTCTATTTTTCTATCTGGGACAAAAGAGAATTTCTAGGCAAGTTTTGAGCTGACCACTGGTCGCACGTGATTAAAACCTGGCTATGAATATTGATAACTCTCGGGAGAAAACTCGATTTAGAACAGCACAGGGCTTGATTTCAAAGCGAAATCATTTTCAGCCCAGTAGGTTATCTCTATCCTTGAAAAGGACAGAACAATGCTCATAACTTTAAGCGCAGTTAAGTTTCTATAGAGACCAAGCATTCAGGTTTCTGCTCTTGAAAAGTAAAGCAAAGTCAGGGTAGCAGAACAGACATTTTTCATTCAACTGTTCTCGTCATAAAAATATCCAAAAAAGAAACGATATCGTCATAGATACTGATTGATCTTTCTCATTTTCGATAGATTCTCACTCTAATATTTATCAACGCTCGCATTATCTTTCGTTTTTTAATTCATGAACGCAAGGAAACCGCGTTAACTCCTTTGCTTCCTCTCTCGTACCAACTTTGACTGCCAAATTTTTATTGCCAGAAAAGAATGTTGGTATTTAGTGTTCTTTAAATATGCCCTTTAGGCAAACAAAAATGCTTCATTGTGATTGATTATGTTCTTTTTCTTGAGAAACATCGTGTGTGGTATCTCTATAAAGTAGATAAGCGATAATTCTCTATGGCCAGTCTCATCTGGGCTTGAGACATCGTTAAAAAAGAGAACAAATTAGCAGTTTATTCTAAGTTGATTATGGAGGAAATCGACGCGCTTCTTCAAGGCTTATCTCGTCTATTTGCCTTTCAAGACACCACGAATGAATAAGAACTAAGAAAAAAATAAAAGGCTTCAGCTTGAAGGCAAAGAAGCCTAAATTCGCTCTCAAAACGCTGTTATCTCGTTTCGCAGTTGAAATCAACCTGTCACCAGACTTTCCTAGACCGTTTCTTTCTATTTTAGAAATGATCGTTTTTGACAAGAAACAGACATCAATTGTTAGTTAAATAAAATAGAATATATTTATAATAAAATAAGTTAAAAAGGTATAATGTTTGAGATAATTCCAAAGGCGCCATTTTCAAAGTACAAGTAGTCGATCAGAATTGAAGCTGCAACAACGGTCGTCTTCATTTTCACGTCCAAATCTTTGGGGAAATCGACCTAAAGAGAATTTATAAGATTGGAAATGTGGCATAAATTATGCCGCATAATCTTACCCGGTATTTTTGTTCTCCACTGAACATTTCGCAACACGACTGCTCCTTCGTCACGCCTCCGATGCTATTCTTGCCGTCGTAAGATTTGAGGGGAAAGAATGAGCTTGTACATGCGGGAAAGAGCTTTTCACAGAGACTTCGGTCTTGTTCGATTAAAAGGGTGGGAACTCCGGTAGGCGTGCAGATTTCATACTTCATATCACAACAGGAAGCTTGCTGCTTGATGAAACCGATTGGGTTGTTGTGCGCATCGGTAACCTCTTTTGAGATGTTATGTTTTCGAACGAGAAATAGTGAAACTAACCGAGTTCTTGCAGAGTACATGGTAGATAATTACAGCAGCTAGATCTGCATTTGAATGTTCGTTTTATTTTACAAACGACGCGGTTAAGACCATCAGTCATTACCATTTCGAATCCTCGATTGGGTCCAACGCACATTTTGCCACAAACACCACCACAATTTTCAGTTTCTTTTAGCTCGAAAAGAGCTTGATCTTGGGCATTGAGAATCTAACATGGAATTTTATTTTCTGGTTGACAAAAATGGACTTACATTGTATTCATTTCCAGAATGGACGCATGGAGTGCAGCAGGGACAAATAAGCGAGGTACAATTTACGGAGCAAGAGATATTTTGATGGACAACGACTGAATTGACGCCAAGAAAGTATTCAAAGCCTGGTGGGCAATTTTGGCGAGCCACTTGAGAAGGTCGGGGAGCCCAGTTGAATCCACCAGCGTTTTGTTGGATATTGATTATGACGGGCTGTTGTGGTGCTGCTGGAGCTGGTGCGGGGGCCGGAGCTTGTACGGGGGCAGGAGCTGGAGGTCGGGGTGCACCGTATGCTTGTGCGGGTGGAGCACCGTATGCTTGAGGAGCTGGTTGACGGTAAGGTTGTGGAGCTGGAGCGCCGTAAGGTTGAGGAGGTCGAGGAGCGTAAGGTTGGGGAGGTGGTGCACCGTAGGGTTGTGGAGCTGGAGCTCGAGGGGCACCATAGGGTTGTTGGGGAGCACCGTAGCCTGGTGCCATACCAGCAGGAGTAGGCACTGCAGAACTTTCCTCATGGACATCTTCTGGAGCTTGACCAGATGGTGAAGGTATCTTTTGACCATCTTCAGGAAGAGTAGGCTTAGCGTAGTCTGGAGCGTCAGACTAAATAAAATTCGAGGTCTATCACATATCAGGAACTCATTTAGATTATGAAAACAGCATTCTTTACCAAACTAAATTTACCATGGTCAAATAATCAAAGTTTGATTATCAAACTACAAAACTGAAACGATTTTTAGAAATCCAAATTTTTAGACAACAATTCTAGAAATCATAACAGTATCATAATTACTTAACATTTTTATACACGGTACTCACGGATTACAGCGGTGGACTCCAATCATTAATCATTTTTACATCGAACCGATACTCACTCATAGTTGAGTTCTGAAATGAGTCCTTGCTAAGATGATGATTAAGACTTCGATATAACAAAATAAACATTATTCTTCGGTCACAGTTTTAAAATTAGAATTAACAGGGCGTGATCTTTGAGCAAATTCCAAAGGCACCAGTTTCGAAGTACAAATAGTCGATGAGGATCGATGCTGCGAGAACGGTTGTCTTCATTCTCACGTCTAAATCTGCTGGAAAATCGACCTGAAGAAAGCTTGAAAACGAGCAGTTCGGAGTCAGTGATCTGACCTTGTATTTTTGTTCTCCACTGAAAATTTCGCAGCAAGTTTGCTCCTTAGTCACGCCACCAATGCTATTCTTGCCGTCGTATGATGTCAAAGGAAAGAATGAGCTTGTGCATGCAGGGAAAAGCTTTTCACAGAAACTTCGGTCTTGCTTTATCTTGAGGGTGGGGACACCAGTAGGAGTGCAGATTTCATACTTCAACTCTTTCAAAGAAGATGATTGTTTGATAAATCCGATTGGGTGGTCGTTTCCATCCGTAACCTCTGAGTTTTTGTGTTCTTTAGGCGTCAATGGAGATAAAACTTACCGACTTCTTGCAAAGTACATGGAAAATAATTACAAACGGGGGATCTGCATTTGTATTTACGGTTTAATTTGCATACAACTCTGTTGAGACCATCAGTCATAATCATGTGAAAACCTCGATTCGCTCCAGCGAAAATCTTTCCTGGGACGCCGCCGCAGTTCTCCATCTCCTTCAACTCAAAGAGAGCTTGCTCTTGGTTATTCAGAATCTAAAGTTTTCATCAATTCCGAATATAAATGAAGGAACTCACATTGTATTCGTTTCCTTCATGAACGCATGGAGCGATGCATGGACAACAGAGGGAGCTGCAATTGTCGCTACAGGAGACACTTTGATGCACAATCACTGAGTTGATGCCAAGGAAGTATTCCATGCCTGGAGGACAATTAGCACGAGCTACCTCAGCATGAGAAGGTGGAGGGGCCCAGTTGAATCCACCAGCGTTTTGCTGGATGTTTATGATGATAGGTTGTTGTGGGGCGGCTGGCGCTGGGACAGGTGCTGGAGCTGGTGCACCGTACGTTTGTGCCGGAGGGGCGCCATAAGCTTGAGGAGGTGGCGCACCATATGGTTGAGGAGATGGAGCGCCATACGCATGTCCGTGCGGTGCCATACCAGCAGGAGTAGGAGCTTCGGCACTCGTCTCTGGGGCATCTACAGGAGTTTCGCCGGATGGGGATGGTACTTTTACATCTTCTACATCTACAGGAGGTTGAGTGTGTTCTGGGGCGGACTAAATATAAATCGAATCAAGGACAGTGTCTTGTGATGTCTGAAGCTAAATAATCAATTGAATTCACCATGCTTTTTAACGGTAAGGAACTAAACTAAAATCATTTGTTTTCATCCCTTATTAGTAAAAATAGTTCTAGAAATAATAATTATTACGATTCTGTACTGTTACGTACCAACTATGACCAAGCGATACAAAAGATAAGTTTTTCCCCGGATATAGTCAGCATTTCGACTTTCAGACAAATCATGATCAAGTTCTGAAACAATTATTGCTCATGAGTGATTTGATGCATAATAATGTTCAGTTTATTGCTTGCTTGCAGCTTTGAGCAATTCAGCAAGTCTAATCTTGTTTCTTTCGTTAGATTCAATTTCTTTTCGTTCATTCATTTCATCTTCCGATTCGCTCTCCGACAATTCTATTTCACAAAGTTCTGCGTTTTTCTAAACAATAATCATTTATCTTGTACGAAGTCAAATGAGTTGAAATACCTTCAGCCAACACTTGTCACTATTCGTTTTCCTCTTTCGATACGTGAATACATCAACTTTCTTTGCCAAATCAATTAGCTCTAAATTCATAGATTAAAAAGTTGAAGACTGCTAAACACAAACCGTTGTAAAATTTTGGTGGCATATCGCCGTCATAATTATCAAGCGGAGCTTTTTTCAAAGTATGAAGCACTTTCTTGTAGTTTTTAACATCGGAATCTTTCAATAATGTAACAGCCGTTCCAGTTCTTCCTGCTCGACCACATCGTCCTGACCGGTGAACGTACGTTTCCGCCGCGTTTGGAAACTAAAAAATAATAGATTTGCTCAAAATCAGCTTCTAAAACCTGGAAATGAATGATTTGATCGACGTTGGGGATGTCCAGTCCTCTAGCAGCGACATCAGTTGCAAGGAGAATACCATCGGTTGATTTTTTGAAACTATCTAAGTTTTTTAACCGTTGTTTTTGCTTCAAATTTGCATGTAGAGCGTGAACAGGGAGCTTCAATGTCGCCAAAAGACCCCTGAATTTGATCTTAGGATCGATCTTTGGATGATTTTTTTGAGAATACCTCAGTCGCAAAACTCCAGTGATGGAATTGCAAAAAACAATCGATCTACCCTCTTCTTCCTTCAAGAGATAATACAGCCAGACATCTTTATCCTTGTCGCTCAAAATCGAAACCTTCAGCTCCTGGATCGAAGACGCAACCATGGATGAGTTCGATAGATCAACGACCTCAGAAGATTTTCTATCGATACCAATCGCTTTCATCAGCTTGTTTATCTTTGATTTAGCAGTTTCTGCTTTTATATTCATTTTATCCATCCGTTCCGAATTCACGTGAGTGAGAGTCAAAGTCGCGGAAAATACGAACTTCTGGCATGCTTTATCAAGGGCCCCGACGATTCTAAGTTGAAAGTTAAAACTTCGCTTGTATTTTTGAATTCATACCTGTCAAGCTCCGCAAAATGACCCTTCTCGGCCATTCTATCAGCTTCATCAACAACAAAATACTTTAGAGAGTGTAAATTCTGCAAATATTCTTGACCAGTTTCTCTCAACTCCCAAAACCTTCCTGGTGTCGCGACAATTATTTCAGGTCGTATTTTGGTGAGAATTCGCTGCTGCTTTTCCGCTGCCATGCCGCCGACGATGGCGGTAGTTTTGACAGTAGTGAATTTCGAAACGAGTCGTACGCTGTCGTGAACCTGCATCGCTAACTCACGGGTTGGACAGAGGATAAGGGCTTGAGGACCAACTGTTTTTTCTTCGCTGAAATCTCGATATTCGTCCAGGGACGGTTTTTTCTCATCAGATTGCTCAACATCTGGTTGAGCGCTATACTTTTCTATAAAGAGGGATAAAGATCTTATTTCGATGGTTTTAACTAACCCAAATATCCAATAATTTTATGCAAAATTGGCAAAGCATAAGCTATCGTTTTTCCAGAGCCCGTTTCGGCCGCACCAAGAATCGTTTTCTTCGTATTCAATCCTTTTGGAATGCATTGGCGCTGAATATCCGTTGGCGATTTAAAACCGAGACTGTCAATTGCTCGGAGAAGTCCAATGTCAAGATTAAACTTTCGCCATTCAGGAATTTTATTCTGAAACACATATTCGCTGTTCGACACTGCTTTCTCTTCGTCTGTCAGCTCGAACGATTTGGCTTTCGACTTTTTCTGTTTTTTCTTTGGCTTTTCTTCAGGCTTCTTGGTGGGCTCCTTTTTACTTTTCTTTGGCTCCGACGGAATGGACGACTCAGTCTCTGTAACCATTGAATCTTCACCTTCCCCGAATAAAACTGCATTTTTCGCAAGTTTTCTTTTCTTAGTTTTCGCTGGTTTTTGCTTCTTCTTTTGAAAGACGGGCTCTCTGTTTGGAACAAATTCTTGGAATCCAATTAGACCTTCCAATTTCCCGGAAGTCATGGCTGCAGGTGGGAGAAGAACATCTTCCCACTTTCCGTCCGCATCCGTTGTTGCCACTTCCCTGCCACCTGACACCATTCTATGCAAAATATACTGTCAGAAAAATAATTATCGGACTTTTTATTATGAATTGTCGAATGAAGCGAGAGCATGAATTACAGTTTGGTTTATTAAAGTTCAGTTATGTGAGGGAGATCGGGGATTTCCATCAGAGTCAGAAGGGATCCATAAGCTTTTCCTTGTGGATCATTAGCATCGGAAGCAATTCCACCACCAGCAAGTGACTCTTCCAAGACGAAGTTGAGAGCGTTGAGTCCGGGCCAGTCATATCTGGTGACAAGCTCTGCGGTAGCTCCTTCCGCAAACTTGTCTTGGAAGAATTCGAAGATTCTGTCTTCGGTCAAATGTCGTCTAAAAATATGATAGCCTCGACAAAATTTTCTAGGCTAACCTCAAGTATGGAAGATATTCTGGCTTTCGAGCGATCACAGAAACATTGCAGGAATTGCCTTTATCTCCTGATCTTGTATATGCGAGGTCATGGACTGAATAAGTAAATGGGCCCGTTCTGACAGCGTCTTCTTGAGCGTTTGGTTGCGGGATTTCTTTCGTTGCCTCGTAGTCAGAAAAGTTAGGAACTTCAATTTCTTCGTCGCCAAGTGTGATGGTCGGCGTGACATCGCTTTTAGGTATCAAAACTGACTGATAAGAAAGACAGGGAGTAGGCTTTGGTCGCCCACCAGACACGGCTTGAAGACCAGGAGCCATCGAAGTTCCAGCAGTAGCGATCTCCAGACCGAAAAACTTGAGAGCTTCACGATCTGGGTGGCGCACGACAACTCGAAGGGTGCATTCTGGCGTTTTTACTCCGAGAGGAGGAGTGACTGCCATTGTTACTCGAGTGAATTTTCCAAGATCGCGCTTTTCGAGCTCATCCTCGATTCGCTTGATCAATGCTCGGCCAGTTGCGAGGGCTTTTTCTTGGCAATCTCGGCCGCCGATGTAGACAGGAAGGATAGATCGGAAACCATCGAACTTTGTTCGGCCAAGTTTAAGTGTGTCGGTAGGCGCAACACCAGTGATTCCGGTAACCTTGACTCGATTTTCGCCAACTTCTTCAATGACGGCTTCAGATAGATTGGCAACAACATCGGGGAGGATGTAACCAGCGGGATTGCCAACTTCATAGGTCAACTGCTCAGCAACAGTGGCCCAAGAGACCTTGCCCCCGGTACCTTCTGGTTTGGTAATTTCGAATGAACCAGACTCATCGATAATGGCAATGGGGAAGCCAACATTCCACCAAGAGTCAGCAACGTTTTGCCAATCAGTGTGGTTTCCACCAGTGCACTGAGCTCCACACTCCACAATATGACCAGCAGCAGATCCTGCAGCAAGCTTGTCCCAGTCGTTCATCTTCCAGCCGAATTCGTACATGGCGGGGCCAAGGATCAATGCAGAATCAGCAAGACGACCCGTCAAGACCATATCAGCACCTCGATTGAGAGCTTCAACAACCGATTCACATCCAAAATACGCATTGGAAGTCATGTAGCCTGGCTGTTCAACTTGATCGCCTCCGATAGCGGCAATTTTGAGGTCCTAGATTGTGAATTATTAAAAAGCGATCATTATCTACCTTGAAACCAGCAGCTTCCGCTGCTTTGGACATGGCCTCAGCACAACCAACGGGGTTGATGCCTCCAGCATTGCAAACCAACTTAGTGCCGCGCTCCTGAAGGGCTCCGAAATGAGGCTTGATGTCTCTGATGACATCAGGAGCGTAGCCCATCTCTGGTCGTCTCATTTGGGCGCCGACCATGAGAGACATGGTGATCTCAGAGAGATAATCGTACACAAGATAGTCAAGATCTCCCTTTTCAACAAGCTGACCGGTGGACAAGGTCGAATCACCCCAAAATCCAGAAGCGCATCCAACACGGATAGATTTGGCTCGAACATGCCGGAGAGCATGTTGTACTCGCATCATGATTTCCGCCGACGTTTATCAAACGACTTCGAGAGTTCTCTAAAGCAGGCGCGGCTCACTGAAAAGGACCAAGACACGCCAAGATTTGGGTATTTGCAGCGAGTTTGGGTAAATATTTGCGAGCTGCTTGATTTGGAATGGGAGTTTACTATTTGTCAAGAAAATCTACTCTTTGACCTGTTGAGGACAAAAATTTTGTACCCTCTGTATTTGAAGGTAAAATTGCAAGAACACACGAACACAAATAGAATTTTTAGTCAACCTTCCGCTCGAAAGAGGATGGTAACGGAGGAACTTTATTGAGTTTTTGGAGCAGCAATAGCACTTCTTGAGAATGATACTCTTAGGTGGTTTGTGTCACTCAGCTTCACGTTATGTAATTGCTAGAATAAACAAAATATATGACGAGAAAACAGTTGTAGACTTACAATTAAGGCTTCTACAGCTTCAGGTTCGGAACCCATTTCAATGAGGGCCATCTTTTTATCATTACTAAAATTTCTTTGAATGCTGCTGAAAAACTTAATTCTCTTACTGGAAAAATCTGAAGTTCTTTATATTCCCGAATGGGACAAAAAGTTCTCGTATGCGTTCTTCCTCGATTTCTGGTGGAATGTTACTGAGATGTAGCGTTTCGGATGGAGGATGAATGTTCTTAAAACATCGTTTTTGATGGGAGTAACTTTTTGAATCCTACCTGGAAATTCTTAGATCCAGGCTTCTTGAACCTATGGAGAGGGTTGTTGGTGAAATCTTTAGTAAGATCACAGGCTTCGTGATTTTCCTTAGGCAGCTGGACTTGTTGATGCTTTGAGAAGACAACTCGGAGGGGCTTATCATGAAGAACGCGACTATTCAGGTGGGTCAGGGCTAAATCTTAGTTAAGATACAGGTTCATCAGGGAAAGCTCTACCAGTGGTAGCTTGATGGTTGTCGGCCATTTGAAGCAGTGCGTTATCTTTCTTGTTGTAAAGAATTTTCACCCTTAGTACATTTCCGTAGACGCCAAAGAGAGTGAAAAGTATGTCACATGTAATACGCTAAAATGTAACTTGAGCATTTTTCACAAAGTTGGTTCCTTTACCTCCTCATCGAGATTGGCAACAAGAAGGACAGTCGGGCCATTGGATGGCGGTGCAGGGGAGTATGGCGAGGAACCGTTTTGAATAGTTGGCAAAGGAGACATCATTGAAGTTGGAATGCCCATTTGAGGAGCCTGACCCATAAGGCCACTTTGATAAGCTAAAAAATACAGCAAAGGCTCTTCAACTTTCAAGTCTTACTTGGAATCATTTGCGAGTGCTGATGCGAATGTGAGTGTGAATGCGAGTTATTGTAATCATCACTTTGTGGCAATTCTGGACGAGTGTAGTCACGGGACTTGTCATTGTTGAATTTGACATTAAGTTGTTGCAGCTTTGAGTAGTCTATTCTTCAGGGAGAAGTCGTTAGTAACAGTTTCATCGAGCTAGTTCAGCTTCTTACCTGAGGGTACAGCAGTTTGTGTAAACATTTTTTCCGTCGAGTGAGAGCTTGGCAGCCTGCGCATTACTTTCACAGTCCATTTGGATGAGCGCTTGGAATTGGTCTATCGAAAATTTAATCAAGAGTCGTAAAGACGGAGCTTACTGTTTTTTGTAAACGTAATAACTTTGAGAACATTGCCAAACTGGCTGAACAGATGTGTAAGTACGTCGAGAGTGATCTGGTAGGTCATGTTTTCAACGACTACCCGGAGTACATGATTATTGCCGCCTTCTACTTCTTGGAATTTCTGCAACTCGATAAGTAATTTCTAAATTTATTCTTAGCTTGATTGTTTTTGGGATGGAATAAACCTCTTGTAAGGCAGAACTTGGTGGGCTAAGCTGCTTGTGGTTGGAGAATTGTAAATGAATTGTTCGCTGGCGTATACATGGCGGATTAAGAACATAGTATTGGACCATTTCACGGGCCATTTCGATGCTGTCAACTTCGATAAACGCTTGATTCTTGCTCTATAGCAGCGATTCAAGATGGGTCAAGGAAAAACTCCTACCTTGAGGTGCATAAAGTTAACCATGAGGCCTAATGTTTTGAATGGCAGTACTAGCTTCCAGATTTCATGCTCAGAAACATCATCAGGCAGTCCGCGTACGTGGAGCACGCGTGATCCTTCATCATCAGTTTTCATCTATCAGTAGATTATTTATAAAGATTTATAAATTTCGTTTCATAGTTCATTATACATTTTGAAAACACACGAATCAATGAAAAAGACCCGAGTCAATTAGCTGCAATTCTATTCCTCGGGGCAGGAAAAATGATTGATCACGGCTCAATAAGCCTCGCGTAATCAACCGAAACGAGTTCGAAGGATAATCCCTCGGCCTGATTTTTCCCTAGAACCAAATAGGTTCTATTTTCTACTTTAGTTACCTTTTTGAATTCATTACGAGCACCACATGGGACAATATCAGCAGAACAATCTCTCTCACGCTACACAAAATTTCGGGTTAATAACACAACTTTCAATAAAGTCGAAAAGGGGTCTCCGAAAAAACGAAATCGAGGGTGATATTGTCTTGGATCCACCTAAATTTGATCCCCTTTGTGTAGATGAGCGCGGGCCGAACGATCCAAAATATGGAGCTAATTTACGACTCGATCCGCTTTCTTTTTCGAAAAGATCAAATAGAGTTTACAATATTTACCGTGTATTGCACATTATTGTAGGGGTCGATGTGGGTAGTGTACGGGACGGGAATGTAGCCGACATGAGCAGTCATACCACATTGGCTTGTCTAGATAGTGGGTTTTTTAATTGTCTCTGATAAATTTAATATACTGTCTCGACGGCAGCCCCGTCGACTGGATAGAATTGCTCAACGAAGCCTGTAATTTTCGCCACTTTAGTTCTCTCTTTACAATAAAAAAGGGGGGTTGATCGAGTTTGGATTTCCGATTTTTATTTTTGCCGACCTTTCTTTTTTTGTTTCCCCAAAATTTACTAGGGTCTAAGCTCGATACGGCTGAAGGCCAAAATATTCAGTACCATGGTAGGGTATTCTCCCCCCGCGGCGCCAAAAACAACCTCCGCGGAATGGAACATTTCTCGGGTAAGGTCACGCTTCACCGCCTCACGTAGAGCGAGAGTCATCGACAATTTGAAATTAGCCCCTTCTCTCATCCCTCCCATCGTCCACACATTGAATACACATTGAATCTCTATGACCACCCTGACAAACTTATATCACCCTCAGATTTCGTTTTCACGGAACAGGAAAGGATTAGTAAAGGAGCAAAGGAAAACTGTAAATGAAAGTGTTAAATGTTCAGTAAATACCTTGACGGGGAGAGTGTACCCGCCGGATTCGCCAGTTTGCGTTTGAATAGAAACAGAAGCATGTTTCTTGGTCTTTTGATTTCTTGGTAAGTGAGAAGTAGAGCCACTTTCAGAAAGTGCTGAATAGCCAGAGTCCATTCTGGCAAAGAGGTTTTAGGAGGAGAGAGAAGGAAATAGTAGAGATTGGAAGGAGCTTGAGCGAGGACCAGAGGGTTACCTTTTCAAATGTCCAACCGATATGGACAAAAGTAGGAAGCGAGGCTGGTTTTTCCGATTTTTCAGTCTAACGGCATCTAAAGCGAAACATTGAAAAGCATAAAGTCAGATCGATTTTGTATGTCGAGCAGTTTCAAAAGCCAGTATATTCAGTATACAGATGAACCATCCATAACATCAGATGTTCTTTTAATAAATATTAATAGTAGTATCATTGATTTGAAGGGGAATTAGCCTAGAGTTATCATGTCAGGAGACGTTTGTTTTAATCCTGAATATTGAGTAGAAGTTGTGAGCTTTTGTTTGACGATTAGATGTTGTGAGATTCCAATAACACAATATTGAATATTGGTGCAAATCCGATAACAATTTCGTTATACAGAAATAATGGATACAAGAGACAATGGATGATTAGTAGTCGTCGCCTCGCGAAACAACTTCCTTGCAAGTAGGTCGCATCAGAATGGTGTGTTCGTATTGGGCAGTGAAGCAACCCTTGACATCGCAAAGTGGTGGATAAGCATCGACGACTCCAGCATCGATAAGTTGCTAAAAAAACTGATCAGTCCTTATTCAACAAAGCAAAATGGCTACCTTTAAGTTGCCAAGGTATCGAGTTTCACCGAGTCTGTCGATCCATCTTCGGCAGAAAGCGAGAGTTCCGAAGTTCTTCTTGAGCGTGTGGAAGAGTTTTCGCGCTCCACCAGTTCTGACTTGTGGCGTGTCGTTGATGCTGTTGTACTCGATCATGTAGTGAGAGCAATCCATGTCATCGTGGACGTAGCCTTTGCCAGTTGAGCCGAAGGTTTCAATGGCGTACACTTCGTTTTCCTAGAAGATGAGTTTAGACATCAAAAAACCTTCTGCTCGGCCTCACCTCCATCCTGGTTTGATCGCCCCCTTTAACGATGGGTACGGTTTTGCCGGCATGGATTTGGTACTGGCCAATAGAGTGCCCATTAAGGTTACGAATGGGCCGAACTGAATATAAATGTAAGTTGTATTTACCTCCATGAGAGGGTCTCCGTGATAAGCGGAGTATCGGTCCGAAGCAGGGCCGACGATCGGCACTGATTTGCCCGCATGGATACGATACTGCTCGATCGAGTGACCAGATAGGTTACGAATCGATTTTACTGAACAGGGTTAGAGTGATGAAGACTACGTTACTACAGTAGATGTGAATGATTTAGTGCTCAAGTGAAGAAGTAAGTGGCTAGCGCTTATTTTTACCTTGATAGGTCTTTCCGTCGAGTTCGACTTCATAACTTTCCATTGTTTCCTGAATGATTGCACCAATTTCATTCAGTCGGGCGTCGATACCAGCGTTCTTGATACCCGTATTCGTTGCATCCTGTAAGTCAATTAAATGCGTTTGGAAAGTAATCATATCAAACCTTGACAGCTTCCAAAAGACGGTCATATTTGGGATTGAACGCAACAGTAAAGGCAGAGTCAATAATTCGACCATTGACGTGCGTACCGAAATCAATCTTGCAGACGTCATCATACTAAAGTGAATGATGAAAATGACAACAAATCTCTGAAATACCTGTAAGACGGTCTTATCTCCAGCGTTTGGAGTGTAATGAGCAGCGCAGTGATTCAACGAACAACCAGTTGGGAAAGCAAGACCAGCATCCAGCCCACTTTCGCCGATTGTAGCTCTTGAAGCGGCCTCCAGTTTCTCACTAGAAAAAAATAAATATTAGAGCCGACTTTCCCATCTCATCTCTCAACATACTCGCCAAGACAATGGCGTAACAAAAGCTCCGCTAATTGAGTAATAAAGACTCACCAAATTTCAATCATCGACATGCCAGGCTTGATGAAATCCTGCAGATGCTTTCGCGTCGTTCGATGAGCCTCGGCAGCCTGACGATGGTCATTCCAAATCTCTTCCCAAAGCTTGTCGGCGTTTTTACGCTCTTCGTTCGTCTGCCTCCAGATAGCCGATCGCCTTGAATATTTTACGGTACATAGGTATTACGGCGTTGTTATGAATTTTTGTTACGAAAAACATGTCTATAGACACATACATATCAGACTGAGTAGGGTATTCACATTCTTGTCCAACAGGGAAGACTCCATTCTTGAAAATATCTTTGATCGCGATCGTGGGCGGATCAGTCTGCTGAACTTTCTTATTTCGCTTTCGATTGCGCTTCTTCTTCGATTTACTCTCTCCGCCTTTTTCTCAGAGTTTGGAAAAGGGAAACTTGTTTTCCCATTTTTCACAAGGCCCGCCAGTACCTACACAGTAGGCGGCGAGTACTTGGCCAAATGTAACTGTAAACAAATTTGTTGTCACAGAGACGTGTCAAGTACAACTTGAAGTGTGGGCGCTCAGCTTTTTTAGGTCAAACTCTGGCCTTCACCGCCTTCGGCAGGTGCTCCTTCACCTTCACCATCGTTACCTTCGTCGGCGTCCTCACCTTCTGCGGGAGCGTCGCCTTGGTCACCTTCTCCTTAATTTCACGATTTCAAACCGAACAAGCGTCCAAAACATAAGCAAAATGAATTGCACGGATAGTTTTTCGTCATACATTTCATATACCGTATATGATATACGCGGATAATAATCGAATACCTTCTTTGCTTGCATTGTTTTTCTTCTTCTTCTTGTTCTTCTTCTTTTTCTTAGGCGCATCCTGAGCTGGAGCTTCTGCTCCCTCTGCCACAGGCTCGTCAATTTTCATCTCCTCGACCTGATCCTTTACTTCACCTTCTACCGACATTCTACTCTTGGAAGAAGAGGTTCAATACGTTTAATTATATTTCCCGTTATCTCTTTTTCAATAAAGAAGTTTATACTCTTTTGTCGGCCAATCAATTAAACGCGCGAGAATTAAAAGTTGACTTTTGATGCTCGTAATAATTTTTATTCCCAGTGACTTCACGATGAATTTTTATCATTCAATTTGCGCACTTTATTCATGAAATAGTAGGTTTTATGGACGGGGAAACACTTAACGGTATCAATCATTATCAAACTCATTATTTCGGAATTATAGATGAAGAAATATCAACCCAGAGTTACAGAGAATAGTATAGGGTGGTCTGTAGGTAGGCACCAGGTAAAAATTTGTTTGTAGCTCGTTTCAAAGCGCGAATTCTGAGTTTCAATGATAATAAAGCCGGAGGTAGGACCAGCAGGAAGCTATCTGAGCGAAGAATCTTCGCCAAAGCTATAAATTGATATTTTACAAAGAAATGTCAATGATGAACTTGTTTATGGCAGTGTGTGGTTATAAGTTATTTTGCTTCATCTCAGCGACGACTGGCCGGGGAAGAGGGATGGCTGCCAGGGTTCGAATTGAGCTGAAATGTTGTAGTGATATCAAGAAAGAAAGCTTTTGTTATTACCTTGAGGGTGTTGTTGGCGAAGCTGCTGATCAAGTTGTTGATTTGGCTGTTGTTGTTGATGGTGGTGGCCAAACGGAGTTTGATGATGGAACATTGGCTGCGATTGCTGTCCTTGTTGAGAATGATGAAGTGTAGAGTCAGTTGAATGTTGCTGGAGAAACTGGTTGATAAGGCCGGCGTGCTGCATTTGAGTAGCTGGAATAGTTTGCTGATTTGGACTTTTTTGCTGCGAGAGAGGGCTGGTTGGAAGGTTGCCGTGGATAGAAGGCGGGGTAGAGTGAGTAGAAGCGATATTCTGTGGGAATCCAGAAACAGGGGAAGACTGGACTGGAGCAGAAGAGCGGGACAATGGCGAAGCAGCGTGATGGGAATGAGGGCTGAAATTTAAGTGAGTCCAAATTCTTGCAATACTAAGTCCTCACCTGTCAGTCATAGAGAGATCTGGATGCGGGATACTACCCGGGGTAGTACTAGACTCGGCGGAAGGTTCGCTTTTGAGTATTGTTTCCGGAAGCGGATCTGGAGACATTTTTGAGGGTAAATCCGCTACTGCTTCATTCAATGCCGACTCACCGCCCTCGGTTAATTCGTGAAGCTTTCCTGCGGCTTGTTCTCCTGTTTTCTAAAATTAAATTGACTTTAATGTCTTTTGGGCTTATAATTTATAAATCTAATAGAGGCACAAACTAAAAAAAGGAAGTTTAAAGATAGGAAGCGACAAAAAAGGAAGTGCATTTTCTGAAGACCAATAAGATCGCTGCATTTGGCCTACCGGCCAATGAAAACCCATTCCAAAAGTATCACTTCCATTTTTGTCACTTCCCATCTTTATACTTCCTGATTTTGGTTTGGCCCCTAATAGAAGGGCGAATAGAATTACTTACGCCATTCTTGATCTCATTCTTGTAAATTTGCAATTGTTTTTCCCATTTAACGCGGTTCTCGAGAGCTTTTGCTACATAAGGTGCTTTTTCATCTTCAGTCATTGAGTTCCATTTAGAGCCAGCTCGTTTGGTAATCTCTTTTTGGGGGTTCTAAGATATTTTTAATTCCAATAGCTCTTTCAAATTTTCACTCTTACAAGTTTCTTTGACTTGTCTTCGTCCATTTTCATCTTCTTCTCTGGACCATCTTCATCACAAATCGTCAGTTTGGATCCATCTTCATCTTCAAGTTCGCCTTTTACTTTCATATCCACAGTGTTCTCATTTTCATCTTCACTTCCTGCAGTATCGTTGCAGCTATCAGCCTTCCAGCCTGCTCGGAAATCCTTCAGAAAAAGAAAATACGCACTGGGCGGACGTTTTGGTCTCCACTGATCTTTTGGTTTCTTCTCAGCTGCCTTTTCGTTTACCCAGCGCTCCTATATAAAGTTGGAAACCCAAGATATTATTGATGAGTCTCGTTACCTTGTCTATGCAGGCCAACTCATGATATGGGCGCTTCTCCTCGTCAGTCATTGCCCTCCACTTGGCAGCACACTCTTGCATCATCTCCTTTGCTTGCTTTCAAACCTCAGCGTAAGTTTATCTGTTGTGAGTGCGGCACTAACCTTTGGCATGGAGTCGCCGGCGGACTTCAGCTCTTCTCGATATTTTGATACAAAATAAAGGTATGCTGTAGTCGGTCGCTTGACGTTGGAGGACTTTTTGCGTTTTTGTTTTTTGGTGTCGACATGTTTTCCACCGCCAATGGATCGGTGATCCTTCTGATTTAACTTAGGTTTCCGTAATTCTCGCTTAAAACGTACCAGTGGATCTCTTCCAAGATCAAGGCCGTGGTGGTGATCAGCGCTCTGTTGGGAGTTGACTCCGTACGCACTCGGGTTCAAGCCAGAAAAGCCAAGCTGACTGTACTGTCCCAAGCTTTGAAGCATCCTCATCTGATGCAGGTGTTGCATCTGCTGACTAATGTCAAACTAAATTATTCCTTGTGAAAATGCTACTCCGAATTCATCATGAGTTCTTCGTTGACTTTACCTGCTGACTTGGCTGTGAGGTTTGAAGTAATTGATTGAAGGAATTCTGGAAGCCACCGGAACTCTCTTGATGTTGACTAGAGCCCTCTTTTTTTAAAAGTTCACTAAAGATAGAATTCATCTTTATCTTCTCGATATAGAAAAATAAAACAAAAGCCAAGTTTGTGCCCCTCCGTTGGATATGGTTCAACGAATGTCCAGTGCTAAATAAGCCTCGGGGAGGGATGAATTATTTAAATATTGATCAAATGGGGATTAAGCGAGTTTTACGCCCCTCGAAAACAAAATAAATCGACCCTTTATTTCGTTTGGTTCTGAATATTTAATCAATAGACTACGACGTTTGGCGACAATGAGGTCCCTCCTTGTCAAAAGTATTCTTTTGAACAGACATTACTCGTACAAGTCGTACTCTTTTCAACTTTGTATCGGAAAGTTTATCGGTTGTTGGAAGTATAAATTGGTCCCTAGACAGACAGATAAACAACTTCTCAATAAGAAGATGATCATAAGACTTTATCTATTTCAAATTCTCATAATCAAAGTACTATACTACTAATGGAGAATGTAGATACCCTTAAAAATAATTAACCTAAACAAGTATTGAGACGCAGGTCAAGCACAACACTAGAATGTTGTTTTTCTTTTTGTTTACATATGGGTGTCGAAAGTGAAGTCTCACTTTCGTTCCGGTTAAATAGTTGTCATGTTTTTGGTCGTGTACCTTGGTCAAGGGTCCTTCCCACCATGCCCGTTTTTTTCCCTAATCGATGTCGCCAACATAATGCGATTGTAACGGATGATTGGCCATTTTATGCCCCCATATGCTGTAGACATTAATCAGTAATACCAACTTCCGTTTACACCTTTCACCGCTCAATCAGTTGGTCACCATTGAAAAACGGTCTTACACAAATAATTCTCGGTGGAATAAAAGAAGTACCGAAAAATATCAGTAACTTTAGAATAGCACTAATCCCGTACGTATTAGCCTATACTCGTATGACGAGCATTGGCACAGCAGCAAAAATATATCTTCAGAGAAGCGCTTTTAAACTAAAACCGTGCCATCATCATACTATATTAATTTTTTTTCTTGAAGTAAAGAAGCACTCATAACGGATGAATTATTAATTTTGCTCATCCTTAAAAGGGGATAATTACTGAACAAAAGTGAACCTTTTCCTAAGCTTGAGTGTACCGATGAATAGGGAGCTTGATGCAGGGATGAGTGTGTTTCCAGATGATGGGTAGTTGATGACGCGCCATAATGGGAGGCTTCGGTAGGCAAGTCCGAGTAGGGCTGAAATCCTAGGCCGCCTTGGTGCGCCGGAATGTGCGGGTGAGGATCCGAGTGAGGATGATGATGACTTCCAGGTGTACTCTCTGTCTGGTTCGGCGGACAAGCCATGCGGAAAATCCCAGCCTTCTTCTTCGCCGATTATTCTCTTCTTTGTCTTTTCTCTTGGTGATCCTTCTTGTGATCTTATTTCGATAGCGTTAGCGCAGGTGTTTGTGCAGCGTAAGCCCCTTGACGACGAGGGATCCTATTTTCTAGGTTATTTATTAGGCTGAGCTTAGAGGCGGAGCAAGAGCGATTGGGCAACCCGCAGTGAGAGCTAGAGCTCCTCAGGCTGGTCACGGGGGGACAATGCTAATCGGTGTGGTCGGTGGGCGGCGAGTTGGGGGCTCTAGTCACTTTTGCAGCAACTTGGAAAAGGAAAAAGGTATTTTTAAAATCGGGATATTTTTCTTTAACTCGGAGGTTCTTGGATTTCTTAAAAGGAATTTGCAGCTGAGTATAGTTTTCGCGCGCCGCTTTACTATAAGTCGTAGGGGAGCTGAAACTTCCACTCAGTGCGCTCACGGGGCGGGCGGCGCTCCCTTGTCATTATAACAAATATAGCCAGCAACTATCCACACAAGTCCCTATTTTGGGTAAAAATGATCACCAAGTACTAAACTAGTTCCTTTATTAAAAGTGCCGCAACGCTCTGAATGGAATAAAATCTCTTAGAGGCCGCTAATATGTAGACAAAATGAGCAAAGTCGAAACGGGAGTTGATAAGAACGATGGGAAGCCTGTCTAGACATTCGCGTCTGATAACATTATAATGGGCAATTAAGAAAACGATCTGGATAGCGGTATTTAGCAGGAAAACAACTACGCTAACATAAAGTAAAAAATAAAACTCATGCAAAATCATTGATAAATACATTCCATTATTCAATTTCCCAAAAAGACCTTTTTCATAGAAAAAAAAAATCTCACCTCTCTTTTTTTTAAATTCTCAAAAATTAAAATTAAAAAATATGTTTTTGCCATAAAATGATAAAAGCGAAACATATTGATTTTTAAATTGGCAAGGTGACTTTGATGAGTTTAATAATTCAAGCCATCACAAGATTATTCTATTTCAAAGGCCTTCAAAATTAAGCTCTAAACTATAAAATTTTCAAAGGATTTAAGAAATTGTGAAACAGTTCTTAGAACTTGCTGTCTAGCCGCCAAGAATCGGCAATATCTGATGAAGTAGAAAAATTACGAAACATCTTCATTGAATCGGAAATTACCTTCTCAAAATATGATCTTCGTACAACCAGATTGATTCAAGACAGAGTTCATCGAATTCTGGCTTCGATTTGGCAGAAATAATTTGCCGCAAGATCGAACCACAGCATTCTTGATAAACAGCGCTATCGGACATTTGGCAAAATTTATATTTTCTGAAAAGCAAAGACCGTATTTACTTCTTTGTTATATGCATTTATTATGAAGATTATATTTTTATTACTAATCTAAAATTTATCAGAAATATTACAGAAGACAAATATTTAGTTGCTCGGAACTGACCCCAGCTCTAAAACATGTATCAATATATGATATTTATCATTTAACAAAGTAAATTAACAGGAGAATGAATCATATTCCAGACTTTTCTCTGCTTCTATCGGAATTTTTAGCGCGGCGCTCGTTTTTCCCATTGGCCGCGCTAAGAACGACGTGGCCTTTCTCCACTTTTTTTGCTGTTTTTCTTTCTCGAGTTCAGTTTTATTGCCCTAAAGTTAGAGAGACCAGGAGAAGAACAATTTTATTATTTTAGACAATTGAGTGGAAGTGAAGATGATGGACTTTATGAATAGGGCTCAACCCAGTATGGAGAAGATCTTTACAATGAGTCACCGTAAGTCTTCTCTAGAAATTTTCCAAATGATTTTTCATAAAAAAACAAATGAAAACTACCAATTTATCTTCGTAAATAAATTTCACACTCAAAAAATAATGGCTATCGCTGTAATTAGGCCTCCAGGATTCAGTAAGTTTTCTTTTCATTATTTTTCCTCGTATCCGTCTCCTCATTTTCTGCTTTTAGTCCGAAGTGACACCCGACAACACTTGAAAAAAGTCTACTCCGCTTTGACTTTGACCCTTCTCGCAGCTGCTGGTGGCTCTATTCTCGCTCATATCGTTCCAATTCTCGCCAATGTCTGGATCAACATGCTCGGAAGCATGTACCTCATCTACAACATCGGTAAAATCAACAGCTCCTTCCATCATCATATCCCTCTTTCTAGCAACGAACAAAACCTCCCAGAAAGACCGTCTCGTGAAGCTGATGGCCTTTGGTGTTCTCTCCGGCGCGGGTCTCCGACCTCTTCTTGAATTTTCCACAAGAATCAACCCTGCTCTCGTTCCAACCGCTTTGAGCCTCACTGCTTCCGTCTTCATCGCCTTCTCTCTCGTAAGAAAACGTCAAAACCTCGTAATTCCTCATTATTCTCAATTCTAGTGCGCTCTTTTGACCCAACAGCGAAGCATGCTCTACCTCGGTTCCATGCTCAGCTCCTGCTTGCTCTCAATGGCTGTCATTTCTCTCATGAACCTCTTTATCGGAAGGTAGGAAAACGCTTTCTGAAGTCAGACACTAGCGAATATTCAGCACTGGAGTACAGGATATGCTTTTGTACGGCGGAGTTTGCGTCATGTCCGGCTTCGTTTGCTACGACACTCAGCTCATCGTCGCCCGATACGAAGCCGGCGACCGAGACTTCATCCACCACTCGCTCGATCTCTTCATCGACTTCGTCTCCCTCTTCCGAAAGATCCTCATCATCCTCTCAAAGAAAGAAAACGAAAAAGAGCGAAAACGCCGACGAGATTAAAGTTTCCTTCTTCAAATAACCATCTTCGAAATCATTGATTCCTACAATGGTAACTCAACTACCCACCACTCTCCGTGCTCATCTGTTTTTAGAAAACAATAAAATGCATTCAAAAACGCTTGTTCCAAACTCCAAAATGAAAATTGAAACTCGCTGTCGTTCTTCATAATCATCGAGCACACCCTTCGCTTCGTCGAAAATCGAATCATTAAAAATCCAGAAAATTTACTGTAAAAGCAATCAAACCGTTGTTATACTGACTCAAAATCATTCTCTGCTCCATATTGTTAGTAAATAAACAATTGAAAGTTCAATAAAACGAGTTTTAGCTTCAATTTGAAATGTTTCAATTGAAGAGAACGAGCTTCCACGGAACAAGGCAGGTATATTTTCAAACGGAAGACTTTTGCAGTTTAAGCGAATCCCTCTTCGCAAGATTTTCGGCTTTTCTTCGCAGGCCCCTTACGCGTTTTTGATGCCTTCTACTTTCTGTATGATTTTTCATCTGATCGTGTGTCACTTTCTCTGTTCTTGATTGGGTCCTCCCTTTGAGTCGGTAGAAATACTGCTACAGTAGTCAAGAACAGTTCCTGTAACATCACAGTCATCGCATCGTTCAAGCACATTCATTCCAATTTTACGTTTGAAGTAGTCCTCAATACTGTCACAAATCGATTCATCATTCACTGAAAACTTCATTAAAGACGACAAGCAACTACCAGGCGACTTTTGACCTTTATGCACGCTTATCTCGGGGGATTTACGATCCATGTACTCGTCAACTCCGGAGAAAGCTTTGTCCCGGACATTTTCGTTCTGAATTTCGGATTGACTACTTCGTGGATTGGGTTTTTTACCCAGTTTGATATATCCGTAGCATCAAGTTGATAGACAGGCGGTAATTTAGGCGGCCTAATTGAATGACAAAACTTATTTTTGATGTATTTTTCCTGTTGCGCGGCGTATCGTTTGGTGACTGTTTTCAGGGCGCCAATGCATCTTTCGCGATCTTGGTTACTAAACATGGAAAATTGGCGCTTTCCCAATAATAGAATCGGGGCGCTATGTCGTGGACTTGGGTTGACAAGGGAGGTCAATTTGGCAAGTGACACTTCCAGACAAATTTCGTTTTAGAAAGAGTGCAAATTATGAAGCTGATAGTTTTTCTTATCGCGAAATGTTTTGCCGTGTTTCAGGTAGCTGAAAAATCCTTGGAATCCTATTTTATAGAGATTTAGTGGCCATCTCATGGTTGGATCCAAGGAAGTGGATCGACCTGTTCTTTGCCAGTTGAATCTGCAGTAAATAGCACTTCTTGCCCGACGATGTTTACTTGTTGGTATCAGTTGGGCATTACTTTTCATAAACTGCACCCGGGCAAACTTGAAGAAGGTAATTCATAGTTGATGATCTGGCCTTTTTTAAGAATATCTTATAAGATCACGAGCACTGCACTGAGGTAACCTGCTACTGCCCGCCTGCCCCTGAATATGCCTCAGAAGAAGTCATGGAAGGATGTCGAGTCTATTACAGAGAAATGGAAACGAGATGGAAAGATTGCCGCGATCCCAGATCTAATGTCTTTCTAAGTATTCTTATGCTATTTTGATAAAGAAATCAATTGAGTTCTTAGATCCAAAATGCACTCGTGATCGACCCGCCCAAAATGCCCAAGCCTGGCGAAAAGTGCGCGAAGGTTTCAATCGCTGGAAAGTCTTCCCTGCTCTGCCGCCTCGACATTTTCTTGTCTGCAACTACTAGTCATAATTTCTCAATAAAATGATGAAATGATAAACGAGAACGACTAACCTTGCATCACTCTTGATAAGAGGGCGTAGTTGCTTTAATCCAATCGAAGCAAATTGAGTCTGATCAAAACGTTCTTTATTTGGGTCGCGAAAGATTCTCATCTTTGATTACAATGTATTTCGACGAACCCATCACTACGCCATACTTCTCTTCAAACTGCTTTATTTCTTCTAGCAACCCCTTTGTCACCATTCCATCCGCTCTCTTGTCGATCCTTTCATTGAGAACCTTTCGATCACTTGATATCCAAAAGATGAGAGTGTCTTCATGAACAACTTTTGAGTTTTTATTGCGCTCAATGATCGATTCATGAGAAGCGTAGCTCTCCAAGTAGGTTCCTATCTTCTTCGGGTTGTTCCAGACAAGCTTGTATGCTTCTGGGTCGAGTCGTTTGAGCAGGTCGGATAAATTTGATTCTTGTTCTGTTGAGTCTAGCGAAGAGCTCCGGATGAGCTCAATTTCGTCCATTATCTCTTCGTTTTTGGTTAAAGACGCATTGCTTGATCTGAGGAAAAAGGAAAACGCGTAGTAGGTTGTTCCTCCAACAAGAAGTGGTAATTTTCCTCGGCTACGGATGTCTGCTATTAACTCATCAGCTCTTTGAATGAAATCACGAACATTAAATTGTTTTTCCACCGACTTGATGGACAATAAGTGATGGGGGATTCCCTCTGCTTCTTCGGTCGTCACTTTATTCGTGAGAATATCGAGCTCGTCATAAACCTGCATAGAATCCATTGAAATAACCTTTAATGCGCTCAAAATAGCTCAAAATTCGTAGTTTTCAATTATAAAATTTTGAAACGCTGCCTCTCCGTTATATTTCTTTGAAATTTCTATGCCAAGCTGTGATTTGCCAACACCAGTAGGCCCGAAAATCATGATAAGAGGCTCCCACTTGTCGCACATTCTAGCATATATTTTGTGAGTAGCGCTATCTATTTCATGACTTTCAGGGCTGCATTTTAACGTCAATTATTTTATTGCAAATACAGAAAAATCCGGTACAGTAAATAAGAAAGTGGCAAAAATCGCTGGATCCTATCCAAGAAGAACCCTTCTCATTGTTCGTGGATTATAGCTTTCGTCGTCGGTAGAAGCACTAAAATTGTTTTTAATCATTGATGAAAGATTGACGTTGTTAAATTTCGAAAATAGGCGTGTTTGTATCTTTTTTTTTACCTCGAGTCGTCAGTTTCCGGCATCATGCACTGCGGCGAGCATAAAAATTGAAGCAAGGGCATTCGATATCGACCACAGAAATCAGCAAATTTTATCTAAAAGAAAATTCTGATGACCTTTGATTTCTTGGGAAAAAGTGTACCTGTCGATAGAGGTCATCAAAATAGACTCCATCGCAGTTTGGATTCGGGCAGCACTTGGCATGGGAGAGGCGTTGTTTCAGAACTACGGGAAGCTTTGAAAAGTCGAGTTGATGGTGTATCACTGATCGTCCGGCAAGCTCGAGAAGGGAAGGTGGGGAGTAAGTGATCTCTCGGACAAAACGGTTGATCAACGGGTTTCCTCTTGAAAGGAGATTTATAGGAGGGCATTGATGAAGTTTCTTACCGAAGAGATATGTCCTCAAGATTCTGTAAATCGACAATTCCTCGTGGCAAAAAGTTGATGCGATTGTTATGTAACTGGAGGCATATTAAATTCTCCATATCTTTCATTGTCTCCGGGACGTTGGTGATTTTATTATTGGCGAGCGAGAGAAGTCGCAAATTTGTCAAGTCGGAGATCTAAAACCTCTAATTTAGCTGTTGGGAACACATCGTTTTCTAGATAAATCACCTTGGGAGGGATTGAAGAAAGTTGATTGTCGCCGAGGTAGAGTCGTTCTAGGGTGGTGACTTTTGAGAGTGCGGAAGGGATGTATGTGATTTTGTTTTCAGCCAGCTTCAGTACCTAATCAATCGTTTATTTAAGCTTCTATGGTAGAACTAACCTTTAGTCTTGGAAGATGAAGCACAAAGCTGGGAATTTCAGTAAGATTATTCCCGGCCAAATTGAGTTCTTCAAGAAAGACAAGATTCTCCAAAACAGGCGGGAAGGATTTATCATCCAACTTGTTCTTTGACAAGTTGAGAGTCTTCAGATTGAGCAAGTGGCTGAGCTCAATTGGGACTTCATGGATTTGGTTCCTGGAGAGATCCAACGATTTTATCGCAATCCGGGAGAAAAGACTTTGCGGCAGCGAAACTAACTCGCGCCCGGCAAGGCTTCCTTCGACTTCCATTGTCTATAAATACTATATTATAAATTTTATTTGAAATGTACTGTAAACGCTTTTGTGTAGAAAAAACAATTGATCAAATAAGGTAAAGAAAATTATTCGTTTCTTTTAATTAAATGCTTTTAGATTATATGATGAAAAAGATGTCTAACCTGATTTATTATTTTAAAATCTTCAATTTAGTTCTCTATTATTTCAATAGCGAGTTCAATGCTTGACGAAATGCCCAGGATAATCCTCAAGTGGACGTAGGTGGCAAGTGGAAATTTACGTCAGAGAAAGAAAATTCTAACAACTTCTTTTTGAGATAGTTTTCTAGTGAGCGAGGTAGCTTGGGATCCGAGTTTTTAAAGGCGCATCCGAGGGCGATCGAAGCTTCTCGTAGCGCCGAATTAAAATGCTCGTAAAGTCATTAAGACAGCTTGGTTATCGAAATAATCTCTCTCCGAGTGCATCCGATCATAGGTCGATTAGCTATTTATACAAAGGAAATTTAACTTTCATATGGCCTGTTCTCATAAACTTGAATGTTCAGGTTCCATTAAGGGATTAAAACTTTAAACCTCATCCCAATTTCTAAAAAGATCGGGCAAGTGAGAGTTGCTGAGTTCGGTTTCTCTGTGAAATATTTGCGTTGCAATTCATTGACGTAAATGCAAGTTGCCGGGGGTCATGAGGAGGAGGAAAAATAACATGCATGTGAGGGGCGCGGACAGTGATAAATTAACATCAGCAATATCTTACTGTCAGAAAGATAATCAGTCTGGAACTCTTTGATAAGAGGACATGAATATATTCCGACCGTGACCCACGAATCCTGGGCCAGCATTAAATAAATATAATTCCCCAAATTAGTCAGTATGAAAAGTTCTCAGTTCTAACCGAAAATGACCTACATTGACATTTGGTCTGACAAGTTGCTGACCACAAGTCCAAATAGATATGGTCCCATCGGAATGATACCGGACGGCAAGGTCCACCGCCCCCTTCTCACATGTTCTAATTTTGACGGGAAACCTTCCTTATGACCTCATGCCTTTCATGCTGCTAAACCGTGAAGATCAGGCCAAATAAAGGTGATAAACCTGTGGGACCTTTCATAATTATAATATAACAAGAAACGCCTTAAACTTATTGTCTAAGATAACTTCCTTTTCGATGAAACTATTCTCGTCTACAATCTCCGGAAATTGTCTTGTTTATAAAAATATAGTTTATTAGGTATAAAAAGAAAAATAATCAGAATTAATTGAACTGGTTACAATATGCAGAATCGAGGGTACCAGCGCCGCGGCAGGAGAATTTCACGACTTTGTTCGAAAAATGAAGCTCGAAAGAACCAGCGTAGCCAATCTCGCAGTCTGCTTGGAAGCTGATCTCGGCGGTGAGCACTTTTCCTCCTTCAAGAGTACCAGAAATAGGTGACACGGAGAAGTTGCTCTTTTCCAGTGGGATGAATTGGAAAGGAGTTGCGCAGCTTGATAAATTATCCATGCAGATGTCGAGCTAGAACGATTTTCAAAGCTGTTGATTTATGTTAAATTTTTACCTTGAAAACATCTCCCAAAAAGCAAGTTCCAAAGTCAAACTCTGTCTTGTTGACCTTTACGATCGGATACGAAATTCTCGCTCTGCACAGAATCGTTTCATTCTTCGACAAACCAACAGTTCGAAGCTCTCCAGTCGCAGACATCGTATGACTCTCCTCATCGAAGGAAAAGTATTCGTTTGGCTTTTGCTGGTAAATAACTTCGTCCGGGATTGCCAGATTTACTGTCAGAACTTCGCGGGTATTTGGCTTGAGACTAATTGTCTTTTCAGATAGATCTCCATTGAGCTAGAATTTTAATCAGTAAAAAATCAAAAAAAAAATCTTACCAAAAATGGCTTCTCGATTGTTAGGTGAAGACTTGCAGCCATTCCAGATGTGTTGAAAACGGAAAATTGCTTTTCTCTTTCGTAATTTCCGCTAATGATATCAGCAGAGTTTTCAATAAACTAAACAATAATTTGAATAAACAAGCATTAGCTAAAGAACTTACATCTGGAGCAGCAATTTGTTCGATTTGGAAGCTCGCCCAGTCAAGAGATGCTCTAAGATTGAGCTCAAAAGCTGGTCCAAAAGTGCCAGTCTTTCTGTAGAAGTTTTCACCATCACCACGGGCTTTCAGGGGCAGACTCAAGATGCCGATGACATAGGCAGAGATTTCTCCAGGCTGTTGGTTTTCGTGTTGTTCAAATTCAATGGGAAGACTAAAACGATGATAAAGGACTTTTTCTATTATCCTTTCTTACGTGAGACTTTGTTTTGGCTTGAAATTAAGCATATCTGGGACGGTAAAATTGACAGCTTGTCTTTTCACCGGCCACGGAGACGGATCGTTTTCAAACTGAACTTCTTGATCCTCATCCAACTCTCCTGGAATAATGCCGCTGCTCTTGAACTCGGAGTAGTCGAATTCAGAAAGAACATAAAATCGAACAGAGACAGGGTGATTCGCCTTGTTTGTGATCGGCGTGGTTCTCTTGACTGGATCTTTTGCTCCAAGCGGCATCTTTCCGAGGCGTACGATTGGAGAAGGAACAGTTATTGGAACATCATCTATCGTTGCTGTTATCGCGATTTCAACCGGATCGAGTTCGCCGATATTTATGAGAATGCTGTCCTAAAGAAAGACCATAAGAACCAATAAGATTTGAGCTCTCGGACAAAATTTGAGAATATCGTAGGCAGAAATGATGTCAAATGTGTTCCTGCAATTTTGAGGCCTCGGCCCGTGTAATCAAACCTCACATAAAACAACTACTGATCTCACGCAACACGAAAAATTACCTTGTATGTTCCCCACGAGTTTCCACTGGCGATGATGTCTACTTCCTTCGTCTCAAATGGTCCCAATTCGCAGCTCTCAGGATATGAGATAATTGAAGCGCCGAACTTCGACCCACTGTGCATCTCTTTTCCGAATTCACGATAAGTCAGGGACGTTTCTGTCGCCAAGGATGCCGATCCAATTCTAAGGAGTTGATATTTCTCTTTCTCCGCCGCGGGAATATAGTCAAACTCGTTTGTGTGAAGTCTAATCTTTGGATTCTTGCCCTTCAATAGTTTCGGTTTGACTTCGATTGAACTTCTGATTGCGGTCAGATTTTTGATGAAGATCTTTTGGGCTGACAACTTTCCGATTGGGAATTTTAGCTTCAATTGATCACTGGAGTAGCTTGTCCAAGTTTGAACGGCAAGTGGCTGAACCTGACCGGCGATTTCGATAAATGTTGGATTATTACTGTTGAATATTTCGCACGCAAGGATGAAGTCTTTAAAGATGATTGCTTTTCTACCGATGATTTCCACTTCTATTTGTATTTTTTCTTTTGACTCCAGTACACCGGATGAAGAGGAGAAGTAGAATTCAACTCCTTCTGGAACGCATGGAAGGAAGTTAGCTGGGATGAGCTGGAAATGAGCAGGAACAAGGGATACGTTCTCCAATTCGACTGAAAACTTTTCCGCGACGCCAACGTAGATTTCACCGATGTCCAATTTTCGCACTGTAAAATTCACAACTGGTTTCAGCGAGTCGCCGTAAAAGTCCAAGGAGATATTATTAGCTGAGGAAATCTTCAGTCCCGATCCTTCGAGAGAATACTCTGAGCTAGGCGCCCAAATGGCTTGAATTTCAATCTCTTCCAGGGGTCCAAGCGTTCCAGATGTTACACTCGTTCGCACATCTGGATGGTTGATGGTAATACTCCATGGTGCGGGTACTGGGTTCCTGTTGTCAATCGTAAATGTAGTAATCATTTTCTTGCCGACTTCGACGATTCCAAATTGCAGATTCGGCTGGTCGATTTTTATCAGCGGTGGCTTGATGACGGCGCGGACGTCGAGTTCTATCGGATCGCCATTATCTATGTAGCAGACGAGCTTTTCAGCCATCGGACCGGGCGTTTCGGCTTCGACGCAGAGTTGAAGAGGAGCCATCTGTCGTCCAGGAATCGTACCAAAAGAAGGCTCAATAGAACAAGGTCCACTTTTGACTTCCCACTGGAAGCTCAAGTCACCCAATGACATGTTGATCATTTGAAACTGTCTTTTTAGTCTCAATCCGGCAGGGATTTCCCCAGCAATATCCATCATCGGTGGTAGAATACTTCCAACAATAGGAATGCATTTTCCAACAACTTCAACTTCTGCGGCTAGATATCGATTGTAACCAGGAATATCCAAGACCACCACTTCGAAAACGCTGTGGAATGATCCAACTTCTTCCGGCGCGAATGTAAGTTCAATTTGAAGGCGTTCATGAGGAGCAATGGTTCCAGTCGGGATATTCGCAAAGAATGGGGATGTATTATCTTCTATTCTATGCGTCCTTTGCGTCGTCTCTTCATCTGTATACGCAACGAGATCTGGTTGTTTAAGTGCCAAGCCAAACGATAACGGCAAATGACAATCATTAGCGATTTCGAAAGTGACGGTGCTGGAAGATCGTGGATTGATATCCTGGAATTTGATTCTATCCGTTGAAAAGGGATCGAATAGGTCGCCGATTTTACGCTCAGTACTCTCGACTGACACTTTCACATTCACTTCTTCGGCAACTCCCTTGATCGTTATTTCTTTTGTCTGACAGTTATCGCACGTAAGAAGCAGGCTCTCTTCAAATGCACCAGGTGCCTTCGGCGCAAACAGTACTCTTAGCTCCTTTGACTGTCCTGTTGCCAACTCATCCAGCCACATGACGGGGGTGATAGTAAACGGGCCGATCGTATGGTAATTTGCCTGTAACGACTGTCTATAGTTTGCACTTGGCCAGTCGGACTTTTTTACAAGGCAGAATCGGCCAACCCCACCCTTGTTCTTGACCATTATCGATTGCTCAAGCGATCCGTTGACCAGACAGTATCCGGTGTCGATTGGTTCTGGGAATTCAAGAACTGGCTTGTCGCGAATCGCTTTGATCGGGATCTTGAAGGATCCTGCTTGGTGACGAACTTCAAGGTGGGTCTCTTCATCGGAAAGGGTCTCGGGCATAAACTGGACTCTGTAAGAAACTGACAATCCAGGTCCAATACGCCCATCCTTAGAAGGATATCTTCCAAGTCCAAGATGAAACGCAGGATGCTCCGGAGGCAGCACAGTGCAGGTTCGCGTGACTTTATCTTGATTTCTGACTTCGACAATTGTTTCCAATACCATGCCGACCTCCCACTGTCTAAAGTAGATCTCTGGAGGGTCAGCGACGAAGACATCTTCTCTGACCGGAGCCTCGCTTCGTGGATTCTTGAGGAAATCGAACTGCTCTTGCTGCATCTTTTTGACTTGATTAGCTAGTCGTCGGTGTTCTTCTTCGTCGTTGCGGGATAGGCCACGGCATGTAACAGATGGTTCCGTCATTGGCTTGACCGGACGATCCTTGACTTCAGCTTTTGGTCGTTGAGCTTTCTTAGTCGGGGAAGGCTTGTAATCAGAAGAAAGCTGCGACTCATATTCAAAAGAATAGACGACCTTAGGGACATTTCTTCTTGATTTTGCATTCGCTTTCGTGTTCTGCGTTCCTTCGAGATACTTGGGGGTCTTTTTCGGAATCGTGGTTTCATCCTGCTCTGGCTCTGGTGGATAAAATTGCGATGGGAGTAAAATTGAGCTTGGCAAATGCGCGCCTGCGAATGCTTTTTCATCAAAGAAATTGGGCAAAACAGAATCTTGAATTGGCGTCAATTTATTTGGACGGCTACGCTTTTCGGAAGCGGCTGCTCGACCACGAGCTTCAGTGATATACTGTTCAGCTCGGGTGAGGTTTTTTTCATGCTCTTCGTACTCGTTTGTCGCGTTGCGTAAGTACTCAAGCATCTCCCGTCGCCACTCTTCATCCGTATCCACGTCGTTTTGAATGATGTTTTGAACCATCGCACTCTCCTTTGCTCCCTTTTTCGGCTTCTTCTTGTCGACTTTCTTCAGTTGGTCATAAGTCTCAGCTTGTTTCAGGAGAATTCTTCGTTTTTCTCCAAGGCTGGAAAACGTTATTGAAATCATGGAAGAGTACGCTTACCTGTTCTCTGACAAGTCTGGGAAAATTGACTGGAAGATACCGGCAATGTTGAGCAAACCATCTTTGTCCGCTGGTTTCTCTGACGGCACATTCGAATTGAACAGAGCGGGGGTCGAAGCAGTCGATTTCGGAGTCCTTGGCTTCTTCTTTCTTTGGCCACCTGCTGACGACAAGGGCGATATCATCCTCATCGATTCGGAGAGCGTGGTCTCACCAGAAACGACCATATTTGGAGCATCATCCGAAATCGACATTCTGACATTTGAAATAGATGAGATATTTTTATAAAAATATAGCTCTTATTGTAAAAATATGAAGATGTGCATATACAATGAGTCAGAAAGAAGAGAGTTCTTTACAAGTGAGGTCTTCATGCTTCCTGAGCTGGAGTTTTGCTTTCAAGTCCGAAGGTTCTTTTTTCCCACTCGGCGAATTCAATGACGACTCGTTCTGCGATCTATCAAAAAGTAAAGTATCCTGTAAAACAATTACAAAGGTACCTTTCTCGCCTGATCTCGGCAGTATTCAGCCTTAGCCTTTGACACATGGAATTTTTTCTCCGCGTCGGTGAGCTCCTGTTTTAAACTCTTAAGCTTGAGAATATCAGCTAATTTATCCTCAGTAATGACGGGGCGGCCATCGGGGAGTACTTCATCAGGAGTATTTCTGACTTTGCGCTGAATTTATGTTAGATAATATCGGCTATAATCGTTTACCTTGAGTTCGTTTCGGATCTTTATCCTGTCATTATAAATTTCGGCTTGTTCCTGTGAGACTTTTTCCAAATTAATGGCTTGGACTTCGGCATCGCGCAAGAGTCGGACCACAACTCGTCCCTCTCCTTCGCGGAACATTTTATACGACACTTGCCTAAACAAAAATTTCAATAACGGTCAGAAAAAGAGGATCTTTACTTCTCTGGCGGCTCAGGATGTTCATCCGCGCCAGCATCTTTTTCGATTTCATCACTGAGGGTGGACTCAGTCTGAGGCGCGACCTTCGAAGCAGATGCTCGTTTATCCAAAGCTTCTTTTTTGTCGTTTTTGCCTTTATCTCCTCTCTTGGCAGACTTAGGGGTAGGAGTTTCTGGTTTATCATCAGCATCGTTCTTCTGCTTTCCAGAATTTCCTAAAAACAAGATCAGAATTTAGCGAAAATTATTTTTTTTTTTGACGACTAAAAATTATTCGATCATTTGATTTGTGATAAATTTTGGTATTCCAAAATTTCTTTCGAAATAGTTTTCTTACTCCCGCTCAGCCTTGACTTCACAGAGGCTCTTGATGCTGGTCTGGTCACTAAACCATGAATTTTCATCCAATTTTGTTTTCAATAAACGTTAAAAATGTATGAGATGAAAAATTATAACAGTTTTTTTAGGCTATTAATACCTTTAGCACTTGTCTTTGCACTTTTATTTCCTTTTGTATCTTCAACTGGTGTGGGCGCTCCTTTCGGCTTCATCTCTTCGGATACCTTCGCGAGGACTTGTTTAAAGGCTGTAAATACGGCGCAGAGTTGTCTGTTTGAAATCACATCAGGGTACTGCCCGCCAGCGAGATATTCTGAAAAGAGCATATAAAAGGAGCTTTGTTAGCCGCCTTTATGACGTTACTTTTTTCGAAACATCAGCTAAAAATTAAAGAAAGAGCTTACCTTCCACTTGTCGCTGAGCTTCTGCAATCTGATTCGCGTTCAACGGCTCGATGCCTAAAGTTAAACATCAGCAAAAAGCCGGAAGAGACAAGGTAAACACGGAAGACTTCAATGACACCAAGGCAAATTTGAGGAACTGAACTTTTACTACGTTCATAGTGAAGGCCCTAATCGTTGTGATAACGCCAAAATGTCAAGCCACTCAGAAATTCAGCAGCAAATTGAGACAGGGAAAAAGTACTCACCCATTGTGCTTTTGCCGCGAGTAAGTAGCGATTGAACGGATAGCTCTCTCTTCAAAGTTTCTATTTCCTTGTTGAGTTCTGCAACCTTGAGGAATGGATCTGGCGCGCGGTCACGGACTTCTCGGGAGATTGGCATCTTTGAGGCTCTGGAAGCGAATCGGATTGTTGCCAGAGCTTCTGACAAAAGTTTCTTGTCAGGTTGAAGAGTACACAGGAGGGCTGTGTTTGTTTCGGAAGATAAAGAGGCCTGGAGAGTGTGAGTAAGGCGACATTCTCTGTATGGCACTCGCGTTCCCTATTTTCACATTAGAGTCAACTTCTTCAATATTAAACATTAACATACCCGCTTGCAGCCAAGTGTAACAACAACGTGCTCGAGAAGAGACAGTTGCCGAGACACTACCGAGTTCCGGCCCGCAGATGCAAGATCAACAAAGAGAAGTTGAGATTTGATCGTTTCTCCCGCGGCTTCATCGTGCTGGAGTATCGTTATTGAAGTCATTTGGTGACTATTGATTGTTCGGTTGGTTTCGATCAGTTTCATGATGTCCCTTCAGAAAAACTTATGAAAAATGAAAATGAATAAAAAACGCACCTGACAGATTGACCATCTTTCAACGGGTAGCTTGAAATATCTCTAAGCTGCCCGCCAACAGTACACGTAACCAAGTCAATGGGCCCTGGTGTTAATAGATCAACAATGTGATCCGTAGATCTGACTTCATAAGCAGAGACTTGGATCTGAGCCGATCCCATCTTCTGAACGATCATTTCCAGCGCTCGAGGGATGATGCCGCGCTCGTGATTGACTTTTCCGCCAAAGAGGGAATAGGTCTTGCCCGATCCGATGCCACCGTAAGCTAGAAGAGTTGAAGAAATTCCTCGAAGAGTTGCTTCAACCAGAGGACGACCAACAGCTTTGAAAGTCTCGTCTTGGGAAGCATTGTCGAGGACGCCGGTTGCCTCGAACTCGCATTCATCTTCGATTACAACACAGTTTTTTGCCTTTTTAACAGCCTGAACAGCCTCAGTTGGCCGAAGGCGCACGAAAACTTTATCAGGGCTCATTTATAGGCAAGAAAATATTTTGAAATCAAAGCGACCCATTTTTATTGAAAAATGGACCCTTTCCTGGCAGCCGTTCCATTTGAAGACACTTTTTAAACTGATTCCTACTTTTTACAAACAGTCTTCATTTCCTCGTGTTCTAGAAACTCTCTGTAATATACATGTTTCTCTATGTTTTCATAGCACTTTTTAATTGTGTGATCATAATCTCGGTCCAAATAGCGCGTTACTAAGTTAAAGTACACTGGAGGCGCAAGTGTTTGGGCATTTCAATATTGAAGTAATTGCTTACCGTTTAGTAGCACAGTGTGTGCCCAGAAGAACTGTGTGTTTCCCTGGGTGTGCCCTAGGGAACCTCTTTTTACCTGGGCCATTTGGTTAGCGCTTAGCACAAAAGACGCTATTGTTTAACTTATGTTAAGCCTGGATCTGTTTATCGAAGCAGCTTTCAGAATGATAGTGTGCCGATCAAGGGTGTCCATCGCCACAATGCAAATGCAATTTTGCTTATCAATTTCCGGTACCTGCCAAATAGAATGATAATAAAAGAGTTTCGTGTATTGGAATTTATTTTGCCTGACTTCGTTCTTTTCAGGAATCAAGGAAGAATTCGGTCTTTATCAGTCGAGTAAATATTTACGAAGCTTAGGCTTTAAATGGATAATGGTGGATTGTTAATCATAGATAATTATTGAAGATGCCTGTGTTGGGGCCTACAATGTAGACTCTACATGTAGTGAGCGATCGATTGAAAAATCATGGACGCATTGACAAGAATTCCCACGAAGAAACAAATACCCCGCGCAGGCTGCTTGATAGCGTTAATGTAGACAATGGAGTGCAGTACTCGCGCGATCAAGAATGTTATAAAATGGAACTTGGCGGTGTTCGAATTCGGATCTGTAAGACAGTAGAAAAAGCCGATGAGAATGAAGGGGTAAATGTTCTCCATGTCGTTCATGTGCGCTCGACGGATTCGCTCGACTTCATCGTTGGCTTTGAGAGACTCCTGAAATTTCAAGTGATGGCGTGAAGAGTTTGAGAGGACTTATGATTGCTTAGCTGTCAAAATAGCTGTCAGACTGAAACAACGCTATGTGTTAGAGTTTACTCAAAGCTTTTCTACTTGCTTTCACTGTCAGGAAATGTTGGGGTTGGTATTGGAAAGCATGTAGGAAACTATCCCATGTTAGCAAAACGCAAGTCGATACTGAACATGGGTTACAAAAGCAATATTGCTTTTTCAACGTCTAAGAGATGCTACCTGTCCAATTTTTATAGCATGTAAGAGCGGAATGCATATTTAAAAATATAAATACTTGTCAGACAAATAAAACGATGGTATATAAGATGCTGAGAGCTCAAATTCAGCAAAATGAAATTTTCCACAATCTTATCATCTATTGCTGGATTAGCAAACGCAGGAATTATGAGCGAAAGAGTTACTATTGCACACGATTTATATTTTCGCTGCGAAGAAGGTAGGAGTATTCTTTTTTCAAGAATTAATTTTTATTCAGAATATCTGAAAGGATTGGACCGGGACCCCACTCCCCTGGAGTACGATAAAATTACTCAACAGTGTATGGAACTACCGAGATTAATCAGAATGACTGGCAAACTTGGATTCAAAAAAGATCTAACTAATATGCTTGCTTAAATAAAGTTACCTTCAAATTGGCGGGTGTTGACTTGTCTCCGAAGTAAGAGTCCTCTTTGTTTGCAAATTTCCCCGTTTTAATTCGTTGTCGACTTGTCATCAGCGACATAAGGGTCATCTTTGCGAGAAGCAAAAGGGAGCATGCTCCAAAGACTTGAAACCTTTCATCGTCGAGCGAAAACATTCTTTTTAACTTATTTTTTTTATTTCTACTTCGTTTAACTGTAAGTGTGTCTGGCAGTTTCTGAACGATTCATCTACAAATAGAGTGAGGCAGCAAAAACAATATCTCTCTTAATCTTTTCAATTCCTTGCGTGAACTTTGCCTCTAACTCTTCATTTCCGATAGCTTAAAAACATTAGATGTGCCTTTTTGATATAAAATATACCCTTCGCAGCGTGACACATGTCCCGCAAGAGCTCTTCCAGTCTTCTCATTGCTCTGATAATCGATCCTTCGTACACTTCTGTAAGCTCAACAATCTGCTTGAAGGTTCCTCCCTTACACCAAGCATCAACAACATCCATCAGGTTGGGGTTAATTTGCTTAAAATAATGTTTCATTAGAATAGCAGTGAAAAATTAACCTTGATATATTCTTCCTCTTCCAAATCTAATTTGCATTCGATCGAAACTTTCGCAATTCGTTTGGCACATTCTTGCATGGTTCTCAATGGCGCTGCAAGCTCCTCCGCTAGTTTCGGTGGATCACCCTTTTCTTGGAAAATCAAGCAGGAAAGTACCGAAGTGCACTGTTCCACAGTCATTGTGTTGAAAATTCCATTGAAAATCATTTCCGTGAGAAGAAGCTACGCAAAAAGTTAATAGAGATCATCATCAATCATTTTTCTACCTCATCAGCAGTTGAAACCTCACAGGCGACGCGACCCTTCGTCTCGATTACATCAGCATCCGTTGCATAACCAAGTCTTCTGAGAACTCGTTTGCGGGCTTTCAACTCGTCCAGCTGGATAACTTGCTTGGCTTTCTTCAGTTCCTTCTTCTTGTCTTTGATTCCACTCAGTACTTTTTGCTTCTTTTCGACTTGAGAAAGAAGGTTTTCTGTATCTTGCCCTCCGTGAAGTGGGTGTGTGAAAAGACGCTTTTCGTAAGCTTCAATCTTTCGAATTATTTCCGTGATTTTCGGATCTGAATCAAATTTTAACGAGGCCACTCTTTAATAAAGACAGCTACCAATAATATTCATGTCCTCGATTGGATCAAGCAGTGGAAGGCCATCAGGATATCGCCGCTGAATTTCTTTCAACTGGTCTCGGCATTTTCGTCGCTCATCTGCTCCAGTAAGTTTTTGTGGAATCATAAGGCGGATGCAACTCAGTGATGATAGGCAGTCTTTCAGTGAAAAGCCGATGACCTCCATTGTTCCATCAGATCCTAAAAATGCGCTTTCAGAGAAGGCAACATCAATTGATAACTAACCTTCTGCAGGCTGGGCGAGATCAGTAGAAGTCTTCTTGATCGACTCCTTATCGCAGTTTACCATGACGTCGACGCGATAAATCGGTTCCTCATCGGGTCCAGTTTCTTTCTGTTTCTTGAAGTTGACAATTATTCCCCATCCGAAGTTCTTCTTTCCATGTCTGACTTTGACCAATCGCCCTGGGTTCAAAAATGGAAGCACATGCTTTGGCGAAAGAATAATCTGGTCCATTTGTCGGCCGAGTCTTTCAATCTGCTGTCGAAGCTTGTAGTAGCTGGTGGCGGACTCTTCATCGTCAACAGTGATATCTTTCAAACTCTCGCTGAGCTCATCAAGATCTCTAATCATGCCAGGAACCTTGTTGCAATGCTGAAACTGGTAGAAAGATTTTTCGAGAAGCCACTCGGGATTGATGTCTTCCACTCGGAGTAAGTTGAGAACCATGTTGTAGGTGAGATGGAAAGCTGAGTTGAGCGCGTCTGCTTTGCCTTGAAGAAGCTCCTTCGCAATGGCGGGCGTAATCTGGTCGTCGACCATGAGAATGACGATACCTTTGGTATCCATGCCTCGACGACCGGCTCGACCAGACATTTGGATATATTCACCGCCACTGATAGGTCGGAAGTCCTAAAGGATGATTAGTTTACGTTTCGGGAAAATTTTCCAACCTTTCCATCAAATTTTCTATGAGATGTGAAGACAACAGTTTTTGCGGGCATGTTGACTCCCATGGCGAAAGTTTCCGTCGCGAAAAGACATTTGATAAGGTTTTCAGAGAAAAGGATTTCGATGGTTTCTTTGAGGATAGGAAGAAGACCACCGTGGTGAATACCGATTCCCTTTTTCAAAATTGGGAGGATATTTGCTACTTGAGGGAGTTGTCGATCCTCGTCAGATAGACACTCCATGGCATTGTTGTAAACTTCCGTGATGAGCTTCTTTTCGTGTTCTGTCGTGAAGTCAAGGCCTCCCTGTCTTTGGATTTCCATCGCATTTGCTGAAAAGTGCTTTTGAATATTTTGAGTTATGTAACTTTTTCTAGAACATCGCTGATTTTGCGATATTTTGCTTATCAGCACTTCAGTTAGTTCGATACAAGCTCGCAAGTAAGTGCTCGATTTTTCATAGATTACGCAATTTTGACCTATCTCCCTGCAGGGCATGTTTCAGATGGCCGTGGGGGAGGCCGCCCGGGTTAATCCTTTTTCAGCATAACTTGTTGCTCTAGTCCACATTTCACTATCGAAATTTGTAGATAAGAACATGTCTGAAGCCAAGGGAAAGAAGCTTTTTGTCCAGAAGTGCAAACAGGTAAATCATTATTAAAAAAATCAGTAGTTAACGATATCTAGTGCCACTCCTACGAAGCCGGAGGAAAGCACGGTCAGGGACCTGCTCTTGCTGGATTCTACGGCAAGCCCGCCGCCCAGACCTCCTTCAACTACTCTGATGCCATCAAATGTAAATTAAATTTTATGAAAGAGAGATGACAACATCTATTCTAGCTTCTGGCATCGTTTGGGATGAATCTTCCCTCGAGCAGTGGCTCACCAACCCCAAGAAATTTGTTCCCGGTAAGATTTGTTCTTAAAGGAACTAGATATAATGGGTTTTTTAGGAACAAAGATGGTCTTCGCTGGCCTCAAGAAGAAGGGTGACCGAGCCAACCTTATTGCCTTCCTTTCCAACAACTGCTCATAAGCGCTTCAGTTGTAGTCAATAAATTATAGACTTTCACATACAAAAACTAGCATGAAATGCTTTTGATTCCCACGATCGAGGGCCTCGAAGCATTTCTTGGTGTTAATCTCCGCTATCAACAAAAAAGGGAGAAATCAGTTCTAGAGATCTATTAGTACCTTCGACATCTTTCTTTGAAAAACTGAAGACAATCAGCGGTAGGAAGCTGTTCTCGTGGCAATATTTGACGAGCTTCTTGATGTTGCTTGGTCCTTGAGTTCCTCCTCGAGGTTGTCGTCTGTTTCGAGCGTCGCCTTTTGCCATATCTAGGGTTTTTCACGGGAGCGCGCGGGGCTCGGAACGCCTTCTGACCGCGATTGCCGTTATCACTTTTTCTCATAGGTTTTATATGAAAATTAAGGACAATACTAAATCGAGGATGATGATTAACAATATGCTATCAAATTTTAAGTTTTCTTTGAAAAAAAGGCGAAAAAATGGAAATTTTAGTGAAAAATCTTCACTTTAACACTGAACACACTCAGACACAGTCTCGATTTTTGAATATGATCAATCTCAAGCATAAAGAATTCACCTCTTAAATTTTTGGATAGCCGAAAATAGCCGGTCACCAAGAAATCCGCATTTAACTAAAACTTTTTGACATTGCGCGCGCGCTGGAGTCGCGCACGGGGTCAGCGCCTGGCCTGAAAACGCGTATATTTACTCACTCCCCCGGAGAGCAGTCCGAACCTTTCTGTAGAAGGTGACAAAATAAAGTGGTTCGATGCATTAATTGGGGGATTTCCGATTAAAACATGATAATTTCATTGTCAATAATGCGGCTTACCCTCGAAAATGCCGAAAAAAGCTAATTGTCAATTAGTTTCTGAACATGGGTTTGCAGAAGTATTAAAGATTCAAAAAAAAAGAACATATTCCTTCGGCAGAAGGAATCCGAACTTTTCCATAGATTAAACAAAAAAGTCAAAGCAGACTATTCTTATTTTTTCGAGAGGAATCAGAGCAGAAGTACCTACCTCAGAAGTGGTATCTCATGAAATAATTAAATCGACATGTTGTAAGATACTGCTGTATAATAATAACTGTTATTTAACAAAATAACCATTAGTTTCGGGTTCACTTTGTTCAAAAACCTATAGAAAACTATTTTGGGAAATTTTCACTGAAAAATCTCCCTTGCACCAAGTGCGCCAAGACAGCGCGCGCTGCACCACCAAAACGTCGACCGGCGCCTCTGATTTTTGTATTTTTGGAATCAGCGGGTCAAATTAAGCTAACGATGAAATTTTCAGAAAAAAGTGATAACTACCATTTTCCCGTGAGAAACCCTAGCCATATCTCCAGCATTTCTGAGTTGAAGTTATGATCGAGTTTTGTGTGAATAATTACCTCAATACAGCCATTGCATTGTCGAACTCCGCATCGTTAAACTCTCTCTTGTCGTTGACTACTAAATGAAGTCCATCACCTCCACAGGGGAAGATGTAGTGCTGGAGAGGAGTTGGACGGTACTCCGTATACACGGCATTGCAGGGCTGCTTATGCAGATGACAAATCCACTCGGCGAATTCCTTTGCATTGGGGATTGTCGCAGAAAGGAAAACGTATCGAACGTTGTCAGGGAGCAAGATGATCGTCTCCTCCCAAACAACGCCTCGCTCAGAGTCTCTCATGTAGTGAATTTCGTCAAAAACCACCCACTGGACTTCGCGCATAATTTCAGAGCCTTTGTACAGCATTGATCGGAGAATTTCAGTTGTCATTACGAGGCAGGATGCGGACGGATTGATCGTCACATCACCTGTCATTAAACCGACATCGACGAATTCCTCTTGAAGATCTCGATATTTTTGATTGGAGAGTGCCTGAATTTATTTTTCATAAAGCCTTTCAGTTAGCAGGAGAATAACCTTGATTGGAGTCGTGTAAATGACTCGCTGCTTGTCTCGGAGAGCCAAAGAAATCGCATATTCTGCGACGACCGTTTTTCCAGCAGATGTATGCGCAGAAACAAGAACAGACTGATGATTGTCGAGGCAGAGCACGGATCTTTCTTGGAAGGGATCAAGAGTAAATTTGTATTCCCTAGCTGGTGGACCTGTTCGTGGCTAGAAAAACATTATCAATAGGTCAGAGAAAGGTGTTTACTTGTAATTCAGGCACTTCTTCGCTAGAATGAACGGATACTTCGTGCGAGCATCCAGCAACGTCGAGTTTGACCGTTTTGATTTTCGGCAGTGAATCAAGAAGAGTACGCATTTCCGCCTCGTCATCATCTTTCAGTCTTTTCTCGTCGATTATTGCTAAAATACAGATTGATCAACAGGTTTGAAGAGCAATGGGGCTTTACCGACTGGATCGTCCATTTTTCTCTTTCCTTCTCCATTAGTCTTTGCTTCGACGGCAGAAGCGCCGGACTCTCCAGAAAATACATCAAAGAGCCCCTCACCACCAAAACTCATTCTAAAACCAGCGATTGGTTTTATTGAGACTCTTTTTATTGGTTATTCCTGTTTATTATCAGTTTAATACGTTCTCATTCAGTTATCTTGAGCATTTCAGATATTGAAAGAATTTTATCACGTTGTTTTCCGTTTTCTTGCCCTCTTCGGAGCTCTTCTTCGTCGATTTTTCTCCAATTCTCCCAGTTAGAATGAGGTAATGAGACGATGTCAGGTCTTGGTAAAGCTTGAAGAGTTCCACTTTCAATGTCGTCGAATAAACTTTGAACAGCGAGTCTTGAAGACTCTGTTGAATCACCTACAACTCCTTTCGCCCCGCCAAGTGCCCAGCCTGACAGGTAAATCGGTCTGTCGAACGCACTTGCTCGTCCTGTCTTCGTATCAACATCAGTAATGAAGTTAGAAACTGGTGTTTTCTCGTAGCCAAGAGATTCTACCAGCGCTGAGAGATCAACACGTCTTGAGTTTCCTTGGTGAGAAAACTCTACAGATATTCCACCATTGTCGGCGTCCAAGATATTTTCTGGGGTATGAAAGAAGTTGAATTCGACGGTTTTTCCTTTTCCGAACGATCCGGCTTTCTGGTCAGTTTCTGATTCAGCAAGCAATTTTAACAGGCGCTTCGTCTTCCGTTCTTGAACTTTTCTCGATTTCATGAGCTTTTTGTATTTTTCTGATTCTCCGAGTGGTTCATCTAAGCCTTTTATGATAATTCTCGAAACCGACGGGAGATGAATCAGCTCTCGCAGCTCTCGGGTCGTGCACGGGAGATCAAATGGTCCGCGGCGAATAAAAATGGAGATCTTGTCGACTTTCTGAGCTTGCTCGATGAAATGTTTACTAACATCAGTTGGTTGTAAAAGTTCTGGCTCCAATAGAACTCGTGCGACATCTAACGCGACATTACCACCACCAATTATTCCGACGTTGCCTGAGAAATTCTCAGTGAGAATCTTATAAAAGTATATTTTCGCAAGTCTTACCTTGTAGATGAGAAGGATTAAAGCTAAGATTTTGCATCACATCTGCATTATAATATCCGACTAATTTTTGCGCATTTATCACTCGTTCTGAATCGGCTCCTGGGATCTTCAGTCTTCTTGCATTATACGCTCCGTTGCATAGAAATACGGAATCATGGCATTCCATCAGTTCTTTCAGCGAAAACTGGGATTTGATCCCTTTTTCGTTCGAGTCTGAAACATTCACTCCGCCGAAAAAGTGGAAGTTTGGAAAATCAGCGACATTTGACCAGGTTTGAGCGGTATGTTTTACTTCGGGATGATCTGGAGCAACACCAGTGCGGAGAAGACCCCAAGGAACAAGGCTTCGGTCGAAGAGGTTGACTTGGAACTACAGGTGGTTCTTCTCTTTTATGGAATTATTGCGAATTGTATTGATTTTCTCAATTATTAATAAAAATAAGTCGCTATGTGGAGACCAAAGTTGCGGGGTAGGAGATGTGCGACCGAAAGTTGAAGATACACTAGGATGGAATACATGCTGAATCGTAGATATAAAATATCTTCACCTAGAAAGATCAAGAACCCCTATCCTTATTCGCGGCTGATTTCAACAATCGGGCAGCTGCAGAGACACCTGCCGGGCCGGCGCCGACGATTGCTATTTTGAACATTTACCCACCTCTTCTACTTGCTCTTTTTCGTTTGGTTCCAGTAACACAAGAGTTCCTACGATTCGCGAGTCTTCGGTTTTCCTTTTCTCTCTTTTTTTTTCCTTCGGAGGGGCGCGGCGCTACGCGCTGGCGATTGGGCGTACCGCAGAAAGAGCGCAAATAGCGAGAAACGACGCTGAAACTTGGTGTTTAGAATTTTCCGCCAGTTTCGGAAGAATCATCGAGAGTAAAATTGAGTTATGAAGAAAGAAGCCTTTCCACGAGTCATGCAGAGAAACTAAAAAAGAGCGCAAGAAAACAATCGAAGCAGAAATATGAGTGAAGAAGAAAGAATAGCGGTCAACAGATAGTCCAGAGCAAAAAATGGCGGCTGGACAAGCTTTTGTAAGCGACCACTTTATCAAAGTAAGTAAAAAACTCCTCGTTTCCGCTTTAGATTCTGCATGTCGAAAATGGTTGAACTAATAATTTTATTTTTTAGACACTATTCCAATCTTATGGGGGACTTCCATATGAAGTCGACAAAGATTTTCCGCCGGAGAGAATTGTTCGCGTCATCGGAGCGGCCATCAATCTGATTTATGACAGCAACCTCCAGTCATGTATCAATAAGGCGAAGATTTTCCTCGACAACTTCCAGAATGAGCTTTCTGAAAGATTTGAGAGAGATGATACCAGCGGTCCCGACGTCCTTCCTGGTTTCGCCAAAAAGAAGGAAACGTGGCAAGTAGAGATTGAGGCAAGATCTTTTTTGAACATGTCGTCGGAGAGAAATCAGGAGGAGAAGCAGACGGCGGAATTATGTCGAATTCTCGAGAAAAAGTATCGTGATCAGAAAATGGCAAGAATCATCGTTGGCTGCGTGAAAGTCTTCTTTTACCCACTATATGCTAAGTTCGAGTTTCTTGCTGGCATAATCAAGGCGATCAACAATTCTATCTTTGGCATGGATGGATGCGAGAAAGCAATTGTGACGATGGAAATATTTGTTCAGAAAGTACCGGCGGACGAGATGATCATGACCTACCCGAAAGCCTCTTCTAACGAGGTCGTTCAAGCGAAAGAATTCCTGAAGCGAGAGCGCAATTTTCAGCGCGATTTGTACGCAATACTGGGCTATTTTGTCGTTGAGCTCAAGTGCTTCCCCCAATTGTTAGAAAAACTCAACAATGCCTTCAAATATCACGGGCATTACAATGTTGAACTACTGGGCCAGCATGGATATTTGCAGCAAATGCTCAATACCTCTCGCCGTTTTACGGATCAGCTTGATGACATGTTTGACGGGGATGACGGAGATATGGACGGAAAAGAGGACCAAAGTGGCTCAATCGCGGAGATTTTTCACGATGTTGCAAAAGGACAAGTGCTGGATACATTCATCGAATATGTGAAACAGATTCTCGGGAGCGAAACAAACGGGCGCGAAACAAGAGGACCCTCTCCATCTGTCTCCGAAGTCTACGACATCATTCACAGAAAAATCGAAGCAAAAGTGAAGGAGTGTTCATCTGACATCATCAACAGACTGGATGAGTACGAAAAGAGGAAATTTTACGAAATCCGTGACCAGGTCGTTTGGCTTCTTCCTGAGCTTTTGCTTCGTCCTATTTACCGAGCTTTTTGCACGATAGAAAATTTGAATTCGATCAAAGATGCGATCAACGCGGAAATCGACGAATGTTACGGAGAACAGCTGCGTGAAGACTATCTTCGAAATGAGGCGAGTGTTCTTGACAAAGTTCTTGAAGAAGGGAACAAGCTAAAGAATGGTTTAACACATCTGCTTTCGAGAGACTGGCTTACTGCTTTTAAAAGACACGACAAGAATTTCTTCCCTTCACTTTGGTATAGAGAAATTGACGAAAAGCTGAATCTTGACGATTCTGTGAAGGAATTTCGACGATTGATTGAAGAGAGAACAAGTCCAGATAAAGTTTCCTATTGGGGAGGAAAACCATCTGGAGCGTTTTGGGATGATGCTGAGAGGCTGATTTTGGACGAGCCCATCGAAAAGTATATTAATGGCAAGAAGAATCATATATCAAAGAAGGTTGTGAAGAAAATGAAGCATACTTTGGAGATCCTTGTGAACAGAAAAGATGAACGAAGAATTGCACTTGTAAAAAGAGCTTTTTCTGTTGGTTTCTTGATTTACTCCAAGACAGAAGGGGCTGTGTTCAAAATCGATGAGTGGCAAGGTCCAAGGAATCACGCAAACCATGTTTCTGATACGATTTTGGAACGTCTCGATGACGAAACCTCCACTAAGACGAAGATTACGATCGTTTTTCAAAACAAAGTGATAAGCCAAAATAGCGAGTCGATTTGTTTGGTGTTTAATGAAAGGGATGTTGAAAGACGACGACTCATGGTTGGTCTTTTGCGAGCTCGGAAACACCGTGCTATCAATGAGAAAATATCTGCGTTGCTGAAAACGCAAATTGATACAGAAGCACCCCAGCCTCATAGAAATGAGATTCTTCGAGAAGCACCGGATTCTCCTTTTGGGGAAAAATACACAGTTTCCACTCCGAATCGAAATCTCATTTCCCTGCTGGAAATTATTGAAAACTACTTGACGTCACCACCATCGAACCAGATCCTAAAGAAGAATCCGAAATCGCAAAATCCACACGAGTCGGCGGAAGATCACTACACAAGAATATTCCTATTCGTTTACAAAAAGCTCAAGGATGGAAACGACGAAGACCTGAGTCCTGATAAATTGTTTCACCTTCTCAAGCTTCGTTTCAATTTGCCAAAAGTTATCGAGGAGAATGAAGATTTCAAGGCAAAACTCGATAACGGCTTGGTCTGTTTTGGTGAATTTCTTCGAAGTTATCAGAACAAGTATTACAACCCTGTTCAAGTCAGAGTCATTCGGGTCCTGACTCAGTGGGTCAGAGAAGATCCATGGGAAGATATGCACTGCCCTCTTGGTGGCGGAAAAGTTCTAGCGGAAAGGATTCTCGACTGGATGACGCCGCTTATGGAAACATCCACTGTAAAAGTGCGATCGGCTTTCCGAACATTAAAAAAGACCATCGATCAAAGCTTCGATTTTCAAGCGAATCCTCATCTTAAAAATTCACTTCCTCTTTATCGTGGAAATTCTCTTTCACCAGATAGCACAAGAAGGGGACCTTTGCCAGTCGATCTCGGAAAACAGAAGACACTCTGGCACCAGACAGAAAACCCAGCCAAATTTAGTCTTCTTACTCTTCATCCCATCGAACTTGCCAAGCAAATAACCTTGTATACTCTCGATATTTTACAAAGTACAAGGCTGGATGACTTGTGGAAGGGAAATAAGTCTGAACTTCACAAAAAGATGGTCCTTATCAACGACACTTGGGTTGTTTATTTACAAGCAGCGATTATTCTCGAGAGATCTCCGAAAAGGTCGCCTTATCTTAACCGAAAATATCTTTAAATTAATTTAGACGGCGTGAGATTCATGAGCGTCTGATGGAAATGGTTGTTCAATTTCGCCTCCAGAATAACTTCATGTGGGAAGACCTAATCATTAAAGGCGTCATCGATTCGAGCGCTGTGAAGGATGTTACTCGCCGAGAAACAACTACGTCTCCAATTAGTAACAATAAATTAGAACCCATCTACAAAGATTACCATGATCGTACTCATCGATCCAATGAAGTCAAAAAGGAGGAATCTATCTTTTGGATGTGCCATCCGCCTAACTTGCCTTCTTATCAAGATTTTAACGGCGGTCGTACCAGGTCTCGCTGAGCCGTCAAAATCATTTTAAGACTTTGATTTTAGAACGTATGATGGAATAAAAGGGAACCGAAAATTCGGCTTGAACGATTGGACAAACTACTGCTTCCTCGGCTTTCATATTGTAAATTTCCTTGGTGCTTGCAAAGCCGACAACTCGAGATGCTATTCGAGTATCGTGTACCCTCCAGTCACCCGTGTAGATAGCATTCAACAGTGGCTGGAGAGTTGGGACCCACGGCTCCTAGTTCACGATGAGCGGGACTGGGAAGCAAAGGTCGGGAGACCTTTCCACAGGAACCCCCTTTCGGAAAGAACGGATCAAGACAAAGAAGACTTTTTAAACTATTTGAAGAAGGTTTCAGAAGAAACGCGTCAAATGGAGAGTCAGTCTAGTCCTTCAAACAGCTGGGAAAGAGAAGAAAATATCCAAAGGTAGGAGCTATCTTTTCTTCTTATAAGTAACCAACTAGGCCAAGAGAATTGACTTACAACTACGAACGAGAAGTCGAGCATCGCAAGAACGTCAAGAATGCGATGAAAGCTTGGTGGCAAGTTGAGAAGCCCAAAGAGCAGAAAAAAATTCGTAAGCAATCGGAAAGAGTGCGAGAAGATGACAAGAAGGTTCCGACGAGACCAAGGAGTCAAAAACCTGCACTTGATAGGAACGGGTCTATTCATTTTTCCCTCGACATTTTAGCGTGATATTTATGTGGATTTCGTTATGTAGACTTATTAAAGACGATTTTATACTGCTCCAAGGCTTCCTTCAACAAATACTGGCTCTGATTACGTACCACTTGGTATAAACGATAAGCGTTCACTATTTAACGATATTTCTAGTGCCTCCTCGAACCAGTGATGGTCCGACTCCAGATACAGCCATGACAACCGTTGGACCCACACCCACATCAGACAATGTTCCTAGCCCAGCTCGCACTCGCTTCGAATTCTAAGATGAAGATGTACAACAAGATTTCTTACCCATAAAATGCTGTTCCTTATTCTTTAATAATCAAGTTCAACTCAATCCAATCAAAATCATTCCTGCGAAAACGCAAAGTTAAGCTTCTTTAGTAATGAAATAAAATAATTTCAATACTTCAAACAATCCACAGAAATTTCTCGATAATTGGGAAATTCTGTGCTTATTCTTGATTTTCCTGGGAAACTCCCCTTCAGTCTATTTTCAGGGCTCGCGCTAATCCTAGAGAGGCCAAATTTCCGTGACCTCCTATCCTTGACATTACGTGTCATTTCACGCCTCTGAAATATATATTTTCCAGAACACGGTTGAATTCTTATTTGTTGTTTTTTCATTTCCTCACTTCGTTTCCTTTGACTTTCCGAGATGCTGAAGGCTGCCTCCCGTTCGTTATCTAACACCAATCGAGCTGCCCTCCTTGCTGCCAAGGTAAGTCTTCCTTATTTTTCACTGTTCGAATAGAATTTATTAGCCAGAAAATGCTTGGCTCAAGGAGCTCGGTATCCACCCCGATACAGACGGTGTTTTTGATGGAAAATGGCACGCTGGAAAAGGCGAGCAGTTCACCCCATTGAGTCCCTTCACTGGCGAGCCTATCGCTAACGTTCGATCTGCTACTCCAGAGCAGTACGATTCCGCTGTCCAAGCTGCAGTCGCTGCTCAGAAAGAATGGCGAAATGTCTCCATGCCTGCTCGAGGTGACGTCGTCAATGAAATCGGCCGAGAGCTTGTTGCTAACCTCGACCTTCTGAGCAAACTCGAATCTCTTGAAGTTGGCAAGACTTACGTAGAATCAAAGGTATTAGAAAAATTGAATATGTTCTTGGTAAATCTTTTTATAGGGTGAAATTCTCGAGTACATCCACATCTGCGAGTTCGCCACCTCCATGTCTCGACAGGCCCATGGTGCCAAGATTCCATCTGAGCGAGCTAATCATCAGCTCGAAGAAATTTGGAATCCACTTGGCGTGTGCGCTGTTATTACCGCTTTCAACTTCCCCATCGCAGTCTACGGCTGGAATGCCGCCATCGGAAGGGATCATTAATAGACGTATCAAAGTGGGAGGTGATAAGCCTTTCATGCTTCCACACCCTTGTTTCGAACTGAGCATAGAACTAAAACTGATCCAATACAAGCCATGTACACCGGAAACACCATGTTGTGGAAGCCACCACCAACCTCTACCTTGACTTCCATCGCTGTACAGAACATCTGCGCCAAGGTTCTTGAGCGAAACGGCTACAACCCAGCTGTCTGCTCCTTCGTATCTGGTGGTGCTGACATCGGCAAGCTTATTGCTTCCGATAAGCGAGTTCCTCTCGTCTCTTTCACTGGTTCGACCGCTGTTGGACGAGAAGTCGGTGTTGAGGTTCAGCGACGATTTGGCAAGAGCATCCTCGAACTCGGCGGCAACAATGCCTTGATCGTTGCTCCTGACTACACTGATACTGATTCCGTCATCAAGAGCGTTGTATTCGCTGCTTTCGGCACTCAGGGACAGCGATGCACTACTCTTCGACGACTTATGCTTCCAGGAACCATCTATGATGAAATTCTTGAGCGAATGAAGAATGGCGCTGCCAAGCTTCTCACTAAGATCGGTGATCCCTTGGGTAAGCTATCGATATTTGACTAAATTCATTGTAACATGTTTAAGACGCCCAGACTTTGTACGGTCCCATGCACAACCAGGCCGGAGTTGATCTCTACGTTCGAACTGTTGAGAAAATCAAGGAAGCTGGCGGAAAGATCGAGTGCGGTGGAAAGGTTTTTATCAATGTTTTCCTTTCATTTTTTACTTAATACTCAGGTCATGGATCGACCAGGCTTCTTTGTGGAGCCAACCATTGTTACTGGTCTCCCACACGACCATGAGTTGGTTCAAGAAGAGGCTTTCTGCCCGATCGTCTATCTTCTCAAGTACGACACTCTTGAGCAGGCTATGGAATGGAACAACGAAGTCGAGCAGGGTCTTTCGAGCGCAATCTTTACCAACGACATCAAAACTCAGTACTGGTTCACCGGACCGAACGGATCTGACTGTGGTATTGCCAATATTAATGCTCCAACCAACGGTGCTGAAATCGGCGGAGCTTTCGGTGGAAACAAGGTAAGATTTACCGCTGATCATGGTGATAAATGTTAATTCAAGTCTACTGGATGGGGCCGAGAGGCCGGATCCGACTCGTGGAAGCAGTACATGCGACGAGCTACCTCCTGCGTCAACTACTCCGGAAAGGTCGAGCTCGCCCAAGGTATCAAGTTCGACGTCTAAATCTTTTGAATCTGCTCACTACCTGCTCTCCTCTTTGCAGCTGTAAATAAAAATCAACAAATAATAATCGAGATCGAATGAAGTGATGAATTCATATTTTGTGGAGCTTTCTGGAATTTAATAATTTGATTGAACAGAATAAAGCTATATTTTTTGTGGGGTTTTGTGAAAGTTGAATTTGTTGAAAGTTGAATGGAGCTCGTCAAGACTGGCCTGGCGCAAAACGCACCAGTTTCCTTCTTCCCGATCGCTACGCAAGGCACAAGTCTTGAAAGCAATTAGATTTCGGCTTTATCCGGCTATTTTACCTGGCAAAAAGCTTGTCTCTGATTCGAGTCAGTATCCGACTTCCGATGAACCCAAATGAATAGAAATAATTCGCGACGACAGTCAAAGCAAAAGGCAACTTTACTACTTCTATGTGGAACTACATCGATTTTGAGATTTTTCAAAAATTCTTCTTGTGACGAAAGTGCCCAGAGTGAGCGTTGTAGGAAAAACTAATAGACAAGATTAGCGTGAGCGACAGTAGACGAGAGATTTACCTTGATTTGTGAGTACATCCTGAAGTCTGAAACGCGAACCAGTCGGGCCAGACTCCAGGTTATGTGGAACATAGGGCCTAAAACGGTTCATGAGAAATCGGGTAAGTTCTGAAATGCTTACATGAAGGTAAACTTGAGTTCATCAGGGACTTTTCATATATTTGGATTGCTATCTGGTACTGGTAGGCAGTGAGTGGACCAACGTTGTACTGAAGAGATCTTTAAATAACCGAAATCAAGACGATTCCTACCATAATATTATTACACCATCCGAGAGACTGAGCCCAATAAATTGACCCTGATTGGACCCAAACTAAATCTCCAGGTTTCTGAAAATGGAAGTTGAATTGAAGCTCCCCGGCAATTGTTTTGAAAGCAAACCTGTATAAATCTATAAATAGGTATGGAATGTTTAGCGCAAGCTTCGAGATCCGGCCACCAGCTGTCGGAAAATGTCTTGCCTTGCTGACACAGCAATTCGCGGAATTCAACATGCCACCATTCGGGCACTAAATAAGCAAGTGTTATAAAAACATCGACGACATCCGGCGATTTTCTCTCACCTATAAACCACTCATAATCTCCTGGTCCAACATTTAACGACACTTTGGCAAAGACGGAATGCCGCGGCGGAACTCGACACGTAGGCACGGTAAGGAGCAACTGGGCTTTTGTGTGTTGCTGGCCGCAATACGTCAGAATGTTTTGCGCGCTACAGATTCGCATGAAAGGCGGCAGCTTGTGTAGCTCGGTCAGGTGCTCTCGATAGTTTTGTTCAGGAACTGTTAGGTCATTGACTTCGGCCATGCGCACGGGCGCGCGCGGACGAACGTTTTTGGATTTCTTCTTGTCTGAGCGTTTTGAATCGTCGGTCAATGCTTCGCGGAAATTTTTTCCTTGATAGATGCCATATTCTTTTATTGTGGAGGTAGTGACTTTTTCGTTGAGGGACCATTTCTCTCCGGGTACTTTACTCTGCTCGCTAAACAAGAAATAAGATTGTGAATCGAGGGCCAATGCGTCTTACCGTTGAATAATTTTTTGTTGACTATGATGCGTACTCAACATTTTCGTTGAGAAAAAGCCCAAATCCATTTTCAAGGCCGCCGCAATCCCACGTATTAAAACGACAGGCACTTTTGACGATGTGCAAATATCACTAAGACAGTTTTTTTTTTAAGGGGGCCCGGAGAACTTTTTAAAAAAAAGGTACTTCCCGACATCGTACGGAGATAAATAAAGGCTCATCTGAAAGCCCATTTATCGAACTGTTTAAAAAAAATTCGACGAAAAAATTGGATCAGCAGGAGTGCTGTATCAGCCGGTTTTCTGTCAGCGAGTCGGTCCTTGCGCGCCGCCACGGCGCCCATTTTTCAACAATAGCAGCGCCTCAGCCAATCAGCGCGCCGCATTTCCAAATCTATTGTTATTTAGTGCATTTTCAACAGGCATTTACAGCGAAACTACTCTATCAAAATCTTCGCTGAATTTTTTTTAAACAGAACTCGGGCTGCTCTTTCAGTCAAGCCCTCATTCATCCCTCTACGATCATGGGAAGATTCTTTTTTTCAAAAAGTTCTCCGGGCCCCCTTAAAAAAAAAACTGTCTAAGGACTTTAGAGTTGGCTTCTTTTTTCGTGTCAACTTGGATCAGGGGTGCTTCCGGATTGATATCAACGGGCTTCGGGTTGAGTGGGAAGAAGGGGGGAGAACGATTTTCGATTTCAAGTTTAGTATCCTTTTCTAAGTTGTGGCGAAGTTTTCGACAAACACTAAATGATCGTTTTAAAATAAATCGAAGGTGAGTTTCTTACTTGATCAATTCATTGGCAGTGATCGAATGGCTGAACTCAGTGGGCGCAGAAAGTCCCGGAACCCTTCTCCCCTTAACGACGGAGAGCTCCTTGGCGTAGTCGGTTTCTTTCGCAGGTTTTGTTTGCTCGTTCGTCTGTTGGAACAAGTCATTTGTTGGAACATTGCTTTCGGTTGTTTTTACATGTTTTTTGAAGTATTCTGTACATTTTTGTAAATAGCGAAGCCTCTCGAGCTCGGCTTTTTGGAAGGGCGTAAGCGCGTTTGAATTATTTTGAAGTGTTCTCAGGACGTTTGACTCCATCTCGTTCATGAGCCAATTCGGCCCGCTATTATTGGAAGAACTCGATTGTTTGTCAGTTTTGGCTGAAGATGGCTTGGTAGGCGCAGTTTTCGTTGATGATGATGTTTTCTCGGGAGTTGTTGATGATGAGTAATCCATGGGCGTTGCATTTTGGTCGACGGGTTCTGATTTGACTTGTTTCTTACTATCAGCTTCGGTCTTTGGCTTCTCCTCAGATGGCGTTTCATTGAAGTTTCGGGGTGGGGCGCATCGGGCAGCTTGTCTCTGGGTTAGCTCTGCTGGGATAGGCATGGTCCACGCTTTTTCGATGGAAGTCAGGCCAGTCTGGGGTCCAACAGAATTCGATTCCATATCTTGATGATCATTCGTTTACGCTGGTTTATTGGTTTAAAAATACCTTGAAGTGATTTCGCTTTATGAAAAAGCTCTTCTCTCGGTGCTCCGCGTCGTACAGAGCAAGAATAAGCACGATGAAAGCACTTGAATGCGTCTTTGAATTGTCTCTTCGACTCGTACAGGACTCCAAGATCCATCCATGCTTCAACATGGGTCGGATCGAGTTGAACAGCGCAGATAAATGCCTACAATTTTTAATCGAAGAATTTCGGCAGCAAATCACCTGTAGCGCGTCAGTATGTTGTGTCTGTTCCTGGTACAGAACTCCGATGGAGCACCAAGTATCAGCACAGGCTTCGGACTTATCAATCGATTTTCTGTAGTTGTTAAAAGCCGAGTTTACATCGCTAGCGGCTGAGTAGCATCGTCCAAGATAATACCAAGTTTGACCGGAATTGTCATCGAGCTGGGTTGCTCGTTGAAGAAGCTTTATTGCAGCCTGGATTCTTTGTGACTAGAAAAGGAATGTCAGCAAGTCGGAATATCAACTTTAAATGAGGGATGACGAACTGACCTTTTCTCCTAGCTCTTTGGTGCGAAAGAGCATCCAACCAAGTGTCGAATTTGCCGCAGCTTCGACAGATTTCGACTTGGAATCGTCGTCGATTACAGATTCATAATAACTTTTTGCCGAGTGGAAGTTCATTCTTAATTCTTCAGTGTGGCCGAGATGAAACTTGATTTCAGCCACGGACATTGGACATCTATCTGGGCTTCGATTCGCGACGGATAGGGCCCATTGTAGATGCTAAACAAAGGTTACATGGGAGTTTTCAACACTGAGGTCTACTTTGAAAGCCCAGTTGTAGAGTTTCATGTATTTCAACGAAATTCCCAGTCGAGCATGAACTTCTTGCGCGCAGTGAAACTCTGGCTCGCGGTAAAGAACTTCCAGGAACGCGTTTTTCGCCCAAGCGAAATTCGAGAAGTGAAAGTAGCAAAGACCGAGTCCGTATAACAGCATAACTCGTCCACTTTTTGCGCCCTTGTTCGGCCTCACGACGAAACGACTGAAGAGAAGGGTAATTACAGTTGCTTTGTCCAAGGTCATTTTGAAAATGAGGAGCTAACCTTTGATCCCTAATGACGGAGAACTGATGATCCTCCCATTTGGACAATTTGAGACATTTTGAGTAGGCTGACAGGGCCAAGTGCCACTGCAGACCGAGGAGATGAAAGTGGCCGAGTCTGAGAAGCCATTCTGGATCCGGCCGCGGACTATCAGTGATCTTCTTCTGATAGTTGCGGATGATCTTTTGCAAGAGCTAAAGAAACATTCAATTATTCTATAAATATTTTATTCGATAAGAAATAAGAATTATTGTAACGTAAACAGGAGTCTATTTTTGAGTCCAAAAACAGCGTCCAAAAGGGTACTTTTTCTGGGCATTTGCGGTTATTGGCATCATAAATAATTGTCTGCTAAATTATCAGCACGAGTTTGAAATTAATGAACTAGAATTAATCCAATCGACTCGACAAAATAAGCGAAGCTTCAAGCTGCGAAGGCTCGAGATGAAAGTCATGAAAGAATTGTGATTAACCTGGAATCTGCCACCATTGGGGAGAAATTCCTCGTCGCCGAAATTTCGCGAGTCCCAATCTGCACTCTGCTCGAGCTCATCTTCCGTCAACTCGTCCTCGTCAGATTTCATTTCTGACTTTTTACGAAATCATGCTAAATTCAACAAAAATCAAAATTAACGTCTACAAAAATTTTCTCGGCGAATTTAACAACAAAAAAAACGAAGCTTCAAAACGAGAAAAATCTTCGAGAATCATCCCCTTTTTTCTCTTCCAAAAAAATCTCCTTTCCGATTCTCCAACTTTCCAAAATCTCGCTTCACAGGAAAAACAACTCTTTCAAAAAACAAAATTTGTAGGAAAAAAGGGATGATCCACCAAAGAAGAGTCGAGGAAGTCGATCCTTTGTGTTGATACTGGAGAAGGCAGCGCCTCGGTCATTCGAAGTGACTCATTGCGGAGGTTGAAACGATGATTCATCGGGCTACGATTTTCCCACGGCAAGACTGCTCGATTTTCTTTCAATTTTCAACTGGAAATTTACAATTCCTGATAAATCAAAAGTTACCCCACAGAAATCCTTGAAGACCCGATTTATAACGAAGATGTAGAGAAAAGCATCTGTCTTCATCTTCGTTGTAATTTTGGGCCTCTCATTTACAATTATTTTTATTATAACTGTGTAAAAGCTGATATTTGTATTCACTCTTTCCAAAATGCGGCATTCTACGGTATTCAGTAGAAAACTAAAAACCCGCTAGTGGTTTCTGGTGGAATGAAGTGAAAGCCGCGCAAAACGCGGCTCAGATTTCTTGAAGCCGCGAGCGGCTTCTCTGTTCTGAATCTATATGAACACGGAAATGAATATCTTAGTTATTTTATTCAAAACGATCTCGGAGCTGCAAGAATTCAGAAAGATTCAAGATTTCAATTAATTTGATTTTTATTGGTGATGATGGCGAGGATGATGCTTGCGAAGTGCAAAAGAATACCAGTAGTTTATTTGCTTGGCAAAGGTCGGCGGAAAAGGAGCACGTGGGGTTCGGGCTCGTGGACCATGTAGTGGACCCAGCCCTGAAATTTAAATTTAAACCCTCTTTGCTGGTTAAAAAATATTTACCATGCTCTGTTGAACTCCAAGATCGCGCCACTCATCTTCAGTCATGCATCGTCCCTTCGGAATCATTCTAAAAAAAGTTTAGTCTCGGAACTTGATTTAGCTTTGGAACTTACCTGACCCACTCTTTGGGGATGTGGACGTGTCGGTATTCGTATTTTCCATCATCGTACTTGTCAGAGTAGAAGGGTGAATTTCCGCTCATGCTTGCCTCTTCTTTGATTTCTGAAATATATTTTGTTCGCTTTCAAAATCTCTGCCTTTGAACTCACATCAATTCAGCGCTCTCAATAAATGAACTGTTAAATTTCAACTCTTCGGCGCGCCGCTGTCTCTCGCCGCCAAATTTTCGTCTCAAACTTTTCGCTTCGAAAAAAATTGCGGAGGGTCTCCTTTAAATTTTGGTGCCTCTCTGAGTTCGAAAACGGAAGCCCGTTTTAAAAATGAGTGGCCAATAATGAAATCCGCGTTATTCGGAATTGACCAATCACGAATTACGTCGAGAAAAACCAACCAAGAAGCTTACGAATCTTGCCTTCTAGAAAAAAACCGAAAACCTGTGATTCAAATGTTTCCCAGCATCACTCCTTTTTGATCCTTCAAAAGCTCGCGGAGCGATTCATTGATAAGAATGCTATCACCGCGTCTTTCATCGTGCATCATTTGAAAATGACTGTACCAACGTCAGTAATTTTTCATTTTTCTTTCAGAATGAGTCTGAAGGAATCCGGCAAGTACAAAAGTCTAGACTTCCTGAAGTTCGAAGAAGTACTCAATGATAACCCCGAAAATCCATCAATAACCATCTTGGCGAAGGATGACAACGACGAAAAAGCGGTTATCTTGTTGAGAAAGAAGCCTTTTCAGGAATGTCTCAAGCTTTCTTTCTGTCAAGATAATGAACTGTTCTGCGATTAGACCCTCACAGGCCAATGTTTGCCAAGAAATGTTATCCGAATGCGACCTTGACCTTGATCTCAAAAACGACCGGTATCATACTTACGGTAATATCTGAAAAAAAATCGTTCTGCTCATCAGTTTGCGCTAGATGGGACAATGGACTCGAAGTACCAGCCGGTGCGATACTCAATGACCTATCCAGCCACTGAGCTCCATATTGCGAAAGCTCGATCTGCTCCGACTGAGATTTGGATGGAGACGAAAGACATGTTCGAGCGTCTCCATCGACCCTTCATTAGTTCGCAACTTCACTCTCTTCAGTGGGTTTACAATATTCTCGGTAGGAACTCACATTGTCTTCGTTGATTCCACTTTCTATAGATAAGAACCGAGAAAAGTGCAATGAAGTGGATAGAATCGTCGTAGAAGATCCTGATCCAAAGACTGGTTTCCTCATCGTCCCGGATTTGAAATGGGATGGCAAGGACATGAAGCAACTCAATTTGTGCGTCTTGATCAACAGGAGAGATTTACCAACTGTACGGCACTTGAACGCCGATCATTTGGAATTACTCGAGAATATTTTTAACAAAAGCTCGAAAGAAGTCTCGGCAAAATACGGCGTCCCGGTAATTGATTTCGCAAGAGGAAGCAGCAGCTAATGAGCCCTTTTATTTAGGAAAAACAGCTCCGAATGTATTTCCACTATCCGCCCAGCCACTACCACCTACATGTTCACATCACATCAACGTACTTCGGCCAGGGCTGTAATACCGAGCGCGCGATTCTTCTGACCGATGTGATTGAAAACATAAAACTCAAATCATCATTTTATGCTGATAGAACGATGTCACTGCCACTACGCGTTGGTCACAAACTGCACAAGATTTTCGAAAACGAATAAAAAATATTGAAAGTTTGGCGATCAAAAAAAGTCTTGAGAATCAATTCTCAGCTGCAGATTTTGCGAGTTCTTTTGGAAACATAATTATACAGTAAAAAGGGGGCAGGCACTCATATTTCTCGCAGTTTCGCTCTTGAATTTCTGTCCCTTGTTCAGCTGAAAGCAGCAAAAACGTGAATAACAAAATAACGTATGCCTTCAAAACACACAAATTTGAAATTCTCAAAGAAGCACGCTCTTGTTGGCAACAATGTGTAGATCTTTAGAAAGCAATTTGTACAGTCACAAGAAATCGGATCGTTATTTTCGAAAGGTAGAAATATGTACAGTTATTTTTTAGCAGCAATTGTAGCGGGAGAATCTTCAGTTGATAGATTTGATTTGGTTTTGTCGGCGAATAACGAGAATCGAAAGCACCAAAAGGATGAAAATAGCGAATCCGAGGGCGCCGATGAGAATTGCTTTGGTGGCTTTCTAAGCGACCCTGTGAAATTTAGATAAGCAAATTCTAGCCTGGATTGAAAATTTTTAAATCCGATTATTTTTCAAATTGAACTTCTATGCATTTGAAAGCCGTTCCTTGTTTTAGAGTAGCGTCGCGTAAAATGTTTCCGAATGCGAATCGATCTTCTATTTCCGCCTCCGGTTTCCCATCGAGAACTTCTATTTCAACGACTTCCACTTCCGACTCTCTGTTCGGTTCTCGGTAAATCGTTGCGCCCAGCAATGGCCCGGAATCGATTTTGTAGGGATCGGAGCTTTGAACAAGCGCCTCGAAAACGGGCTCATCAGAATCTCGCCTTTCACGTTCAGACGAGGAGCAATCTGTTGGACAAGGGCCAGTAGGACAAATTCGTATGCGGCAATATAAATATGCAGTGTCGTAGTCAACGAATTTGAAAACACCACTCTACGAGTTACAAGTTATTAAGAGAACATACATTTGGACGAATCATAATTGGCTAGGAAGGAGCCGCTCGTATTTACCGTAAACTTGGCAATGTTGTCCTCGCCGTTGGTAATTATTGACACCAATCCCTCCGGATACGGCGACGCGCAGCTGTTTTTGATCAGGTCCAACGTAATTTCATCAGCTTTCTTCGTTGAAGATAGTTCTAGCGGAGAGTGATACATGTTGGACGCCCAGCAACTATTAAACTCAATTAACCCAAAGGTCTTAAAAAATCAGGGGGACGAAACCGATACTAGTCTCGTCGTCTGGCTGAGTAAACGAGAAAAGGTGCAAAACTCGCGTCAGGTTTATTTTCTTATTAGAATTCGCTACGCTTCTGAGCAGCGGGCCGTATTACTGCCATACGCTAAACCCCTTCATAAGCTCGTATAACACGTGATCTAACTTTGTCAGTGTCTAACTTCAGCGCCTCACCTCAAACTACTGATCTCGATAAATAATCAAGAGGGTCAACCCGATCATGTCAAATTTCGAAAATTTGCTCACGTACCTTTTTACTGAGAGGGTTGTCGCTGGAGGCCCTCCCATAAGTTGAACACCAATGAACACGGTTTCGTTGCTAGCCAGAACAGGTGGATGAACAAACGGCTCATCGTATTCAGCATCTGGGTACAAGAACATCTTCGCAAAGAATAAACCCTTGCCCTCCGCCTGAGATCTCCATGGCATATCGTAGCTGCTATTTACGCACTTATGGTCCTTGAACTTCTCTCCATCATTGCATGGGACGATATCGTCTTCAACAACTACTACTTCGGGAGTTTGCGTTGGGATCAGAATTGGATCTGTCTTTTCTGTTGGTGCAGGGGACTTTGTTGTTTTCGGGGCTTTTGTTGGGCGAGTTTTTCGTGGCTTTTTGGTTGGACGCGTTTTATTCTTGCATTTTCTTCCTTTGCATGGCTTTTCTGGCATTGGCAATTCCTGTCCTCCACCTCTTTGATCGATCAATCCAGGAAACAAAGGTTTTCCAGTTTCATCTGGTTCCTCAGTAGTTTGTGCTGTGGTTGAAATGATGTCAACGTTGACAGTCGTCAAAATATCAACATCAACTGTTAGTGGGACAGTTCCAGTCGCATAAATTTCTGTTTGAATTTCGGAAACAGTGGTTCCTTGAGTTGTTGTGAATGCAAAAGTTGTCGTCGTTTCTTCGTACTCATCTGTTGAAGAATCTGGGGTTGTTTGTGTTGGTTCTTTCTTCTCAGTTTCCTCCTTTTCAGTTTCCTTCTCTTTCTTTGGCTTAGCATCACCATCATCATCGTCATCGTCAACCTCAGGTCGCCTTGTAAAATTGCCTCGTCGCGGGTCAATCAGACCGGATCCTGTTGTAGTTGTTTCAGTTGATTTTGAAGTCGTTGATTCTTCATCATCATCACCAGTCCCTGAACGTTCTTTGAGAGTTACCTGGTAAGAAGCTGTTGACGTTAACGTTGACGACGCAGTTGTTGATGAGGAAAATCCAGCTGTTGTCGATGTTGTGAACAATTCAGTTGTTGTGGTTATTTCTTCTCCGACTCCGGGCACGATTTCGGGCTAAATCATCAGCATAAAAAGTGTTTAACTTTGCGAACGCCAAGCCACAAGAAACGACCCAAACCGGGCAGGTGGCTACATACCGGAATGTGCTCTTTGAGAATTGCGCCGATGGAAATTTCTTGTTGATGAAAGAGGCATCCAACGCGGGAAGTAAGTCTGGAAATAAGCAGTTAGTTTTTCTGCTGCAATAATAATATTATGTGGTGAATGTTTACGATTGCAGTAAGCAAAAGTATCATGACGTTTCTAACATCAAGTGCTTGGTCCTTGAGAATTACTGCTGAGTTGAAGAGTGCCAATTTCGAGGAAAAATAAGGACACCACTTGGAATGATCAAAAAACAATCATTTTTGTACGTTAATCTTATTCTCTTAAAACGTGCAAGGGAGGCAAATTCATTGACTCGCAAACGAGCAAGTAGAATCGCCGCAAAATTACTCCAGCAGGGAGGTCTCTTGATACATGAAAATCACTTTTGCGGTGCAAAATTCTACCCCCATGTTCCCTGTGCTCATTAGAAAGAGCAACTCCTAAGGAGTCGAATGGTATAGTTTTGAGGGTCTGAGTCATCACATATGACGTCATAAGGGCCCCCCTTTGGAAAATGGTCATGTCCCCCTGTATCTCCGAAAATTTTCAGAAATTTATTGAGATTTTGGTATCGTTGGAAAGCCCACGTCAAACTGGCTATGAGCACAAGGTGTGCAAGAAAAAATTTCTAGGGAAAAATTTTTTTCTGAGACAAAAACTTTTCACCCAAAATTTTTTTTCGGAATTTTCTATTGCGCATCTGGTGCTCATAACCAGTTTGAGCTGGGCTTTCTAACGATACCAAAATCTCCATATATTTCTGAAAATTTTCGGAGATACAGGGGGACATTACCTGACATTTTCAGGTACTTTAGGCACTTGAATTGGCGATTTTCCGTGGCTTAGACACATCAAAATTGTACCATTCGACTCATCAGAACCTGCGCTACAAGATGAGCAAAGAAAATATTGGGGTCCCGATTTTGCCCCGCAGAAGTCATTTTCATCTATCTCTTGCCCAACACCGGAAGGAGTCGATGTGGACGTGATTTGTATATTTTCTGTCAAAGATGGCGTTGGTGACGTTTCTAGTGTCATCACACCCAGCTTTGGTAGAAAATATCTTGATGCTTGAAAGGCTGAGAATTTTGTCGAAAGAAGGTTGCTTTTGACACTTTTGAATTTTTGGCGAAAACGTGCTGAGTTTGAAAAAATGCTTACTTGATTGGCGAAGTTCCGAAGCCCATTATATTCGTTATTTGGTTTACAATCGTCAGCGTGGAAGAATCGATGAAGATGTCATTGCCGCAGCCGGATAAATGCGTCTGAATAATATTTATTTTCCCCATCACAGCGAAAAACCAGATCAGCCAAAAAAAAAGTGTCAATTAATGATGTTTATTTTAATATTATCTTCACGTTGAAGTGGGCAAATAACAGGTTCTTTCTACGAAAAAGCCACTGAAGTTTTCTACTCGATATTTTTTTCAATCAACTTTACTGTATACAAACCTGATTTGTCTCTGTTGGGGCTTGTTAATTATGAGCGCCGCATATTTTTTGTTGTAAAAATAATTTGAGACAAGTTTTTTGCAAACGATGTTCAATTTTTAACGAGGAGAAATTTCGCTAAGTAAGTAATTGCAATTGCTTCTTTGTTTTGGATAAGTTGTTCCTTATTGAAACATTTTGCCAAGTTGTTCGTTTTATAAATAGATTAGTTAATAGTTTATAAATTATAGGCGGATAGAAAAGTTGTAAAAGTTTATTGGGCCGGCGATTGTTAATCCTCGACTGTCCAAATTGGATTAATCTCTCTCTAAATTGGCTAGTGTGTCACACTAAGCTCGCGTTTTGGTACTTACGCTGATGGTGTGATAGTTTCCGTTCTTTTCTAAAACACAGGCTGGATCGGTGAGAGCAAATCGCATGCTTCTCGCTGCGAGCGGCGCTTCTAACGTTATCTGAATTGATTATTTGAGCATAATTTCATTATCTACACACTTTTTCATTTTCACAACTGCGAAAACAAGGCTCAGTCTTGAAACACTGGAGCCACGTAAGTTTCAGGTCCTGCCGTGACCGTCTTAATCCGTTTTGGAAATGGCATTTGACAAAACTATTTATTTTGACCTCTGAAAATGGCCCTGTTGAGAAATTTTCTAACAAAGATGGAAAATGTTTATTTTTCAGAAAATAACTTTAAATGGGTTTTCATCTTTCAAGGCCTATTTTAAGAACCATCAAAAAGTATATTTTTCTTACCGTCATTCCAGTCTCGACGGAACAGTCCACGTTGACTTTTGTACCATAAAACGACTCGATATCTGTGTTAGCACCAAACACTCAATTTCGGGATGCGAATTATTGAAAATTACAAAACACGACTTCCTATAAATCATAATGATTCGATAAGCCGCTTCAAATAAGAATTCAACGAAGAAAAAGAAGTGAAGGTTTTCTTCGGATTTAAGGATTTCAAAGATTTTAAAGATTTCAAGTCAGCCGAGATTACGTCACTCGCTGAACATTAGCCGGTTAAAAATCGCTTCTAAACCGAAGTTTCAAGTGGCTTTTCTAAAGAAACAATTCAAAGGTAGCAAGTCTTATTTATACACCAAAGAGGCACGTTGACGATTAATTAGTAATCGCACGGTTTTCTCCCTCAATTTCATACAAAAACAACAATTCCTGGCTTAATTCTGGCTTCGTAAAAATCATGCATCCGGTCCTATATCTGCCGCATGTGCCGCACTACAAAGTAGCAAGCATAATTTTGATATAATCATCTTCATTTTTCTGAAGCTTCTTTCTTTTGCGATTTCTCTCTCAAAGTATCATAAAAAATGTTTCTTCCTTGGCTTGGATTAGAAAAATATAAAAAAATACAATTACAATAAATATATATTGTTAGATTTGGAAGCCGTTAGGAGCAATCATGTACGCTCGCGCTTGGTGCACGGAGCTCTGCGGCGCCATCGCAGATCTTAGTGTAGCGAGTCGACGGAGGACCGTGGCGGTGGTAGTTGAGCTGGAGCGAGGTATCAATAGCGACCACGTACTTGGGCAATCGCCAGATGCAAATGCAAAAGTGTGTATTGCGAGACTTTTTTTGCTTGGAAATAATTTACTTTGAGGATGAGAACATTTCAAGAGCGCGTTATTATCATATCTCAAGATATCTTTTGGAAGGCTTGAAATTCACGCTTTTTGGTTCTACCTCTTGTCGAAGTAGCAATTTCAATGACTCATTGAAAAGATTAATTTCTGATAATTATGAACATGCAGACTGTTTTATGCTTTGTTTTGATGAAAATAAATGCTTCGCAGATGCGAGAAAGCAATTTGTTGGTTAATAACGGGCTGTTATTCAATTTATTCAACATTCAAGAGCATCACCCTCAGCCAGCTTGCACTGCCTTGCAGACTACTTAATTCTGCAGTCTAAGTGTTTGCGGAGCCAACTCAGGGAGTCATAAGCTTACCAAAATGTTATTATACAAAAATTTACATTGTGAGCCTATCTTGCTATTCTTCGTATAATCCGTTTGTTAATTTGCGCCACGACGAGCGAAATGTCATCACAAGAAACTTCATTATCGCAACTAACGGGCCTTCTTTCTTCAAACGGCCGAGATCGATTAACAAAGTGCCTTCACATTTCCTGAAAAATATTGAACGAAAATTCAAAAACTCGAAATTTTTGCATGAAGAATATTTGGGCAAAAGCACCAGGGCTGAGTATGACTCGAGTGATCTCGAAAGTAGAGAGCGTCTAAATCAGAACTCGTCAAGTTTACTCGTTGCAATACACTTTAGCCCTCCCGGAACACCTGTTGATCCCTCCAAGTACTTGCGCGAGGATCAGTTGCATATATTTACATGTAAACTTCTAACCTAATGCCAAGGCTAAACCCCGCTGAGTGATTCTTGGCGAATGATTACGTTGTTGCCAAGTTTCCTTCCTCGAATGCCGTTACGTGGTTATTATTCCACTTTGCGGCGGTTTCAACTGACTCTTAATCTTTTCGCCATCGTCAGCAATAACCAGTTAAAAGTCATGCAAGTTGTTGTTGCTGATGGAATGCAAAAAGATTCTATGGTAATCACCTTGCGACCGCGATTAGGAGCAGTCCGGGGAGCTGCGTGCATACAAAGGAGAGGTTCCAATGGGGAAGTTGGTCGTCAATAAGAGCATTAATTCAGTACTCAGACGAGGAAATTTAATTATCAGAGGGTTCCAGAGCGATTGGCATTTGCATATTTTGAGATTGAAAGCTGTTTGAAAGTGAAGGATTTGTCGTTGAAATCCAATTCTAGGATTTTTGGGGAGAGCTGGCTGAAAGAGATCAAGGAAAGGATGGCACTAAGCTGACTTTTGAACAAACGGGTGTTAGCTGAGAAGTTTTTATGGAAATTAACCGAGGATACGGTTATTGATTGGAATTCAAAATCTGTTATGTTGAATCTCCAAAAGTCAATCGGGTGATTTCTGCAAATTTATCCTTGAATTTGAGGCCCTGAAAGTTTCAGGCTGAAACTAGTGTTTGATTTTATCGAATGATCGAATTGATGATAATCTGAAATACTAAATGTAGTGGTATCCCGCTAAGACATCTCTTGTGCCCTCTTTTGGCCGATAATCAGCTTTTAAGAAGAAACCACTCGATGGAAACTATTGAGATTAAATGTTACGATAGAATATCCTGACAAGCCCAGAGCTTTTTCACGGACAATCTGCCATGGGATTCGAACTCTTTATTTCTATAAAATGAAACCAAACATCTTACACCTTCTGCGCGAGTAGTAATTGCCAATTTCTTTAGATGAAACCAATAAATTCTATTTTCTTGTAAATTATATGAGTTTTAGATAGGAGATAAATTATCTCGGATAATGTCTATCATCAAAATATAATTTTTTAACAAATTTCAATAAGCTTTTAAAGCTTATTTTTCCAATTCGAGGACACATTGTTGATTTATGCTAACATAGATCACAATAAGTAATTTGCTTCCTAAAGTCGTAACGCTAAACAAATGTTCCATTTGCAGCTTATGCATTCTATTGCAGTCTGACAGAGCGTCTCGGTTCCCACCGCCCTGGGCCAATGAAACTCACCGAAGAAAAATTGATTGGCCTCTCTTTATTTTACCAGCGCATTTTCTCACATCTTTGTTAGATAATGAACAAGAGTACTGAGGGAGAATGATAAGAAAATGACGTAGAAGAAAACAAAGAAAAATGTCGAGCGAGGAAGACAGGGGAAGTTTGATTTCTAGCGTCCGTGGAAGGCTATGCGTACTTTGTGGAATTGGCTTTGCGTTGGTTTACGCTTTACGAGTGAACCTTTCAATCGCAATTGTAGCCATGACGAAACCTATTCCTCAGCCATTGAATGTAAGAACATGTTCCATAAATAGTCCTTTATTGAAACTTTCAGAACGACACTCGTTGTCCAATGCCACCACCGTCGAATTCATCTAACCAAGGCGATTTCGACTGGGACGCTGAGACTCAAGGGAAAGTGCTCGGTGCGTTTTTCTATGGCTATGTATCTACACAAATTCTTGGAGGCATTCTGGCTGATAAATATGGCGCCGTGAATTTGCTAGCTGGCGGACTTTTTTGCACCAGTTTCTTTTCGCTGTTCACAGAAGTTGCTGCTCGCCAAGGTAACAAAAGTCTGTTATCGAAAGGTTGACAATGTGTTGAAAGGTCCATGGTGGCTATTTGCCCTTCGTTTGATAGAAGGACTTGGCGAAGGAGTCACGTTTCCCGCTGCAGCGAGCTTCTGGACGCGATGGTCACTTCCAGAAGAGCGGGCAAGATTAATGGGTCTTTCATTAGCTGGGAGTCAGATTGGAAACGTCTTAGGAATTCCCTTGACGGGGCTTATTGCTGATAACTGGGGCTGGCCTTCAGTTTTCTATTGGTTTGGTGCTGTTGGTTGTCTTTGGTGCATTGCGTTCTTTATTTATGCGAGGAATGATCCTAATGATTGTCCATGGATCTCACCGGAAGAAAAACGATTGCTTGTGAAGAGCAGACCAGCTAACCGTCAAGAAAAAAGGCCTATTCCTTGGAAGAAAGTCTTCACTTGTCAACCTCTTCTTGCCCTTGCTGTAGCGCACGCGTCGTTCAACTGGGGTTTCTACGTCCTTTTCACTTGTCTACCAAAATACATGAAAGAAGTACTCGGTTTCGACCTGAAGCACAACGCATACTACTCTGCTTTACCTTATCTAACAATTTGGGTGTTTATGAATGTCTCAACTCAGATTGGGGACTATCTTTTGAAAAAAGAGATCGTCCGAAAACTCACAGTTCGAAAACTCTTCAATACATTGTCCACCTTCATTCCCGCCATATTATTCACCTTCATCCCGTTCTTTGGCTGCGATGGGATATCTGTTGTTATTCTTATTTGTGTCTGCTGTATGTTCAAATCTGGTCATTATGCTTCTGTTAACGTCAACCATTCTGATTTGGCTCCTCCATTTACCGGGTAAGAATAAAAAAATAACCAATTTTTTATCTCTTTCAAGGCTTCTATTTGGAATTACAAACATGTTCGCGAATGTTCCTGGAATTCTAGCTCCGATGCTAGTAGGCTCCTTTACGAAAGAAGAGTCTACGATCTTCACATGGTCTCGTGTCTGGTACGTTTCCGCCGCAATTTATACTTTTGGAGCTCTGTTCTATCTTGTCTTTGGGAAAGCGGAAGTCCAGCCATGGGCGAGGAAAAAGCAAAGAACATCTACAAATTCCGAATCGGAGGAGTCCGACGATACAAATCAAAATGACAGGCAACCACTTCTTGCTTCTGCATAATTCATACTTTCAATAAAAGCCATTCATGAATTCGAAATTGAACCTCGCCCTTGACTAGGAGCAATTGATTTCTGTGGTACTACATTTTTGTTTTATTGGCGCAAAATTGCTAATTATAAGTAGCAAAAGAAATGAAAAGAAAAGCACACAAGTAAAATCGAATTGTATATTATCTTTGAAATAAGCTCCTCGGTTTCAGCAGTTGAACAGACTCAGACAGGCTAATCGGTACTCTATGTATTCTAGCACTCTAGTACGACGTCTTCTCTGCTTGTAGGCTTTTCGTCAGTTGGAAGAGCTTCGTGTTCGTTATTTGTTGTCAGGCCGTGTTGTACGAATCGTCCGTATCCTTTTTTACCACATTAGTACGTATTCGACTAGGAATTTCTTACCTATCAGCATAAGGATTGCAGTAACAATAACCCCGTGTCCATACTCGCATTGACTCGACCAAACGAAAATCAAGCCATAATGAACACAATCGAAAACGTACTGGATTCCATTTTGCGCTCCAGACACTTTGCCTCGCTAAATATTCGTTATGAATTAACAAAGAGCTTTGAGAGATACCTTATCCACATCAACCCATTCTTGAAACATTTGATTAACTGCGAGATCAAACGTCCACAGACCGACTCTTGACAAGGCGCAGGCAAAGAGCATCAACAGAATGCTCAACAGATTATCAGGAGGCGTGCAAGGAGTTGTAAAGTCGGTGATCCAGTTATCATCAGTTGTTGGCTTGAATTCGTACTCAGCGAGGGCTGTTTCGTTGAGCTAGATTTCAATGACCATTTGGCACAGCTTGAAAGATATTTACTTGTTGAGGACATTGGTCAGCAGACGAAACGCCGAGGTAGAACATGTACATACTTCCAGGTACGAAAAGCCCAACAACGGTAATAATCACGAATGAAAAATGAAGAATAGCGCCAAGGATAGCCACTTTTGTCAGTCCATAGCTTTTAACCCATGATTCGTACCAAATAGTTGCTTCAAGTAAATGTTAAGGGACACAATAAAGGCGGATTAATATGAGTTTCATATAGAGAAATATAAAATGCGTACATGAAAAACCACAAAAACCGGCAATAATCCAAATGATGGCAATAAAAGTCGTACTCACGCAGTGGCTAGTACTGTAAGCTTGAGCAAGGTAAGATAGTTGGAAGATGTTGGAATACAAAATCGCCAGAGCAAGGCCAGGTAAGAATACGGGGGAGGTGTACCAGTGAGAGTAAGCTGTGATCCAATCAGCCATCCCACTATAAGATTAGTTAGCGTCGAAGTATTTGCTTGCTTTACCTTTCATCTTGTTCTTTCGGAGTCTCCTTCTCCGAAAGCGAGGGGAAGAAATTATAAATCTTCTTCATAAAATAATATTCAACGAAAACGGATAAAATATTCCACACGGCAATCGCAATGCCTCCGACCCAAGGGCTGATATGATCAATCGCCAGTGAAGCAATAACCGGACCTGCCAGCATCGCAAACTGGTCGATTCTTCGCACCCAAGCATTGACCGATGTAAGAGCTAGAATTATGACAGTCGTAAAAAGAGTAACTCAAAAGAAGCGTTTGTTTACCATCTCCTCTGAAGATTTCCGGAACCCAATCTCTGTCAATACAGATTTGGTGTCCGATCGATGCAACCATCGCGATGCATGAGAAAAGCGTGACTGTTGCGATTGAAACGTATTCTAACGTTGAAGATTTCTCGAAATCAAACGGCCAGAGGATGCACAATGTTTCTACTGTTGCTGCCACAGCTGAGTAAAAGCATAAAAAATCGAAAAGCCGAGAAATTGAAGTCTTACCAACTGAGAAATTCTGAACTATCAAACAAGTAGTCGCTGCTGTCAGCCTTTTTGATCTATCAATCCAACCTCCAATCCAAGAGGAACAAATGGCGGTACTTATCGCAATTGAGAGACCAAAAAGGCCACCAAGAACCATTCGCAAATCGGGAAAAGCCTTTGCTAATAGCAAATATGCGGCAAATGTCCACATTCGATCACCCAATTTGGAAAACAGCGATAACGTGAGGAACCACTTCTTTGGAGCATCGTTTTTCAACTGATTAGCAGAGGACGATTCTAGTGCGTCTCTCTCGCTCGATTTCTCTGAGATCAGCATTGTGGGTGTCAAACAGATGTTGGTTTTTGTCGTTTACGAAATATTGGGCGAAGGTCGAGGCGATGCAGCGGAGCCACTACTAAGCAGATAGATTAGGACGAATCCACATGTCTATCAGAGAAAAACATTATCTGAGTCACTTTTCGAATGACTGGAGTATTTGAAAGCATGCAAAGCCAGATTCAGAGCGAAAATCAAGCTCATCTCGTGATTTTCTATAATCCAATTAGTTACAATTTAAAGTTTAAAAGAGACTTAATCAGCAGAATGCTAATTAATCAGACGACTTAAAATACTTGGAGAATAAATGAATATTTTTACCTATTTAACCATTATAAAAAGACTAAAACACCAAACTAGTGTAAAAGCACACTTGTTTAACCGCATCGTCTTTACCAGAATACATTCTAGAATGTACCTGAAACTCTGTCAGTGAGTTAGCTCTGATCCAACAACGCGTCGATCTCTAAAATTCCTTCTTAATCTCTCGTGTGTTTAGTAGATGAACACATGTTTTGGCAGATGGAGCTTCGGCAGGAAGTCATGAGAGAAAAGCATAACAGGCCTCTGGCTATTATTTTGAATAGAAGTGCAAAAAAACATCAAAATACATTGATATATATAGCAACTGAGAAGGAAAGAAGTCCAAGGCAAAACATAAAAATCTCGGTTTTTGAACGACCAGTGGGAACAAATCCGGAGCCAAAGTAGTTGCACCAGGCATGAGCTAAGATGGGCGAGAGGAGACTTCCGTATTTGAAAAACAGGAAGCACGAAAGTCCCCCGAAGATGCCTGTATAAACAGTTCTACGTAGTATTTGTTATCGATAAAACTCTCTTTGTTGAAAAGTTACCTGAAAAGGGCAGTACTCAATGCGCTCGCGAAACCATACGCTGGGATTTCGTGAAGTAAGTGGTGCAAATGAGCTAAAATGGAAGAAAATAGAGATGCATTCTAGCCATAAAATGTTCATTTACTTTTAACACAACGTAATGAAAGTAAAGACTTACGTAAGCTAAACAGGGTCAAAGCAAACAAGGTGGTGGAGGATTGACTGTAATGTATCGACATTCGAGTGATGATGATCGAGCGGAAGAGTATTTCTTCAATTATCGGAGCGCAGATGAGCGTTCTTATTTCTATATTGATAACAAAGAGATTTCGGGGGCATACTTGATCTCCAGCGCAGTACTTTGTGTCTCAGGCAGACCGGTGTACGTGAGGCAATTGTAAATCGGCCCGATGTACAACAATATCATGAGCGTCATCGTTTTCCACGAAACTTCAAAATGTTGCTCAAGTCCATACTCGAATCCACTCGGGAAGCCCGAAGATTTGTTCCAGTACAAGTAGATAGCTGTTATTATGAGACTGACGCTGACGCGTTTGAAGATGATATCCGGCTCATCCTTAGATCGGTCGCTGGGAGTGACGATATTGACGAAAAAGACGAGTACGAGAGGGATCGAAACACAGAAAAGCAAGTCCGATGTCAGATTGTCTATCATAATAATCGAGTACTACGATATTGATCTGAAATGATAGACTTGAGATTATGTTCAGACATCGATATTGCAGAAAAGGGTCTAAAATGATCCAGTTTTCAAAATGGCAAATTCATTCTCAAACGAGGCAATGTGCTTCCTCCATCGAATGACATTCGAAAATCCTTCCATGTTCAGATTCATCGTCATTTTATATGCTTCTGCGTCCAATTTTGTGCATGCCTGGGATGCATCCATGTATGACTTGTCTTGCAGATAGTCATCGAGCTTTTTCAAATTCTCTTCATTTTCAAATTTGCCAAATTTTGACAGGATAAGTTTTTCCTCCACTGAAGATTGCTCTCCTTTTCCTTGGCTGCTTTTGCTAGATTTCAGTAAAGAAGAAATTCTTTCTTGATGCCGATTAGTACACAACACAAAACTCACACATCATGTTAGGACTCTTGTTAGATTATCCCATCCACCCATATTTATTAGTTTCATGACAGAAAATATAAATGCTCTTTTTAGTAACGGGACAACACAATTTCACTTGAACGAATATTTATTTACTTCTTTCCCTTGCTCTTCTTCTCGGCAGCTTTTCTCGCCTCGACCTCGATAGGGGCCTCCTTGACGAATGGGAGGAATTCCTTCCATTTGGCGGGCATGTAAGGCCGGAGAGCTTCTGGCACTCTAACACCATCTTGTTCCTGGAAGGTTTCCAGAATCACACACATCACACGAGTAGTCGCGCACATGGTAGCTAGATAAAGATCTTTCTCTTGATCAAAGAACAAAAACATACCATTCAACATATGGACATAATCCTGCTTCTTGTTCACTTGCTTAGTTTCTCCATATCTAATGTTCAAATTTCTCGCTTGGTAGTCAAGACAATTCGAGCAGGAGACCAACTCTCTGAAAGCGCCCGAGCCAGGGAACCACGCTTCCAAGTCATATTTTTTCGCTGCGGCAAGGTTCAATGCTCCAGAGCAAATATTCACTATCGAATAAAGGTCACTTTTGATTGGAAAATTTTCACTCACCGATTCTGTAACCGATGCCGATTTCTTTATAGAGGTTTTCAGCCATTGTAATCATTTTTTCTAATTCATCCCAAGATGTGTTATCATGAGGAGAGCAGAAAGTGAACTGCTCGACTTTTTGGAACTGCTTCACGCGGAAAATTCCGGTAGTATCTCGACCATGAGAGCCAACTTCTTGTCGGAAGCAGTAAGAAAGTCCAGCGTACTAAATTTGACAATGAAAAAGGCTTAAGCAATAGAATATTACCTTGATTGGGAGGCGTTCGGGCTTAATACCTTCATCGTAATGAAAAGCAGCAATAGGCTGTTCCGAAGTAGCAATTAAATATTGCTCGGAAACTGAGTTGTCTTCAGGATTTTCAGAACCCTTTCCAACAACTTTATAAAGCTCATCGTCGAACTGGCTGAGCTGAGCGACCTTCTGCATCATTTCTATGAGAAATGTCATTTTCTGAAATCAACGATGACAGTACCTTTTCGCATGAAAAACGGGGTGGCGAGCATTTCATAGTTGCCTTCAAGAAGATGTTTTTGCGCGAGCTGGATGATAGCCTGCTCGAGGAAGACCAAGGGGCCTTTCAAGAAATATCCACGGCTACCGGCAATGGTAGAGCCTCGCTCAAGATCAACACCGTCGATCATCTGGACCAGATCGACGTGAGAGTATTTCTTTCTCGCCTCGACCTCTCCAACAAGACGGACAATAGCATTGTCCGCATCTTCATCATTAGAGATTGGGACATCGGGGCCAAGAAGATTACCAACAGCACCAAGTGCGCTGTTTCGCTCTTTTAGGAGAGCTTCGGACTTTGCCTGAGTCTCGGGGATGAGCTTTCCAATTTGCTCAACAAGGCCTTTGATCTGTGTGACGGTGAGTCCGTTGATGACCTCTTCAGCGGCTTTGTTTTCCTTATCCATAAGGCTAAGAGCGGAAAGTCCTATAATTTCATCGAACAAAGTGGCAGTAGAAATTTACGCACCTTCTTCGAGATCAGCAGTATCGCCTTTCGGTTCCTTGGCTTTCATTTTCTTGCCAATTGTCTTTGAGCACAGATTCTTGACGAACTTGGTGCGCTCGAGAACGAACTGCTCTTTTCTCCATTGATTGTCAATGTCGACGATCTTCTGGACAACTTCGACGTTCTAAAAATCGGTAATATAGTGCTGAGAATTGAAAAGGCCAACCTTGAATCGGTCTTGCTGGAGCTTGCGCATAGCATCAGGGCTGCCGCCTTCCTCTGCTCGGAATGAAGAAATATCCAGAACCATTCTGCAAGAAATAATCGTTACGCGACGCAAAGGATTTAAAGTGGCACGCAGCATTCTAGCATACTTGGCCGGGTTGAGAATCTACAGTAGAAAATATCCTTCGAAAGGCGTGATTGAAGAAATGGTTAAAAATTGAACTAAGAATGTCGAGGGCATATGAAATTGCACGGGAAGAGAAATACTACAGCTAACACCACCTAGTGTAGTAGAGTAAATTTGTCTAGAACAAGTCGTAGAAGTAGTCAAGTCCTTGGCCGACTTCCCAAATTGAAAGACCGACTCCGAGCTTTTTGGCGAGCTCGATTTTCAGATGAATTGAGTACAATGATGGGTAGATGAGAAGAGATTGCGTTCCCGAGTCGGGGTCAGAAAAGAAGGAGAAGTGTTCCTAAAGAAGATTAGACGGAATAAATCTTATTCCAAAAACCTTCGCTTCCGAGTTCATTGTGATAGATTCATCTTCGGATACTCCTCCACTACCTACGACTTTTTCGCCGAGGATCTTTATGTATTCATGTCCAAGAATAGCTGCAGCCTCTAAAATTGGGCTAAAGAGACTTCATCACTACAGAGTCTAGACTCTAGAGGAAATTGACTCACGGCGAGGATTCTGTAAATCAGGGAAGTATCTGCCATAGAAATTCAAGCCCATGAGAATTTTCTGTCTCTCTGAATCGCCCAAAAACTCCACACAAGATTCCGCCCACGGAAGTGGTGCATTGAATCCGCCCAATCTTCCGTTGTAATCATAAGTCATCAGAGAAAAGAAATCGATATCATCCTTGAGTATGTCAAATTCAGTCTGAGTAAATTGTGCTGTTCGAAGTGGATTTTCATGATTTGGCGGGATGACGAGAATCGTTAGTTTGTGATGTTTGTGAAATTTTTCGCCAATATGTGTCATTAGATGAACAGCATCGTCGACCAAAGGACGAGTGAGAACTTGTTGAACATTTTGACGACATCATATCCATGATTGTTCCAAGGCGTTACATACGCGAGCGTGTGCCCTTCAAAGTTCTTCTTTTTCATATCTTTCGTCGAATACGCCTTGTAGTTTTCCAATACTTCACCGTATGTCATCGATTCTCTAACAAGATTTCGCTCATAAACAGTTTTTGCTACTGGTTCGATTGCTTCAATCGAGTGCGCTACCCAAGGTTCTTTTTCATCCGCAAAATCATCGAAGTCGTCGTCATCGGCGACCGACTTTTTCTTCGGAGGTGAAAGCGTCCCTGTAACAAAAGCGAATAACAGAACAACTAACAATTTCATTCTGAATGATAACACATTTAATGTTTCAGATGAAAAAGTTCGGAGGACATTCTATTTAGCCTTCAACAAACAGTTCATCAACCATCAAACATTTCGGTTTATCAATCGCAAGTGGATATTCTTCGTTCTTCTGTCCATCAAGTACCTTTTGCGTCATCGTCATATACGTTACGTCTGTCGGAATTGGGTCATTAACCCGGCCAAGTGAGGTAGTTATTTCTATAAAATGCTGCTTGGAAATAATGAAACAGAGTTATCTTACGAGAGGCCAATCTTTTCACTTCTGGAACAAAATGCTTTCTCAGCGATTCAAGCTCCCACAAACAGCTTTCTGCCGCTCTTGAATCTTCAACATTTTCAGCTGTGTGATCATAAGGATCTTTTTCTACTTCAGCTGCAGTTGGTCTATTAATGAGCAATCGCAAGGACTGACTGCTGCGAATGAGGTTGTAAATAACCGGCATGATGCCAATCGCGACTGGGGCTGGAGCGTGTAGTGCTAGTCGCGAGAGTCTTTTACAGAAGGCATACTAATGATTCCTTAGAAAATATTGAAACTCGGATTGTGCTGACCTGATAGGAGACGGGAAGCTTTGGAGACTGCAAGAACATATTTATCATATGCAGAACTTGGACTCTATTTGCAGCATAGACAACATCATCGGATAAAAGTCGATAAACCTTCTGGAAAAAGTCTGGATACTCAAAATTGTACGCTAGAAAATTGTGAATAACTAATCACCCAAATTAAAAATTACTGCTAACAAGAGTAAAGATGCCACTCAAAGCCAAAAATGCAATCGACGAGTTCGGAGAGTCGTAGCAAGCAACAATGTAGTCTGCGATCAAGAGGGGATTCGAGAGCATCGGAAGAATTACGCTCATTTTGACAAGTATTCTTTTGGTCAGATTGTCTGTGAGTTGCCGTCGAAGAAAGGCAGTGACAAAAGCTTGGACGGCTGTTTTGAGAGACTGAATATCAGTTAAATTTTGGCATTGAAAGACAAGTTACTTTAGTACTGATGGAGGAGCGAGAAGACATATTCATATCTGGCGTGACTTCTTCTGGAAACACGTCCGCAATGGCTTGGAGGAAATACAACACATTACCCGCCAAGATATCGTTTCTATCTTTGTAATTGTCCATAAGGTCCGTCATTTTTCTCAGTACTTCTATGACAAAATCGGGGTGGATAAAGTACTCGGAGAACTTCTCGATCTCTTCGGTTCTGTCGTCTTCAAAGCTGCACAGATGGACCGCTACTTTTCGGATGATTTTTCCTGTTTCAATATGTTTTGTTCTTGTTTCCAGCTCCAATTTATACAGTCGTATTAAACAAGGGAACATAATGTCTTTCGCCTGAGTTATACTGTATAAATTCTACAAATAAGTTTCTAATAGTATATTCAAAAGTGATCATGTTTAACTCTTTCCTGTGAAGGGATCCTAGCTTCTGCTGAATCTCCCACTTCTAGCGTAGTTTGCCTGCTCTCTATATCTGGACGAGTGAAGAAAACGAGTAAAGTATCTTTGACGTCTGTATTTCGAGCTGGAGTAAAATAGAGGTTAATTCACGAACTGCGTGAATTACCGAATGGAGAGAAATACACGGCGGCGACCGAGCAAAGCTCGATCTAGATAAGCAAGTGACCTTAGGGGACGAGGGAGTCTAACGAATCTAAGATCCCAATACCCCCCATGAGACTGAAACGTCCTCTAAGGCCAAAGTGTGTGATTTTTGCAGGAGTATAAGCGTAAGATGAGTAACATGGCAGGTTCGAAACGTCGAGGCAGTCTGATTCGCGTTAAAAAACCCTTTTTTGGGAAAAAGCTTGAATCAGATGCGAAGTTTTCGTGATGTCCGAGCGGTGATGACATGAAGGAGTAGCTGCACATGTAGAAGAACTCAAAATACGTCGGCGACGGTAAACTGTGATAATTTCCGTACCTTTTCAGGCCCCGGTCGATGAATAGGGGACCTGAGTGGGGCAGTACTTGCGCTTAGTCGTATGACTGACCCGAGTTTGTGCCGATGTTTAGAGGTTCGACGGGCCTCGTTTCACGGTGTGCTCGTTTTGTATGTTTCGGGAGATGAGCTGCTCCAACTTCGGTTAAAGTCGCATTCGGATCGGCGCCGGCTGAGTATTGACGATCTGGTGAAGACTTTGGACGGGTTCTTTTCTTGCTGTTTTCAGTTGCTGAGCCCTCAACTACTGTTGAATTTTGTTTATCGACTGACATATGGCTATTGTCGGGCGCAGCAACCTCCGAAATCACTGTAGCATCAGCTGACATGTCCTCGGCAGTTTCATAAAGAGTACCACCAGAGTACCAGCGATCTGACGGCTCGGCTGGAGCTACCGACGAGTCCAAAATAGATGTAGCGGTTGTATCTCCCAGATTTTCCATGTCCAATCGGCGTCTACTTTCCAAAATAGGTGATAGAGATGATCTTGGCGGTTTTTCCATAGCAACCATCGGAGTCGACGCGACCTGAGAAGATTTCCTCCCCCCATGCGACTTCGACCCGGACTTTTCCATCGGTTTGGAAGTAGGAACAGGCGATTTTTGTGGGACTTTCGACTTAACGATTTCGGTTAAATGTGGGAATACGTACTCGGCCTCGTAGTAATCAATCCAGCGTAAGTCGTGATTTCGTTCTGCGGCGTGAACCACGTGTTCTCGATGGATGAAATCACGTTGTCCTTTTTTATCTTCGACCATGACGACCCAGTCGTTGCTCGAAACGGCTTTCAGGGGACCTACCCAGCGTTCCTTCTTGCTTTTAGCGTCGGTCAGGTTTTCTCGCTTAATGTACACGACAGCGCCAGCGGGGATTGGTCTCGGCTTAGGCTCGTTTTTCAGCCTGTGCTCCATGGCTCGGTCAGCAGCTTCCATCGCAGTTTTCACAATGGCTTCCGCCGATTTCGCTAAAGCTCCAACATTGAGACCAAACACCTGAGGTGTTTCCGCTGTCATTTCTGCGCCAGTAGAGTGGGTGAAAGTACTTTTTCGGCCAAACCAAACTTCTCGCGGTGAAATTTTCGTGCTTTTGTTTTTCACACTATTGAGCGCGCGCATCACGTGGGGAACGCAGTCGGCCCAAGTTTTTCGACCGGAAGATGAGTTGACCATGCAGAATAGACTGTTTTTGATAGTCCGATTCGCTCTTTCTGCGAAAGCGTTTGATTGAGGGTGAAATGCGGTACTTATTGTATGTTTTATCTGGTTAAGCTTACACATTTCGTCAATCACGCTTGCGCAGAAGTGGGTACCTCTGTCACTGTGTAGATGTTTCGGCAAGAAATCCATGGGAAGGAAGACCTTGTAGATGAGCGCTTTTGCAGCGCAGATAGCAGTGTCGGACCGCGTCGGAATGCACCAAGTGTAGCGAGAGAAAGTGTCCGCCACCACCAAATAATACTTGAATCCGCCAGCGGGAGGCATACAAGCGAAATCGATCTGAATCGATTCGCCAGCTGTTTTTCCACGACGAAGGGTTCCAAGTGGCGGTTTGGTACGAGTTCCAGCAGATCCTTTTCTGCGTAGGCAAGGGACGCAGCTGTGGACGTAGTTAGAAACATCGTCTTGAAATGAAGGCCACCAAACGTCCTCTAATCGCTCTAAAGTCCGCGGCTCGCCCAGATGACCGGACAAGTCGTGAGCTAGAAAGAGAAAGTGACTTTTTACCGCTTCCGGTACCACCGCCCGCGCGCCAGATTTGAATTGACACATCAAGCACCCGGTAGTGTTATCCAGGAACAGAGCTTTTTCCATCTTGAGTAGAGACGATTGTCGGTGGTCGGAGTCCTTCACCAGCGATTTTATGTCCAGTGGCTCCTTACCAGATTCCAGAAAAGTGATGATTGCACTCAGAGCAGAGTCCTCCCTTTGATAGTCCAGAATGTTATTATAATTCGCTGACACCAACGGAATCTCCATTGGCGCCGCGATAGCCTTGACGTTTACCTTATGTATCTTCACCTCTGATAAAGTGATTTTCTCCGGAAACTGATTTTCGTTCCAGAAAGGGACGAAGACACGTACTGGTGAATTCTTGTCGATTTCGTACTCGCGACCAACGGGAAACTCAGAGTCGTATCCAAGTGATTTGTCGTCCTCGCCAGGTCTGCGGCTCATAAAATCGGCGAATTGATTTTCTGATCCCTTGATGTAGACAATGTGAAAATCGAATTCTTCCAATCGGCTTTGCCATCGGCTTATTTTAGAATTCTTGAACTTCTTTTTGTGTAGGAAGATCAAAGATCTGTGGTCTGTGTGAATCTGAAAGAATCTACCTTTCAGGAGCTTTTCCAGTCGCTCGCAGCACCAGACAATGCTAAACATTTCCTTTTCTGAAGTGTTCCATTTTCTTTCAGCTTTGTTGAAGGTGTGGGAAATCGCGCTTACTAGGTGCACTCTCCCGCCATACTCTTGTAGCAGAACACCACCCGCTGCGTACAGGCTCGCGTCTGTGTAGAGGTGAAAAGACTCGTCAAAGTTAGGAAAGCTTATGACAGGAGTCTCGGAGAGTCGTCGTTGAATTTCCTTGAGCGCCAAATCCGCTTCTTTGGTCCACTTGAAACAATTTGTTTCGTTCGCCGAATTTCGAACATCGTTTATGGGTTTCATTCTGCTCGAGAAGCAACCGGATGAAATAGCTTCGCCCATTTTTGTTTCTAGAAAACCTCGGATCCAATTCAATGACCCGATTAATGAAGCTAACTCCTTTTGGGAGCGTGGGGGTTTCATCTGACGAAGGGCGGAGACTTGCGCAGGGTCCGGTTTGATTCCTTCTTCGTTGATGATTCGGCCCAAAAAGTGAGCTTCTGATTGTAGGAAAGAGCACTTTTCGCCCTTGAGTTTAGCGTTAAACTTGCGGAGCGCGATGAATAGGTTTCGGAGAGTGTTGTAATAGCAGCTGAAAGACTTCCCAAAACATACTATGTCATCGATATAAGAAAGCATCTTCTTCCTGGTGGGGCTTGAGTCGAGAATCGTGTTTACGACGCGCGAGAATATATTCCCCGAGCATCGATAACCGAAAGGTAATCTGCAGAAGGCGTAAGATTTCCCACCCCACTGGAAGGAAGTCTTATACCTATCGCTTTTCTTAATAGGGCACTGCCAATATCCGCTCCGCAAATCAACTGTGGCGAAATACTTGTTGCCCGGTCCAATGTTCGCGATCGTATCCTCCATGCTCGGAAGATGATATGGGTCGGATTTGTCGGAGAGGCATTTGTTCAAGCTGTTCTTGTAGTTGATGCAGAAGCGCATTTCCCCAGATTTCTTAGGGATTGGCAGAACGGGGCTATTAAACCCTTTCTGGTCCTTGATCTCTTCTATTATTTTCGTATCGAGCAGTTCGGAGATGTGATCAGTGACCTGGCCATGAAAAGCTTGCGGAATAGGGTGTTGACTGATGTTTCGACTCGTACCATCAGTCGGGATTTCGATCTCGAATGGGAATTCACCCATTTTTTGACCGTCGCAGCCGAATCTGTCGTCGAAATCCAAACACAGCTCGGCGACCACCTTCTTTTGCCCCGGGTCGGCGTTTGCTGGTAGGGTAATTCCGAGTTTTTGCTTCGCTAGCTGAATGGGGCACCTGGCTGCGTTCTTGTTAGGTGCGTCCAGCTTTGGGACTTTTGGTGGCGGTTGAGTGCGGGATCGATCGCTATCCTTGACCGCTGATCTAGTAGTCAAGTATTTCTTGATTTTGGTCCGCTTCACTCCGTCCAGCTTCACCACTTGAGTCTCAGTTTGTGTGAAGGCTTCGTTGTAGCAAAATGAGAGAGTACGATTCTTATTGTCGACTGTGAAGCTGTCCGTCATCGCATTCTCTAGTATATCGCGGCCCAGTAGACTTGGGTATTTACTGCCTGGCATAATGGTGAGATTCAGGGAGAATGCAGGGCCACCATTGAATGATAAGCGGCAGGGAAGGATACCCATCGGCTGCTCGGCGGGAATATTTGGGCTGAAACCGGTGACCTTGAAGGGACAGGGCTTCAGCATCTGGAGAAATTCGTCGGGAACGTAAGCAGCGGACAGACAGGAGGACTCGGCTCCGCTGTCGACTTCCATCGATACGTCAAAACTTTTAGAGCCCGTAATGATGGTAGCCGAAGCGAAATAAGCCTTTCCTGGTCGCTTCTTCTTCACTGTGTAAAAGTGAACGTCGAATGGTTGGAAATCTTCAACGTTCTTAGTCGTATTTATCTTCTTGGATTCTGGTTGTTTATCGTCTTTCCCATCCTTAGAATCGTTGCTGGCGCGCTTAGCATTCTTCTTCTTTTGTTCTTATTTCTGTTGAAGTGCTGGGAGACGGTCGCGCTGTCAACTCGATTCTGTCTTGTGGATTGGGCGAGACGGCAGAGTTCGTTGATATCGTAAACTTTTGATAGGCTTGGAAGGATTGCGTTGAAAACGTCTGGTTCTTCTTTCCTAAGATTCAAGTACAGCATCATCGTCGAGAATATGTCAAATATTTCATCGACCCCGGCGTCGGCTGACTTCTCTTGTCGGTAAGAGTTCAAAGTCGCTTGCTTCGCCTCGTTCATCTTTTGCAAGACGTTGGCGGTGTAGTGTGCAAACGGCTTCGAATGGTCGTATTCGACGTCGAAAACTTCGCTTAGCTTCAGTAAGTAGTGACTCTTCGCGGCGAATGATTTCTCTAGCAGCGCCTTGGCCGATTTCCAGTCTTGACAATTCAGAAATTCGGTTCCAAGTGAGCGTTCGATGTTCAAGTCGAAGTGGCTGTACACTGCTGCGATGAAAGGCTGTTCACGTGAAGGTCTGTCGCGGACGTAGGCGCGGTGATAAATGTCGGCTCTGCCCAAGAAGGTGTTGAAAGATGTGTTGCATGCGGCGTCCAGCTTCGGCAAGTCTTGGACGTGACGAGACCAGGTAGTGGCCACCCATGCTTCTTCTCTCATTGTCGCATTCGTAGAGTCTTTTCCTTGATCGAGCTCGCAGGTAAGAAGCGTTGTACTGAGCTGTTCTAATTTTACTCTGCTTTCTGTGATCAAGGGCTCTAGGCTTGGCTTTAGTGATTCGTCATTTCGCACTTGTTCTTCGAGGTAGTTTACTCGATCGTTTATGCTTCTTATTTCGGTGACGGTTTCTAGCAGTGATTTGTTCGCCGCCATAGCTCGAAATATATCGGCAGTAAGGGTTTATGGGCCTTGGATTACCTTTCAGGCCCTCAGAAAATACTGCGACTAAAAGTCGCAATATGATGAGCTGAGGTGCCTTTTGCGCAAACGCCCGACGATTTCTCTGTCCAGCGATTGTCGAAATTTCAAGGTCTGGTCCAAGGGTCGATTCTTCGTAAACTTCTCTCGATTTTTGGTGAAAAGTGGCGAAAGAATTATGTTTTTCTCAGTATTTTAGGTTTTCCCCGGCGTGCGTGCGTGGTTGCGTGGGCGCGACTTTCGGCGCGTGGGTCGTGGTGGCGCTCGTGCGGTGGCGCTCGCTCGGGGTGGTGTTGGTGTGGTGCGGAAAATTCTCTGAGTGGAGTTTCTCCGGCGGCGCGGTGGCGGTTGGTGATTCGGTTCCCCTCGACTCCGCTGACGGCCAATCAGCGTCCAAGTTGCGAAACTTCGGTTGTCGATGGCGGAAAAATTTATCTTTTCTCCAACGGGACTACTCTGATACCACTGAAGGGATCCTAGCTTCTGCTGAATCTCCCACTTCTAGCGTAGTTTGCCTGCTCTCTATATCTGGACGAGTGAAGAAAACGAGTAAAGTATCTTTGACGTCTGTATTTCGAGCTGGAGTAAAATAGAGGTTAATTCACGAACTGCGTGAATTACCGAATGGAGAGAAATACACGGCGGCGACCGAGCAAAGCTCGATCTAGATAAGCAAGTGACCTTAGGGGACGAGGGAGTCTAACGAATCTAAGATCCCAATACCTGAGTAGTCTTCAATAGATGCTTTTTGGCATAGAACTCCAATGAATGCTTTGATTTGCTTGGCAATCCATTCTCCATACTTTTTCTTCGACTCAACTTGCGAGCTTTTCATAAAACCGTCATCTATCTGCTGAAGGAACCACTTTTCGATGGCGCCCACAGTAAAGAATAGCTCTTCTTCGTCGAGATCATCTGTTTGGATAAACCTTTTGAGAGATCAATTATTTGATAATGACAGCAGTTTTGTCAGCATTTCGAACTATTCCTGAGAAGATCACACAAAACATTTGCATTCTTTCTGTCCGATAAGAGCTTCGTCACAAGTCCCGCAACATCAATCTCGTCTTCTGCTTCTTGCTCGTTTTCGTTCTGTGGCCTCAAAGAAGTAGGCTTTCGCGGTTTTGTTTCGATGCTGGAATCACTGTCTGACATTCTTATGATAATCATGATGTTTCTCAGGAATATGTTGTTGATTTTTATTTATTTTGAATGTTGGAAAGCAGGAAAACAAAAAGAAGTGAACTTAGAAATTGATAAAGTCACATTTGAGTCATTTTTTCCTTCCAAAAATATTTTTTTGGGCCGAAGACTCATTTAAAATAGAACTTTCTTCGGTAGATATCTTTCTGAGAATATACAACTTTACTTTTGCGCCTAAACTATCTGATAGTATAAAGGTTCTTTGTATAAAAATAATAGAAATCGATTTAAACTTTAAATTTTGTATAAAAATAAGACTCTACTCTATCAGACGGCTTTTAATCAATGATGATATCAGATGCAAGGAGATATTAAGATAGTAGACAACGAACTTCGTTGAACGAAGGTGAAAGATAAAATGTTGAAGATGCTCCTGCAGAGAGCGTTTTGATTTATTTGGGTTGGTTTTCTCCTCTCGAGAGAGTCTTGCTTTTAGATTACTCTCAAATGGCCTTCAGCAGGAGCAGACGAATGTGCCGATAGCAGCAGGATTTTACAAAAGAAATACAATAAATATATGAGGGGAAAAACGAGCTTTGACGAAGCATTGCAAAAATTGGGGTCTTTCATTATCACGGTCAATTTACTAGACCAAACCCAGGCACAATGACTGGAGTTTAATATGACTGTGGTAAGGAAAACTTATGCAATAGTATTGGAGCAATACAATTTAAAAAATACAGATGAATTAGTAGAGGGTCGAAATTCTGCCAAGGCAGGTTTTTGAAACTGAATAATGAGACTTTGGAAGGTTAGGGTCGATAACAGTAACAGTCGAAAATTAAAAGTTATTTACAAAAATCTTATATGATAATTTTACAGGAATACTAAAAGGCGTCAGCATCAGCAAAGAATTCAACAATATCAATCGGGTCTTCCTCATCTTCGGAGAATTGTTCTTTGAAACTGAAAAAAACTTGAGTGATTCTTTCGTTCGAGTTTTGAGCCTTACAGTTTGAGTTTTTGTTTTCCTTTGATATTCTCGGGCAAATTGCGTCTATTTTTCTCCGTGATGCGTAGAAGAGCTCGTTGACATTCTTCGACGTTGTTTTCCATGACTCTTTGCGCGACGTTTTGAGGAAATCCAAAGCTTTTAACCTCGCGTTTGAAGTTTAGCCAGGGCTCTACCCAGCACTTGATGAAGTCGATGTCTGGCTCTCCGTCTTCTTGCTTCATTTTTCTCAAAACCTCCTGCTGCGTCGCTGGAGGAACGACTGGAACTAGGGCGGATTGGGACGGGTCACATAAGATAAGCGAAGAATCATTGAAAAAACTGGTCGAGGGTCGATCTTCTGTTGGAGTCGTGGGCTCCTCTTTGACTTCTTCCATTTTGATCTCTTTGCGCATTTGCTCCGTCATCAAACGCAGCTCGGCGACGGGCTTACGCGGATTATGCATGTAAGTATTTCTGACATTGTAAGAAGCGGTAGGGTCTAATCTTTCGAGGGGAATCGTCAAGGTGTCTTTCGGGCAGAGATTTATAGGGTCAGTGTTATCTGCTGGTGGAGCCAAGGCGGCATTATTCTCTTCTTCAATTTCTTTCTTGACTTTTTTGATCTCTTCCGCCATTTGGGCTTTCGTCGGGCGCGCCCGTTTCGTCCGCCCCTTTCTCCCTCGTTTCAGCGGCTTTCTGTCGATTCTATAAAAAAAAGTTATCGACGAAAACAAGACTGCGGGTACGTTTCATTGTCATTTTTATCCGGCTTGGTTTTTCGTATAAGATCTGCATGGACAACTTCATCGTGTGACTTGTTCCAGCCGATGTAATGCACAAGGTAGGTGTTTTCTTCGCGATCGACCACATTCCATGGCTAAAAATGAAGTAAAAATGAAATAAGGTCATCAAAACTTACGTCAAGGATTTTCGCGCCGTACCAGACCCCTTCTGAGTATTTGACGAACACTTTCTCCCCAATCGAGTACGACATTTTCTGAAATTGAATATTTTAAGCATCAGAAATAAAAATTCTCTAGTGATAAAAGGCGCACTGTCAAGTTCTCCGACAGAAAAATGACTAAATAAGAAACGCAAGCTCTAATACGCTGTTCTCAACGTTTTCGAGGATTTTTTATCGGGATATTGAGAATTTTCAAAAATAAGCCGTGATTTTCTAGGTCCATCCTCAGACAAGTGTTTGTTTTTGAAAATGGTCATTTCTGAAAATCGAGAGCACCGATCACCCGCCAAGCTGGAGAATTCTACTGTCTACATGAGCACGAACTTTGCGACCATCAACACGTTAAGTAATTACAAGAATCAAGGCACGGGCTTACAGTAATTTTACAGTAGTTTCATGGGAAAAATCTCTCAACAAATAAGAATTATAAGCAAAATTGAGGATCAACCCCTTGGGATCGCGATTATTAAGCCAATCAGCTTCCATAGCGTGTCAATCAAATGCTCTTCCATAATTCTCGCAAAAAATAGCCTTTCAAAGTGGCCTTTAGTGCATTCAATGCATTCGCAGTCAGCACACCGGTGCAAGTCACGGCAACATCTGTTCAACAAGCGGCTCTCGTTCACCAGCGAGCCTCGCCGCCCTCCGTTCAACAGGCTGCAGCAGCTCAGCAAGCCGCCGTTGCGCAGCAAGCAGCAGTACAGAAGGGAGCCACGGGAGCCACACTCGTCGATACCATGAAAGCTCGAACTGATCAAATTCTCACGGAGAACTATCACCTCAAACGCGAGGTTGCTATTCACCGTGAACGGTGAGAAACAAAACTGTTTTCTTCTCAATAACTCTCCCCCAATTCAGACTCGTTCGATTGGCCCAGGAGATCAAAGACAAAGACACCTTCATGGGCGAGCAGCGCTCACAGATTCAAAACCTCAGATCCAATCTTGGAACTATTGAGGCCATGTGGCTGAAAGACAACGAAGACAAGAAGCTGATGCGAGAAGAGACTGAACGACTTCGTAGTCAGGTCCTCCTCTTCGGTAAGAAACAGATGTTTTTAACAAGGACTGATGTGTTCTTTTAGAAAAGCAGATTCGCGACGCACAATGCGGAAGCTGCAAGGGGTGCAACAGATTGGTAAGGCGAAATCTCACAGATCATGGTAGAATATCTTTTTTCAGTACCCAGTGCAAGATGGCAAAACATTCAAGAACTGCGGCCATCGAGTTTGCAACAGTTGCGCTGATTGCTTCGCGAGTAAGCCTCGAAAAGAGCGCAAATGCCCAGCCTGCTCCGCTTGGATTCACAAAGACGACTTCATTGCTATCAATCAATTCGAAACTCAACAGATAAAGAACTAAGAAAAGACAGAAAAAACTGCCAATATCCAAAAAGAGCAATTCCAAAAAACACAACTGAATGATCATTTAATTTCTGTAAAATCATCAAACACCTCATTTATCCATCAATCTGTATTCGCCGAGCATATCTTTTGCTATTTTTTTCATCAAATATACCATCGTTTTTTCAAAAACATATATACAAGGGAAATGCTATTGACAAAAACTAGTATTTCCGGACATTTTAAAAATGTTTGCAATCAACAAGGACACCAGCAAAGTTTGAATTTATAAATTTTTATTCTGATCCATAGTCTTTGGATTTGAACGAACAGGGCAACACAATACGCAGAAATAAGGCTTTTTACTTTTTTGAAACGAAGTTTTTGGATGTTGGATTTCAGGTTTGACGCGAAGATAATTAAAAAAATAGGGAAACAGAGTTCAGTGCAGCAGCAACAGCAGGCCAAAGACATCAAGCGAATCATGGGATAATTTGGGAAGTCCGAAATAGATGATGGGAGCAATTGGATTGACTTTGATTTTTTGTTGTTTTTTGTAGTGGGTTAGGGATTATTGAACTTTGATTTTAACGAACGCACAGTTTCGCTGACACAGAACTGGTCAAAAACTTAAATAATCGGAAGTGTCTATGAAAACAGAAATCCGTAGAGTTGTTGTTTTTTTATGGTTGGCTACAGTGGATACAAAAGGAAAGTATACGGTTGGTAAATGATTGAATGGAATTTTTTTTAGATTTTTTTGGCTTTTTTGAGTTTGTACCAAAGAAAATGTCAATTCGTGTCATTTCCATTGTGTACCCATCAGTACATGAGCTTGGGCCTGGCTCCACGGAGCGTGTCAAAGGTGATAGGATGGAGGCCTAAACTCGTGTACTAATCGGTTGTTACTTTATTTGTAATTTTTAATGCTGAGATTTTTTAGATTTTGTGACTTTTTTTTCAGGTTTTTTGGAGATTTTGAGATTTTTAAGTTAAATAAGAAAAAAGAGAAGAACGACCCCGGAGAGGACTCAACATGATCTTTCGACAGCGCCAGCATTCGAACGTTGCATGCTTGAGCTTTTTTTAGTGGAATTGAGTTGATTCGCGATTTAATCCTTGGCGCTATCGGTACTGAGTCCTGGACCGGGGGAGAAACTAAAACGGATCTTGTCGTAGAAACTACCTTATTTCGATATTATATATATAGATATATTCATATGTACAGAGCGTAACGGTAGATAAGGCAAAAGGGATAAAATAAATACTATAGATTTCGGGCTGCAACCTAAACACGGACAAGTAAAAATGCTAGAATAAAAAGCTCGATCGGCCAAAGGGCCAAGTCGAGCGATTCTTATTCGGGTGATTTGAATATTGTCACTTGTACTTGGCACAACTCTGTCTCAGAAATCTCACTCGTAGAGGAGGGGCACGAGGATACTTTTTTTTTTGTTTTTAAACGTACTTTGATGGGGAAAACGGTGATAGTCTTTGGTAGAGGCGAGGGTGATAGATTTTTATTCGGACTCGTCGCTTGAGGATGTCACCGAGTTTTTACTCTTTCGAACTGCTAAAAGATGGTCGGGGTTGAAAGACGTATCGCACCAGCGTCTATTGATGAGGCTAGTTAGCTTCCGTTAGTTCATGGACTAGCTAACCTGTATAATAAAAGATCATCGGGTACGCCCAGTATATGCCCGAGCAGAGTTCCTCCGCGCATGGCTGGGTCTGGCTGCTCCTCGAGCGCCTTTTTCAGTTTCCTGCAGCAATGGTCAAAGCAGGCTTGGACGTGTTTCCACTGGAATGTCGAGCGGCCCACGTCATTTGTCGTATTCAACGGATCTAAATTCACGAATAAGTCTGTCGCTTTAGCGGCACAAGAAAAATTACCTTCAATACATAGAGGGCCGTACTTTGTCCCGTGAGCATTCATCTGCTTTCGTAAGGTGTCAATTGGGATATAACCAGCTAAAATAGTCTTGTTAATCGAGTGAATCTTAACATCCTTGCTTACCTTCGTCTCGTATTCGTATTCCGCACGTTTCATAATTAAATTGTCGACCGTAAAGCTCGAAGAACTCCAATAATAAGACGCCAAGATTTTCGCCATCTTTCTTCGCGTTTTCTCTCGAGTGCTGTTGCAAAAAGTTGACGACCAATAATGTCAGGGCGTACGATCCCAATCCGCCTTAAAAATCGTTAGTAAGAAATTTGAAATTTAGCAAAGTTGGTTTACCTTTCCAGACTTCGTTTAGCCCCCGATGATTCAGAATGTACTTGAGGAGGACGACAAGCTGCTTGAGGTTGGGATACTCGGCCATGTACTTCTTGACGAGGGCGGCTGCTTCGCGACCATTCGACGTGTTGAACGAAATATCGACATGGACCAATGTATTGCTTTCAATCAACTTGATGATGGGAACGACCGCCTTCTCAATGACTAAAGTGGCAGTACTAGTCTGTGGATCATATTTTGCTGTTACCGGTGATGTTCTCTTCTCTAGCGATGCGTCGTTCTACGAGTTTATTTCGCAGTTGCCACATGGGTAGTTGCTCCCACTGGCCGAGAATTACCATATCGATGTCTCCGTCGGGGAGATAGAGTCCTGTGTTATAACTTCCGAAAGTTTCTAGTTTGGCAGACGGCTAAAATTCTTGGTTATTCTACTGAAGAGGAAAGATAGAACTTACCCATAGATCCTGCACAACTTGCCGGATTCGCCAAACGACATCATCGCGCATCGCCTGCTCGGCTTCCGTTGGCTGCATGAATTTGATGAAGTCTTCAATCTCCTCATGCAGACCGACGACGCCCCAGACGTAGCGCCTTAGTTTCCAGGGGACGCGATTGCGATGGCGAAGGTAGATGCTCCTTGGGTTGCCGTCGGCTTGTATCACGGCGGGGTTGTAGCTGTGCCCGCTGAAAGGCGACATGACCGGGTGTGGGTAAAGAGGAGGCGGTGGATAGGGGATGAGATGGGGCGGGGGGAGCAGCGGGGGATGCGGCTGCGAGCCAGGAGTTGGAGAAGGTGGGACTCCCAACTCGCCAGCTGAGCCTGACGCTGCCACTGGTGGTGTCATTGGAGGGTACGGCATGTAAATAAAGCCCGGCGGTGGAACAGGAAACATATTTAATCTCTCAATTTCAAACTAAGAACAATGGCACCCATAATTCAAAAACAATCCCCCTTTTCCGTCGGTTTCTAGAAAATGACCCCATTATCAGATTTTCAAATTTTTACTGATAGCAAGACGTATTCACACCGCGTCATGGGCAAATTAGCGGTGTCTGTGCGACAGGGCCGTGAATCAACAACGGAAAAATAAGATTTGCGTCACATTTTGACGAAATCGATGAGGGAGAACTTTTCGGATGCGGATTTATCGGATTTTTAACGGTATTTTTATAAAGGGGACAATGTTTTTCTAGGTTTTCTACGTGGGAAATGAGATTTGGATAACTGTAATGATGACTTACTGTGGTTTCCGATGGGCTGGTTCTCTCGTCCTTCTCTGACGCCTCTCTCCATTATTCTTTATACTCTTTTGGTGGTGGTGGTGCGTTTGCTCTTGAGGCTGATGGCTTTCTCTCTGTGTATTCGCATTGGCCTCCTTAGGGTGATTGCCCATCGGGTTCTTTTTTCTGTGGTTGCTCTTGAATTGTGTTTGTTGCGAACTCGTGCTTGCAGGTTGTTGCCTTTTCGGCGGCGGCCTCTGACGGTTCTCCGGCTTGCTCGGTTGCTGCTGCGAGGATAAAATTTTGGCGGCGTTTTTAGCTTCTCTCTCTCTTTTCTGGGGGCGGGGGAATCTCCAACTCCGAGTCAGTTCCTCTGCGATCTCGGTTTTTATTCTTTGTGGAGCGAAACTCCTCTCGCAAATGTGGGTTATCGAGATCTAAAACAGAACCATGACGTTAGCGTGGCGCCATCTAGTGCATAAATCTACAGCTGCTAAATCAAAACACGGCCGGATTTACAGGCAATCTGGTCAACAATCGGCAAGCAGTATCGGCGACCAAAAATACAGTAATTGCAGTAAAACGGTCAAAGGTGGGAAGAAAGAAAAAGATAGCAAGTGGAAAATTTTCAATTTCAACGAGAATTGAGTCTGCGCGCCAAAGCAAAAAATCAGTGGGGATCTTTTTTTTTTCAAAAAAAAATCGCCCCAAGGCTGTAAAGTCTGAGAAATTTTTAACCCTTCAGTGAATATCAAAATAGGGAAATTGGGCTATTTTTGGTGGCAGTATTAACACCAGACGGTGGCGATCAATCTGCCCGCGGACATTTGCAGCCAGAATCTTCGCATAAAGCCGAGTAATTACGTAACTAACAAATCTATCGTAAACTTCATTTTGACAGAATAAAAAGGGAAGACTAGAGGATCTCGTCGTTAATTTATTGCACTTACCTGGAAATAATTTCAATAAAGAAATTTGAAAAAGTCAATTGACTTCTTTTGCATGAACGTTTCACGAATCAACTGATACAGAACTGACAGAATAACAAAAGTTTCAAAAATGATCTAGAAAATACCTTTCTTTGGGTTCAAAAAAGTGAATTTTTCAATAAATATACCAAAAAATAACATATAAATCAATTTTAAGCCCTTGGCCTTGGAAATTCATCCCGTGTTTTTTCGTCAAAGCATGAAGAAACTTCTTTGTCCTTTGAAGAAGCTCAGATTCATTTAAAATCAATGGATTGATGACTTCCCCGTCTGACAGATAACTACCACTGAAATAAAAAATTGGTTGATAGTGACCCAAATTTACGATTTCCAGAAAATAATTAATTTACGATGCCAGGTTATTCGCTATTCATCCGGTTAAATCTCTAAATTTTTGGAAATCTCTGTTTGAAATAAAGGTTTAATGAAATCTTCCTTTCTAAGTTGTTTATTGACCCTCTACTAGTAGCAATTTTGACACGCTGCTAGTGGTACTGGGGGATTTGCTTGACACGTTACCATTTTTGGGCACACACTTCTTTCTCTTGTCTTAGCCTGCGGCTAACCTCAGCGAAAAAAGAATGAGAGAAAGTTCACAATCATCAGCGTCAATTTTTCCTCTCGCCATCTTTTGAAAAATTTCAATTCAGTAACGATTAGATAACTCCAAGTCATTTAATGCTGTGTAAATATGAAAAATATACACGAAAGTAGACCTGAGGAGAAAAATTCAGAGCCAGATTGTTACTCACGTAAAAAGTCTCCTTCGTTCGGAAATTTCCTCTGCAAATATGAAAAATCGAAAGATTGAAAATTTCTCGGCTCTTGGTTGTAAGAAATTGTGACCACGGAAATTTACACAAAAATAATTTAAACTGGGTTATGTAACCAACGACTGACGTAAATGATCAAAAAACAGAAGCAATTTTTCTCAAGGATAAACTTTTATAATCTCATTTTTTTGAATGGAAAAAATCTCCTTGGCTCATATTTTTGAAGTACCTTGGTAAAGAGTTTTCCGCTTCTGCTGCTGCGAGCACTCCTTTAGCACCTTCCTCAGCGGATCTGATGACTCCGAGCATCTTTGATGCTGAAAATTACCAAATAAGAAAATTGCTTATTTATCGTCTGAGATCAACTAGCCGGGGAAAAACACGAACCTTGAGTAATCCACTTTGGCAGACAGTGATCAAATAAACCTGTGGCACATATTCCAGGGTGAACGGCGTAATAATTAACCTCAGTATCAGTTTTCGCTAGATGACGGGCCAAGAGGATCAAAAGGAGCTTAGACTCTGCGTACGCTAACACTCCATTTTCATGATGAAAATTCGCGGCCTTCTCCTCATCGAACTGATTCAAATACGCGAGGTCGCTGGAGTTTGCCCATTTATGCGCAACCGATGATAGAAAAATAACTCTTCCATTCTGTTTTCAAGAGTAATCAAAACTTTTCAAAATTACTCAGCAAAAATTGAGTCTTTCTCATTAGATTTGCAAGCTGCTGAATTTCGTACTCATTCTCTTGGCAATTCTTGATCTAAGATGATCGAGAAATAAAACTGTCGATAAAAAGTTGACTCGCAAAGTCTTCTCTGTTTTTAGGGGGCGCGCATAATAATCAAAACAAGATTCAGGACACAGCGGAGAGAAAACAGTTAGTTTGTTACTCTTGCGCTAATATCTGAATCGAGAGCATTGAGAATATTCATTGTTTGATGAGCAAATTAGAAGTCTTTTCCCCGAGCCTAACCCGTGATCGGCGTCGAAGGGGACAAACATTACCCCGGCATTGAAGATCACAAGATCGAACTGGTGATTTTTTACGATCTCCGCTGCGATTTCATTCACCTAGTTATATAATTAGGTCAATCGCGAGAACTTTTGTCTCCAACCTTCTGCAGATCTCCAAGGTCAACGACATAAGAGTCGATTGTTACATCCGCGGCCATTTTTGCTTATTTAGGATCGACTTTGTTCAAAAAATTCTTTGGAAAAATAAGTACAGAAAAGAATCAATCCCAAAACTAAGTACTCGGTCGACAAATGCGCAGACTTCTCACACCTATTAACAGTAACAACATCATAATTTCGCTGAACTAGTAAGCTAGCCGTGCATCGCCCTATTCCACTACTCGTTCCAGTGATCAACACCTTCTTCCTCCTCCTCTCCGACCCCATTCTCAACACAAAAAATGCAAACAACAGAAGTAAATAAAAATATCTTTATTACTTTGAGTGCTTATTTTTCAATTGATAGCAATGAACAGTGTGGAAAATCAACTCGCAAGTGTTATCTGTCCGTCTTTGCTCTTGGAGATGATTATTGCGCGGGTAGATATCTTCGAATTTTTCTCTTTCTTCCCGCTCCTCTTCTTGCGTTAGGTACGTATCGATGTCTGCCTTTTGGTAAGATTTTGATACTCCTTCAGGGAACGGCAGTGTTTTTCTGTACATAAGGTGACCAGAAGGATTTACGAACGTATCTTGGGTCTTCACAAAAGGTCAAATTCGAGTGCACTTTTGTTCGATCTCAAGTTCAAGAGATTTAGACCGAGTTCTTTCTGTTTATGAGGACACTTATTTGACCTTTTCCCTGTAATCTGGGCTTCTTCGCAGGTAAATTAGACTCTGGAGGAAAAAATGGAGGGTCGGAATTATCTTCTTTATTTGAAGACTTTTGTACTTTCTTTTCTCGCTGTCGAGATTTCGAGCATTTAACCACTTTTTGCGAGGATCCAGCTGACTCTCTTTCTAGCTCGAGAGTTTCATTGGCGATGCTGAAGTCGTTGCTTGAAAGCCAGTTCGCGATCCTATCATTACTCGTGCTCGGTTCTTGAGCAACGGGAGTAACTTTGGGAGTTTGTACTTCGTATTCCATATCCGCAAAGTCTGCTAGCTTTTTCGAAATCTTTTGAACAGGTTTTCTCGGTGGATTGTTTTGTCTATTTGTTTCATCTTTGAGTCTCTGACGATTTGTAGATTTTGCTTCTTCCTCATAGTACCAGGAGACGATTTCTGCATCGCTCATTTCTTTTAACATTTTTCGGATCTTGTAGTATTTCGTCTTCGCAACTTTTTTCCGAGCATGATCATCTGTAGTTTGTATCTCGTAGTTGTAATCGTCTTTTTTCTTTTTCAAGTGGGACCTGATTTTATCAGCATCCATATCTGCACACTGAAACAGACAGAAGATATTAGAGAAGGTCATTTTAGAAATATCATCTATCAATTTGTGAACTATCAGGGGTTTAAAATTGCACGAGAAATAATCGGTACTACAAGTTAGCTTTCGGCTGCTACAGAAAATCAAAATCACGTGGTGGCAAACAGATACAAGAGGCCTTTGACGAAGCCAGAAATTTCATTTGCGCCTAGTTTCGATTCACCGTAGAAGCGATCGACGAATGTGATCGGCACTTCTCCGATGCTGAAGGAATTTTGTCTCGCTCGAACCATCATTTCCATCTTAAACAAGGGCAGTTGAAAGGAAGAAGAAATCGTATGGATTTACCTGGAAGACATAACCCTTGGACACACAGGACTTTACGAGAGTGCCCAAGACTTCTTTCTTATAAAGTCTGAAGGAACCTGTGAGATCAGAAACGCCTGGGCGTAGAAGAATTTGGGTGAGCAAGTTTGCTCCTCGAGAAACTACTTTTCTCTTCAAATCCCAGCCATACACGCCGCCACCATTGACATATCGAGTGCCCGTTACGACATCTAAAAGTTCAGCTTAGATGAAAGAAAATTTTGGCCAAATTTACCGAGATCTTTTTCCGCCTGGAGTTTGATAAACTGCGGGATGAACTTTGGATGATGGCTCAAGTCAGCGTCCATGATTATGATAAATTCGCCGGAAGCATGCTTCAACCCGTGAATATACGCTGTACCAAGTCCGAGTTTCTTTTCTCGAGGACGAAGAACGATTTTATCAGACCCGTAGATACTCTGGAGTTGTCTTGCGACTTCCAGGGTTCCATCGGGAGACCCATCATCTAAGAATGATGGTGATTTTTGCTACTTGAAACAAAACGAACCGATGATGATGACTTCATAGTTGTAATCATGCTTTGTCATCGTTTGGTCAATCAACCAGATGATAATCGGTAGATTTTCTTTTTCATTATAAGTAGGTAGAAGAATAGAATACATGGGCATTTTGCGACTTCTAAAGTATAAGCTCGGATAAGGAATACATTTATATTTAGTATTTTCAGGGGCAGTTACAGATCTAAGGAAACAATAAGTCGTACAAAAGAGTTGAAGAGTTTCGGCTTTCAGGAATTTCTTTTTACAAAAACTTTGAAGAAGATATTTTCCGGATTTCATCAAGTCAGAAAGTGACGTAAAAATAAAGCATTTTTAGGACAGTCGAATGAACAACGGTTTTTAAACGAGAGATCTGCCTCGTTACAACTCGCAAATTGCAACATCTTTTGATTTTGCATAGCTTGACAAAATGTACAATACTTTGTTCGCAAACATTCAGTAAGTCGATCATGCATTGAAGAATACATTTTAGATAAAAAAGAAAGAATAAAAGGCGAGAATTATTTTCTGCTCATAAAGATATATGAAAAAGTAATGGGATTTGAATTTAAGACTAACGACTAAAGTCAATTTTTGAAAATTGCACATTCATAATTGGGAAAAAAACTGTTCAATAATGAAGGTATATTTTTGATTTATTGTTTCTTGCTAGATCTTTCATTCGCAATTTATTTTTGAGTTTGCAGTATTAATTTTTATTATGAATCAATTGTGCATCGAGGAGTTAAAAGCTACAGCATCATATTTGATAGGAATCAAGTGGCAAGTATGGGTAGTATTTAAAATTAAGAGGGCAGGTCAGACGTTGATTTTGATTTCATCTGGCGCTGGTGTAATCTCCGTAGCTCGCTAATTTCGTCGCTAAGGCGGCGCAGGTCCTCTCCGCTAATTCCCATTTGTTTCAGATCCTTGGAATCAAAGTAGATCAAGTCGGATCCAATCACGTGATTCTCGCTAAACATCTTTGCAGACTGCTTGGATATTTTCAAGCTCTCAGCCCATGTGCGCACAGAATCCTCGTTCCATGTCCGAACTAATTTGAAAATTAAACAAGAAAAGGTGCAAACGGCCTTACTGTCAAAAGGAAGGTCAAGCCTACACATTTCGTTGTATAAACTATCTCTATTCGATCTTTTTGGGTGAAGGAATCGCGAGATGACTGTTGGCCGCTGAGGCTTGGAGATATTATGTCGCTCTACTGAAATCCGGAACCAGGAGATTTCTCCAAGTCGCTCGAATTTGGAACGAATGTCATCCTAAAACTCAGATAAACAAAGGAGCAGAGGATATGTTTTACCTTTCGATCCCTGGCTATACTTGGGGAGGAACAGAGAGAGTCAACAACTTCAATTAGTGTGTTGATCACGTCATATCGAATTGGGAGTTTGTTGATTTGAATCGTATCTAAGAAATCGACGATTTTGTCCTTTTCTTCGCTCAATTCATCTCTTCCAAATTCATCAGAGCTATGTAAGTTAAAAGGTAAAGTCGAATAACTTGAGGATATTCCAACCTTTCAATACAGGCAAGCATTTCAGAGGCAAACAGAGCGAAAGAATTGATCTCTTCAACAGAAAGCGCAGTCTCAGACAGCATCAGTTCCGCGTTAACATCGCGGGCAAGCATTTGTACACGATTTTTATGTTCAATTTTGATGATGCCGGGGTTTTGCATCCAGGCCTCTCCGTCGACTTGAACCGGGATTGGGTCGCTTCCTTTGATCATTATTTTTAGGGAGGAGCACTGAGCGATGCGATGTCGTTGAGAAACGCGTTGGGGCAAGCCCAGGAAGGCTTGAGACATTCCAAGTTGAAAGACGCCGAAGATTCCAATAACTTCGATCAATCGATCAGAGTATGAGGGAGTAACGAAAGACTGAAGCTTTTTAGAATACGATTTGTAGAAGATAGGTACCTGTCCTCCGGACTTGTCTCCCCAAAAATTGATTCCAGCAGCATAAGACGGTATATTAAGAACTAGAACACCTTGAAGATCTGGCAGGTTGATTTCTTTATCATCACAGAAGAGTCGAATTTTCTTATTTAGTTTTTTATGTGATTGTTTCAGCAGCTCGTTGGCCGAGAAGAGTGTCATGGAGAGTTTATTTAGATTCCGCCTGAAAAACAACTTTAATCGAAAGCTTTTTATAAGAAGGGATTACCCGCAGTTTTTCTGATTTTTGTCACGATAATGGTGAAAATCAAGGACGATCTTAGCATCAACTCCGATTCCAAAATAGTTGTTCATCACATATCTCTCGTTGAAATCATTCAGGCCAAGAAAAGTCTGGAGATTAGGCTGGTCCGATGCTAAAGACCATGATTAATTATGTAAAAGCAGGGAGTCAAAATACTTTCATCAGACGTTTCTCTTCGAACTGGTCGGCTTTTGATTCTGGGCGAGATTTTGGGATTCTTTCTAGTTGGATTTTTATCATTTTTCTTCGACTTGACGGCTTTATCGAGAACGTTTTTCACCGCGTTTTTCACCGAGTTTGCTCGGTTCATCAGATTGTTTTTCGAGTTCTAAAGCTGGTATAGTTGTTTGTGGTTATTCTTCAATTACCTCGTTGAATTTTGAATGCACATTATCGGAAAATGATGACGCTTCTTCTAATCCATTCAGCTTTTGCCGCAATAAATTGATATTTGATAATGTCTCCGTGTCACGCTGCGCGAATTCTGCAGATCTTTCTGCGGTTATGTCCAAAACATGCTTGGCGATGCGGATAAGGTCACTTGAAGCCTTCAACACTATCTCAGGATCTGTTGAATTGATTATATTAGCGATTCTAAAAACAACCAATTTATGACCAGGAACACAAAGAAGATAAACATACTGATTGCCTATCTTCTGTTCTATTGCTTTTTCCTTTTCATCTTCGTGTTTGTCGAACATTTGCTGGGGGAGATCTGGCAAAATGCCTTCGTACACCATTATCGACCATCGATCGAGCATTTTCGTTTTTGCGCAAGCGTATCTTTCCAGCAAAGTTGGCACTTTTGTATCGTCATTGAAAACGTCACCCCATCCGAGAACTTGGCTAAGATCATTTCCCGTTCCCAGAGGTAGAACTCCGACTTGCGTCTTTAACTTTTGTTTCAGCACGAGGTTTTTTCCAGGTGGCATACCTTTGGCGTAAGTCCTAGCCGATCCATTTCGCCGAGCACCCAGCTTATACTTCCATCGCCACCGCAGATAAGAACTTGGAAATTGTCTAATCTCTGGAAAACATTAAGTCCGGGCAGCGGTCCAGCGCGCATCAAATCATAAACTTGTCCCGGATTGAGATGCTGTCTGAATCTTCGCAGAAATTGGACACCTAAGAATGCATAAAGACCTAATTCTATTTGGATTTTGATGGAACCTTTATTGTCGCCGGATTTGGAGTTGACGAAAACGAGCATCGGCTTGGGCGTTTTGGTACAATTACTCGCACGCCAAACGTCCTCTTCTTTGTCATATTCGGAGAGCGCAAGCGGTTTCAAAATTGAATTTGAATTGAGCCCAAATGAGCATCTCAAATTGGCACCAATACATTGCGAGTGGTATATTTCGCGACACCAGAGACACCGCCTGTCTTCTGATAACCTCAGAATTGATCTAAAATTAAGGTTGAACAGTCTTAGAATCGATAAAAGCTATCGACTATTGTCTATCCCCGCGACGCGAGCAGAAATTGAACGATGAAGCTTAGTGGCTCATCTCCTGGATCAAATGAGCTCACCTTCAATGCTTTTAATGAATGTCGAGTTACTAACTATTTCGCGAAACTTAAAAAACTTGTTCCTTTTTTGAACTCACCCGCAGGCTTTTTTACAAGCAGTGCATTTGGAATTGACTGGAATATTCCCCACTAGCCACTGGTGTTGTTGATATGTCTCGCCACTTTTGGATTCGACGACTTTGACCTGTTCGATTGTGCGCCATTTGCACTCCTGCACGCACTCGGTGGCGCACGATCTGTGCACTTTTATTTTACACACTTCGCAGCTCAACGCTTTTTGTTTCAGCCCATTGATAATGTGCTCGCAAACATTGCTAAAAACGGCGATAAGAGCAAGTGTCGGATGAGTCTCATTTTATTACCAGAACATTGGCTTGCCATGGGAAGTAATATACCAAGTGTGAGCGGCACCACCCTTTGGAATAGCAGATTTTATTGAGTCAATCCAGTCCTCCATTTGTGGACGAGTCTGGCAGCTGATTTCGATAGAAGAACCGGTACTATCAATCACCTAGATTTTACAATTGAATGTTTACTTCAAAAATTTCTTTTCTGAACTATGAATTTTTTTTTGATTGTACCTTCTTTATAACTTCTCATTTTGAAGGGATATCTCTTTTTTATTAATATTTTTTCTCTGTTTTAAAAATATATTTATGTTACTATCGCGGCTCGTTTTTTTTTTGCTTTGTTGCGTACCTCGAAGCTACACGCTCTGTTCTTGTTACTGGACTCCGCTATGATCGATTTTGTGCAGATTGTGGTGACCGAAGAAGTTTCCTCGCCCTGCGTTTCGTCGTCGGTTCGATTGAAATGGAGTTCGCCGCGGCGCACAACGCACCAGCGGGGTTGCCATCCAGACAGCGACCTGAACGCGCCAACACCCAGGTTCACCGACACCCAGCCCTCTTTGATCTTCGACACACCTGACTGCAAGTCCTTGTTGATATCAATTAGACACGGTTCCATAATGAAAACTTATATATCTCGCCTTGCGATATATGAATACAGGACATCGATTTTATTACATATTATTTATGTAGCAAGCCCATGACTTAAACGTCACGGAGACTTTCCGTCAGAAAGTACATATTTTATAAATTAAAGGATGTGACGACAATAAAGACAAATTTTTTATTGATTGATTCATGCGACGACATGCGGATACTACATAGAGTACGAACAGACAACAAACTACAGTGAGACGACCGACTTACATTATCCTCCTGAACGGATTCATCATCATCATTGAGCACGATCTTAGGCACTTGTTGATGCATCCTTGGACGAGCTCAAGCGGCCTTCATTAATCTCATATGAGAGACCCTATCCTCAGGAATTCCAGTGAATCTATCATTTCCTAAAATCAATCTCTTTGAGGATCGGAGGAAAAAGAACAATATATGTATTGAAATAAGCCTAGGATAGGTGTAATTCTGCCTAATTCGTTCAAGTATCACACAATTGGTTTCTCACTTATTGAAGAAGTAGGCGGATTTCAGGTACAGTGAACTGTTATTACTGTATTGTCAGTGAACAGGAAAAAAGTAAAACATAAAATATCTCGTGAACTACTTGGGAATAAAAATATATATAATCAAATACGAGTAGAATGATAATTAAGGCGCAAAGGCAGCAATTTCAAACTAGAATACGTATTACTGTAATAATGACTAAAGAGGTTTTTATGAGGTTGATTTCTGTTGACAAGGTTTGGGTGCGAGGAAAACATGTCTTTAGATGATGTTTTATAAATGAAATTCTAGGATTAAATAGAACCTGTTCAAACGACGCGCTTTGTACGTTCTCGATCTCATTAATTCGTAATTGCTAGTATAAAACATTTTCCTTCAGGCGTGAAATATAGAAAAATCTAAAAGACGCTCAAGATGGCTTATTGAGTGGCTTTTGGCACTTTGATGGTCCAGTCTACGGAGAGGACGGCGCATGCAGCTTCTGTGGCAGCCTTAAAGAATAAATTAATAAAGAATCGACTCCTCCCCTTGTGAAATAAGATATAATTAAACGAGGGCGGATTTAGAAAGCGGATCAAAAGCGAAATCAAATTAGAATAGACTCCATCCTTCCCACTTCATCCTTAAAATTGGCTTACCATTAAAGCGTTCTTTTTGACAAGAGCTGGCTCCCAAACGAACTTTTCGTAGTTGTTGGAAATGCCCTCTTCATTTACGTCAACACCAGCCCAGATTTGACCATCAGCATGCGCTTTTATCAGGTTTTAAAAACAGTCCTTCAAAGAATCTTTGAGTAAAATTGATTGCTTTTAAAACCAAAGTGCCTTTACGAAGCTTATTAAGAAGATCAGTAGAATCGAAACCGGCATTATCGCACAGCTGCTGTGGGATGATCTAAATAATGAATGTGTACGTCGACCCCAACTTATCGTTTTTTTCTTACCTCGAGAGCCTTTGCGTATGCATTCACTAACATCTGTCCTTTTCCTTTGATGGTTCGGGAATGTTCTCTGAGAGTTCTGGAGAGCTCCATTTCAATAGCTCCACCTCCAGCAACGATCTAAGATTTTGTTAAAGGCTTGGCGGGATGAAGAAAACTTACGCTATCAGACTTGCTCGCTCGTCGAACAATCATAATCGCGTCGTGAAGGGATCGCTCTGTTTCTTCCAAAAACTGCTCGGCGCCACCTCGGAGGAGCATGGTGCAAGTCTTGGCGTTGGGGCAGCCCTCAAAGAAGTTGAATCGCTCGCTGCCGACCTGGGTCTCAGTGAACGTGCTGCATGTTCCAAGCTGATTTTCGCTCAGATTCAAACATGATGACTAAAAACATTTGAAAACCAAAATCACTAATTCAGAAAATTACCACAATGGCACCACCGCAAGCCTTCATAGTTCTCTTGAGATCTTCGTCAGCTACTCGACCGGCGCAGAACATTCCTCGGTCAGCGAAATACTGTGTAGCAACGTCGCCAATGGGAAGCTTGGAGAGGACGACCTTGGCGCCAGATTTGTAGCAGCACTCGAGCTTTTCGTAGAGGATGTCCCACTCGGCATCAACGACATCCTGGTAGTCCTTGACGTTTGTAACGCGCACCTCCGCGTTCTCTTTCTCCGCCTTGAGTTCGAGTTCGACGTTCAGGAGGGCGATCAGTGGGTTTTGGTACTCTTTCTTCTGCATTTCAAATCCAGCGTAGCTGAAAGTCCCTTGCTGAATGGGCCAATTTTCAAGAGTTTTACCTGAAAGTCTTTTTGAAGGCAACACCGTTGATAAGTCGCGAATCCTCCAAAGCACCACCGGGGACCTTCTTGATACCGATCATCTCTAGCGGCATGATATCCTGATCAATGGACTGGACAGCAGAAACGACCATTTCGGAGAAGAACTCTTTGTTGGCAGCGACGAGCTAAAATATTCAGGTGATCCCTGTTAAATTAAAAATACAATACCTTTGAGCTCATAGCTGTCTGGGCGCACTTGATCAAGGTTGATCGTCTGTCCTCGGGAGTACCACTCTTCATTGGGTTGACAGCGATTTCTTCAAGTCGTTTGATGGCCAGGTTGACCGACTCTCTCAAGGCGCGGACGATCAACTGTGGGTGCACGGTATCTTCGATGAATCGCTTCATCATCGTCATGAATTCACAGGCAAGGAGAGTGACAGAGGTCGTTCCATCGCCGATCTCGGCATCTTGTGACTTGGCGATGTCGACGAGGGTCTTTGCTGCAGGGTGGACGATGTCGAGGAGCTGGAGGATGGTGGCACCATCGTTGGAAATGTGAGTCTGAAGGAGAAAATAGAAAAGAGTACTTCTGATAATTGATTACCTTTGATCTAGCATCGATGATCATTTTGTCCATGCCTCGGGGCCCAAGAGTCGTTTTGATCGCCTCACCGATGACCTGACAGGCATTGATGTTGGAGACGATCTGGGGAATACCCTGGGAGGTGTCAGTGCCTTCTTTCAAAAGTTTAACTGGAAGCTGCATCTCTTTTGCTGTTCTGAGTCAATCTGAAAAGTGAAATAATAACAAATGGGAAAATTAAAGCTCTTAGGAACAGATCTAGAAAAATCGTGTTCTTGAAAAATTTTCAAAGCAATTCTTTGAGATTTTCTTCAGTGTAAAAAGATCTGTTTCCAGGGCGGTTTGCGGCTCCCCATCGTTTTAGTGCGTGAAAACCGTTTGGATTATCTGAAAGAATTCAGTATGAATCAAGGTCGAGAAACTACAACTTACATTTATTTCCGCCATATTGTTTGTTTACGCTCATAATATGCGGCATTCCTTCTTGGTCCGAAAATTCATTGGGCGTATACTGTCTGTAAGGTTGAACGCGATGCGGGTGGATCATCCCGGTTTTATTTGCCATTTCTTCTTCGTAATCTATCTTTTCCCACCCTTCGCAGGGCTTTTTACCCGGATTCGCTTTATTGTAGTCTGAAAAAACAATTATTCGTCTTTTTCGAGGCTGTCATTTGAATTTACCTAAAATTGCAAATTTGATAACGTCATTATGCTCGCCCAGGATTTTTTCTATTTCCATTTTGATACTAGAAGGAGCATGGAGATCCCAAGTGACGAAATTGCCTTCTGTGTAGATCGCGTCGCCAGCTGCCAAATAATTTTTATGTCCCTCGAAGCTTAATTTATTCAATCATTCTTAAGAAAAACGAATTCTTCAATACCTGTAGCCTCTATTATTCGCCCGATCTTCTTCCATAACCTCTTGGATATTAATATCATCCGGAATTAGCGGCCGCTCAACTTTTTGTTGGTGATATTTTTCATTGCTTGAAAAGTTCTGTCTCCTCGTAGCTCGCGCGAGAGTCCTAATTCCGTGCGATTCGAAATTTCGCACGACGCAATTTTGTGCAAAAAGCGTTTTCGTGATTGCCACGCACATTTCATGCGTGCGCTTCTTTGTTTGTGCACGAAGCATAGCTGCGATTTCGAATCTCATTTTATTCTAAAAAATGATGGTTAGCGAGTGATGAAAATTGTTTGAAATAAAAATAAATAGAAGCTAGAAAGGTTTAAAATCAGAAAGGAACTTTTTAAATAGCTCTTGGGAGACATCCTTGTCATATTTTTCAAACAAGGCGACATTTCTTTCACAATTTTTCATGTGCGAATATTCCCCTTGAATCTCTTCCATCATCTCAAAACCAGAATTCGAAAAATACTTCTGCAAATTGAATTTCCGCTTTGTCCGGTAGTCAGTAACATTGTTATTGCTCCATGAATAATTTCGTATTCGCTCGCCGCGCTCGAAATTAGTGTTCATTGAATTCTGAAAACCGAGGAATTCACGCTCGAATTCAGCGTCTTGACGAGCTTGAAGGATTGAGCGAAGCTCTTCAATTGCTTTTTCAGTGTTGCCGGCTAGGGTGTTGTTTCTGCCAGGCTCGAAGTAAGTGGTGGTGATGCCGGATGGAATGTGTTTTACGACCGCTCGGGAATGAACAGTGTTGATTTTCTGGAAAAAAATGACGTTAGAATTAGTCAAAATACTATGTTTACCTGTCCGCCTTTTCCAGACCCTCTGCAAGAGGAAATCTCCAACTCCCTCTCTGGAATCTCGATCAGCCTCCTTTCCAAAATCGGCGTTACTTTGACGGCGCAAGTGCTCGTATGAAGCTTTGTCGAGTTTTGAGGAATGCGTGCGACGCGGTGAACCCCCGCCTCGGCGAGATTTCTATTGAACGCATTCAGCCCCGAAACAACAATGTGCCCCTCATTGAGCATCCCGTTTTCTTCATCTCGATTTACTACTTCATAGTGCCAGTTCATGAAATCGAAAAAGGAGAGGTAGTGATCGAAGAGTTCTCTGACACCGGTTTCAGAAGGAATTGGGACAATTTGGAACGAACTTGTTTATTATTCATAAATTCGCGATCATCATCAATCAATAATTAATTTGACTTTATGAAAGAAAGTAGCGCCTCTTGAGCTTCAAGTTCGCAAAAGATAAACTGCAAAATACCGTTTTTTCAATTCTGACCGTTCCAAAATGAAACCTTCCTAGCGAAGATTCCAGCTTCATCCCCTCCTGCTCCAGCTTCAACGACAAAATTCGCCTTTTCGGCTTCTTCAGTTTCATATTCGGCCAAAATGTCGAAAACTTCTTCTTCAATCTCACTTATTTGCTCTTCCGATTCTTTGATTTCTTCCCGAAGCAATTCTTTCATCTCCGGGTCTTGTTCTTTCGCGACATTTTCGTTGAGTTCTCTGAGGTAGAGTAGGCTTTCTACGTGATTTTTCGATTCATTTTTCAACTCTGGAATTCGTAGAGGAGCCAAGTGCAGAAGAATCTTGTTGACGTTTTCGAGAATATTCGCGTCTTTGCTCGAATTCTGGTCTTCAAATACAAAATTTACAATAATGACCTCAGAGAATTATGCATACTTTCGATTACTCATCAAATTTTCAAAATTAAATAGAAAATAATCAATGAAAAAAGCCTTATTTCTATTTTTAGAAGACCTTACCTATGAAACGCAGCAAGAAACTTCTCAATTCCTGGATATTTCGGCGAATAATCTCTTTTCAAAATAATCCCTATTGATCTGGCAGCTCTCAGCATGTTCATAAATCTTTCTCGGTAATTGTCAAAATGCCTTCTTCTGGGAAAGATTTTCCCTCGGAGAAATGCCGTGGCAACCAATGAGCGCCGCCCGAGCTGAACCATCGATTTATTCAATTTCTTGTTGCTACCCGAATTCGAGAATTACGAGTTTATAATGCTTGAAGACTTGCAGTGCCTGTAAACATGAGCGAAATAATGATTATCAAAAGTGTCATTTTAATTAATGATTGACAATTTTACGAGGCATCAATGACACCAAAATTTCAAGGAAATATTTTATTTGTAAAAACAGTAAGGATGAACTACTAGGAGTAAAGGGTTTCTGTTCTTATGTGCCAATTCGTTGAACGACCCAGGTCCCCTGGCAGAGCGGACATCGCGGACTCGTTGCCACCCAACGCGACATGCAGCAGTTGTGGTAGCTGTGGTTGCACTCGCCCCAAACCACGGCGCATTCGTCGGCGCCTTTACCACTCGTTTGACACTGAAAAATTATCACTGGCAACTTCTTACTTCCATGAAGAACTTACCTTGAGACAGGGTTCCGTAACCACGACTCTGCAAATGGCACAAATGTCACAATCTACGTCCCACTTCCACAGCGATGCATGATTCCAAGTCTTCAGCTTGAATATCTCCGCACCCTGCTCAAATTCACCCTCAGCATCGTTGTCCTCCAGCGTGAGTTTTTCGAGTTCCTCGAGCGAAATGAAGAGTTCCTTCTTCTCGGGCTTCGCAGGCGGTTTCTTTGGATCCAAGGCGCTCTTAGACAGAGTTCGTAGCCGAACAGGTTCAGAAGCGTTGGTGCTAGTTGAAACTCGTTGAAACTCAAAATGCTCTTGATCGCTTGAAAGAGCCAGGAGATCAGCCGTTTTCAGAGCTTAAGAATTTTGTTTATAAAAGGCTGACAGTGCGTTTTTACCTGAATCATTCGACACAGTAGAATAGTAAGTGCTCGTCGAAGAAAAAATTGTTACATCAAGTTGTTTCTTAGCCACTGGTTTAGCTTCCTCTTTGAAACATTCTCCTATGTCATCAGATTTTCGTTGCTCTAGAACTCTAACACAATTTATTTCTCGGTGTCATTTTATAGGGAGATTACCTGAAGAACTCTTCCTCATGTCCTTCCCCAAAGGACTCAAAAACATCGTCAGACCCTTCACTCTCGATTGATGATGCACTTTCATAAACTGGCATCAAATCCTCTGGCCTCGCCGGCAATGAAATAGCCTTTCGCTCAAAACTCATTTTTAGCAAAAAATTTAAAGAAACGCTTTTTTGCGTCAGCTCCCTCTGAGGCTAACTGAGAGACAAGATTGTTTTTCATGCCGAGAAGTCGGTTTAGATGGCGTATCAGCTTATTTTTGGGCCATAATTTGTCGTTGGCATTTTGAAAAACAGACTGATCGCGGGCGACTGATATTTTTCGCCGAACTAACGGTCAATCGAGTTGAAGATAACGAGTTATTATTTTATCAATCATAATTTATTCATAAATAAAATACTTTCGCAGATCAAATGAAGTTCTTTTTGTGCGCCGAAAAACGAAGTCCTTGTTGCTTTCTAACAGTCTTTCTCTCCTCAACTAATCTCGGATCGAGGTCGTGATCTCTCTTGTCGATACTGTAGCTCAAATAGTCCACGGCCATTACTGCCAATATTATGACAACGTATATTATGTACATGTACTTAAAATCATCAGTTCAAAAAGTCTTTGAAAAATGCACCTGTCTGAAATAGTCCATCGTTTCGAAAACTGGGTCTAGCCAGTCAAGGTCTTCCATTTTTATCGCGCCTTTGATCAAAAATTCAGATTTATTCTTTTCAGGTGAAAAGGAAAGGGAGACTCTCTGAAGATAGGTTTATATGTATTCATGCTTTTATCTAGGAACAGGAATAACAGGCATTAATAATTCTTCGCGAAACAACAGTTTCTCCCCTTCAAACAACAATGCGGAGAAGTTGTTCTGAACAATCTTCGAGTTGATCTTTTATTATCATTCGAATTCTAAAATTCTCTTTTCTCGAGAGTCTGAGAACTGTTGAACCGACCTTTGATCATCAAGTCCGGCCAGGCTCTTTTGAATCCTTGATCTCAGCCTCAGTAAACTCTGCAAAAAGTTTGGAAAGTCGTTTTGACAAATTTTGCTAAGAACAGCTTTCTTTTGAATCTCCTTCAGTTTTCCTTCGAGAAATCGGGCATGGCCAACGGTGCTGAAGAAGAGTTAGTCGATAAAAATCGGCATATATAAACTTGATTTTATAAGAGTCAAAAACATAGAGCAAGCTCGTAAGTTCCTTCGCTAGAGACTTTGCAGTTTCGTCTACTTTCTTCTTGTTTCTATAAAGAGATGATGGTTTCGTAGCTGCGGAGACTAAAATGTATAGTGAAATAACTCCAGTAAACTAAATTTCCTTACGCATTGAAAACGAAACATCCATCGAAGTATCTGAGTCTGACTTGAGCTGCTGCATTTTAACAGGTTTTCGTTTGAGATGGGGGGTAGCCATTTTCTTGATCCGATCTAATTTTGATTCCTGATTGTTTTACTTTCGAGCAAATACTTGACCGAAATCACGCTCCTAATCGATTCAAATTAACCTCCATAGTACTCTTAGACGGATACGGCGTTTCTTCCGAGATCTCCCTCCTCAAGTCCGTCGTCAATGTCCCATACGAAGGCTTTTACGGATGTTACCTCGAATGATGTCTAGTTGACCATGTTTTTATTTATTCAAGTGGACACGGAGGTAACCGTTTTCTTGATCAGAAGTCCAGAATCAAAGTCAAGCCCAGTGGGAAATCTTTTGACGCGCGGTCCTTTGACCGGCTCTTGGCGAAGTGGAGCGTTGAATTTATTCAAGAAGTCGAGGTCTTCCCGCTTTCGATCGTAAGATCTGGAAGGCTTTGGTATTGGCGTCGGAGGAACAGCAGGTGAAGCACGAGGGTGATAAGGAGATCTTTGTGGAGGATAAATAGACTAAGATTATTGAATACGAAGGAGAAACTGGGTGACCGTTTCGGAATACCTTGTGCGCTAAGCATTTTGATCATTTTTCCGTTTGGAAGGGATTGTATAAATGTCTGATGGAATGAGAAAGCTTCTATATCGTTGAATTCAATTGCCTATGCGAAGAAGCTACCAAACGCGGGCCCCAGAGCATCGAGGAGATTTGGCGCCCTCCGCCGCGCGCTTTTCTGAAAAAAGGCCGAAAATAGGAGCGCGCAGCGACAAAACGACCTCGAAATCAAGCACCGTCTCTCTTCACTCATCCCATTTTTGAGTCCGATTTCGATTGTCTAACAGGTAAGAATCGTCTCCACGCACTCTCTCTCCTACCCTCTCGCCTCTCACGAACAAAAATCTTCTCATCAAAGAGACGTTAGCTAGCCTCAAATGGAAGTTTCATTTATTCGGTTTTATTGACAAAACTGACTGGAACGTTAGTGCCGTACTTTCTATCAGCAGTAAATAAAAGGTTTTTGCCATTGAATTTGGAGGAGAGTGACTCAAAGTCAACCGTTTTTGGCACAGAAAGGGTTCTCTTCCAGTTGTGTGCTGACTCGATCTTCACTCCTTCGATGATTTCTGATGTTTTTGATGAGCCAGAGATTTGCAGCTCTCTCTTCGACTCGTCCTTGGTGATTTTGAGGTCTTTCTTCTGCGTCGGAAGCGACGCGAGATCAATTCTTGCTGACCAGGTTGTAGGAGTGATCATTTCTTGCGAAATGGAGTAGGGCTGGTAGCGACGATCACGGGATTTGCGCTGGAACGGGCGGTCGAATTCGGGAGAAAAGGGAAATCCGGCGATTTTAATCATCTCTTGCTTTTTGTATCTCTTGGAAAGATTTCTCAGTTTGAATGTGCTCTTGCTGAAACAAGCCCATTTTATACTGTTGAAAACTTGGAGAACATTCGGGAAATCAAGTGTAGAATATTCCAGAATATAACAGAACATTCCAGAACAAATCGAACATTCGAGAAAACTGGTATCTTCAGAAAGAAAATTCCAGAACATTCTAACTTGGAAATAAAACCTGCTAGAAGAGACGACGACAGTCATCAGTGGCTATAAATACCGAGCGGGAGATGTCTTTCTCATCACACCAGAGATACAAAAACCAACGAAAATGTTTGCTTTTTCCAACGAACACTTCGAACCGCTGATGAACCAGGTCTTTTCTGAGCTCGCCCATCCCGCCAACAAGCGTGGAGGATGCTGCCAATCTGCTGAGAAATCGAGCAAGTGGTGCAGCTGCATCAACCTTTCTACCATCCCCACCAAGGCCGAGGAACTGCACGTGAAGGTAGACGAGAAGAGCCGCACTCTGACCGTGTCTGGACAGTCTGAAACGGAGTCTACTCGACGAGACGGATTGAAGATCTTTTCAACTCACGTCTGGACGAAAGAAATTCGAATTCCAGAGGATGTGGAGCTGAAGACGATCGCGTCCAAGTTGCACGAGAATCAGCTCACTTTCGTCGCCGAACGAGTGCAGAACGAAGAAGACAAGCAACAAGAAATTCCGATCGAGATCGTCGATACTCCTGCTCATGACTGAGACAGTCGATTTTCGCATATTCCTTTATTACCTGATTTTACGGAAAACACATAGATACAGTATTAACCTGCAATAAACATAATCCTGAGTCAAAAATTTGCTATATATGCTGGCTAGAACCGGCCTCGTTCGCTTAGCGTCATACCGCGTAGAATAAACCAGTTCTCGTCCGATCACTGAAGTCAAACTACGACGGGCGGGGTTAGTACTTACATGGGTGACCGGTTGGGAATACCTCGTGCGCTAAGCATTTTGACTTTTTTGCATAAAACAATCATTCTTTTTCACGACTAAACTTTCTTGATCCTCAATTATCATTTAATCGAGCTATAAGAAGCTATTGAAAAGATCCTACAGTGGGTTGCGCAGGTACTGCACCCTTTGTGATTGCGGCGTTGCTGAACCCTTCGCCCGCGCTTTTTCTATTGTTTCTTTCTAGACTTGCTCAAAGTGATTGCGTGACTGGTGCACCCTTTACCCGCTCTTTAGGGGTGCACTACCTGCGCAACCCACTGTAATGTTTGCGACTGGGAAGTATTGATAGTTGAGCTTGCGTAGTGGGCTGCGTGGCACTTGTGAAAAAGCGCCCTCTACCGCGCGCTTTTCTGAAAACAGGTCGAAAATAGGAGCGCGCAGCGACAAAACGACCTCGAAATCAGGCACCCCTTCTCTTTACTCATCCCATTTTTGAGTCCGATTTCGATTGTCTAGACGCGCTTTTTTTAAGGTTGTGGAGGTTTTCTAGCCCACTTGCGCCTTATAAACCCTTGAACATTATACCTTTTTGGAATCAGGAGGAAATTTTAAAAACTTTGACCGTTTTAGTTTCTAAAATTTCCACTTCTGGTCCGATTCTAGAGCCGGAAGTTGACGAAAATTTTGAGTTTGGGCAACTTGTGACCTATCAAATTGATGCTCAGAAGATTTCCTATCATCTGAGAGAAGAATAAATGCCGACAGCGGTCAAATCAACCGCTAAAAACGGAAAGAAAAATCACAAATTTATGCCTTTTTACAAGTTTTGCCGGTCGGTTTGACCGCGGTTGGGATGGTTTTTCTTAATGATTTTTAGATGAGATGACTCGAAATCTTCTGAGCATCAATTTGATAGGTCACAAGTTGCCCAAACTCAAAAATTTCGGCAACTTCCAGCTCTAGAATCGGACCGGAAGTGGAAATTTCGGAAACTAAAACGGTCAATGTTCTTAAAATTTCTTCCTGATTCCAAAAAGGTATAATGTTCGAGGGTTTATAAGGCGCAAGTGGGCTAGAAAACCTCCACAACCATAAAAAGCGCGTCCTAACAGGTAAGAATCGTCTCCATGCCCTATCTCTCCTATCCGTCTCGCCTCTCACAAATAAGAAAATTCTTTCGAAGGAGAACCTCAGAACGGTTCTCCTTAGACGCGCTTTTCTAAGGTGGGTTATTTCACCGACTTCTTGATTTTTAACCCTGGAACACCATACCTTTTGGAATCAGCAGAAAATTTTAAGAACTTTGACCGTTTAAAATTCTAGAAATCTCCACTTCCGGTCGATTCTAGAGCCGGAAGTTGACGAAATATAGGACTTAGGGTGAAGTGTGACCTATCAAATTGACGCTCAGAAGATTTTGAGTCATCCTATAATCAGTATATCAGAAGAAAAAATCCCAAACATCGTCAAACCGACCGGTAAAATATTG